ACCATCTGGTTGAATGAGTTAATAAACGTGTCCTTAAAGCTCCTTATTAACAGCTTCTTACTCTCTAACTGTCACACTCACTGAACTCTTCAGTTTTTTCTCCTCAGGGTCTGATGATCTGGATCCAGATCTGGTTCGAGTGGCGTCTCTGGGCTTCAGCGGCTGTCTCTCTGTGGTCCACTTTAACTCCATCAGTCCTCTGAAAGCTGCTCTGCTCCACCCGAACACCAGCCCGGTCACCATCAGCGGACCTTTAGTCCAGTCCAAGTGCGGCTCCTCGGCTTCAGCCAATCCCTACGCAGCAGAGAACACACACCACCTGTCAGGTAGGAGGAGCCGGACTCACAGATCCAGAATCACGTAGACTTCATCATATTAATTAAACCCTAATCAGTGAAAACATAGATATAAGCAGATAGATCCTGCAGAGGTCTGGAAGGAGTCGAGGGATACATGAGTATAGATATATATATGAGAAGGGCTAGATGACTCTGCCATCTTACTCCAGTATTCCATTCTTGAATCTACATGATCAAAAATCCTCTTAGCTCACTGAAATCTTGACAGATTTACAAACGAGGCAGAAATTTATACTGAAAATAAATATTTCTATAAATTATTGCTATATGTTATTATAGTTATATGTTTATATAATAAAACATAGATGGAATGATTAAATGTTTTATATAGAAATGATTGAATATAACTACCTTTATGAAAATCCATGGTTAAAATTATTCTTGAGTTTGCAGGAACATAACCGAAACTCTGAAGTTTGTTACAATACAAACTGTTTAAAAATCAGTTTAAAAATAATTAATCTATGGTTATTTAAAATTAATTAATCTATGGTTATTTAAAATTAATCAATCTATGGTTATTTAAAATTAATTAATCTATGGTTATTTAAAATAAATTAATCTATGGTTATTTAAAATTAATTAATCTATGGTTATTTAAAATTAATTAATCTATGGTTATTTAAAATTAATTAATCTATGGTTATTTAAAATAAATTAATCTATGGTTATTTAAAATTAATTAATCTATGGTTATTTAAGATTAATTAATCTATAGTTATTTAAAATTAATTAATCTATGGTTATTTAAAATTAATTAATCTATGGTTATTTAAAATTAATTAATCTATGGTTATTTAAAATTAATTAATCTATAGTTATTTAAAATTAATTAATCTATGGTTATTTAAAATTAATTAATCTATGGTTATTTAAAATTAATTAATCTATGGTTATTTAAAATTAATTAATCTATAGTTATTTAAAATTAATTAATCTATGGTTATTTAAAATTAATCTATGGTTATTTAAAATTAATTAATCTATGGTTATTTAAAATTAATTAATCTATGGTTATTTAAAATTAATTAATCTATGTTTATTTAAAATTAATTAATCTATGTTATTTAAAATTAATTAATCTATGGTTATTTAAAATTAATTAATCTATGGTTATTTAAAATTAATTAATCTATGGTTATTTAAAATTAATTAATCTATGTTTATTTAAAATTAATTAATCTATGTTATTTAAAATTAATTAATCTATGGTTATTTAAAATTAATTAATCTATGGTTATTTAAAATTAATTAATCTATGGTTATTTAAAATTAATTAATCTATGGTTATTTAAAATTAATCAATCTATGGTTATTTAAAATTAATTAATCTATGGTTATTTAAAATTAATTAATCTATAGTTATTTAAAAATAATTAATCTATGGTTATTTAAAATTAATTAATCTATAGTTATTTAAAATTAATCAATCTATGGTTATTTAAATGCTACATGGACCGTAGACTGTGATGTTATGAGTGGGCGAGCTGCCTGTAGCAAAATGGCCGCCATACACGGAGGTCGGTCTCCATTGGCTGACAGTGTGAGCGTAAGCCATCTAGCGTTTATATATCTATGTACATGAGAGCTGCCTTTTACCTGACAGACACGCCCCCCTGTTAGATCCCGCCCCCTGTCAGTCTGTGATGAGCTGAGGTTAAAAACTGAAACGGCAAAATAACGCTCACACCGTTTCCATGGCGACAGTAACAGAAGGATGGATGAGGTGATAGCTGGTCGTATATGAAGCTGATGTCAGCGCTCTGTTTAACTCTTTATTCTCTGACTTCCTCTCTGCGTCTGAACTTGATGAAAGCTCCTCCTCCTCCTCCTCCTCCTCGTTAGGCTCGTTAATCTGGTTCAGGATCCTCCATGTTTGTCAGTCTGATCAATGCTGTAATTAATTTGGGGGGTTTCCTTTGGGGCTTTAATTTCCTCTGAGCTGGTCCTCATCCACTCTGTGATGATGTTTTATTAGAGTCTCTGAAAAGCTGATTCAGGATCCCCCGCCTCCTCTGATCCGCTCTTCAGTTTGGGTCTTTTCTCTCCTTCTAATCTAATCTGTGATATTCCAGATTATCACCCTGTAACCTCCTTTTTTCACTCGTTTTACTGCTTCCTGGTGCATGTTGATTTTTCTCTTGTCTTCCTCTCTCCACATCTGTCCTCTCCTCTCTTCTCCCTCTTTTAGACCGGTCTGGTTCTGTGGGTTCAGGTGAACCTCTAGTCAATGCCATCAGGACTGACTCGGCTCTGATCGGAGGTACTGGACCTTCTTCATATCCTGGTTTGACTTTACTGCAAAAAATGAAACCTGCTTTTCCTCCTGATTGCTACTGGCTGCAGAAACCTGTCTGATTATTGTAATAATAATAATATATTTTATTTATAAAGTGCTTTTACAGTTTTTTAAAACACTTTTTAAAATACAGAACATTTTGGGAAATAAAACCAATAATGCAAGGTCAACTCCAGAGGGTGGGGGTGGCAGCGGAGAAGGCTCCGTCCCCCCACAAGTTCGTTTATTATATTATAATAAATTATACTATACTATAATTATACTAGTTGACATTTTCCCATGGACGTCATGGTGCAGGGTTGAACAACGGAGAAAAAGACCAAAAAAATGCAGACAGAAAAAAATGATTTATTAAAAGAATTAAATGAAGAAACAGCAAAAATTTTCTTCAAAATGTCCAAATAAAAAAATCAAACAAAAAAGGAAACAAGAGATTCACACGAGGACGAAGACTGAGACGCACAGTGAACCAGAACAAGGACAGAGAGAAGACAGGGACTGATGAGGGATTAACGAAGGAGGGAAAACTAGACTAGAAACACAAGGAATCAGCTCCTACAAAATAAAACAGGAAACACACTTAAATAATAAAACCAGGAGAAACTGAATTTAAAGAACAAATCATGAAAATCACAGAGAAACAAGTGAAAATAAAAGCACGAAAAAATACGGATTTCTGAGACAAAGTTTGACTCTCAGGGCTGATCGTGTGATTTATCATTAGTTTGATATTATGGATGATTAAATGTTAATTAATTTTGTTTATTAGTAAAGTTTATACCAGTCTGACAGTAACTACATGTCAACATCACAACCAGGGGGGAGAAACATTTATATTCTGTGTCATTCATTTATAAAGTTTGTCCACAGCTCCATAAGGAGGCGGGGTTTATGACCTATACTGCAGCCCGTCACCAGAGGGCGCTGTTCTCAGAGAGAGGAGGCAGACAGCGTCTATTCTATATACAGTCTGTGGTCACTCCTCACCTCTGAACAAAGTCGAGCGCTGACGTCCTGAAGTCCAATTAAACTCTTTTAAACTTCGTTTCTCTGCAGCAAAGACGGATTCAGAGAGAAAAGGTTCAATTTAAGATCCGATAGAAACGGAGAGACAGAGAAAAGAGTCATTTTAGAGTGAGAGGAGGGAACATCACCGGATTAAACATTAGAAAGACGGACTGAGGAGAAACCGTCTGCAGATGTAAAGTGCTTTTTAATAGATTTTAGTTTTATTTTGAAAGTCCAACGGCTCAACGGAGCAGAAAAGACTGAAAACGGGTCGAGTGTCCGAGGAGGTTAGAGCAGAGAGAAAATCTAAATGAAGGTCTGGACGATCGCAGATCCTCGCTCTGATTTCAAACCTTTCACATCCCACCTCTCCCTGCAGGTGTCATCGCCGTGGTCATCTTCGTGGTCGTGGCGGGCCTGGCAGTGACCGCCAGATTCCTCTACAGGAGGAAAGAGACGTATCGAAACCAGGAAGTGAAGGGGGTCAAACAGGAGGACAGTCAGGACTTCCCCTTTAACAACCAGACGGACTCCCAGAACCCCTCCAACGAAAACCCAAAGGAGTATTTTATTTAACCCGGTGACCCGCTGGACCTGGAGGGACTCGGAGCAGAGGCGGCGGACCGCTCATGTCCTGCCTCGCCTCAGGACTTCACGCTGCTCTCAGAGCCAATCAGAGACCTTCGCCGACTGATCAGAGGAAGTGAAGAGGACGGGTTCTGGTTCTGTTGGTTCCTGTAAATTGTAAATGTTGGACTCTGAGGTGTTGATATTCTGGTTTTAACTGTAAATATTCAAACTGTAAATGTCGGATTCGTGTCTTTGTAACGACCTCGGGCTGATGTCACTTTGTAATTTTGAAATAATTCTGGTTCTGGTCCTTTTTGACGGTCTGCGGTCCGGTCCGGTCCAAAGTAAAGACACTCTCTCCTGGTTTTTTCGGTTTCTTCTGATCTGGATCTGACCCTCAAAGGTTCGGTTTTTATGAGTGTATGTGACCCACACAGAGTCGACCAATGAAATTGAAGGTGTTTGAATCTCCTGGTGTTCATGTTTGTTTCCACCTCCTCGCTCTTAAAGGGATATTTCACTGTTTTAAAGTGAGGTGGGAGGAGTTAGACGTGTTTTAGGTCAGAAACTGTCAGGAGAAGTGAGGCGAGCATTTTAAAGTGACTCTCGCCACAGTCTGATGACCTTTGACCTTTGCATTTAATATCATTATCTTTGCACCGTTCGCAAAGACGCAGCAGCTTCACTCCAAAAACACTGAAATATCCCTTTAATGCAGCTGGAATCACTGTTAAAGGATCATGTGCAGTGACCCGTCTGTTTTTTTAATCCTCCTCGCCAAGATCATCTACGTCAACATGTCCCCGATCACAGAGCAGGAAGTCGTCAATCAGAGTTTCTGCAGATCGATGGATCTTGATGATCCTCCTCCTTTCAGCTTCCTCCAGGTTAAACTCACGTCTCCAAAACAATCGACAAACACGTCCAAGTCCGACTACAAGGAATGTGATTTTATTTAAGGAGTTAATCCACCGCAGACTGAAACGACCTTAATGTGAGCGCATCACAAAGTACGTCTCCAGTCTCTTTCGTTTAACGTTGGCGTCGGCAGCAGTGGCGGCGTCGGCGTCGGCCTCATTTATGACACTTTCTCTGCTTCAATCACAGCTACCGTGTCTTTAAAAGCCCGTCACTCACTTTGTTTTCTCCGGCTGTGCCCACTTAAAGGTTTTCTCCTTCCTGCGGTCGGCCTCCTGCTGGGAGCTTTTAACGCCGCCGCCATCGGCACAGACTCAAAGGCTACAGTCAGGCTGTCCGTCAGCTCCTTCTCTGCACACAGACAGTAAACGTGGTTTTTTAAAGACTCAGAAACGTACAGAGACTTTATCCATCGACGCCGATTCAAAGACTCAAACAAAGAGAATAAAGTCGGAGTGTCGTCAGCTGTTTGTCGGGTTTTAAGGACAGGAGACGATCAAACTCTGAGTTCGAGTCTTTGTTGATTTTCTTTTGTCGTTAACCAGCCGACTCTCTCTGCTGTGATTCTGTCTCTGGTGTTAACAAGCTCTCCACTGTGGACTGAGTCTCTGCAGCAGCTGTTCTCCATCCACTCCTAAACTGAGGAGAACGACAGAGTCACACCGCCGTCTGCACAACCACGAGGAACACACTTCATCACGTGATCCTCAGCTTTAGTAAATACTGCACTCATGAGACAGGTCCACAAAAACATCTCAGTCTAAGGTTTTACAAACAAAAATAAAAGAATCAGAATGCCTTTTATTGTCATTATGCGCAGTACAATGAGATTAAAGCTTCCCAGATCAGTGCAAAAACATTAGAAAAAATATAGAAAATATGAAACGAGATTAATATGAAGTATAAACAATGTAAACATGTGGACCTGAGATTCTTTTTACAGGATAATATGGTACAGATATGCATAAATGTAATATGTAACAGTATAAAATATAAAGTGCGCAAAAGACTTGATGATCCTGTTTTACAGCTAAAATACCCTGATCTATGAAAACTACAAACACTGATATCTTTGTAATAGTGAGTTCAGAAAACTTCACTTCCTGTTCCAAAAGAAGAATAAGTTATTCAGACTAAGGCCCTCCTCACACGAGGACGGCCCCGTATTGTCTTGGCGTCGGCACCAAAACATGTATCGCTGTTTACACATCGTATTGTACACAGGCTTAGTGCATTTACATGACAACGTAAAATCCATGCAAAATCAGGTTCGAATTGCCCACGACAACAAGTTTTGCACGCGTAACACGCTGCATCTCTGCATGAGCACTTGTTGCTGTTGTTGCCGTAGCTGGTGTTGTTGCTGTTCTAAATGTCGGTATAAAAGTCGTAGCAATATTTGTAGTTGCTGGAACAAGAACAAAATCACCCCAGCTACCGCCATTGTTGTTGTTGCATGAATACGAATACACAGATATCCACCTGCAGACCCGTTTCCAAAAAAGATGTGGAGTCATGGACGAATACGCGTCTCCGTGTGTCAATATCACCAGATCAATAGTTTATTTTACCGCTGTCTTACAAATTCGTACTCGTGTAAAGACCGCCTAAAACTGTGTCTGTATTAACATGTGAACAAGGCAGACATGCTTTTTAGAATGGGTGTGTATGTGGCTTCTGGTGCTTTTGGAGCCACCCTCTAGTGGACACTGATGGAACTGCAGTTTTTAAAACTTCAATCCACTTTATTTATAAAGCACATTTTAAAAAACTATCAAGTCCAACGATCTGCAGAGGAACGGAAAGGGGCCAGTGGAAATCAGCAGGTTAACTTGAATGGTTACGATCAGCTACGATCAGAAACACAACGATAGCTACGATACGTTTAAATTGTTAATCTGGAGTCTGAGCACAGATTAATACCCAGTCTGTGTGAAACTGATCAGAAAATCCAGATTACAGGTGTGACAGGAAGTCTAAATGACGTGTCTGAAAGAAACAGAAGAAGAAGAAGAGCCGTGACTTCAGCCTGTGGAGAGATTCTGAGGCAGCAAGTTGTCTTCGCCCCGCCTCATTACCACCCAGCATCCACACAGATGTTTGCTGCACTGCATTATGGGTAGATTGGAGTTAAATCTGCAGTTGAATTAATGTCACGGGGAGAGTCAATCAGCTGGGACCAAACTAGAGAGTCTGATCTTCAGGAAAACTCTGAACCTCACCATAAACTCGTTTTTTTCTCCGTCCTCCAGTCTGACGGTTTGATTTCTGACCATCAGCTCTGACGGAGGTTTAAATAATCCCAGCAGGGACCCTGGATCAGTCTCAGCTGAACCCTCTCCTGACCTCGGAGCTCGGAGTGTTTCCACAGGCTGAGAGGTTAAGTGGCTCTTAACGCTGAATCACTTTGACCTCCTGCGCTCCTGAACGCCTCTCAGCTTTGCACTTTTCCCTCGTCTGTGTCTGCTGGATGTGAACAGCTGTCTGAAGTGTCATGTGATCGAAGGTGACGAAACAGGTAACATGAGCGACAGTAAGGAGACGAAGAGTCAGTCTGAACATCAGGTCAGGACCGAACTGGACTTTAACGGTCTTCTTTCTACCAACTTTAACACGTGACTGTGAACTCTGATTTAAATGATCATCCAGGACAACATTTTCACGACTGCAGTTCAAGACCTTTGTTATTTACAACAGCACTGATCACCTCAAACCACAACCTTAACCCCCAATTTTCATTGCATCCTGATGGTCTCCTAAAAGGTCGTATCCTCCGATCGTAGCTGATCGTAACCATTCAAGTTAACGTGTCAATTTACACCGACTTCTTTCCGTTCCTCTGCGGATCGCCGGACTCCTCAGCTGATCACAAGAGTTCTATTTTTTCTAGACGCCGGAGCATGGCGGATAAATTCAGCACAGATTAACCCGTGCTGGAAAGGAAGTCGGGCACAGACACAAAATAAAACATCCGACGAAGAAGTGAAAGGTTTTTAGACGTCATTTCACCCCGATGACACCATGGATGAGGAGATGCTGATTCTAGAAGTCTAGAAGTAGATTTCCTCCTCTGGAAGGACACAATCTACTGCTTATATGTCTATGTGTCTGTCTTTAGAGAGACAACTCGTTATCGAGAGATTGAACGTGAATCTGCGGGTTCTTGTGAGTTCTCAGGATTTCTACTGTCTGTAATCCGCCATTAAATTCACCTCACAAGCAGATCCTGTGAAAATTGGGGGTCAGTTTCACACAGACTTGAAATTAATCAGTTTTCAGCTTCCAGATGAACACTTTAACGTATCACCCTGGAATCCCACAGGATCCGGAACGGCTCCCCTCTGCTTCAGACCAGCAGGCAGATCAGAACCGCAAGCATACAGCGCCGCCATCGGAGGAGAAGCGCTCAAGAGATTACCGATATTTCTCGCAACACTGGACGAGATCTTGCGTGTTTCCCCGGGAGTCATAGAATGAGATCCGTCGATCAGAGTCGCCCACATCTCCCAACCCTGACCTTCTACTATTATCAAGCTAAGAACAGTTCAACGAATTGACTTTATTTTATTTTGAAAATTAACCGGATATTTTACTCTGTAACCGCATGCACTGAATTGATGCACCGTGCTCCGGCAAAAATAGAGGCCTTGCGTATCCAGATGGTGAACGGATTCTGCAGAATCACTCACATTGATTATAATTCTTACCTATTCGATCGGAGCGGAGCCGTTCGGGATCCTGTGGGTTTTACCTGTCGACGCTTGTTTTTAGCTTTAGTCTGCTGCTGGAAACCTTTTTACTGTAATGACTGAAACAAAGTTTGTTAGTTTGTTATCATCCTGAAGAGTAAAGTTAAAAAGTTCACGCTCAGTCAGTGTTTTCCACTAACAGAATAAAAAGTTTCCTCCCTGTTAAACTCACTTTTTAATCACTCTAAAGTTTCTGTTATAAAGTTTCCTCCTGCCCACATTGCTGAAACTTTGGCAGTAAGTTGCTGTAAAGGTGTGTCGGGGTGATGTCGAGTGTTCATTAGTGAAGCTGAAGCCGTTTTAAAGAGCGGACTGTCAGGGCAATAATCCCACTAACTGACACCTGTATCACCCACTATTTTCCACCCAATTTGGAGTCCCCTGGAGAAAAGCCGGCTGCCCCCACGGAGGTCAGTTTTGGAGCGGAGGGAATCATTAGTGCTTCTCCTGGTCCCGCTGTCTGAATGGACACAACAGCCACTGAGAAATATCACACAACGTATCTCACGATTTATTCCAGCAGGAAAATGTCTGCAGGTGATGAATTAAACATAACAGCAGGTTCAAAAATAAATATATTAGTGCTTACACTGGGGAGCATGAATTATGGATTTGCAAATAGATCTATTTAAACCTAGATAGCTTTTCTCTGCTGCTGCTGCTGTGTTTGTGTCTTCACACGGCGCTGACGGCGATAGTTTAATTTCCCCGTCGGGCGGATTCGGCCGGGATGTTGAAATGAGCTTTTAGCGAGCAGAGCCGAATCTGCAGGAAGCGTTTGTGAAGAAAAGGCCGAGCTGAGTGGAAGAGTGTGTGTTCGCCTCAAACCAAACAAGCTGACAACATTCGTCACATCCTGTCAGCGGCTGATCCTGACTGACATCAGTCCTGGAAATAACGCTAATGAAAAATGACGGGAGTAAAACCGGCAGTGACTGCAGGCGGCGGCGAGTTAGAGAAGAGGGAGCGGAGGATGGGTTTTATCGAACATCCATCAGTCGGTCTTTGTGAGGCGCTGATTCACCAGAAACCCCGCCTCCTTGAGTGTGCACTACAACTTCAGGGTTAACTTCGTGTTGTCGGAGCTGCACAGGTGCTCCACTTCTCCAGGAGCAGGTTATGTTCAGGATAAGTTTGGCGATAACCCCGCCTCCTGACCAGGTGTTTGCCTGATTTTTGGTTTGGGTCACTCTCAGGTGTCCAGGCACAGCGCCAGCTTGTGGACAAACATGTCTCTAACTTTTATATACACTATTTCATCTGTTTCACATTAGCAGCTCCACCTACTGGTTTAAAGCAGTACTGTTGTGTCCTCTAACAGCAGCGATTTTCACCGTCTGCCAATTCCTACCAGATCACGCCCGTTTGCATCGATGAAATCTACTTTATAAGTGGCGAGCCAGCCAGGAGTCAGCCAGAACAATGGCGAATTCTGCCGTCCGTCAATTCCTACCTGATCTGTTTGTGAGGCAAATTTCGTGGTGGACTACAGACAGCAGGAACTACGATTTACAGTTCTTTGTTGAAAGGACAACACGACTTACTGGAGAGTGTTACCCCCAATTTCCACCATATCCTGATCGGCTCCGATCCGGAACGGCACTGATTTCCCCCTCCACCAATTCCTACCGGTGTAAATTGACACGTTAACTTGAATGGTTACGATCAGCTACGATCGGAGGATACGACCTTTTAGGAGACGATCAGGATGAAGGTGGAAGTTGGGGGTGAGGAGCGTGCCGACGGATGCAGAGGTGGAAAAACACCCAAACGAACTCGGCGTTCTCTCCAGAAGAACCACAGACCTGACTCTGGTGAAGAAGCACCTGCTGAATGTTTGATGATTTCAGACTCTGATCGGAAACTTCTGAAGCAGGACCCAGACTGTAAACGAGGAAATTCGGACGTTTATTTAAGCAGGAAAAAAACACCGTCTGAACACGATCGCTGGATCCCGGGTAAGTCTCTTTATCCTCACATTTTTGGAGTTAGCTTACCCACATCGAGCTCACGCTGATTGCAAAGATTTAAGTTTTGTTTATTTCAGTTTTAAAATGATCGTCGTATTTTAAAGTGTAAAAGTTTTCTCATCAGTATTTCAGTCTTTTTATTATTAGAGAAATAAAAGTCCGAATGATCTTTCAAACACTCAGTTATCAACCGGTAAACGTCCCAATAACTCGTCTCAAGTCTCGCCTTTTGAAAACCAAATTAAATTTCAGAGTAATCTAATCGCTCGTTTCCGATCTCCTGAGCTCGGCATGTTTACCCGGACTGAAAATTGGGTCTTAGCTGAATTGATCAGGATCACTTCAAGCTGCTCAGATTTATTTGCTCTCACAGCAGCAGCTGAAGGTTTTTCTACAAACACTCCCGAACGTGGATTAAGAAAAAGAGATGACATGATAACGTTGATTTTATTGTGGTAAATTAAATGTGAGGTATTTCCTGTGGGGGAGGGTGTCTCTGCTGATTAAAGTCAGACAAAAACTGGTCAGTGTAAGGGCCTGTGTCCACTGACAGCAGTTTTTCTGCTGCTCACCTGGGCCACTAAAGTCGTCAGCAGCACTTTTACTGATTTAAGTGAAGTCAGGACAGGAAGTGAGTCTGTGAATCCGGTGGAAAGAACAAAACTAAGATCTGCACCTGAAGACAGGCCCTGACTCTACAAACAGAAGCTGTCAGTGGACACAGGCCCTGAAGCAGAGGTGGACTGGTTTCCACCGGAGAGAGGGAAATGGTTTATAAAAAAGATTTAATTAATGTGATTTTTCAGTTTTGATACAAAAACTGTATTTTCAGTGGGTGAAGGGAGTCCAGCTTCACGGACTCAGAGACCGGTTTCAGAACCAGATACTCCAAGTTGAGAATTATTGATCTGTTTCAGTCAGACCTTTAAATCAATAGTGACAGACCTGCTGCAGTACACATGACTCCACACCCACTCAGAGACACTTTCACTCCAAGTTTTAAAAATACATATCGACGAGCCCGAGGCCATCTGACAGTTTCCTCCTCGTTGTGAAACCTCCTCCAGGATCAGGTCTCTGCTCTTTCCTTTACCGGGACAGGATCTGGATTCTTGTGAAGTGAGCTGAACAGTTTCTCCTCTCTGGACCTGATCGAGGTTTGAACAGGATTGTTGAAACGACAAACTGAAATCTGTCGAAGCTCCGACCTCCTGAAAAATAAAAACACAATAAGAACTAAAACCCTAACACTGACATGAGTGAATATTCTCGTTATATCTGATTTAATTTCACATCATCAGTTCAGTATGTTTACCTTTTAGGTCCAGAAATAAATCCCACAGATGTGACTCAGCTCTGTGGATTCTTCTGTTTCTTTTCAGACACTGCGGTGGCGTGCTGCTGCCCCCTGCTGTCTGATGTTACCACTTCATCCTCTTATATCCTCTGATGGTGTGAAGAAGTTCCAGCTTTTATTTTTGGTTTCCTCCTGCAGTTTCTGTCTCTACACCAGATCAGTATAGATGTTTCCTGTGCTCGGTGTAGATGCTGCACTGCAGGACGTGTTTTAGCTTCAACTCCATCAGGATCGTTTGAACACGCTTTTATTTTGAAGGAGGGCCGAGCGATTTGAAATAAAAATATGTAATTCTGCCAAAAATTATAATGCATTAAAATCAATATTTGTATCAATTATTTACATGGTTAAGGCTTTTATTTCTTTATCAAAAATATTTAACTTTGCACCTCATTCTTGGAAATATACCATATTCTGTGTTTTTCCCATTAAAAAAAATCAGGGAATTTCATGGCAAAAAAAAAACATAAAAACCTTTAAAAAAAAAATTAAAATTAACATATTAGTTTAGTTTAGTTTTTTCGAACATGTGCGTGCAATACAAGAGAGTAAACTGAAAACAAACAAACAAAAATTAGTGAGAATATTCAAAATAACAAGAACAATAATAAAGGCAAAAAAAGGACAAATGAAAAAATAATTAATTAATAAAAAATACCAATAATAGTAATGTGAACCCAACATATCCAAAAAGGAGTACGAGTCAACCTAAGCCTTTCTCCTCTCCCTAATTAAAGAGTCAGTCTCCAGAATATTTACATTATATTAACATAAAATAAAAAAATAAGAGAGAACATAAATAGTGTAAGTACATTAATACATTACATTACATTACATAAATAAGTACATTAATCGTTTATGAAAACACCACATCATCAAACGTGCAAACAGGACCTAAAAGAGGATTTATTTAAAAAAAAAATAATAAAATAAAAAAAACAACAAAAACTTTTAAAATGTCCAAAAAAAAAAAAAAAAAAAAAAAAACAGCCACAGACACAAGAAGACAAGGGACGCAAAGATCAGGGAACACGTGGAACAGACACACACACACAACGAGCAACAGGTGAGACGGACATATCAATAGCTGCGTCCGAATTGCCGAGTAGTAGTCGAAGTAGTAGTCGAAGTAGTATCTAGCATGTCCGAATTGGCCACCGGAGCGAGTAGCATGCTACTTCAGATACTACTTCAGATGCTAGACACGCCCACATTGTAGGTTGGTCTCGGTGCATCCTACGGGCATGCTACTGACCCAAAATGCACCGCGGGCTTCTTCTTCGTCCTCTTAAAAGTTGTAGAAGCGCATGTGATGCTAGCGCCACCAGCTGCTCTGCCTATTTAAAAGTGTCGCGAACGCCGGCTGGCCACAGCAGCGCGCACCATGTCGGAGCAGCAGCAGCAGCAGGCGGGACCGAAGCAGTACAGATGTAAGTTTCATGTAACTTCACACACTGTCCTAAAAAATGTGCGGTTGTATCTCTTTGTCATGTCATGGTGTCATATTTGCCCAAGTAATCATTTTATGAGCAAGTGGCGACATCATGGAGGTAAAGCTCACTTATTCCATCATTAAACTGCACAGCTGCAGTACTACAGCCAGGCCCGCAGATGAGGGGCTTCAGTTACCACTGTCTGCACGGGCGCAGTACCTACTCTCTGCCTGCGGGGGTCGTCTTTCCCCACCGCTCGTCTAGTGTGTCCGAATTGGGCCAACGTTTTTAGTATGTAGAAGTAGGATCTAGCAGTAGCACGTAGCAGTAGCATGTAGTATCCGAGCGGGCAGTTCGGACGCAGCAACTGACACACGTTAACCACTCATGAGACTCACACAGGTGAGACTGATGAGTGATAAACAAAGGAGGGAAAACTAGGGAAGTGAAACCAGACTAGAAACACAAGGAATCAACTCCTACAAAATAAAACAGGAAATAAACACTGAAAACCTATCTAAAGAATAAAACAGAGAACAGAGTCTAACTGAGAACTCACAAGACGGGACTACAGGGGAACAGGAACACAAAATACACCAGAACATATCACGACATAAAGTACTTAAGAGTCATTTTAGAAGAAGTCTGTACCTCCAGGAAACATTTTAAATCGAGTTTTTAAGAATCATTAGAAAATGTCTGTGATTGAACAGACCTTCACTCTTTCATACCCAGTCCTCTGACCTCTCCATCAGGATGGAAGACGGATCTAAAAGAGAAATCAACATTTTTAAACCTCTGAATTTGATCTTTGAAGCTGGTTGGTGGTCAAGGCCGTGAGAGAAAGAGGAAGAAAGAGGAAGAAAGAGGAAGAAAGTAAATGCTGAATGAGATCTGAGATGAAGAGGAGCTAATGAAGAGAGAGCTGGTGAGAGAGAAACCGTCTTCAGTTTCTGACTCCACCTCAAGGACTTCCTCTGAAGGAGCAGCTCCTGTGATTCATAAAAACATCTCAGCTTTTGTCTCTCTCTCTCTCTCTCTCTCTCTCTCTCTCTCTCTCTCTCTCTCTCTCTCTCTTTCTCCTTTTTCAGGCTGTTTCTGTGTCTTCGTCGTTCAGAGGCCATCGCTGAAAGGAGAGCAGGTTTACTCAAGTCTTCAGAAAACCTAGAAAATCCTGGAGCCACTTTAGTTTCTCATTGACAGATTTTACTTGAGCGTTTGTTTGTGAGGAAGGACCTGTTGGTTCTTCTTCTTCTTCTTCTCGCTCTTCTCTAACTTCTCAGACGCTCGTTTGGGCCTCACTCCTAATTAGCTTGTTCCCACATCACACTGCGGCGACGCTCGGCAGACACATGCTCGCCAGATGGAAGTGTGAGGCAGTGTTTTAAAACTTCAGAGCTGAATGTCTCATCAGAGGACCATGAAACAGATTTCATATGCAAATCAGAGCGACACACGCTGCTCGGAGAAATTAAAAGTTTCAGACGGAGGCGGAGGAGGATCGCTCTGACTCGGCTGGAGTCCGCTGAGAGACTCCTCATGTGTGGAAATGAGAATGTGAGACGCTCTTTCAGGACACAAACACAAGGACGAACAAGATGTGGTCTGGACAGCCGGGGGACGAATGAATCTCTACAACACGGCGATCTCCTGCGGCGTTTATCCTCCGCCTGACCTGAGCTAACACGGGTCAGCAGACCAGATTGTTTCGTGGTCACGGGGAGCGGGAAATAAAGCGAGCTGAGGCTCTGCAGACGACTGTCGGAGACGCTAATTGGTTTTTCTGCCCGGGGTGAAAAAGAGAGCGGCGTGTGGGCCGGAGCTGAAGGTGATTGGCAGGTGGAGCCGGGGGGCCGACACAGGTCTGGGAGGTGGACCAGGTCTGAGGCCAGAGGGGCAGCCTGGGTCTGAAGACACTTCAGTCTGGACTTCTTTGGTGACGGGTTGGTTCTGTTCATTAAACTCAGGAACTTTAGTTTGGAGTTTAACTGAAACAACAGCCGGACCTTTAAGACTCAGTCTGACTGAGGTCCTGGACTTGATAGTTCTTTTCAAAGGATGGGAGGGGAAGGTCCCGCCTCCTTCTCCTCTGATTGGCTAGAAGTGCTGGGCTCTGATTGGTTATTCCTGATGGCTGTGAAACGTCAGCGTCTGTTGGATTAGGGTTAGGATTAGGGTTAGGTTTAGGGTTAGGGTTAGAGTTAGGATTACAGTTAGGATTAGGGTTAGGTTTAAGGTAAGGATTAGGGTTGGGGTTAGGATTAGGATTAGAGTTAAGATTAGGGTTAGGATTAGGGTTAGGGTTAAGATTAGGGTTAGGATTAGGATGAGGGTTAGGGTTAGGATTAGGACAAGGGTTAGAATAAGGGTAAAGGTTTGGGTTTAGGGTTAGGGTTAGGATGAGGGTTAGGGTTAAGATTAGGGTTAGGTTTAGGGTTAGGATTAGGATAAGGGTTAGGATTAGGATGAGGGTTAGGATGAGGGTTAGGGTTAGGATGAGGGTTAGGGTTAAGATTAGGGTTAGGATTAGGATGAGGGTAACAATTAGGATGAGGGTTAGGGTTAGGATTAGGATGAGGGTTAGGGCTCGGGTTAGGTTTAAGGTAAGGATTAGGGTTGGGGTTAGGATTAGGATTAGGGTTAAGATTAGGATGAGGGCTAGGATAACTGTAAAGGTTTGGGTTTGGGATTAGGATTGGGATGAGGGTTAGGGTTAGGGTTAGGATAAGGGTTAGGGCTCGGGTTAGGTTTAGGTTTAGGATTAGGTTTGGGAGATTCAGAATTGCGATAATGTTCTGTAATGATGGGTTTAAGGTTAGGGCTCCATCTTCTTGTTTCTCCAAAATGCCCAGCAGCAGTTGTAGACACTTCTGACGTCTGACACTGACCTGCTGTTGTTGTTGACGGTTGTATGGGGTCGGAAACAGCGCCGCTGAAAAGACCCATATCGCCCCCTAGTGTTGGAGAGGAGGACACGTTCACGTCAATAATTCGATTTTCTCAGCTGCATGTAAACGAGGACGAGGAGAGAAGTCTGATTCAGAGAAAAAAAAAGAAATGATGATCTTAGTCTGATTAAACTGTGCATGTAAACACACTGAGTGTTGAACCTCCAGGACATGTTGATCCTATCACCTTTTCTTACCCCAATATTCCTTTTTTTAATAAAGTAAATAAACTTTAACAAACAACAAAAGCAGCTCGACTTTCACCAACATTTGATCAGGATGTTTCCTCAGGCTGAAACCTGACCTCTCTGCTTACACTGAAGGATGTGTGACGATGATGATGATGATGATCATGATGATGATGATGATGATGTTATTATTCTGCATAGTTATGAAATGGTTTATGTAAATCAGAGACCGCTACCACATTTATAATAAATCGACAGTTTTGTTTGTGGAGGTAATAAGGAGAAAAACCTCTGAGCTGTTTGTGTTTGTGAGACATAAAGTGAGAATCTAGAGCTGTGTGTGTTTTTGTGCTGTCTGTGCACTACAGCTCGAGATTTATCTGAAGTCTCGGCTTTAGTGAGCTGTTTTACATAAAGGCGTCGATTAGACACCTACGGTTAAAGCAGGGACAGACTCAGACGGACGGACGGACGGAGGTGAACTCGGAGCAGACGCAGAGGGGTTTGTGACAGACTGTTTCTCCCTGCCTGGCTGCTTTAATGACAGGCAGAAAAAACTCGTTCAGCAGGACGAACAAATCACTGAGACCAGCCTCAGCGGGCCTCCACTATCACACACACACACACAGTATCACTGCTCCCTGCTGGAAAATCCATGACTCTGCTGGGGTCCTGGTTCTGGACTGCGAGAGCCCACATATGAAAACTAAAGGGTTCCATCAGGGAGGATTCATGAGTCCAGGATCAGCTGCTCGTTCTTCTCTATCACAGACACTTTTTGATTTCTTCTCTTTTATGTGATTTTGGACCGGACCACTTTGTCCCAGTTTGAAGCTTCACTGCAGGAATGATGAAGAGCGTCACACTTCTGCTGCTGTAGTCCTCCTCACCCTCAAAGCCTCTGTGAACCACTTTAATGTTTTCTATGATTAAAACTGTGAATGTGAACAGACCTCAGACAAACGTAGCTTCAACATCGTGAGTGTTTGAAACAACACAACCTTTAAAAAAATCGTTATTAAAAAAGTAAAGAGAACGAAAAAGGACCAAGAATGGATCCTTGAGGAACACCGCAGTGAAAATATGCAGCAGAGTGAAAACAGCAGGTAAAGGGATATTCCAGCGTAAAAGTCATAACATTTATGATGAGTTCCTTGAAGTAATAATCACCATATTAATCATTTTCAGACGCAGTAGTTCTTCTGTCATAGCGTTTTGGTCTGATTGTATTTCCATGAAGAAATGATCATAAATGTTCTTCCTTGAGCTACGGCACCCCGCTGTAGTCTGTAATGGACTGGCCAGAGGTCTCGCCACAAACAAGTGGCTGCTGGAAGAGAGTAGGTGAGTTGTGTTTAGTCTCTTTGCTAAAGTTAAAAAGATGTTTGGTGTCTAGTACTATGGCTGTGACCCTATTTGAACTAACCTCAGTAGAACACGGTGTAGTTCTGTTTAGTAACAGAACCTCATTGGAAAATTAGCTGATTTAACTTTACTGTGCTCTTGTTCAAATATATTAACTCAACAGCACATAAATCCATACCTGTTAACAAAATCATGATTTTATTGATAATTCGGCTCAATAATAAAAACACCTTTACCTTTTCATTTTACTGCAGTAGAAGTTTATTGGCCCAGCTTAAAGACTACAGGCCAGAGTTTAAGTTTATGTTTTCTTAGGAGTTAGAACAACTCTGAATATAGTACTATGGCTGTGACCCTATATGTCCTGTTGATGAAGTTAGGTGCTGTTCTGAGCATTATTTGTGGCTATAGAGTGGCGTTTTGGTTGGGGGCGTGGCTCTCTGTATTTCTATCCTGCGGTCGTTACTAAAGTTGGTATAACTAGAGAAGGAAGCGGTCGACAACATTCATCTCTGGAGGGGGGGTCTAACTCGGTGTTTGAAGTTGAGTTTTTCAGTCTCATCAGTTATAAAAGAAGCTGAATGTGGGAGAGCTATTTCTAAATGTTGGTTCATCTTATCTCGGGAACACAAGTCAGTGACTGCACCAGGATCTGTTTGGTTTGGCATTTAACTAAATGAGGATGACTGATCGGATTAATAATTCATCTGGTTTGGGCAAAAATATACAGAGAAAAAAAATGTTGTGGCAGGATTATCGATTTAGGAGGGAAATACCAAAATAAACAGGTGAAGGTTTAGAAAACTCAGATTACCCCATTATTCCTGCGATATGATTATTACCTGCATTTCCCACAGGGCGTGTGCTTCATCCAACCCTAGTTTCCTATTGGCTAAGAGATGTTTTTGGGGTCCAAAGTCTGTCATTGGTAGACTTTGACTTTATCCCTGCCCTGTAAACTGACGACATCAGCGCAGGATCTGAAGAGGCTTGAATTTGGATCGTCCCTTAAACTCAACGTGAGTCTCATTTCTTATTTTTAGAAAAACAAGTGAGAGAAAGATGTGTGTGTGCAGCATGTTGTCAGGTGTAAAACCAAAGTCCGAAGGAGGACAAAGCCAAAAAAAACCAAACAGAACCCTGTTGCCACATAGAGTGTCTGATGAGGGTGGGGGCAGGAACTCCCTGGTCCGGCTAAACCCCACCTGCCAACAACCTGCAACAAAACAAGAAAAAACAGGAAAAAGGAAGAGGCAGCAAGTCCTGACTAGGCCTTACCCCAAATTTCCACCGTGTCCTGAACAGCGGCTGCCAATTCCAGGCGGGTCTGTTTGTGAGGCAGGATATGACCTTTTGTAGCCGATCTGGACGCGGGGGAAACTGGGGGTAACCCGATCGTAGCTGATCGTAACCATTCAAGTTAACGTGTCAATTTACACCGACTTCTTTCCGTTCCTCTGCGGATCGCCGGACTCCTCAGCTGATCACAAGAGTTCTATTTTTTCTGGACGCCGGAGCATGGCGGATAAATTCAGCACAGATTAACCCGTGCTGGAAAGGAAGTCGGGCACAGACACAAAATAAAACATCCGGCTTCTTTTCAAAATAAAACACTCCGTGTTTCAGGAGGATCGTATTTCACACCATGCAAACGGGCGGAGACGAACAAGTGAAAGGTTTTTAGACGTCATTTCACCCCGATGACACCATGGATGAGGAGATGCTGATTCTAGAAGTCTAGAAGTAGATTTCCTCCTCTGGAAGGACACAATCTACTGCTTATATGTCTATGTGTCTGTCTTTAGAGAGACAACTCGTTATCACGTGATTGCATGTGAATCTGCGGGTTCTTGTGAGTTCTCGTGATTCCTACTGTCAGTAATCCGCCACGAAATTCGCCTCAAAAACGGATCCGGTGCTTGGGTTAGTCTACATTGCAGACTTGGTCCCATCTGCAGAAATTGTGGCAACCCCCCAAAAAATACTGAAATATCCCTTTAAACTTTGTAGTGAAATCAGTTTCATTCTTTCATTCAACTTTTTTGCTGTTTTTACTGATAAATTAAAATGTCTTTATTTGGATCAACTCAGTGTGTGAATTTGTAATGAAGTACTTTTCCGTCTACGAGCAGATGTCCTCTCAGGTCCAACTGAAGCTGCTGCCCAGTGCCAGGTGTTTGTTTGATGACCCCGTCCAGGTGAAGGTGGCCGGACTGAGGTCCAGACAGGTGGTCACCATGAGAGCCAGATCTACTGACGACAAAGGAGTGGTCTTCAGCTCCTCGGCGACCTACAGAGCGGACAGAAACGGGGAGTATAAAAACCACAAAATAAAAAGATGCTTCTTTAACAGATTCCTGTCTACTTCACCTTTAAGTCGGTTTTCTTCTCGTGGACCAGACTTCTTTCCTTAGACTAGAGATCAGCTGGACTCTGTCACATGAACACTGAGTTCTTGTTGCTGATGTGGATCTGTGTGAGTCTGAGTGTGTTTGTTTTTTGCTGCCATTCTTGAAAAAGAGATTGATGATCTCAACAGGACTAGTCTGGTTACATCAAATCAAAAAGACACACAACCTCCTCCTGTCTTTGTCCTCTACAGAAAACCTGATCCAGCTGCAGGACTCACATCTGGGACATGTAAGACCACATGGATCCATGACCCAGACGGAGCGGTAACATGACATCCAGCAGAAACAGACACAATAAAGACAAACAGACGAGGTGATTTCAGTGACTCAGTTTGAGGATTTTTATGATTTTTTTACCCACAATCAGAGACTTGACCACAATCTGAGCTGAGTCAGAAACATCCAAACAGTCGGACTAATAAATGTGATTATTATTATTAGAGTGATTGAAAAGCTCATAACAACATGTAGATCTGTCCAAAGTCTGATTCTAGATGTCTTTACAAACACACTGATCCAACAGAAGCAGACAGAAATATCCATCGATCACATGAACACAAATATTCAGCAAACAGAGAAAGAAACAGATCATCTGAAGAGTTTTTGGGGACGACTGGAAAGACTTTAGACGCTTGGATTTGGGACAGGAAATAAGGTCGTCCTTTTTCTGTGATTTTGACCTCACTTTTTTCTAAAGTCTCAGACCTTCAACATCTGCACCAACTGAAGGTGATTTGAACAAACCATCATCTTGATGTTGTTGATATCAAACTGTATGAAGATTTTTCAACATGAGAAATACAAACAATCAAAGTTCTCCACAATCACTGTCCTTAAAGCTGCGACCAAATCAGCATCTTTAGAAAAGAATCAAAAAGCTGAAATGAAGAACTAAACCCAGAGTTTTTGGTGAGACTGATCCACAAACATTTACAAACCAGAACATTTCAAGAGTTCAAGGATCTCAGTCCATGATTTTGGTCTGATGGACTCAAAATTCTCTTTATTTCAGTTTAATAAACCCAGCAGAGGCTCCAACAGACCAGTCAAACTTCAGTCCAGCATGTAGAGGTTCAGTGAATGTGGTCTGGACTCTGTGGAGGAGAGTCATGGTTTTAGAGACGCTGTAGAAGGACAGAATACCTGCGCTGTGATCCAGGTACACTCCTACTCTGGAGGACTGAGGACCTGAGACATCAGTGAAGACTTTGTTGTGACCAAATCTATACCTGTCTTTATCACACTCTAACCTCCAAGATTTGTCATTTCCTCCAAAGTAACAATCCTCTGACCACCCGTCTCTCCTGATAGTCTTGTATGCGACTGCTACACCAACCCAGGTCCCTCTCCAGTCCACCTCCCAGTAACAACGTCCAGTCAGACTCTCTCTACTCAGGACCTGAGGATAATAAGTGAATCTGTCTGGATGATCAGGATAAGACTCTTCTTCTTCTTCTTCTTCTGTCTTTGTTGCTCTTCTGTTTCCATCAGATAATCTCAGTCGTCTGTTCGCTGTGTTTGGATCCAGTGTGATTCTTTGTGAATATCTTAAGAAACCAGCTCTGGTCTTGGGTTCTGCTGGTCCTGGTGGTTCTAACAGTAAAACATCCACTTCAGTCACGGCCTGTGAGACGTTTGTCCACGTCTCTGTCAGAAGATCCTGGAGTTTCTCTCTGAGCTCTGACACAGCTGCTGTCACCTCCTCAAAGTATCTCAGAGGTCGGATGTTGATTCTGGATGAGTCTGCAGGTTGACCCGGTTCTGACAGTGAGGGGTAGCTGTGCAGAAACTGGTTGTGGTCCTCTGTGAGTGAGAGCTTCTGCAGATCAGCGTCTTTCCTCTTCAGCTCAGTGATCTCCTGCTCCATCTTCTCCTGAAGCTCTTTGACTCGACTCACTTCACGTTCCTGCTGGGATCTGACCTGCTGCTCCACCTCAGAGCGGCGTTTCTCCATCAGACGGATCAGCTGGCTGAAGATCTCCTGGCTGTGGTCCACAGCTTTATCAGCAGAGCCGTTGATAGCCTCCACCTCCTGTTGGAGCAGCTTCACATCTTCTTCTCTGTCCTGGATTCTCTGCTGGATGTTTTCTCGACTCTCCTCCAGATCTTTCTGCCTCTCAGTCCTTTCTGCTGCAGCTGAGACTGTGTCGTGACCTTTGTGTTGGTCCAAACGGCAGAGATGACAGATGGACTTCTGATCAGTGCGGCAGAAGATCTTCATCACCTCATCATGACGAGAGCAGATGTTCTCCTGGAGCGTCTTGGAGGGCTCCACCAGCTTGTGTTTCTTAAATGAAGGAGATTCAAAATGAGGCTGGAGGTGAATCTGACAGTAAGAAACCAGACATTGAAGACAGGACTTGACAGCTTTCAGTTTTCTCCCACTGCAGACGTCACAGGCCACATCTTCAGGTCCAGCCTCAGAGGAACCATCAGGAGCAGCTTGGAGTCCGCTCTTCTTCACTTCCTCCACTAAAACTGCTAACATGGTGTTTTTCTTCAGGACAGGCCTCGGTATGAAGGTCTCTCTGCACTGAGGACAGCTGTAGATCATCCTCTCATCCTCAGTATCCCAGTAGGATTGAATACAGCTCATGCAGAAGCTGTGTCCACAGGAGACAGTCACCGGATCCTTCAGAAGATCCAAACAGATGGAACAAGAGAAAGACTCACAGTCCAGATGAACTCCTTTCTGCGCCATTTCAACACTCGCTGTCGACGACGACTGACTGAGTTTTATTTCCTGAGAAGTGAAACTAGTCTGAGCTCTGATCTCAACAACATGTGAGTCAACAGGATATGACCTCAGCACACGGAGGTTACACCCAACCAAGACTGTAGATCTGAAGGGGAGGGAGGAAGGAAGGGGAGGGAACAAGGAAGTGAGAGTGCAGAGTGGAGTGAGCTGAGAGAGACGAGGGAGGGGGGGATCCAGTTTGTCTACAATCCAGGACGAGGAGCGTCTCTGTGAACTTTAGACTCTCAAACTCCAACAAGCAGAAGTTCTTAAAGCTGCAGCCGTCCTGAAGATCAACTGAACCAACATTTATTCACCTCATAGAAACCTCATCGAGCAGAAACACACTTCAACTGTTTTAGAGCCACAGAGTTAAAGAGACAACACAGAGAAACACTCTCTCTCTCTCTCTCTCTCTCTCTCTCTCTCTCTCTCTCTCCTCAAGCCCCGCCCACTAACAGACGCTCCTGCTCGCTCGTATCGTTCCAGTTAAATTCAGATATAATGCAGATAAATACTTCAGATCATTACAAATGGGGCCCAGTCAAGGTGAAAGTCAAAAGCATTGGTGCTACTGTAGATGCCAACAGACTACCAGCAAACACAATGTTTGCAGGACTTCTACAACGAGGATAAAGTGACATAGTCCAGGACCCGAGGGAGGACAGTTTAGCGATGGCGCTACAACACGCTACAGCAGGTCCGTTTGACAAGAAACACTTCTGTTACAGACACTTGTCTTACTTTGTTAAAGCGGTTTACCTGTCCAGCAGAAAGGTTACAGGGTCACCAAGATCCCCAAGCGTCCCCCATCGTTTATGTTGACCCGGCTTTTTAGCTCTTGTCCGGTCTACCTCCGTTTTAAGCGCCCGTTATTCCTCCAGAGTCTCCGGTATTTACTTTGTTTTCTTGCTTGTGTCGGCAGTCGTGGCCAAAGGAGGATTCAGACAATTTTCCGAACTTTCTGGTTGGTTTCTACTGTCCGATATTGTAGCACGCTAACTTTGTTTGGGCTCCTGAACGACACGGGGGAGCAGCGTCTGCCTCACAACCAATCAGGTTAGAGGAGGTGGAGAACGGCTTTGTTTACAGTCAGAAAGAGCGGACCGCTCAAAAATGTTCAAATGTTGACGACACAGACAGAAGAGAACACAGAGATATCGATATATTACCAAATGTCATCAATAACTAATAACTATTGACTGATATTAAAAGATTTATTGTATAAACACCACAAAAAAGGCTTCTTTAACAGATTCCTGCCTTCTCCACCTTTAAGTCTTTATTTTAACTTGTTTTACTTTTATAAAATCTCTTTAAACCTCCAGATTTCCAACCTCGGATGTTTGGATTTGTTTCTTTTTAGTATAACAGCTCTGATAAGGTCTAAATTGATCCTTTATGCTTGTACCTTTTTCACAGCATGATCATTTTAAAGGTGAATAAATCTGTTAAATATATATATATATATTGGCTGTATTTCGATGATGTTTGTTATTATAATTTTAGGCACATATGGGAGAAAACAAACGTTCTTTCTACATGTGGAACAGTTTCTATTGGTCACAGCAGACATGTGACTGTGAATCTAGATGTTATCTACAGCAGCTGAAGCAGCCGAGGGTCCAAAGTGTCGACAGAGAGGAACAGTTTTTATTTCCATGTTCACTGAATGTTATAGAGGGAGGGCAGCATTCTTCCTGTGACTGACGGTGAGTAGAAAGTATTCTCTGAGTATGATCAATAATTTCATACAAACAAATAAATACCGTACTTAGCAGTAAACACTCTTCCTAATCTTGAAGTTTAAGTGTAGCCGCAGCAGATTACGATCAAGGTGGACTATGTGAAGCATTTATAAATAAGTCTAAAAACACTTTACTCTGTCTGTATTTGGTTTGAAGTCACAGTTACAGCTTTAGTTTGAGAGTACATGACGAAAACAAACAGTGAAAAACAGTCGAAATGAAGAGTCCAACTGTTTATTTATCATGGAACAAAAAAAACAGAGGAAAAAGGACTCAAAAGCAGAACGAAGGATTTAATTAAAAAGAACAAAATGTAAAAAAAAAAAAATTTAAAACGTTCTTCAAAATGTCAAAAAACTGAAAAATCCAAGAAGTACTGCGAAAACAAACAAAAAAAAACAGGGAGAAAAGGGAAAGACACACACTGACTAACAAACACACACACACAACAAGCAGCAGGTGAGACTGATGAGTGATTAACAAAAGGAGGGAAAACTACAGAAGTAAAACCAGACTAGAAACACAAGGAATCAACTCCTACAAAATAAAACAGGAAATAAAAACTGATCTAAAGAGTAAAACACAGAGAACAGGAGGGAAACAGGGTCAAACTGGAAACTCACAAGACTGGACTACAGGGGAAAATACACAAAATACACTCAGATAACAAAACCAGGAGAAAACTACGTTCACAGAAAATATCAGGACATTATAATTCTTTTAAAGTGCTGCTAAACATGGAGATGATGTTTAGATTATTGTAACACCATCACAGATTAGAGATGATAGAATTAATCATGTTTCCTGTTTTTTAATGATTATTGTGAACAGGTGTTGGAGGATTAGAGTTTCAGGCTTTTTACTTAGATTTCCTCTCCAAACAGCAGAATTTCCCCTTTCCTCTAAATCAGCTCATTTTATCTCTTCTAACCCTGTTCTCCTCAATGACAGAGCAGGGGGGCTTATTTACCTCCTGTCCACTAGGGGGCGATAAAGAACCTGGACGCTGTGGTTTTTAACCTGCAGTGTTCTTTCAAGAAGAGGAAGAGTTGGATGAAAACAAACTTGAGTCACTCTGGATTAGTTTTTACAGACTCGGTCAAACCTTACTTTGTGAGGAAATTAACTCACAAACAAATTTAACGGAATTATCGTCCGTGTTAAAATTCATGAGAGGCAGAGACGACACTCTTCGAGGAAACCCGAGAAAGACGTCTGAGAGGACAAAAAGTACACTGATATGTATGTATCTATACATATACATACATATATGTATATCTGTATGCATATAAGTATATATGTTTGTAAAAATATAGATACAAACATATATGTGTTTGTATCTATGTGTGTATACATACATATATGTATGTGTGTATACATATATGTATATAAGAATATATTTGTATATATAAATATACATATATATGTATACATATATGTATATAAGTTTTTTATCATGTATTTATACATATACATAGATATTTACACATATATGTATGTATGTTGTTGTATACATTCTTGTATATGTATACATGTATATATATTTATATATGTGCGTATACATATATGTATATAAGAATATACGCATATATACAAATATACACATATATCCGTATGTATTTGTTGTATACATGTACATATATACAACAGTAGCTCAGGAGGTAGAGCGGTCGTCCAATGACCGGAAGGTTGGCGGTTCGATTCCCCCCTAATCCAAGTCTGTCCGTTGTGTCCTGGGGCAAGACACTTAACCCACCTTGCTCCCAGTGTGTGTCCTCCACTGGTGCATGATTGTGAGTGTTGTGTGTTGGTGGTCTGAGAGGCCGTAGGTGCAGAATGGCAGCCACGTTTCCACCACCACCAAAGTGTGACTGTGTGAGCGAATGAATGATGTATCCAATGTAAAGTGATTTGAGGGTCTCTGATAAAGCACTATATGAAATCTGATGCATTATTATTATTATTATTATTATTATTATATATATCAATATTTACATATACATGTGTACAGATATATACATATATATACATATGTACATATACATGTATGCATATACATGTATATGTATATATGTATGTATACATGCATACAAATGTATATGTATATACATATATGTGTATATATATATACATATATGTATATACATACACATATACGTACATACATACATTTATACATATATACATACAAATATATAATCATATCATTTTTTGCAGCTCTGGTGTCAGATTTACTCGTAACTGAACTGAGTGTGTAAGAATTAAAGATGACTGTCGTTTTTTATACTGTATATAAACTTAAAATCACACACTTAAAAAGAGACAGTAATGTATTTATAACCACTGAGCTCCTGGTGCAGTTTTTACCTTTTTAACAGTATTTTACTGTTTTCACCTTTTTAACAGTATTTGACTGTTTTTACCTTTTTAACAGTATTTTACTGTTTTCACCTTTTTAACAGTATTTTACTGTTTTTCAGATCCGGCTCTAAACTGTTGAAGAAAAGATCTTCTGGCTTTGAGGAGAGATGTCCTCCCAGGTCCGACTGAAGCTGCTGCCCAGTGCCAGGTGTTTGTTTGATGACCCCGTCCAGTTGAAGGTGGCCGGACTGAGGTCCAGACAGGTGGTCACCATGAGAGCCAGATCTTCTGACGACAAAGGAGTGGTCTTCAGCTCCTCGGCGACCTACAGAGCGGACAGAAACGGGGAGATCGACTTGAATAAAGACCCCTCACTGGGTGGGACGTACGTTGGTGTTGAACCCATGGGTCTGTTGTGGTCCATGAAACCAGACTCTTTACACAAAAGGTTTCATAAAACAAACTCACTAAACCCACATGTGGTGAAGTTTTCTGTTCACGAGGAGGAGGAGGATAGGACACTGGCCGAGGTGACCAATGAGAGACTTCTGAACAGCAGTGCGGTCTGCAGGACCCCCGTCAAAGAGGGGAACATTCGTGGAGTCCTGTTCACCCCCCGAGGTCGGTCTTTTCCCAACACTGTTATTTTTGAACGGCTCTCGTAGTAAATGATGTCTGATGATGTTCTCCATGTCTGTCCCCGGGTCCAGGACCTGGTCCTTTCCCTGCTGTGTTGGACCTCTACACCTTCGGCGGGGGTTTGTCAGAGAAAAGAGCGTCTATGCTGGCTAACCGAGGATTCGTGGTTCTGACGGTCGCTCTGTACGGCCATGATGACCTGCCGAAAAGGATCAGAGAAGTTCACCTGGACTACTTTGAGGAGGCAGTCGAGTTTCTGAAGAGGCAGGAGAAGGTGAGTTCATGTTCAGGTATGTGGAGTAGGGATGGGAATTGATTTATCGAATTGCTTATCGATTCATTTTTTTTTCACGATTCCCTTATCAATATCTTTCTTTGATTAAAAAAACTAGACTATAGGTTTAACTCAAAATGTTATTGAGTCTCTGATAACAGAAACAGATGTCTGCTCCTTCAGTGAGAGTCTAAAATAATCAAACAGAAATTATATTTATACAGCGTTTCTGACATTGTGTTCATGTTAACACAGGACATACGTTAGCGTGACAATATTCTGAATCCCCCAAAAAGAGGACACGACTACGCAGGGAGGACTTGTCAGCGAAACTTTGAGGGTTTTTTGGTCGGGTCGAGTGATATCCTGAATTCCCAAAGACAGCGCATGCGTGCGTCGCGTCAGCGGCTTTGCTTAGAAGTGAGCGGAGGGGCGGAGCTGCAGAGAGGACTGATGCTCTGCACTGTTTTATAATGAATGAATACATGTTCCCGACATTTGAAGGATCTTATTAACTCCCCCCAAAAGTGGACATGTCATATGTACCTTCCATGCCGGGTTGAGACGGAACAGCAGCGGCTGATGACGGAGAACATCGAACACATGTGACTCCTTATATTTGATGCCGTCCCCCATTGACAAATGTTGAAGCATGTTGCTGGTGTTTCCACCTTTGCATGTTATCACTGCTCCGCAAACCTTGCTTTGTTGTCGTCTTTCTTACCCGGGATTTCCACCACATCCAGAACGGCTGTAATTTTCTCCGTACGCTGGATCTGTTTGTGAGGTGAATTTCACAGCAGATTATAAACAGCAGGATTTGTGGATTCACGTTCAATCGTGCGATAACGAGTTGTCTCTCTAAAGACAGACACATAGACATATAAGCAGTAGATTGTGTCCTTCCAGAGGAGGAAATCTACTTCTAGACTTCTAGAATCAGCATCTCCTCATCCATGGTGTCATCGGGGTGAAATGACGTCTAAAAACCTTTCACTTGGAGTGTTTTATTTTGAAAAGAAGCCGGATGTTTTATTTTGTGTCTGTGCCCGACTTCCTTTCCAGCACGGGTTAATCTGTGCTGAATTTATCCGCCATGCTCCGGCGTCCAGGAAAAATAGAACTCTTGTGATAAGCCGAGGAGTCCGACGATCCGCAGAGGAACGGAAAGAAGTCGGTGTAAATTGACACGTTAACTTGAATGGTTACGATCAGCTACGATCGGCGGATACGACTTTTTCGTAGCTGTTCCAGATGCGGTGGAAATTGCCGGTTAGTAAAAAGAAGCCACGCTTTCGATCGTTTCTGCGTACTTTTCGTACCACCCACCATGTTTTTTTCTCCGTCTCTGTTCCCGTTTTTTTAAGGCACCCAGAAGAAAATAATCGTTGAGATAAAATGTAGATGATGTCGATGGATTGAACCATTTAGAACCGGTTCTCAATTCCCATCCCTAATCTGGAGTTCCACCTTCATGAGCGCCGTGGGGGACTGTGAGGGTCAGCTGATAACCTGGGCGTGTCATCCACAGGTTGGCGGAGAGGGAGTCGGCGTGGTGTCGATGTCAAAGAGTGGAGACCTGGCTCTCTCCATCGCCTCGTACCTGTCCGGTGTTCAGGCCACCGTCTGGATCAACGGCTGCTCCGCCAACACCGCTTTCCCTCTGTACTATCAGAAGATCCAGATCCTCCCAGCTCTGCTCTTCGACATAAACAAGGTCGTTCCCACCGAGTCTGGAGCCTGTATCACCAAGGACGCGGTTCTGGACCCCCTGGCAGAGGAGAACCGGGCCACTATCGTCCCCATCGAGAGGGCGAAGGGGCGCTTCCTGTTTGTGGCCTCAGAGGACGACCTGAACTGGGACAGCAAGGCTTACATGGACATGATGGTGGACAGACTGAAGCATCATGGGAAGGACAACTTTGAGAGTGTGTGTTACCCTGGAGCGGGACACTACCTGGAGCCTCCTTATGGACCCTACTGCCCCTCCAGTTTTCACGGGGTCTTGGGGAGGGCGGTCCTTTGGGGGGGTGAGGCCAGAAGTCACGCAGCGGCTGAGGTCCTCATGTGGGAGAAGATCCAGGAGTTCTTCAGAGTCAATCTAAACTGTGATGCTGCAAATGCAAGAGCAAAGTTATAGAAGAAACACCTGAAAACCTGCAGATCCCTGAAGGACCAGGTGAAGATCAGACTCGGTTCTCAGCAGGTTCCTTCACACGTCTGACCTCGTCTTTGTGTAGAAAAATAACCGCGTTAGTTGAGCTGTAAATGACTCTTCATTGTTTACTCCGGGAGCCTGTCAGCCTTCACTGCAGCCACAAGATGGCGATGTTGTTCTGTCTAAATCAGGGAGGCCTGTCAGTGGACCAGTATCACATGAACTTTGGAGGTTCATAAACACCAACAGTTCTCAGTTAATGTTATTATGAGTTAATATGAAGAGTCAGAGAAACTGCAGGACAGGAGAAACATCTTTAATTATTAATTATTATTATTATTATTAATTATTTAACAGCAACAACCTCCTAACGAGTCACCTCAATAAGTAAAAAGAAAAAGCTTTTGATAAAAATACTTTATTTAATTTAATAACACTGAACATTTTAACAAAGTAAGAGCTTCATGTTACTGCGTAAAAACACTACAGAACAATATAAAAATAACACAGAGACACTAAAACACGACAGCAGCAAAAACACAGAGTTTATATTTCTGACGGAGAGTTTCAGAGTCTCTTCAAAAACCCTCAAATATTAATTTTCTTCATTCTTCAGAGAACAGGTCACAGTTAAAGTGTCATGATGATTTTTAAGCTTAAATCTGACGCTCAGAAGGTTCAATAATTAGTATTATTATTATTATTATTGTTATTATTATTAAGCATTTAAGTTCATCAAACTTCATAAGAGCACAAAGAGAATAAAGACAGAGTGAGTCAGTGATTTTAGAAACCCTGTCAATGTTTAAATAAAGTTAAGACTAAATTTGTATTTGATTATCAGAAGCTGCAACATGTTCAAAATCTGAAGACATAAAACTTTTCAGGATTCTGATTTCTGTGATAAAAATCTGTCAAATCAACGTTGACGTTTTCCAAATAAACATTCAGAATTTTTCTATAAACAGTTTCTGGAGTTGTGTTTGGATCAAGTGGAAACCCTCAGCGTCAAAATATGAAGCCAAATGGAAGTCCCTGCAGTTCCTCCAGTGTCCACTAGAGGCCGGCCTCAAGAGTGGGCTCCACGTTAAAATGACGATTTTTCATCTTTGAGTGTCTGTATCATCAAACTTAATCCCAGTGAGTCAGTAACGTTCTCAAACTGTAATCCAGTGATGCAGGATGGAGACCAAAGTTCAACCTCCAGAGTCCATGAATAAATCCAGCTGCAGTTCCTCTGGTGTCCACTAGAGGTTGTCACTTAAAGTGAGTAAACCCCCATAGAGCTCCATGTTAAACTTTACAAGAATGGAAGTTCGGTTCTCAGCTGCCGCGCTTTAGTTCTTCGAGCTCGAGTTTGTCACTCTGCACCACGTGGATCTGCTCACAAAGCTCCGCCTCCTCTGAACTCACCTGGATTCTAATGTCCCAATCAGATTTCTGCAAAAGTTTTCAGATTTCTGTGTTATTTATTATTTAACACCTTATTTAAAAGTACTAATGAAAAAAGAGTCGATAAGTGTTTTTAAAAGTGAAGCTGAGAATCAAGTTTTTATTTCATGGGGAGAAAGTCAAAAACCGACAAGAATAAAGTCGTTAATTATATATATTATATAAATAAAGTTGGACTAACCAGGGATCTGGGCAGCTGTTCTTTACGGAAATATGCCTGACAGGCGTCTGAACGACAGTGAACGATGGACCAGAACACGGCAAACAGGACACCCGCCGTGATGATGACGGTCGCGGTCACCGTGGTCGGCGCCTTCCACGCAGCGTCAGGACCTGCAGGTCGATCAGAGAGAACATATCTTCTTTAATTCATTTATGAAACAAACCTTAATTGATTCTTTGAATACTAAACATTAATTTTACAACAATTAAGATTAAAAAAGAAATTGTTTTTTTCAGGACTTTAAAGTTTTGTTTTGACTCCACAGCTGATCCACAAACTTGGCCAGCGACCTTATTTCCCTGAACATCTGCTTCCATCTCTAATACTGTATAAACATCACAAAGAGTGATTTACTGTGTGATTTAAACCATCAGCAACCTTTAGAGCTGAATGATAATATCAGAATCAGAAATACTTCAATAATCCCCGGGGGGGAATTGCTTATGTTCTAGTAACTCCAGTGCAAATAAAGTAGAAAGAGACAAATAATAGATAAAATAGTGAAATAAAGAGATAAACAAATATGCAATATATATAGTTTTACAGTAAACAAATATGTAACAAGTATGCAGTATGTAAGTAATCAGAGGAGCCGTTACAAATGTCCAGTTTCAGGTGTTGGAGTTCATTTCATTGAGTTTGTACGATTGAACGATGGTCGAGGTAAACTTTGAAAACAGCGTCACTACAGTAATTACCTGTCCACCTCAGAAACTTCACTGTGATTTTGGTCATTTTGACAGATGTTTAATGAGGATAAATCACTGTCCTCACAGTCTTTATCTTTAGGGTTCATTTAAAGTCATGACAGGTGATCTACAGTACAAACACGCTCGTCTTCACACCTGTACCTGTGATGTGGACACACTGAGTGTCGGTGCTGCTGCTGTGGAGCTCCGTGTTCACCGTAGTGTGAGCTCTGATGCAGTACACCTCGTCCTCCTGTAGGGCGGCGATGTGGAGCACCTTCTGCCCAGACGGCACGGTGAAGACGTCGGCCTGGTCGAAGAACAATCAGGAAAATTAGAAGAAGAGGCAGCAGAGGAAAGGACTGTCGCTACCTGATCCGTCCCGGAAACACGATTCGTACTGAGCATGTGCAAAACGAACGCCACTTCCTCTACTAGCCATCTTTCCGACAGCTCAGCAATTCTTTGCCCCCCCCACTCACAAATCAGGTTTCCAGAACGGATTGGGCAGCGACAAGGACCAAGTATGACGTGACCTCTGACCTGCAGCTCGTCGCCTTTCTTCCACACCGTCACGCTGACCCCGACAGTGACAGGAAGCTTGTCGAACATCACCTGCAGGGCGTCGCCCACCGCCGTCACCGTCATCTCCGGCACAGTCAGGACAGCTGTAACACCAGGATTCACTCAGTCACTCATTCATTCATTCATCCGTCTATGAAGCTGCTTCTGTCTGCGTCTTACTCTGTCTGCGGTTGAAAGGTCCGCTCAGACTCCAGTCCGACAAATCCGATCCGCACTGCGCTCTGACACGCAGGTTATAGTCGGAGTCTGAGCCCAGGTCAAAGGTCAGGTCGCAGTGTGTGTGGGGGGTCAGCTGACACTCATGAGCGGGAAGCCAGCTGCCGTTCCGGAACGTCAGCTCGAACTCCCTGAGAGACACACAGACACACAAACACACAGACACACAGACACACACAGACACACACAGAGCAGGTGAACAGTCTCACTTTGATCCTCTGACCTTAATTACCCTCATTAACCACACCCTCCACACCTCCACCTCCACACCAACAGAAGTCCTCAGAGTTTGTTTGTCTTTTTTAATCACTTTCTGTCCACAGGAGCTCAGAGGGAATTAAACTGAGACCACAGATGGGCGGAGCCAACCTGCTGAGTGACATTCATCAGAGTTTACTGAGAACCAGCTCCACCACAAATATTAAAAAACTCACACTGAAGGTAATGTCTAATCTCCAGATTCTCAGGAAGTGTTTGTTAAATAATACAAAATACTTTTATTCTCACAAATTATTTACTTATTTATTCACTGATTTACTTATTTATTTAATCATTTATTTATTTATTCACTTACTTATTTATTTATTTGCTTACTTATTTATTTAATCATTTACTTATTTATTTACTTATTTATTTAATCATTTAATTACTAATTTCTTTCATCATTTATTTACTTACTTATTTACTTACTTATTTATTTAATCATTTAATTACTTAATCATTTTTTTATATTTTTACTGATTTATTTACTTATTTATTTAATCATTTAATTACTAATTTCTTTAATCATTTATTTATTCTTTACTTATTTATTTGTTTACTTACTTATTTATATATTGACTCACTTATTTATACTTACTTATTTATATATTGACTCACTTATTTATACTTATTTATTTATTTACCTATTTATTTACTCACCTATTTTTTATTTACTTTTTTTAATTTATTTACTTAATTATTCATTTAATTACTAATTTACTTAGTTATTTATGTACTTATTTATTATCTCACCTATTTTTTAACTTATTTATTTATTCACTCACTTATTTATTTACTTATTTATTTCCTCTTTTCTTATTTATTTATTTACTTACTTATTTATCTATATATTTACTTATGTATTTATTTTTTATTTATTTACTTTTTATTTATTTATTTAGTTAGTTAGTTAGTTAGTTCATCATTAGCTACTACCTAAGTAGCAGCTACTCTTCGTGGGGTCCGCAAAAAGACAGTCACATTCATACAGATTACATTGATAAAAGTCCAAACCTGAAAATTATACATGTTTGTTAAAATCAGAATTAAAACAATAATAATAATGATAACATTACATTTGCAATTACAATAGACACCGATAAAGGCCAAGATTTTGTTTGTTGTCACAGCCTGGTGTTCAGGTGTTCTGTTTCCTTTTGTATGTTGTCACAGCCTGGTTGACAGCCTTGTTATCAAATATCTTGAATTTTATTAATTCTTATTTCAGTGAGTTTGGATCATTAGATATTGTGTCTCAGTGATGAGATGTACGGAGCTAATATCGGCGCCAAACAAAGTAAAAATCTTATAAAGATCTGCAGACGAGTTAAAACAAAAAAAAAGATCCAAATCTGTGTGCGCATAAAAGTGATCCACAAATGAGCAGGGTGACTTAAATGTGCTGCAGAGTCTCATATCTGAACTCCGGGCCATGAATATATGTGTGCAAATGTAAACTGATATAAACTACTGAAGGACCAAACATTCGAGTCTGTGAACGAATGTGAACTCAGGTCCAAAGTCAGCTGATTATAATGAAGCAGAAACACGATCTGAGAGCGGCGTCCTCCTGTGTACGTGAATCAAACATCTGCTGTCACGTCTCTGATGACGGTCAAACTGCAGCAGGAACATTCCTGAACACTTAATTAGAGCCTCTGTGATTGACACCTGTCATTAGAGTCATCAAGCAGTTACACCTGAGCCACCTGCAGCTGATTTATCCCAGACACACCTGTGTGAAATTAGCTCTGATTAGGACAGGTGTGTCTGTAATGTCTGCGCTATTTTACTGCATTGTTTCTGTTTATTAATAAGACAGAAATCTCAGGTAGAGAAACCAGCTCCAGGTACGAGGGAGGAGATTATCAAACACCTGCAGCGTCTCTATGATAGATGTTCGATGTCTTCTAACACAGTAAATATTCAGACTAGAGCTGAAGAAGAGTTAAAGAAGCAGTCAGTTTAGAAATGTTCATCAGTTCATTCTCAGTTTCATGTGTGACTCACCCCTGAAACTGGACGGAGTACAGGACCGCAGTGTCACAGGACGCCTGCAGAGGGAGCCACTTCAGGACATGTCTCATGTTGACCGAGTCCATGGAGACACTGCTGGGTGACGGCAGCATCCAAACAGCTGTTTCATAAAATAAACAGATAAATAAATAAAACAGTTTTTACAGAGTTTATTGTCTCAGTCTCTAATAAAACTTCTTCAACACAGGAATTTAAACACTTAATACAGGATGATCTGAATTAAAGTCAAAGAAACCAGAACGTAGAAGAAGACCTGTGATCGACAGATCCTGGACTCTGTCTGACTTTATGTTTACAGTTCAGGTTTTAGTCAATCACAGAAACAGTTTAAAAGCTTTTAAATAGATTTTTAATTAAACATTTACAGGATTTAGTGTTTCATAGAATCCCAAAAAGACAGTCAGTGTTACAGTTTTCTCCTCAGTCCACCTTAAATGGACTCAGAGAAGTCTCTGGTGTTTCTGGATCTATCTGGTCTCCTCTCTCATGGTTCAGTTTGAAGTGACGCAGCATCTATGATTTCTAATTCTTTGTTGAAAGGACATCTGGACTTACTGGAGTCTTAGGCGAAACGTCTCCGGTAAGTCCAGTTGTCCTTTCCATATGATGATTTCCGCTCCAGAGTCCTGTCCAGACTTGGTTCTGGTCCTTGTCCCCCTTCAGTACAGAGATTTCTCCAGATCCTCTGAATGATCTGACGTTCTGTAGACCATGAAATCCACTCAGAGGAACTTTATCCTTAAACTGTTGAACTGTTCGCTCACGCCGTCTCTCAACTTCTGACCTGTTTGGTTGGTCCTCTATAAGAACTTGGTGACACTTTACAATAACTTATAAATGGTAAATAGATCATTTTTATGTTATTGTAAAGTTAGGGTTAGGTTTTTAAAATTGTAAATTTTACAAACCTAACCTTAACTTTACAATGTTAGTAATGTTTATAGATGGTTTATAAACCAAATATTAATCATTTACAAAGTGTTACTGACACACATTTTAATCTAGATCTTTTACAACCAACATTTAAACCCTTTATAAACCTTTAATAAATAAAAGTTATTAATCATAGTTTCATTGCTTGTTAATGGTAAAGTAACTATTAACTTCCATTAATAAACTACTTACTTATAATTGTTCTATATGCTGATTTTAAATGATGATTAAACATTAATTATCTGTTTACCGTTTATAAATTATGGTTATTGTAAAGTGTTACTGAGAACTTTAGTGATATTCAGGTCCTGGTCTCTCTGCACTGATCGATGGCGGTCTGTTGGTCTGTTGGTCTGTTGGTCTGTTGGTCTGTTGGTCTGGTCTGTTGGAGGTCTCGTTAGTTAATTCAGTCTCTGAATTTGATCTCTGAGTTGTGTTTGTGTATTTTCAGTTGTTTTGTTGATTTGTTTTTGTAAATCTGGTAAGTAATCTCTCACTAAATTAGACTAACAGACCATCCGACAACTTCGACTTCATTCTTATTTATCTACGTTTCCACTCAGTGTCCGTGTCGACCATCCCTGACTTATTCGCTCACTTTATTAGTGGTTTACTCGTGCACGGCTGTCAGGGTGGTATTTGGGTCGTGGTTCCTGTTATCTGTTGAAAACAACACTTAAGAATCAGCCTAAGGCACCAACAGTTTCACTCGGCGTTGACTCGTCCTGGATATCAGTCAAAGTCAAAGTCGACGGTGATGGACTCTGGCGCTTTCATCCTTTTGTATCTCAAATCTTGTTTGCTTAGTTTGGTTTTTTTTGCTGTTATGTTGTTTTTTTGTGCGGTTTTTAATATTAAACTTGAAGAGTCTTGTCTGAGGGTTACTTACAGTTCCTGAAGTCCAGCAGGACCGTCATCATCGCTGTCAGCACCAGCAGACTCAGAGTCATGACCGGACGGTTCGTCTCAGGAACAAACGAGGGAGAAGGATCTGCTCATGTCAGGTCCATCATCTTCAACAACCTGCATGTAGACTCTAATCCAGAGACCTGCTCAGAAATCCTGCAGAGAAAACCGGGATCCTGCTAATCCCTCTCTCATGGACACCATCTCTCTGGGTTGGAACCAGCTCCTTTGGGTTCAGGTTAAAGTCCACATGATCCAGAGAGTCCGGTTTCCACCTCTGAAGCCCTGCGAGTGTCTCTGTGATCTGCGGAGTAAAGCTGGTGTGTCTGGATGCTGATGCTGGATTCTGGGCTGCAGAACCGGTCTGACCTGACGTCTTCTCCCTCGGGCCGTCAGCCGTCATCCGCCGTTTCTGAGCCAAACCAGAAACACGCCCAGCGAGCTCCAGTAAAGTGCGGCCCCTTTACACCTGTGACCTGATTTTAAGAACCATCTGGACCTTCTCTGAGGACCACTGATGCTCCGAATGTTGGTGCTCAGAGATATGGAAAGAGCATGCTCCTCAGGGTCATGATTTTCACCTCCGACTGAGAATGTTTCCCTCAGAAAAGCAGCTGAAAATGAAACAACAAAGACGCAGTAACAGGATCTGAGAAGAGCTCATAGCTGCAGAGTCATGCCTAATGACAGCGGCTCCTCACGTGTGGCTGAAATATGCAGTAAACATGTTATTATGCAAATGAGAAAGCCGACAGGGTGAGCAGGACCCCTCCGCTCTGAACAGGACCTGCTCATCCTGTCGGGATCATCACTCCTGCGGAGGTGCGACTGTTTCAAGTCGACAATAATCGATGAGGCAGGAATTAAAGAAGCAGGTGAATCACTGCTGAAGTTACCGCCTGTGTTTTCATCCTGTGAAAGAACATGAGGCGGTTTTTAGGAGCTGAATCACTGAGGAGTGAGGCGTCTCGAACCCTCATTATCTCAGCAGAGAGTGACACATGCAGATACTGAGACTTCACCTTCACACACCGTCTTCACTCACCTCCTCCTCCGTCTGACCTCACATCAAAACTAAAGTATTTAATCTCACCGTGATGACGGAGTTCATTCAGCAGAAACCTGCAGCAGGATCAGTCTGTTACTGAACCCTTATAAGTGGTCTGATCATGAACTGGACCGACACTCAGAGCGTTTACAGTCTCAGTTTAATCGACTAAACTCAGAATTCGTCTTTTTTCTCTGAATCAGACTTCTCTCTTCGTCCTCGTTTACATCCAGCTGAGAAAATCGAATTATTGTCGTGAACGTGTCCTCCTCCCCAACACTAGGGGGCGATATGGGTCTTTTCAGCGGCGCTGTTTCCGACCCCATACAACCGTCAACAACAACAGCAGGTCGGTGTCAGACGTCAGAAGTGTCTACAACTGCTGCTGGGCATTTTGGAGAAACAAGAAGGTGGAGCATCGTACAGCGTTGTTTTTGTCCGACATGATGGACGCGCTACTTTTACTAAAGAGGAGACCAACGCTACTCCTCTACTCTTACTCCGATCATACTCCGACTACGCTGGTTACATGGTAGAGAAAATCTAATTCCAATCGTATTATCTGGGTGTCTCAATCGGAGTCGGACTAAAGTGTTTACATGACCTTCAGTTGTCCGGTCTTAATCGGAATAAGGCGATAATTTGGTTTTCTTGGGTGTCATGGAAACGGACTGACTGTGAGAGTACCTGTTAGTCCCTCCAGCATGCACAGTTGAATTTAACTTTAGTTAAAAGAAATGTATCTGGACGGCTGTCGTGTCTCAGTTTACAGGATCCGTTTTCTGACTGAAGTTCCTGTTCGGTTTTTCAGGAGGCTCATTGTTCCCCTGAAGTTCTTTGTGTGCTCCTTGCTTTTTTAACCTAGGAGAACATGAGAACATGTGTTAAGCCCTGACTTGTATCTTACTTCAGGTTGAGACGATCTTTAAATCTGGAAAGTTCGTTCAGATTGGATGTTGTTTTTGAAGTTGGTAGCATGTACTTCCAAAAGGTGGCGCTATGACTGTAGATGAGAAGTGAGAACATTAATGTGTTCAGAGGTGAACTTTAATTATGTGTCTGAAAAATTAAACAGATTAAACCCTCAGAATTTAGAGGCCGGAGCTGAAAATGACGTCACACCCGAGATCGAAAACAAGATGGCGACATCTACGGATGTTATTTTAGCACTCGCCTTGTCGGAATATTCCGTAGTTTTCACACTATAAGGCGCACTTAAAATCCTTTTGGCTTGTCGGAGCGCTGCAGCTCCCGTAGCCTCGCCGAATTATTGACTGTTTCGTTTGGCGTAATGCGCTTTATAATCTGGTGCGCCTTATCATGCGAAAACTACGCTAAAATAACTTTGGTAGATGTAGCCATCGTGTTTCAGGGCTCCGATTTTAATTTTTTCCGACTTGGTAACTGAAACGCTGGTAACCCGGGTTTGACGTCATTTTCAGCTCCGACTTCTGAGGTAGCTCGAACGCATCATGAGAGTAACCTTCTGTTTAGACCACGCCCTCTGACACAGAGAAAATCCCTCAACAGCTTCTAATCTTAAAAGTGTTTAGAGCAGACTGAGTGATGTTGGACCAGAGCTGAGAAACAAGTTCATTTAAAACCTCTTTACCCTCGAGGCCTCAGATCCATGTCTGTCTCTGTCTGAGGCCTCAGATCCCTGTCTGTCTGTCTCAGTGTGACAGAGAGGAAGTGTTGGTTTTATAAAAGCGATGTTTGACTGAGGAGTTGTTGACCTGAGATTGTCCAACTCTCAGTGAGGAGATGAAATAGAAACATCTTTGTGTGGACGTCTGTCACTCCGGTGAGACGTCTGCCAACTGGCGAGAGGCCACCTCAGAATTCAACAAACCTCAGGCAGACGGGCGGGTGTGTAAATGTGGACGTTTTAAACGAGGCCTGGTTAAACTTTTAAACTCGTTTAGGGATCCCTATAAAAGGTCCGTTCAGTACACGGTCCTGTCAGACAGTTCCTAAAAAGGCAGAAGTGATGTTTTGTTCCTCTTCTTTAACAATTCTCTCTGTTTCTAAAGTCACTAAACTGACTCTGAGTTTCTATTAGACCACGTCACTGCAGAAAGAGGACACACAGAGAGTCAAGTGTCGGACTTTAGACTCTCATGATGATCAAACATTAACTGTTAGCAGCCATAAAGTCATAAAACACAGAAACATCCTCCTGAAACCATCACACAAGGACCTGAGCCTGACCTAAACCCTGGATTAGTCCACGTTTGAGTCATAATCCAGATTTTTACACATACAAAAACACGCAATGGACTTTATTCGGAGCTGAAGATACAAAATCAACCGTGACCAATCAATCACAACACCTGTAACCTGATGAAATCCTCGCTCTGACAGCAGGACAGAGGCCGCACTTCCTTATATGGGCGTAGATGTGCGTATTGTTCTCCTACTTCCTGCTGCTGGATCCAACTTCCTCTTCTCTCAGTAATCTGGTTCATCGGAGCAAATCTGTGACCAGATGAGCAGATTAACACCAAGTTCCCGTGACACAGATTCTTAAAACCGGAAAACTTTGAGCTGTTTATCTCAGCGGCGCCGCGATGAGACCCGCTGATGACCGCTAACTTTCGAATCAAACTCCTTCCTGAACATTTATAATCTCTAGTTTGTGTCGTATTCATGAGAAACTGCACAGAGGAAGTTCTTCACCTCAGACTTGAACTGAGATATGACCCACTGAGCGACAGACGGCTGTTAGACGTCTAGTTTTTCTTTAAATCTAATTTCAACCTCAGTCTAGATTCTGGATATTTTTAGACGGGATTCAGACGTCGCCCTGTGAGTCACAAAACTGATCTCCAACTACTTAACCAAAATAATCATGATAGCCATTGAGCAATATACAGTGTAGTATAGATATAGAAGCCTAGATTTAGACCTGGTCTAAATTTAGACGTCTGAAAACTTTCATTTTTAGACCTGATAGTCTGATTTTAGACCAGTCGTCTAGACTACATCTAGACGTCTTTTAGACCAAAAATACTCAGTGTGGAGAATATTTTGAGTCTATGAAACCATCCGAGTTTGTTTGTGAAAAGTTATCGGTCATAGATGAAAATCTCTGAATGAGAGGGTGAACTGGACTGAAATCACCTGCTGATCCTCATGTGTAAAGAAGTGAATCGTCTGTATAAGACTGAACAGCAGTGGTCCGAGTATCGAGCCCTGGGGAACCCCCCAAACACGACATTTTCTCGATTTGAGACGCAGTCAGAGGAGTCAGCACTCCTTATTACTCTCTTTTGCATAATATAAATAGGTTGTAAATTCCTTTTTTTAATGTATTTCCACAGACTTCTGTGCACTAAGTCAGATATGATAATTTAAGCGTATTATATAATAAGGTTTATGGATTAATTTGTGTCTTGTCTGTCCGACCCACTTTGACCTAACATCATTTATTTTGTGTTTCCAGCTGAGATTATCGTCCATTTTCAGCCCTAAAAAAAAAAAACACCCTCTCTATCTCAGTATTATCAACACTCACTTCAACCTCTGGATTTGGTTGAATTTATCTCTTTCCAAACAATCTGAACTTTGTCTTCGTCGTGTTTAGAGAGTTTATTCTCATCAAACCACAATTTCAGTTTATCAAACTCCACTGAGGTATCCTGATTAGATTCTCTCCTGTACAAAAAATATGAGCATCATCGGCAAAAATTAACTAACTTTTAATCACTTATATCTAATATGAATAAATTTGGTCCCAGTATTGAACCCTGTGGCACTCCACAGGTTTATCTAGATCTGTTGACCTGTGCTCACCTGTCTGTATACTAACGTTTGATCCAGCTAAGCCCCGCCCCTCTGATACCATACCTGTCCTCTGCTCTCTTGTTTTTTAAAACGTCACATTTAACAAATTAAACATAAACGTCTGCTTCTGAACACGCCAAAAACGACTGATACCTGATTGGTCAAGACGACAAACAGAAACCAGAAGACTTGTCATGAACATCTACGGGGTTACATATGACTTCAGTCTACACACACACACACACACACAGACTCTCAAAGGTGGTTTCCAAGGTTACCTAAGGTGCGGCTGAAGACCATCATCATCATCATCATCATCAATACTCACTAAGAGGTGGTAGGGAAGCAGAGGGAGCGGCCTCCGGCGTTTTATGGCCCCTGTTAGAGTGTAAAGTCCTCCTGTTACGACCACGGACGTCAGATTAGAAAGAAGTAACAGAAGGAGAGAGACCAGAGCGCCGTTCATCAAACCTGACTCCAGTTTCACCCGCTGACGCTCCAGGGAAACTTCCAGACTCTTCAGACTCTTTCTTGGATTTCTCTCGAAGCCGTTTTCTGGATTTGCTGCCATCATGTCGACGGCTGTGGAAGCGACCGGGTTCATCATGAGCATAATCGCCTGGTTGCTGACCGGAGCGGCTCTGGTCAACGACTACTGGAAGATCTCCACCGTGTCCGGCAGCGTCATCATCTCCCAGAGGCAGTTTGAGAACCTGTGGCACTCCTGCGCCGAGAACAGCGCCGGCATCGCCGAGTGCCGAGACTTCGAATCTTTACTCGCCCTTCCAGGTAAGAGAAGGACCTGAAAACCAGAGTAGAGTCCAAACAGCAAAAATATCGACTTCCTGATAAAGTTCGGACTCAAAGGTTCTCGAAGTCTGATCCCAGGAGTCGGGTTCGCCATTTTCTCCGAGGTAGATCTGCCGCTAAATTAAAGCTGTAAAATCAGATCGATCAAAAGCTCGGGGACAAAGTGGGAAATTCTTGACGACGCCATTTTGAAGAATTATTTATCGGAACGACTGCTCGCTAAAGTTCTAATTTTTGGCGCTTATTTTGTTGAATTCGCCAACCTCAGTTTTTACGTTAGCGAGGAAACGGGCGTACGCCACCGTTTCCTCGCTCTCTGTCTGATTACGTGAATGACCCAGAAAAAGTTTTGAGGTCAAGTGTCACATCAGAAAAAAACGCCAAAAGAAGAAAATCCCGAATCCGCCTCAGATCAGACCTGACAGGTTGATATCGGAGTTCTTTATATTTCGAGTTATTCCGTTAAAAACATAAATACGCTGAATGATTATGAAACCTGCAGCAGAGGAAGTAGGTCAGCGTGTTTTATGGCGTCGTTTCAAAATTACCCGATCAAAGGTTGGTTTCTGTTACGAGCAGGAGTTTCCCGCCGAACGCCAAACGAAGGTCAGAAAGATTTTAATTTAGAGAAACAGGTACGAAGACGATCTTCACGTCTTTATCCCGACATTTTTAGGTGAAAATGTCCTTTTTTCTCTCGAACCTGTAAACTGTGTTTCCTCCTGTGATGTGTTATCATCCGGCGCCATTTTGAATCGTCTCCACACCAAAATGGAGGGAAACGGCGTTCGAAGGCCGACGGTGTTTTTTAGTTTAATTTTGATTTAGTTTGAGTTTATTTGAAGGATTTTTAAAATGAAAATGTAGGAATGAGTCTGACGTCAGCGGGAGAAGTTTGACCTGATACTCTCGTACGCCGATGACCTACATAAGAAATGAGATGATCGGAGATAACGCTAACGTTGTTTTTGACGTTGAATTTCAGTGTTTAGGATGGTTTTTATAGTAAAATAGTGAAGTTTAGGACGAAATGAGAGTTGATTAAAGAAGGAGATTAAAGATCTGGAGTTTCGGTTCTACGTCCGACTAAAGTCTGATTTTCTGAGGGAGGAATCGAAGGTTTGACCTTAAACTGGGAGGACTTCTCCTGGTTCATGATGTTTTTAGATGGATCCGCTGTAATGTCATGTTCTGTGTGATTTGGTGTTTTAAACCAACAGTCAGGATTAAAGGAAAAGGAAACTGCAGCTCTGGTGTTTTGTGGACGTGGTTCAGAGTCTCGACTTCCTCCTCTGTCCTCGAGGATCTTCCCTGTCCTCCTCTCAGACTCTAAACGGTTGAATAAAGTCCCTCAGTCCGCTCGGGGTCATGTTGCAGACATCACCGATCACGTCTTGGATTTGTAGATCTTGTGGTTAAAAACATCTGTTTGTGTTTCAGCTCATGTTCAGGCCTGCAGGGCTCTGATGATCATCTCTCTGCTGCTCGGCCTCGGCTGCATGATCTTGTCTCTGCTCGGACTCAAGTGCATCAAGATCGGCTCGGCCACCGACGAGTCCAAGGCCAAGATCGCCGCCACCGGAGGAATCCTGTGCATGCTTGGTGGTGAGTTTTCACGAGAACGTGATCGAACACGGGACAACCTGAACTGACCGTCAACGCTGACGGGTTCGTGTTGACATGTTTGGTTCTGTGTGTTCGCAGGTCTGTGCTGCATGATCGCCGTTTCCTGGTACGCCTTCAGGGTCGTTCAGGACTTTAACGACCCGTTCTTTGGAGGAGTGAGGTGAGTGACAGAGAGAGAAACGGTCTCCCCCTCAGTCCTTCAGAGAGACAATCATCTCAGCGGTTATCAGGCGTTTGTTTCATGCTGTCCCGTGTTTGCAGGTTTGAACTTGGTACTGGTCTCTACATCGGATGGGGCGGAGCCAGTCTGTCTATTCTGGGCGGAGCTCTTCTCTGCAGCGCCTGCAAGAGGGCGTCGGCTGGAGGCCCGAAAGGGTAAGTGGAACACAACACAGCTGAGGTCAATGTAGTAAAAGAATCAGAAACTGACGAGCTGAATTCACAAGTTCAGGAAAAAGTTTGTAAAGTTCAAAGAATTTTTGACAAAATTTGTGACTAAAAGTAAAGATGTAACTTTAAAGAACAAGAATAAGTCGATTATGAAGATAAAGTTTGAAGTTTAAATGAGCAGTCATGATTTTATCAGTAAAAAATTTTTATTTTTGAAGTTAAAGTATAAAAATATGTAGATTTAGGAGAAAAAAGTTCCACATTAATTGATAATAAGCAGTAGGTTATAAAAAAAAAACACTAAATGTTAGTTTTAGATTTGTGACGGCAAAGTCTTGAATTCCAAAGTTTTGTTTTAATAAGTTTTAAATATTTTTTTAACCTCTTTTGTTCTGGTGAAGCTCGATTTTGTGAAGGTTTTGAATAAGAGCGTTATTTCTTTTACATACATTTAAATAATAATAATAATCTCTCTCTCTCTCTCTCTCTCTCTCTCTCTCTCTCTCTCTCTCCCTCTCTCTCTCTCTCTCTCTCTCTCTCTCTCTCTCTCTCTCTCTCTCTCTCTCTCGTTTGTTTTGCAGCGGTTATGGAGGAAACTATGGAAACAAGAAGGTCTACACAGCCACAGCCAAGTCAGAATCGGACGCCCGAGCTTACGTTTGAACACTCGCCTGTTTCACTTTATGTTTTTAGGACGTTTTCTCAGCTGACACTTTAGAGGCCGTCTTTTCCTGATTCATGAAAACCTTCAAAACAAAGTTTTAAACCCAAGTATGAAATGTTTTTTTAAAACAGCTGTTTTCCTGACAGTTTAAGAATAAAAAACAAACACATCACAACCCCTGGTGTGAAGAACAGCCTCCACGTTAGCAGCAGTGAAAAACTTCCTTTTTCTTTGTTTTTCTTTTTATTATATTTGCTTGTTTTTTTAACATTTTTGCTCTATAATCAAAGGAATGATAGATGGTGATTCGATCAATAATAAATACATGAATAAAGTTTTAATTCAGAGAAAGAGTCTGTTTGTTTTTCTGTGTGGAGTAATTTTATCTGCTGAGAAAAAAAAAACACTCCTGTCAGTCCGTCCGTCCGTCTGTCTGTCTGCACGTGTTCGCTCCTCCACGTGACGCCGTCTGCTGCGAACGGCCCGAGGGTGTGTGCTGTAATCTCCTGTGTCATAATGATGATTAATGCACGGTAATCCACCTGTGTGTGTGTGTGTGTGTGTGTGTGTGTGTGTGTGTGTGTGTGTGTGTGTGTGTGTGTTTACCTGCTGACCTGCAGAACAGCAGATTAAAGCTCCGTCTATCTAAAAATAAAGACCCCCTCAGACTCTAGTCCGGATCAGATCTGCTGATGTTAGTTTTGGACCAACAGAGGTTCTGGTGTCCCTGGAAAATAATCTGGATTTGGAGTTTTTGGGGGATTTTTTGTCCTTTTATTGTCAGTTTTTGCAGAAAAGTGTGAGTCCTGTCCTTGAATCTCTTCATCTACCCCTCCCTGTAATCCCCCTCTCATGTGCTGACGGAGGAGAAACCCTCTCCAATCCTCTCATCAATCTGGATTTTCAGTTTTCTGGGGGGGGGTCTGGTCTTATTGAGTACCTGTGGGCTCACCTGATTGGCTGACGGAGCTGAGGGGTCCCTGTAACAGACAGCAGGTGGTCACACATAGAGCTCCTCTGACCAGACCGTCACCGTCCGTCCTTCTGTCCTCCTCCTCTGCAAACTCAGGTGAGTCTGTCTGATCCTAAACCTGCAGGTGACTCCTCAGAGCTGACATATATCCTCTTTACTAAAACCTGAACGACAACTTTACCGTGTCACAGTAAAATTCTCTGACATTTAAACCAAACTGAACTGAGATGTTCATTTACTGTCAAACTTTAACAACCTCTTTCATGCCTTATTTCATCTTTACGCTGACGACACTTTAACTTATCGCTGTTCGTCATCATTGATTTTACAACCTTTAAAAGTCAACTTTTAATGTCGTTCAGAAACTGAAATTGGTTTGAAATGCAGACCAAACTAAGGTGATATAAACAGTCCAGGTAGATCTAAAAAAAAGTCAAAATCTTTAAATTCTTTGGTTTTCTTGTCGATGGAGAGCTAACTTAGAAATCACACATTATTAATTTGTTCATTTTCATGTCTTAATTCAAATCAGTCTCTGAAGATATTTTATGCAGTGATGGTTTTATTATTCAGGTCACACCTTTTAAAAGGATTAAGAAGCTCAGCGGACTTAAGTCGACTCAAATCTGGAATTCAGATGATTAGAAATATTCAGATTTTAATCTCACCTCCTGTTTTACATTAAAGCACATTTATAAATGCTGATTAATGTTCTTTTAATATTCTTGATAAATGTGTTAATGATGACGCTCTGACAGAGGTGGGTTCATCACCAAACCCCCTCTGTTTAAAGCTCCTCATTTATCTGTGATACAGTCAACATTAAAAACACAAACATCCTGAAATATCTGATTTAATCCAGATTAAACAGATTATTAAAAATGCAGTTGGATTGTTTTTCTAATGATTGATTGGTTTGCTGATTGAGTTCAGAAATCTTACTCATATCTAAAGTCACGCTGCTGAATCAGGGTTAGTGTGAGTGTTAGTGTTAGGTATCTCAGAGTGTTTAGGTGTTAAAAAAAAATGTTTTTATTTCTCTGTTAGGAAAATTAAAAATCATGTTTTCAGCTTTTTACTCAAAGGTTTTTGTCTTCTTGAATTTTTCAGGTACTAGGAAGTCCCTGACCTCGATCTGCTCCAACATGAGTCCGAAAAACGTCGTTTTCAAGAAGATTTGTAAGGACAAGTCGGTGAGTGAAGATGAACATGAAAAATCCTCCTCAGCTGGGGTTTGACCGTTCGTCCTGAAGGCAGGATCTGACTCTGTGCTGATCTGACTCGATCATGTTTTATCCTTAAAAATAACCCTAATCCTAACCCAGAAGATCAGTCAGATCCTAAACCAGAATTTAATTAATTTAATTCTGTAAAGGGGACTGTCCATCAGTTTCAGGTTTTCAAAGTCTCTGTTCTGGTTCAGGTCGGGGTCTACATGGGGAAGAGAGACTTTGTGGACCATGTGGACTCTGTGGATCCAGTCGGTGAGTGTGACCCACGACAAAGATGTTAATGAAGGTGCTGAGGGTTAAATCTGACTCAAGATACAAGTTAACCTGTAACTTATGAGGAGCTTTAAAAATGTCAGGAATGAGGCTTAAAGATCCCCTTTATTATTACTATTATTGTTATTATTATTATTATTATTATTATTATTATTGTTATTATTATTTTTTATTGTTATTATTATTACTATCATAACCATCATCTTCTGTTTTATAATTTTATCCTTATTATTTTTTTATTATTATCATTATTATTATTATTATTATTATTATTATTATTATTATTATTATTATCATCGTTATAATTATTTTATTATTATTGTTATTATTACCATCATCATCTTTTTTGTTATTATCATCGATTATTATTACTATTTTGTTATTGTTTTTGGTATGATTATTGAAACATTTTTTTAAAATATTATTTTTTTAAATTATTATTATTATCTAAAAAAAAAACATATAAGTATTTAAATATTTTTTTTTACTGCAAACATTTTACCAATCTTTTTAAACACCTCCACTGAATCATCACTTAATCTATCTTCTTCTGTTTGACCACCAGATGGCGTCATCCTCATTGATCCTGAGGCTCTGCAGGGAAGGAAAGGTCAGTATGATGATATAATTTAAACTCATATATAATCAGATAATATCTCATAAACTTTGGTGTGACAGTGAAGACTTTAATCTTCTAAAACCTTCTGACATGTGGACCTGAACATTTTTAAACGGTCCCCGTCCCTCTCAGTAAGAAGTCCTCTGGTTTGTCTCCATCAGTGTTCGTCACCCTGTCCTGCACCTTTCGCTACGGCAGAGACGACATGGACGTGATGGGAATCGCTTTCCGCAGAGAGCTGTACCTGTCCACCCGCCAGGTGTACCCGCCTCTGCTGGACCGGGAGAAGGGCGTCCACACCAGGACGCAGGCCAAGCTGCTGCGCAAGCTGGGAGACAACGCCTACCCCTTCTTCTTCGAGGTGACGCCATTAAAACAAGACTCTTCAGATTTTAAATGTGTGATCTGCTGTGGTGGTTTTTCTGTGTCTCCTCTGTTCCTTCTCTGATCTCCAGTTTTTATCTCCTCAGTTTCCCGATAACCTGCCGTGCTCGGTGGCTCTCCAGCCGGCGCCTCATGACGTCGGAAAGGTAAGATCGAAACTGTGAAGTTAAACGAACATCTCTGTGGTGAGAACATCCCAGAATAACGTCGCCTCCTTTCTCCTCGTCTGAAGCAATGTGCCGTAGAGTTTGAGGTCAAAGCGTTCAGCGCCGAGAGCCCGGACGCTAAAGTCCACAGACGGTGAGACTCAGCTGAACAGGTCCTGTACCCGGACTCTTGTGGTTTTTCTCTACGTTAACTCTGATTTCTCCAACAGGAGCATGGTCAAGCTGCTGCTCAGGAAGGTCCAGTACGCACCGGAGGGTCCAGGAGTGGCGCCCTCTGTTGAGACCACCAGGGAATTCGTCATGTCGGAGAAACCGCTGCACGTCCAGGCCGGTCTGGACAAAGAGGTGAGATCTTTTCTGTTACATCTGACAAAATCGGAGAACTGTGGTGTCACAGACCGCCTGGTCGACTGCCTGTTATCTCTACTGTTTGACTGTTACCAGTTACTACCTCACCCCCAATTTCCACCTTCATCCTGATCGTCTCCTAAAAGGTCGTATCCTCCGATCGTAGCTGATCGTAACCATTCAAGTTAACGTGTCAATTTACACCGACTTCTTTCCGTTCCTCTGCGGATCGCCGGACTCCTCAGCTGATCACAAGAGTTCTATTTTTTCTGGACGCCGGAGCATGGCGGATAAATTCAGCACAGATTAACCCGTGCTGGAAAGGAAGTCGGGCACAGACACAACATAAAACATCCGACAAAGAAGTGAAAGGTTTTTTAGACGTCATTTCACCCCGATGACACCATGGATGAGGAGATGCTGATTCTAGAAGTCTAGAAGTAGATTTCCTCCTCTGGAAGGACACAATCTACTGCTTATATGTCTATGTGTCTGTCTTTAGAGAGACAACTCGTTATCGTGAGATTGAACGTGAATCTGCAGGTTCTTGTGAGTTCTCGCCATTCCTGCCGTCTGTAATCCGCCACGAAATTCACAAACGGATCCGGTTGGAATTGGCGGACGGCGTTCTGGATCGGAGGCGTTCCGGATGCGTTGAAAATTGGGGGTCAGGTTTCTGTCTATCTACCGTCCTTTGGCGATAACTTCTGTACATTTGACATCCTTCTTCGTTGCTATGCAGATGACACCCAGCTCTATCTGTGTCTGAAAAACAGATACTCAGGTGTCGTAAAAGGACCATATGATGAACGCTGTTTCTGTGTGTCCTGTTTTCAGATGTACTACCACGGCGAGATCATTAAAGTCCACGTCGACATTACAAACAACTCCAGCAAAACCATCAAGAACATCATCGTCTCCGGTAATCCTCTCATCTGTCACTATTTAAATACACGCTTTAGTTTAACGTTAAACAGCGTGTCATAATTCACCATCGTATAAACTCGTCTTCCTCTTCAGTGGATCAGGTCGCCAACGTGGTGTTGTACTCCAATGACAGCTACGCCAAATGTGTCGCCATCGAGGAACCTGGGTAAGACACACACCTGAGTTTTTAGGGGTTTCCTCCTGCATTCAGAAAAAAAATAACTAAAGTGGTGAAACTAAATTCATGGTGAAGGTTTGAGAAAACTTGATCAGGTGTGAGTGTGACGGTGTCATCAGCATAGAGGTAAAAAACAGAGTTCGAGACCTTCTGACCAAGACGTTTCATGTAGAAAGTGAATTAAAGTGGGACCAGACCTGATCCCTGGGGAACCCCGATGTGAATTGGGGGTTTGTAATTTTTAATCTAGCCACTTAAGATAACAGAATCTTTCAGAACAAGGTGTTTCACTTTACCTGTACCCTGTTTCTGTACATGGTTAGGTCTGCAAAATATGAGAAAAATGGACGCCACCCGCAAAATGCCAGAGACGACACATGATGGGAAATCGTCTGTAAACATGCTAAGTTATGGTTTCTGTGTTCGATATGATCAAGAGTAACAAGGACTATGACTTCACAAGGACGTAACTGACGATGATCGGCTGGTTTTACTAAAATAGTGATTCTGAGTCGGACTGGATTATCTGTGTTTCAGTGATTCAGTTCCTCCAGGAGCCACCCTGCAGAAGGTCTACCCTCTGCTGCCCCTACTGGCCAACAACAGGGAGAGACGAGGCATCGCCCTGGACGGCAAACTGAAGCATGAAGACACCAACCTGGCGTCGTCCACCATGTGAGTGAAACGGTCTCAGAGGCAGATTCCTCAGTCTGATAAAAACACGTGAATAAAATGGCGTCTCTCCTTCCTCTCAGCGTGAAGGACGGCGTGCTGAAGGAGGTGATGGGGATCATGGTTTCATACAGAGTCACGGTGAAGCTCATCGTTGGAGGGTCAGTCTTTCTTTGAATGCTTCTTACTTCCTGACTTCTGGATCTTTGCTCGACTTTAACTTTCTCTGATTTCTTCCAACGCTCTCAGGATGATGGGATCAAGGTGGGTCCTCTCGCATTCAGACATATACAGAGTGTTTTGGCGTGGTCAGACGCAAAGGTGGTATTTTCCATCTTTAAGAAGCAGAGAGCGTCTTTGTAGGAGGCTTTGAGGGACTGAACGCTTCATCTGACGTGAAAACATCTTCAGATCTCCGAGGAGGGGCTGGGCAGAGGGAGGTCTGGGTAACCCCCAATTTTCACCACATCTGGAACAGCAACGATTTTTCGCCATGTGCCAATTCCTGCCGGATAGGTTAACTTGAATGGTTACAATCAGCTACGATCGGAGGATACGACCTTTTAGTAGACGTTCAGGATGAAGGTGGAGATTGAGGGTTAGTTGGATTGCTTCTCCAGGACTTGATCCTGGACTCATGAGTGTTTTCAGTTTCAGGCCCACATCCTCATGACAGGGTTAGGGGTTAGGGACCAGGCCAACACCCACGATGAAACACATGTCCACACACAACCTCCACAGTAACTGCTACGTCTAAAACCTGAAAATAATCGTGTTGCAGATCATGGCGTAGAGGGTCGTGTTTAAAGGTTTGTTCTTGTGTGTTTCAGCGAGGTCTGCATGGAGGTCCCTTTCAAACTGATGCATCCGAAACCCGACGCAGGTACAGAAGCAGCGCCGCACTCTGACGAAGTATCACTGCATGAATCTGATACTTAAAGATGAAGTTATAGAACTTGAAGTCATGTATATTTATCTTTATGATGAAGGATCCTCGGTCTGATTCGTTAAATCTCTCTTGATTTTTAAATATATTCTGAGGATTAAAACGTTTTTCCTTCTCTTTTTGCTGCCGACAGTGAAGGAGAGGTAAGACTGTTCAGACTCCAAATAAAGATCCTTACAGACGCCCTCCGTCCCTGTCTGATATTAATGAATACAGAAACAGGACTGACTCTGAGCAGGTCGGGCACACGTGGTTTTGTTCACCCTCATATTTAGTGAATTTGTCCTCCGCCTGTCCTCCCTTTTGTTCAGTACTCCCAGGAGCCGGATCAGGTTTCCGGGTCTGTTGTCCCTGATTCAGCTCCTTTTTAAAGCTGTCCTGTGTCTCCATCAGCAGTATCATCTTTCCTCTCTTTGACCTCCACGTTCTCGCTGTCGTTCCTCAGACTTCAGTCGAGGTGAAGTCCGAGCGCTCGCCGGTCAGATGAGGATTATTTAACCCTAACCTCCTCTGTCTGCCGTCCGCAGTGAGATGGAGGAGGAGATGGAGTTCCAGGAGTTCAAGCGTGCCTACCTGAAGGGGATTATCGATGATGATGACGATGAAGAGGGAAATGCATCAGGCGGCGAGGACATGGCGCCTGCAGAGAAATAGAGAGGAGGGTCGGGCAGAGCCGGAACAAAGGCTGCTGGGAGTTGAAGTCGCTTCAGTTTGTTGTAGAAAAAGTTATGGTTAGCATGCTTTGGTAGCAAATACAGAGATTTAGCCATGTGTGCATTATTATTGTTGACCACAAGGGGGCAGAAATGTTCACACACAAATAAAAAAGAGTGAAAAAGACTCAGCTCCGTCTTTAATATCCGGTGACTAACATCGATGGAGCATGCATGACTAGAAACCACTTTTGATCAGGAAGTTCCTCACCCCGACTCAGGTGTCAGATCTCCTCCAGGATGCGATATTTTTTTCATAAGATGGTAGGGGAAGGTCCCGCCTACTTCGCCTCTGATTGGCTAGAAGTGCTGGACTCTGATTGGTTATTCCTTATGGCTGTGAGACGTCATCGTCTGTCCGGTTCGGGTTAGGAGATTTAGAATTGCGATAATGTTCTGTTCGACGTACAGAGCTGACAGGCCGCGCCCGGTTTGAGCGTGCGATGACATTTCACAGCCATAAGGAATAACCAATAGGAGCCCAGCTTTTCTAGCCAATCAGAAGCAAAGGAGGCGGGACCTTCCAACCTAATACTAATACAAATATTGAACCTAAAACTAACTTCACCTCCGTATTTACATGAATAAACATTTGTTGCCTCGGCTGATTTTTTTTATGCACACGTGACCCTAAATACATTTTACAATTCGCACACATCTATTTTAACGGTCGCACTGTCGAGTCCTGGCATTTCAAGACTAATAAACTACTCAGTTATTTCTCAGCCTCTTACTTCTATATATACTGATGAGTAAAACAGGGTCCTTTCAGCTTCTATAGCTGTAGCTCTAGACTTTTAAAAGTGACGATAGAAACGTCTGGAGGAAAAGCAAAAATTCACACCCTCAGGAAGGAAATCATTTTTTAATTTCAGACAGAATCACAGATCGCAGCAAACTGTGTGATCAGAAAGCTGATACAGTTTAATAGAAGTCATTTCACCTTCGAAACATATCCGAGCTATTTCAGATGTTTTATTATAGATCATCAGTCTCAGTTCATGTTAGATATATCTTTAACTTTTCTTCACAATATAAACAGAAGTGGTTTCAGGTGTCACTCTGGTGTAAATGTGGATCTACGGTTTCTCTTTCATTATCTTATGTTTTCTTCTTGTCATTGTTCCAGGTTGACATTTCTTCCAAACTTTGCAGGTTAAGACTCTTCAGATACTCTCACTTATGTCCCTCAGCTAAACCTTAGTAACATCACTTTAGTACTGAGGACGGAGACCGTGGAGGCCGTCCTCACAGTCCCCGTCCTCACCTCCTCCCTGTCCCCCCTCTTTGTTCACTTACAAACTCACCCTCAGTATTCAATCAAGATCTCCAGGTTTAGGAGCATCAGGACTCTGTAGTTGGAGTCCCCACTTGAGGTCTGATGAACCAAAATCTAACACTCTTTTGGAAAGAAAGGACAACTGGACTCGGTTGGGACGTTTCACCTTAGGCAAGACGTCTTAAGTAAGTCCAACTGTCCTTTCAACCTAGAACTGAAAATTATAGATGCTGCATCCTTAGTCTTAAACAATATCTCCAGGTTGAGGAGCAACATCTGCTGCCATCCAGACAAAGTCTTTTTCAGGGAAGACCTTCATATGATCCCAAACAGGGATTACAACAGTATGGCTCTGTAGGAGAAGAGTCCTGGACTGATGCGGTCCTGACTTGACCCCCTTTGAGAACATTTGGAGCATCATGATTGAGGCTGTAATTTGAAGGAAGGAAAACTGTCACAAATTCTTGCTCTTGTTCGAAGTGTTTGTAAAGTAAGTTTGAAGAAGTTTTTTTTTTTTTATGTGGTTTTGGTTAGACGCCCTCGTGGACCACCCTAGGGAACCAGGGACACACCTGTAAGACTTTAAAAGTATAACATGAACCAGTCTCTCCCCCCAGATTAATTGTGACATGCAGCCATATACTCTGACACTTTACCCCCAATTTTCCAGAACGGCGGTGATTTCCGCCGTCCGCCAATCCCTACCAGATCCGTTGGTGAGGCAAATTTCGTGGCGGATTACGGACAGCGGTAATCAAATTCTTATGTGACTGATTTGCTTGGCTTCTGGTCTCAGCACACCTTAACGGTTCCACCTGAGGGGAACATGAATGTCAGAGCGGTTGATCCGGTCCTTGTCTCATTTCTGATATGATTTAGTGAAACAACGCTGATCTTTTGGCGACCACATCAGCAGATCCCCCCCTCTGACCAACAACCACGTCTGGAACAACCAGACCAAGATTACGCCCGTAAATGGAAGAGACAGGAGGGTCAGAGGTCACCTCCTTCCTCCTGTGTATCATCACACTTGAGGGGCTAAAATGTTTAAAAATCTTTTAATTTTAAACAAACATTTATCAGGAGCAGCTTCAGGACTTTCAGGGTGTCACTGATCTGAAATACATTTTTAAACATTGACCGTCCTGCTTCTCTAGATTACCCTTCCTCGAGGACTGCAGTCATTAAGGCATTGATTGTTTGATTGGGTTTGTGCTCTTGGTCATCTATAACTGTAGGACTGACTCGCTGACCTATGGGAGCCAACTATGGGGGGTCAGGGGTCTCAAAGATCATGCCATTCGAACTCTTCAGGTTCTTCAGTCGGCACTGGCTCCCAGTCTCGGTTCAAAGGCCATTCGCAGGTGTCGGGGTACAGCAGATACCCACAGAACGTGCTGCTGCTTTCAGTGTCGGTGTACATGCCGTTGGTGGTGCCGTCCTTCACCTGCAGCCACACCTTGTCTCTTGCAGCGAGGTGGAGAATAACAGTCTGGCTCGTGGTGGTCTGTCTGATTGTTACGGTGTTTATGACCATGGGGTAGTGCTTGAGGAACAGGCCGACCTTAAGAGTTCTCGTGTTGACCGAGAGGTGAAAGCTGAAGACGTAGGTGCCGTTGACAGGTGCCGTGTACATGCCCATGTTTGGGTTGAAGTGATCCTGTCTATTGTAGATGACATTCGGGAAAGGGACGGGATAGTTATGCATCGGGTAGGACTCGTTGAGACTTGCGCAAAATGCAGACTGGATGGTTGGGGTGCAGGGTCCAGGTGGTCCCATGTGACCCATCATCCCCATATCTCCTTGAAGGCCCATAGGGCCCTGTTCACCTTGAGCCCCAGGATCACCTTTGTCTCCTTTGGCCCCCATCTCTCCTGGGTGCCCATCAGTACCGTTCATCCCGTCTGTGCACTCACAAACCCCTTGCTCACCTTGATCACCCTTCTGGCCATCCATCCCAGGGTTACCAGCTGTACCAATGTCACCTTTATCGCCCTTTACACCTTTGAGTCCTTGAGATCCCTTGACCCCAGGTAAGCCCCGTCCTCCTGCTGGCCCAGGAACACCTTGGGGACCCGCTGGACCCTGGACAGTTTCACAGGAGGCAGGGCATGTGCCAGTTTCTCCTGGGGGACCCTGTTCACCTTGGGGTCCTTCCATTCCTGCATCTCCTTTCTGTCCTGTCGACACAAACACACACATCGAGAGTCTACGGTGAGGCTAAGCTAGTGGGGGCGTCGTTCCCGTCAAAGGCAATGTACAGTGAAAATAAATCATAACCTGCTCATTTCTCAACTGATTCTTATGTGATTTACTTTATTTTCAACACCAAAACATGTGCTAATAATACAGAACATTTGATTTAATAAAAATAAATGTTTAATCGAACGTTCTACATTAACAGCACGTCTCGGCTATTGGGAAGGTTGCCCCCACCAAAATGGCTGCCATGTAGGCACGTTGTGACAGGATGCTGGCATATCTAGTGTTCTGTACATGTCTGTGGAGGACATGGCCGAGGTCTGAGGTTGTTACCAAGCAGTAGTTGTTGTTAACCCGACCTGAATCATGGACAGGTGAACTCATAGAAGTGTTTCAGGGATTAGGAAGAGCAGGTGGAGACACAGACATCATACTTAGAGGAGAAGTTAGAGTTCAATCAGCAAACCTTTGAAGCCTCGGCTGCCCTTCACTCCAGTGAAACCAGCAGGACCAGTTTGCCCCTTCTCGCCCCAGTCACCCTTCTGACCTGTAACAACAGAAAAGGACAAAAATTACCAACAAACTTTGACATTTTATGTCAATTTTAGCTTTTCAATGTTATTTCCCAGATATCATGACTTTCAGAGTCATCTTGCACCCAAGCTAAGGCTACCGTTAACTTTTTTAGGAACATGCTCATCGCAAACCCCATCCCCCGTCCAAATAAGAAAATCTTGTCCCCCAAAATAAGTCGGCGACAGCTAATGGACCAACAGAGGATCTTTAAATTTTCAGAAAGGCCAACACCGTCACGGCCTGTGTGAGTTATTTCCTCCTGTAGTCATTTCCAGGACTGTGTCATGTTTCCTGTCACTTACAGTCCGGTGTTTTGTGTATCTCACCTTTTATCCCTTGAGCGCCTGTGAATCCTGGACGACCCTTGAACCCCGTCATTCCTCTTCTCCCAGGACTCCCAGGTGCACCTGATCGGACATCAGAGTTAGGTCAGAACAAAGAAGTACTCTCTCTGATCAGAGTTGGGGTTTGGGTTAGGGTTAGAGGGTTAGGGTTAGGGGGTTAGGGGGTTAGGGGTTTGGTTTAGGATTTGGGTTAAGGTGCAGCTGCTCAGGGCTCCAGGATTGACCCTTTCTTTGCCCCCTTTATTCTCTCTAATTCACAGATCAGATTAAACCCTCACATTGTCCTTCAGCTCTCCACAGTTTGATCTTGTTTTCTGTCTGATTGTGGAGATGAGCTTCAGCATCTCTGAAAAGATGAGCCCGGATCGGACCCCTTTAACCCCTTTGGACGTACTTTGTTAATTAGATAATGTCTTCTCAGCACATTTGGACAGTTTAGTGAGCGCAAAAGTCATCCAACCCTTTCATGACTCAGACCTCCTGTTTTTTCATGTGTAAGAAGATTTAACAAAACTGCTGTGATGCTTTTGTTTTTATTCTTTGAAGCAGCTGAATGTGGATGACCCAAACTCCCTGTTTTCACACATTAAGACTTTAGTTTTTTAACTTTTTCTTTACATGATGATTTTAATATTTCAGCCCTGTCAGATTTTGTATTTGAACATTGACCACTTTCAAACTTTATATTTTTACTGTATTAGAGGCTCTTCTGTCCCGCTGCCTCTCCTGTAACTCTGGAGAAATCTGGCACTAGAAATCTCCTCAAGATTAAGAAAGTCTGACGTCAAACTGAGTCGTAGTAAAAGCTGTCTCCATACCTGGGGGTCCCCGGTCTCCAGGGTCTCCTTTGGGCCCCACGGTGCCCTTACAGTGTGTGCAGAGGCAGAAATAAGGTATCTGGTCCATGGGTGGAGGCACCGCCTGGTTCATCATCATGTCGCACATAGATGTGTCCGGTATGTACGGCATGTCTGGGCCCATGCCTACGTCGTCAAACATCCGTGATTTACTGGGGCCCTCCGTCATGTTGGCATCGGGGGCCCATGATGGTGGGATCCCACGGGGGGCGGGCCAGTCCGTATCTATCGGTGGAGGATCTTGATCTGGGTCACCGGTGGGGTTTGGGATCAGCATCCCTGAGCAGAGAGCAGAGAGGACGAGGAGTCCCAGCAGCCTCAGCAACATCTGGAAGAACGACAGAGAGAGGGAAGATCGTCAGATTTTAAATCAGTTTGAGTCAATTTAGAGATTTTTGCAGAAACGATCGAACATCCAGACCCTGGTGGAAATACAGATCCTACTCCAGCCCGTGTAAACTGCTGTGAAATTCTGAAATCAAATCTTCAGAGTTGTTGAGGAAAGACTCACCGTTCTGTCCGAACTGTGCAGCATCGTCTGGAGAAGATCTGTGGGAAGATGAGCGGGATGCAGGCGGCTTTGATCACTTTATAAACCTCGCCCAAAACAAAACGTCATTCAGGATCCAGCTCACCTGCAGACAAAGGCTGAGGACTCGGAGGGAGGGAGGAAGGCCCGCTGTCTTTGTCCCGCTGAGGAGGAACTGGGCCGCCTCTCGGAGACGTGACCTCCTTCACCACGAAACTGCAAAATCATATTCAGAGCAGAAAGAGGAGAAACGTCTCAGTTTATCTCTCCATCGCTCTCCACCCTCCTCTGTCTCCTATTATCCTCTCGATAAATACATCCCCACTCCATCTCACCTTTCACAGCTCCTTTTAACCCAACACGTGGTTCTGTCCGGGAATATTCACTTCGACCGTTCATCTTTAATCCGCCCAATGATTTTAATCCAGCTCTAGTTTTAGTTTTCAGACAAGTTACTCAAATGTTTTCACGTTTAGAAGAAAAAGTACAGTGGCCTTTAGAGGATTCACCCAGACTATGACAAAAAAGGAAATAGTCAATAATCTGAGTACCTGAGATTTGGTGGTTTGAAAATCAATCCATAATCAATCAAAGTTTGGGAACAACCAAATCCAGAAAACAACCACACGTCTTGTCTTTGTTTGTGTGCTGTAAGGTGACCGTGAGCGTCCTGACATGATTTAAGACAAACTTCCAAAAACACAAACATATCCAAAGTTACCATCAAATCTGGGAACCGTGACCAAATTAAACCACCAACAACACCTGGAAACACGCCCATATTTGGATATAATAATAAAGGACTTTCGAGAAAACAAACAGAAAACGACCACATGTTAATTGTCTTTTTAATTGTGCTGTCAGGTGAGCATGAGCGTCCTGAAATAATTTTATCATTTATTATCAAAAACAACCACAATCATGACCAAATAAAACCACCAACAATACCTGGAAACACGCCCATATTTGGATATGATAATAATGACCTTTCAGAAAACAACCAAATCTGGAAAACGATCGCACGTTAATTTTCTTCTTAATTGTCCTGTAAGGTGAGCATGAGCGTCCTGAAAGGCACCAATAAATGAAAGGTATTATAATTATTATTTATTATCAAAAACAACCATAACTATGACCGAATAAAACCACCAACAACACCAGGAAACGCGCCCATATTTGGATATAATAATAACGACATTCCAGAAAAACAACCAAATCTAGAAAAAAAAAAAGGTTATTGTCTTAAGGTGACTGTGAACAACCTGAAAGGTGCCTATAAATAAAACATATCATTATTATTATTTATTATCAAAAACAAGCATAACTATGACCAAATAAAACCATCACCAACAGCAGGAAACACGCCCATATTTGGATAAAATAATAACGACATTCCAGAAAACAACCAAATCTGGAAAAAACAAATGTTATTGTCTTAAGGTGACTGTGAACAACCTGAAAGGTGCCTATAAATAAAACATATCATTATTATTATTATTTTATTATCAAAAACAAGTATAATCATGACCAAATAAAACCAACACCAACACCAGGAAACACGCCCATATTTGGATAAAATAAGAACGACTTTCCAGAAAACAGCCAAATTTGAACAACTGCACAGTAAAACAAAAGAGGACTCAAATAGACCAGATCACCAAAGTTCAAAAACAATAAAAACCCTCTAACCCTAACTTCCTGATCATTAAAGGAAACCTTTGAATCGGCACATTTGTCTGATTCTTTCCTCCGACCCTCAGATTGTGCAGAGACCGGTCCTGTCGTGACGCTGACTGAATTATTAAGGTTGGACTGAAAACAAAGAGGATTTCAGAGACTCCGTGTTGGATCATCATCACCTGATAAGGAGGATTTTTTTTCTTTTTCTGCTTTGTACTCAGGAGAAGAGTTGGCACAAGACGTTACTCAACAGTAATCGAACACCCTGAAAGTATCCAGCCTTCACAAAGAGCAGCCTACTTTTACTTTTAACTCGTGAAACAGACGAGGACAAAGACCGAAGGATCTGAGTACATGATGTTTGTAAAAATCATTACAGTTAGGAGGAAACTCTGCGCAGGTTTTGGTCCTGAACAGTTAAAAAAAAAAGAAAGAACAGAGGACAAAGAGACGAATCTCCTGTCAGACAGTTTAGACAGCTCTGCTTCCTCCTCTCTCTTTTCTTCCTCCCTCTACCTTTCCTTTGTCTGTTTTGGTGTCAGTGAGCGATAAGGAGCTCAGATGGTAATCTGACCTCCTGCTGAAGACTCACTGCTGCTGTTATGACTGATGTCCATAATTTCCTCTTAGAGACGAATCAACGGGAAAAACACTCACTTCTCTTCTCTATAATATAAGTGTCTGTCATTTGTGCTCAGATGATTGAGCTTTAGTTACTCAGAGTTTGTACGGACTACAGAAGTTTCATCTGTTTATTCACACACTAGAAAGTCCTGGGTTGTTTTTTCAACCCAATGGAGTTGAATATTCTGAGTACCCAGTTCACAAAGATATTTATGTTGGGAACAGAGTTATTAGCTGTTTGTTTATTGAGGACTACCCAACACATCGGGTAGACATTCAGGCATTTCAAAACCAAGCTCCACCCACTCACCAGACTGATGCGAGGAGACGTACAAACCAAGGTTTGTAACATTCCCATTATTGTTTGACCATAAAGATGACTTGATATTATTATATAGACCCTCATTTAAGATGTAAGTTCGTGGAACGCCGTCGTGTACCAGCTTCTGCCTTCAGGAGTCGATCGGTAGGTGAGCGAGCTAATGGTTAGCCAACGTTTGTAGCATAAAGTGAATTGCCTCAAACGTAGAAAGCTAACACGTTAGCTGATGTGTGGTGCAGTGTGGTCAGACATGTTGAACTCCTGCTTTAACGGACTCTCTGTCTTGATGTTTCAGGTTGATGCGAACAATCAGTGGATGACTTTGTGACGTGGAGCGGAGTGGATGCAAGATAAAACCTCCTGTTCTGTTTTGTTTATTTTGAAAAGATAAGAAAACATATATAAAAAAAAGAAAAATGGCAAACGTTTACAAACTCTGAAGTTCATTCTCCGTCAGTAAAATGAAAAGGAAGCGGCAGTAGCTCAGGAGGTCGAGCGGTCGTCCAATAACCCAAAGTTTGGCGGTTCGATTCCCCCCTATCCAGAGTCTGTCTGTTGTGTCCTTTGGCAAAACACTTAACCCACCTTGCTCCCAGTGTGTGTCCTCCTCTGGTGTGTTGTGTGGTGGTCGGAGAGGCTGCAGGAGCAAACTGGCCCCAGTGCAGCTACTAAGGTAGTTTACCACCACCAAGGTGTGACTGTGTGTGGCAATCCAAATGCTGGTTTTAAAGAACCCAATTGTTGGGTTCAGTAACCCAGTATGTGTTCTGTCCAATATTTAACCAGTGCTGGGTTTGGAAACTACCCATAGTTGGTTGTTTTTAACCCGGTGTTTTTAAGAGTGTATGGACACACAGACTCGGCCTTTATTTGGGGCAGGCCTTTAATTATTTCCCTTCTTTCTTTCTCAACTGGAGGTTAGTTCAGATAACAACAAACACGGCCAGGAAACTTTGAAAATGTCTAACACAGCCGTCCTTAACGATAATCTGGTACCTCAGAGATGTTTATGTAAAGTGAGGAGAATCAGGCTCCTCCCCCATCCTCTGCACCTCCTAAAACATCATTAGTCACACCATGGCTGAATCGCTGTTGGAATCAGAGACGCCTCCTTTATGTCTCTGCACCGGCTTTTATTCTGAAAAATCAAAACAGCGAAGGACACAAAGGTAAACCGAGCCGAGGGAACACGGCCCGGGAACAAAAGGAGACAAGGAGATGAATAGTTAACCCTGATAGGCGTCCTGGTTTCCACAGCCGGAGGGACTCTGCCTCCACCCTGGAGGCTGGCCAGGGTTTCACACCTGTACCTGCTCTCAGTAAACAAGCTGCATTCCTGTTTGAACCGCTTTACTGACGGTGATGAGGCGGAGACGAAGGGCAAACCGGGGTCAGTCGAGGCTCGGTGGACCGCAGAGGGATTCAGTGATAGATGACCTCTGGGGAGGAAGGCGAGCTTTGGAGGGTTAGACTATGATGGCGGGTGTTGGTGTGTTTATGTCTCAACAAGAACAGGTAACCGTAATCAAAGAACCCTAACTGGCCTTAAAGACGGTTTCAGCTGTTATACAAGACCGCATCAGTCCAGCTCCTCGGCAGGACTCAAGTAAGTCCAGTTGTCCTTTCCATGCGATGACTTCCACTCCAGAGTCCTGTCTGTTTTTAACGCCCTGAAGATCAGGACCGTCCAGTCCTGGTTTTGGTCCTTGTCCTGGTTTTGGTCCTTGTCCCCCTTTAGTACAGAGATTTCTGCAGATCCTCTGAACCTCTGAATGACATCATGTTCTGTAGATGATGAAATCCACTCAAACTGTTGAACTTTTAGCTCACACAGTTTCTCACAGAGCCCGCCGAAATCTCAGCGTGGGTTCAAACTGGATGTAAACCATCTCAGCATCCATGGTCCTGATGTTTCTGCTAAATCTGAAGATGCTTCTGCAGGTTCCTCATCAGATATTACATTCCACAGAAATAGATGGGAACATCTACCATAAAGGTTTTCTTTTGCCTCTGACTGTCCCATGTCTGAATCACAAAGACTGAAGGGACTGCTGGGACCACGGTGCGTATTATTTTCACTTCAGTTACGTAATGTACACTCGCACAAAGATGATAAAGAACGAGGCGTCGAACAGCTCGAAATGTCCAAGATCATAAAGATATCCACGGACCAACAAGAGGAAGAAAAAACTCTCTGAAAAGAACTCGAGACACTAAAGTCCTGGAACTCCTGCTCCAATCACAACTCAACATGAACCAAAACTGACCAAGAAACCATAAACATGATCCAGAAAAACCAGTGACTTCTCTGGAGTCCAGTTGAATTGGAAATCATGGACATCACAGTCTGTGCCCAAAGAAGAAAGGGACGCCCAAGCTTGTTCTCCCAGGACTTGTCTGTGAACTGAACTGAGGTCTGATGGATAAAAATCGGACACTCTTTTGGAAAGGACAACAACAAAGAGTTACAGTTGAAACCAGAAGTTTACATACACTTTATAAAAAGGCACATAACCTTTTTTTTTTCCTCACTGTCTAAAATTAAATCAGATTAAACTTTTCCTGTTTTTGGTCAATTAGGATTTTCAAAATTATTTTTATTTGCTAAATACCAAAATAATACGAGAGAGAATTTTTTAGACAATTTTTGATTATTTTCTCAAGAGTCAGAACTTTACAAACACTAATTGAAGAGAAAAAAAAGGTTATGTGCCTTTTTATATAGTGTATGTAAACTTCTGGTTTCAACTGTAGAAATCATAGATGCTGCTTCCTCTGACAATATTTATAACCAAGCTGCGGAGACATAGAGCTAGAGATAATAGATGTGGTCAGGACTGTGGTCTGTTTAAGCCCTAAAGAGGTCATGGTGGACCACAATCAGGAGGAGACTGTCTGTTTTTAGTTACCCTCTTGAGTCTGTGGAGTTTCTCCTGAAGAAAGGAGTCGGTTTGGACTTTGAGGGATTTTCAGGAAACCGCGTTGTGTTGCTGAGATGAGTGGGTGTAAGTTAAAGGGCAGGTTTTGGTGTTGACAGCGTTGGCAGACAGCGCTGATCCGCAGACTGTGGACTCTCAGTAAACACAGGCGGTTAGTTATTAACAGCAGAATCTGAGCGGACCAGCGTCTACGTCCCGGGCTGTGATCCTTCACACGTAAGTAAAGAAATCCTCGTCTTTGACCTGAGTCCGAGTTTAGGGTCTCAGTTTTGTGATGTTTGGGCAGTTTTCGGGGGGTGATCTCGGCTTTGCTGTCAGCTCTACTGACCCTGTTGTTTTGGTAGTGGGGTCAAAGGTCACAGGGGTTCAAACGGGGATCATCTCTGGCCTCTGTGTTGTCAGCTGAAAATGGTCGACACAGTAGAAAGTTTCACAGAACCAGCTGAGATTGTTCAAACGTTTAAATCGGACTAAACGGATCAGTCGGACCTCAGTTTTGTGATTTTGACGTTCTCTTCTTTCTCCAGCGCTGCTACAGTTCAACTTCTTCAACCTGCTTTCATTTGGTCTGTATCCTCCCTCCAAAGATGAAATATGGATTATAAATATCAAAAATTGGTCAATATAAACAAAGACTTGTGTTTGATTGGCTGCAGGTCCGGCTGAGGTCATGTCCCGCCTCCTCTGCCTGTCCGTCATCCTCGCTCTGTGGTCGGCGTCGGTGATCAGTATGTCGGGTGAGTGAATGGACGGATCATTTCAAACGGACCACAGGAACATACAGGAAGCTAAAGTTTCATATTCATCTGAAATATTAACTGTGGTCAAAGTTGAGCTGTATTATTATTATTATTATTATTATTATTATTATTATAACTATTTTATTATTTATATTATTATTATTATTATTATTTATTTTGTTGTTATTGTATTATAATTGTTATATTTTTAGTTTTATTATAATTGTTATATTTTTATTATTATTATTATTAACTTTATTTTAAATTTTTACTATTATTACTGTCATTATTACTATTTTATGATTTATAATTATTTTTACTATTATTATTATTATTATTATTTTATTGGTAGAAGTAGTAGTAGTTTTTTAGTTTTATTATTATTTTATTGTTATAAAAATTAGTAGTAGTAGTTGTATTTGTAATAATGATATTGTTATTAACTAAAATATTTGTTGTGTGGGTAACGGCTGTCGGCAGGACTGCAGGAGAGTCACTGAAACAAATATGAAATTAAAAACTATTTCAAAATACAAAATAATGACATTTTAATTTTTCCTGATTATCTATTAAAATTCATGAATTGATCATGATTGAAAGATTAAAAGTGATTTCTTGGCACGTCTTCACTTAATTTTCTCCTTATTTTTATAAAGTCAGGAGAATTTTTTTCTGCACTTTCTTATTTATAATCCCAGAAAATGTTTATTCTTTTTACACTTATATAAGAGTTTGCAAAAGAAGAGAAACTTCAGATTTATTTTTATATTTTTGATTTTATGATTTCAGATGTTTAAATTATTTCTTTCAAACTCTGTGACTTAAAAATCCTGAAGAATATTCAAGATTCCTTTGAGCAGATTAATGTCTGAATAATCTCTGAGATATTCACGTTTTTATATCTCGTACTGAAGAATCTAAATCTGTGTTTTCCCCAAAATATTATGCCTCCATTATATAAAAAACATTCTTCATATTAAGGTTTCATTATCTCAGATCATACCCGTCTTTGCTGATTATTTGTGAGTTAAATCTTTCTTCTGTCTTTTGTGAGGCTCTAACCTCAGAGATGCTGATATTTCCTCCCCTCATCCATTTTAGTTTCCCTCTGTTTTCAAACTTAGAGTTCAGTTCTTTGTCTTAAAGCAATAATCCCTCTAAGTGAGTAAAAACCTCCTCTTTCTCAGTGTTCTCGGACCCTCCGGAGGCTCACATGCTGCTCCGCACTCGCAGGGCCAACTCCTTCCTGGAGGAGCTGAAACCGGGTTCCATGGAGCGGGAATGTGTGGAAGAAATCTGTGACTTTGAGGAGGCCAGGGAGATTTTCCAAGTCAGGGAGGCGACAGTAAGAAAGATTCATGTTTGATTCGTGTTTTCATAAAATCCTGATCCGGAAATCAACTTGTTCTCTGACGGTCTCAGCCCCGTAGAGTCGTCTCTAACTCTCACTGTAAATTCTTCGCCTCCCTGATTTTGTCGTTTTGTTTGTTCACAGCTGGAGTTCTGGACGGTGTACTCAGGTATGAAACCGTCAACATGTGAAATAAAGTCAGTATCTGGGTTGGACCGGGCTTCATGTTGACGTCACCTTGTTTCAGATGGAAACCAGTGTCGCTCCAACTTGTGTGTCCATGGTCGCTGCGTGGATCTGTACCAGGACTACGCCTGCCGCTGTGAGCCCGGGTACGAGGGGAAGTACTGCGAGCACCGTGAGTCAGGCCGAAAGCCTAAAGAAGATGTTTGTCTTATAACCCACTTCCCTGCAAAAACCAGAGTCCTTATGGTTGCGTTCCAGCTCAGACAGCCACGAACTGCTCCGTTGATAACGGCGGCTGTGACCACGACTGTACGGAGAGCGAGGACGGGAAGTCGAGGAGCTGCAGCTGCGTGGACGGGTACAAGCTGCTAAGTAACTCCAAGACGTGTGAGGCGAAAGGTGAGAGGTCACATGAGTTCATGACCACTTCATAAAGATCACATCAGCAGCCGTCAGACTCTACCTCCTTCAAATTTGAGCTCAGAGTGATCGACTAAACCTGTTAGCAGGTAAACGATCCAGGAGCTGATTCGACCTCCTTCAGCCTTATTTACAAAAACACCTACAGCCTCGAACAAACTCAGAGTCAGAACAGAGTCTAACCCCCAGTTTTTACCGCATCCGGAACGGCATCGATCCAGAACGGCGTCGATTTACCCCCTCCGCCAATTTCTACCGGATCTGTTTGTGAGGCAAATTTTGTGGCGGATTATTGACAGCTGTAATCACGAGAACTCACAAGAACCCACAGATTCACGTTCAATCGCGGGATAACGAGTTGTCTCTCTAACGACAGACACATAGACATATAAGCAGTAGATTGTGTCCTTCCAGAGGAGGAAATCTACTTCTAGACTTCTAGAATCAGCATCTCCTCATCCATGGTGTCATCGGGGTGAAATGACGTCTAAAGACCTTTCACTTGTTCGTCTCCGCCTGTTGTTTTATTTTGTGTCTGTGCCCGACTTTCTTTCCAGCACGGGTTAATCTGTGCTGAATTTGTCGGCGTCCGGAAAAAATAGAACTCTTGTGATCAGCTGTGGAATCCAGCGACCCGCAGTGGAACGGAAAGAAGTCGGTGTAAATTGACACGTTAACTTGAATGGTTACGATCAGCTACGATCGGAGGATACGACCTTTTAGGAGACGATCAGGATGAAGGTGGAGATTGGGGGTTAAACTGGTTATAAACTGAATAATTTGTCATTATTTGATTTCGTTACTAAGCACGAAGGATTCTCCCTCTCCTCTGGCCGAACGTACACTGAGATTGAATTTCGCTCTGTCAGGATTAGAGCGCACAGAGCAGCTCTGAGCAGCAGAGAGTGGATAGTGTGAACGTATGAATGTATGTTCTGTGTGACAGGGTTACTCAGGCTAATAATTCACTTGTTTGTTAATTATGAGAAGCCCGGTCACAGCTTGAATATCAGACTTTACGATCACAGTAACAGGAGCGTATGTCCTGCCAGAAACCATTGTTTTTTATTTTACGAGATCGTTGAACGGACCCAAACATGACCTGGAGTAAAGGTTAGTACATGTCTCTGCAGGTCGCCTATCCTGCGGTCAGCTGCTGATCTACAGGTCGTCATACTCCGGACCAATAGTAGGCCCGATGCCCTGGACAGTGGGAGGGGAGGTGGGAAAGAGAGGCGAGAGTCCCTGGCAGGTAACTTCCCCGCTTACACTCACCTGTGACACACCTGTGTTTTACAGTGTCAGTGCACAAGGATGAAGGGGTCAAAGGTAAAAGCATGGATGTGGAATTCAACTTGATACTGCAGAAGAAGATTTATGACCCGTGATCATTAAACTTAAGGAAATAAAACTGGAGTGAATCAGATCCTGGTCCGACCAAAGAGATGGGACATGAGTAAAACTGTAGTTTTCTTGTCTCTGTCCGGACTTCTTTAAATCATGTTGTTGGTATCAGATTTCACATGATCCAGCAGATAACGGAACATTAAGTCTCGGTGAATTTGTCTCTGTGTTCAGGTGTTGTTGCTGAACGCTCGAGGACGTTTTCAATGTGGCGGTGTCCTGATTGATGAGAGCTGGGTCCTGACGGCCGCTCACTGCCTGGAAGACAACCTGAGATTCAGAGTACGGCTCGGTGAGGAAATAACCTTTCCCATCTCAATATCGAAGTCCAACCAAAGCCATCGAGTTTCTCCGTTCTGTTCAATTTTGTTTTGCATCTCCATCCTGCTGCACACGGCTGCACTGTGCACTCTCATCCTGATGAGGTTTATATAGTTTTTATAAAGATAATAAACTGAACAGAGCGGAGGAACTCTTGGTCAGTTTAGTTAAAGTTGTGGTGAACAACGAGATGCTGTTCAACAACACGATTCTGTCCACGAACAAGAGGACAGGAAGTTGGTATCTCCCACCTTTACTTCCATCGCTCCGGTGAAACCCTGTGATGTGTCTCCTCAGGTGACTACGAGCGTACCAGGGATGAAGGCAGCGAGGTAACTTTAAAGGTCATACAGACCTTCAGGCATCCGAACTATGACCGCCTGACGGTGGACAATGACATCGCCCTGATGCGCCTGGAAACGCCGGCCCCCTTCTCTGATTACATCCTCCCGGTCTGCCTGCCGGGACGTGAAATGGCAGAGCGGGTGCTCCACCTCAACGGCACTCAAACCGTCGTGACGGGCTGGGGCAAGGACGACACGGAGAACGGTCACATAAGCTCGGCGCTGAACGTCATCAAAGTCCCGCTGGTGGACCGTGAAACCTGCTCCCATCAGATGTCCAACAACATCTCCACTAACATGCTGTGTGCCGGGATCCTGGGAAAAAGCATAGACGCCTGTGAAGGGGACAGCGGCGGACCCATGGTCACTCTGTACCGGGATACGTGGTTCCTTGTCGGCTTGGTGTCCTGGGGTGAGCGCTGCGGTCTAGTGGACAAACTGGGTATCTACACCAAGGTGTCCAACTACAACCAGTGGATCAAAGAAGTGCAGGAGGAATGGGACAAAACTCACCACCCCAGTTTCTGATCCACCTGGACCCCCAACAGTCTGACAGACCCCCATACTCAAAAATGAACTCCTTTTAGATACGCTGATTCTGTCCCACAATGCCTCAGTTTCCTTTGTCTCCACCACTGTCATGACCCTTGACCTCTCTGCAGTGTGTCTAAAATCAAGAAAACAAGACAAGACCGTTAAACTGGAGTTGTCAAAAACTGCAGATCCTGTAGTGTCCACTAGAGGCTGTCTTGTGAGGCGAGCCAGCCCCCATAGAGCCTAATGTTAAGATGTCCAACGTATCCAACTGACAGCAGAAATAAACATGTCTACACAGTCTGTGTCCACGGCTCCTCCCTCTGTTTACTGTCTAAAGTTTTTACTGGACTCTCCTGTTTTAGGATTACCCCCAATCTCCACCTTCATCCTGATCGTCTCCTAAAAGGTCGTATCCTCCGATCGTAGCTGATCGTAACCATTCAAGTTAACGTGTCAATTTACACCGACTTCTTTCCATCGGACTCCTCAGCTGATCACAAGAGTTCGATTTTTTCTGGACGCCGGAGCATGGCGGATAAATGATTCTAGAAGTTTAGAAGTAGATTTCCTGCTCTGGAAGGACACAATCTACTGCTTATATGTCTATGTGTCTGTCTTTAGAGAGACAACTTGTTATCGTGCGATTGAACGTGAATCTGCGGGTTCTTGTGAGTTCTCGCAATTTCCGCTGTCCATAATCCGCCAAGAATGTCGCCTCACAAACGGATTCGGTAAGAAATGGTGGACGGCAAAAATCGGAGCCGTTCCAGATGTGATGCAAATTGGCGGTTAGGGCTGTATATGATTGGGGGTGTGGCCTCTTTGAGCACAAGTCACAGAAAAAAAACAGAGCAGAGTCCCGAATACTGAAGACATGTCTTTACTTTATTTTGAAGGATTATAATGGACGTAAGGACAGCAGCAGAGTCTTAAAGGAATATTCCGACGTAAAATTAATTTAGGGTCAAACACACCGTAACGCCGAGTCAGACCCCCCCTCCAGAGATGAATGTTGTCGACCGCTTGATTCTCTAGTTATACCAACTTTAGTAAACTTAAGTAAAGTTGCGGTCGTTACTAAAGTTGGTATAACTAGAGAAGCAAGCGGTCGACAACATTCATCTCTGGAGGGGGGGTCTAACTCGGCGTTACTGTGGGTTTGACCCTAAATTAATTTTACGCCGGAATATCCCTTTAACTTCCACAGACTCACATTTGAAACTATCGCTTTAAATACAGTTTTAACTGGCAGCACCACAACATCATGAATAACACACACCTGAGAACCACACACACACACACACACACACACACACACACATTCCTTCATAATACATCTTTCTGTGTTAGCATGAAGCTACAGCTGCGTCAGATAACTTCCTGTTTTCATTTCCGCCCGTCACTTTCCCAATAAGGTTACAGATTGTACAAAGCTGTTAAAATAGTTTAAATTCAAGTAAGTGCCGCTGTAAAGTGCTTCTAAGTCGAGATAAAGGATTCGTTTTTAACTTATCCATAACCTGAGGCTAGCTGTTTCATGGCAGCAACAAGCTAGCTTTTGTATACATTGTTTTAGCGAGCTTATTCTGCTGTTTACTTTGAGCCGTCTGTTTCATGATGAATCGTTTTTTTTAGCTTGTTTCTATCGCTAATGCGTCACTTTTAGCTAGTTTTTGCTGTTCACTGTTTGGGCTAGCTTTTTCATGATTTAGCGTTGGCTTCGGCTAGCTAACTGTTCTTTTCGTGTCGACTTTTTTAACCAGCTGTCCTCTGTTTTTGGACAAGCGCTAGGTAAATATCGTCGTTAGCTGTTTTCGCTGTTCATTATTTCTGATACACAATTGTTCAAGCTGTTTATACAAACTTAATCCGTTTTGTAAGCTAGCTCATGTACTCTCCTTATAATCTTAGCTAAATTGACCCTTTGTACATTACGATAAATGACTTTATACTTTCTTTGCTATCTTTTCAGCTAGCTTAAAGTAACGGGTTGAAGTTCTGAGCTAAAATAGAGGAAAACAGTTGTGACATTTATAGAAAAAATTAACCGAACAAACTATGAGAAAAGGTGCTAAAGGTTCAGTTATTTTCACAGAATTTTCTCTGATATTTTTAATTTGCTGTTAAAGCTAATGTACTAAGTTACTTTAGCAAGTTTATTTTTTAATAATTATCTTTAGCTAACAAATTCATCCATTTTGCGACACCCTTAAACTTTAAGTTTTATTTTTATTTAATGTTCTTGTTTGATGTTTATCTGCGACTTTTTAAAATTTCTTCTAATTCCATATTTTTCCGCAGATTTCCCGTTACTTTAAGCTAAATATTAAATCATTAAATAATCAAACTTTTGCAAATCAAATTAACCTTGTAATTTGATTTGAATCACTTTTATATTTTGCTAATAGTTTCGGCAGTTAGCTTATTTGTTAGCTGTTTGGCTTGTCGGCTAACTCTCGCACCCTCTTCTAATCTCAGTTCAGCGGTACGCGCTCTCTAAATGAATTTATTCTTTGCCTAAAATCAACGAGTTTTTGTTCTAACGGGTTCAGATCCTCCATCTTGGTTCTATGTACCCACTACAGACCTAAACGCCCCCCTGAGGTACAGCTGGCCTAGAGTAGAATAATGTTCATTAACCTGAGCTCTAACTTTTATTAATAAATACATTTTAAGACATTTAAAGGTTTGTTGTTGAAGTGTCAACTATTTACAGCACCTCGAGTTAAATACGTCTAAAACTTTACACTAAAACAGAAACTGAAGTGTTAATATTACTTACAGGTGAATTCAGATGTTTTCAAGTATTTTGACGTAAATGTTGGAGCATCTTATCGAAACTTTGTGCTTATTATTGTGGACGAGCTGAGTGTCTGAGGTTCGAGTTCAGAGGTGAATCAGTGTCTCTGTCATGACTAAAAGCTGTGCTTCCTCTACTGAAGTTATTATGACTTCATGTTTAATTAAAAAGTTGTCTAGGTCGTTATATTTCAGAAAACTGCAAAATGAAAAATGTGTTCAGTTTCTGTCATTTTAGGAGAAAATAAAAACAAACAAATAAATAAATAAATAATGACTTTCTAAAAAAAATCCTTAAAATCTGCAGTATCCTGATGTAACGCTGGTTCAGACAGATGCAGCGCTCTAAAATAACCTCAGAGCTCAGCTTTCAGTCGAGTCTCTAATAACTCTTGTTTGAAGGTTGTTGATGTGAGTGAAGTTACATTATAGTTCAACACTAACCTGACAACACAGACCGTCACCACACTGACTCACTCACTGCATCACTATGTGTGTAAATGCTTCCATCTAGAGGTACAAAGTGGAACTGCGACCATCAATGTTTAAATCAGACACAGGAACATTTCATCAAAGTCGAATAAAGACGAGTTCACAGTCGAGAAAACACCGACATTTTGACTTTACAGAGACTTTCTTTAAATATTCAGACTGACGAAGGGAAACGTTGAACTCAGACACTATTTAAACTGATGATACATGTCAGTTCAAATCTCAGTATTTACTGAGCGATGGAAAGAAAACCCTGAGGTCATCGTGATGATGAATGAGAAGGTCTCAGTCACACCTGAATTAGTTCACCTTCTGTCTCATAAATCAGCTGTTATACATCAAACTCTTCAGATATCCTGAAACATCATTTAGGCTGAGGATTCAGATTAAACTATCTCACTCCATTATTGAGTTTAATTCTTGATTTTCGTCTGAACTACTAGGAAATATTTCTAATCTGTTTTATTTCACTTTCTAATTTTACTTTCTCTATTTGCTGCAGAAGCTGCCAAAATGGAACATACATGTCATTTAACTGAGCTTTAAAACTGCCGTGTTTTCTTGTTCTAGTTTGTATAACTGGTTGTGATATATAAGTGTGATATAAATAAAGCTGCCTCGCCTGAAGCCCAGGATAAAATATCTTTAGATCTGAATCACAGTGAGTACAGATCCATCAGACCAACGTCCCGCCGTCTGTCGGTCCGTCTTTGTCGCCGTCAGTCCGTCTCTCCTCGCCTCTTCTTCAGCTCCTGCTCGTATCTCTGCAGCTGCGACATGAAGCCGGGGTTCGGATCGATCATGTGACGAGCCGTCTTCACCTTCTGAGCAGAGAGACACAAACAAATACTGAGGAGTGTCTTTACAGAGCAGCTGTCCCATCATGTCCAAAATGAAACCTCTGTAAGGGTTTGTAAACACGACACGTGGATGTGATGATTCTTCTTTTTCTCATGTCTTTAGTTTATTTATTCAGCCTTCCTCATGTTTCTTGTCCTTCCTGTTTTATTTTGAAATTCACTCATGACTCTTGTTTCAGGTCTCTTGTGAGTCCTGCTCCCTGATTGGCCTGATGTGGTCCACCTGTGTCTCGTTATCGACCCTCCCTGTAAGTATTTAAGCTCAGCCTTCTCTCCACTCCGTCTTGGTCCTCTGTGTCAAACGTTTCCCTCGTGTTTCTCTTCCTGTTTTTTTATTTTAATTGTGTTTTTAGACTTTAGTTTTTGCCTTTCTGTTTGGATACTTCTACCTGTGTGACTGCCTACCTGTGACCTGTGTACTGAACAGGAATCGGCAGACGATCAGGATGTGGTGGAAATCCCGGGTTATTCATTAGAGTTTATCTGATCCTGCTGCAGGAGTCGAGTTTGAGCGCATGTCTGTGAAACCTGAACTCATGTAATATGTACGGTGGCTGAGAACCGCCACAGCTGCAAATAGAAAAGAATGCAAAAAGAAGACGCCACAACGGAAATTAATGATGCAAAAAAATTTAAAGCTCACTTCTGTAGCGGCTATTTTTATTTGCATCTTTTTATTTTCGCAGTCAGTAAAAAAAATTTTTCCATCACCACTTTATTTGCGTCGCTAACTTCTGCTGTAGCTCTTTTTTTAAAATCTGCACCTTTTCTTTTTATTTGCAGCGAGCTTCGGTTTCTTCTTCTTGCATCAGTAACTTCTGTTGTGACTTCTTTTTTTTTTAATTCTTTTTTATTCGCAGCAGTCGCGGCTCTCGGCCACCGTAAATATGAAATATAAGAAATAATCTCAAACACCGTTTTTAATTATCACCAGGTGAAGTCGGACTCACTCACCTGTAGCGCCTCCGTCAGCGTCAGTTTGCGGTGTTTCATCAGGTAGGCGATGCAGACGGTGGCCGAGCGGCTGCGTCCGTTCTTGCAGTAAACGACGCTGCGTCCTCCGCGGTTCCCCTCCTTCTGGATGGCGTCCGCACAGCGGTCGAAGTGTGCGTACAGGTCTTCGTTGGGGTCATCGTAGACGGGGATCTGCAGCTTCTTGATGCCGTCGGCGGTGGGAAACGGCTGCTGCTTGGACACGTTGATGCAGAGCGTCACCGCCTCCTGCTGGATGAGGTCGTCGCTGCAGGCAGAGCGGGCGTTGCTGATGAACAGACACTTAGTGACCTTACAGAGCTGCTGCATCCTGGAGATTTGACCCTCACAGGCTTCCGTACTCAGGTCCTGACGTTCAACAGACACCTGCTCAGAGAGAAGAGTAGTCATGTGACCGGAGAAACGCTACGACATGCCTGTCTGTCACCTGCGCCCCTTACTGTAAAAAACTCGTGATCCTAAAATCCACAATAAAAAAAAAAAAAAGTCACGACAATGTTAAAAAATAAAATATGGATGACTCTACGGTGGCCCTGAAGGTCAGTTGAAATACGATTTTAGGAGAACAATAAAACAAATTTATGAAACACAAAAACATTTCAATAAATACAAAATTATTTCCTAAAACCAGAATACCTTTTAAACACAATTAATCTTCTTTATTAAAAATAATAATAATCCTTAAAAATCTGAAATATTTAAAGCGACAGAAATAAATCTGGAAAACAAGATAACAAAATAAATGTTGTTTATTGATATTTTTTCTTTCTCAAATATGTCCTTGTTTTCAGAATTTATTCGCAGCTACAAAAAAAATTTTAACATTTTTTTATTTCAAAATTATTTTTAGGTTTTTATAATTCTTTTTTTATTTTATAATATATTTTGTGTACATGTAAAACATCTTTTTGTTTTGTGAAATGTTTTAGGGATTTATGAAAACATTTTTATAGCCTTTTTGAAATATTTGTGACGTTGACCTTTACGGCCACCGTACATAGCTCCTTTTTTAGAGCTGAAATGTTTGTTTCCTTTACAAACCAAAAAAAATCAAAATGTCCTTAAAATTTAACAAACATATTAATTTATCTTGTTTGATACATTAGATTATATTTGAGTACATTAGATACATTAGTCCATTATGGACTACAGCGGGGTGCCGCAGCTCAAGGAAGAACATTTATGATCATTTCTTCATGGAAATACAATCAGACCGAGACGCTAAGACAGAAGAACTACCGCGTCTGTAAAATGATTAATATGGTGATTATTACTTCAAGGAAATGATAAAGAAATGATAATAAATGTTCTTCCTTGAGCTGCGGCACCCCGCTGTAGTCCGTAATGGACTGGCCTGAGGTCTCTGTACAAACAAACAGCTGCTGGAAGAGAGTAGGTGATTTGTGTGAAACAAGAAATCAGGTTTTTACCGTCTATTCTAAATAAAAGTATAACCTCTGAATAAGAAAGAAAACATGAATTGAGAGGTAAACGAGGATAAATAAAGAAAGGCTCGGTGATGCTCAGACTAACGCAGCGGTCAGTGAACGTCTCACCTCAACACAAGGACGGCGCGTCTCACATGGAGGAGCCGTCAGTCGATCTCTGTCTCTCTCTTTCTTTGTATCTCTCTCTCTCTCTCTCTCTTTCTTTGTCTTTGACTTTATCTCTCTCTCTCTCCTTTGCTTATTCCGGTCCTGAATGCGCAGGACTGCGGAGTCCGGGTCGGTCTGGTCTCCTCAGGTCTCCTCTTGACCCTGGTCCTCCTCTAGTCCACATACCGCTGCTCTATTTCCAGACCAGCGCGGTCTGAGAGTCGCTCTGCCCCGGGTCCTAAAGACCGACATGTACAGCAGGAGCAAAAACAGACCAAGTGAGATCACTCTGAAAACTAAGAAAAAGAGGAGGGCACTAAAGTTTTAATCTTGAGTTTAAGGTTATGAGACAAGACAGATAAAGTTGTGAAAATATAAGAATCAAGAAAAAAGTGGAAAAACTGTCATATTACTGTAAGTCTGAAGTTTGTCTGAAATATGAGGAAAAAGTTAAAATGTCAGATAAACTAAAAATATGAGCTAGAAGTCAAATACATACAATTTTCAAAAAATGAATTGTGTTTCATTCTTTTTTTATGTTTTTATTTATTCATTTTATTTTCTATGTATTGTAAAGCACTTTGATTCACTGAAAGGACTTTATAAATAAAGAACATTTTTATTTACCTTCACATCTAAAAATCATCGCTCAGTTCAACTTCATATCAAATCATGAGTTTTTATCCCAAAATGTGAGTTTTTATCTTGTAATTTTAACTTTTCTATCATGAAATTACAAAACTGAATCTCAGTCATGATTCTTATATTATCAATTTGACTTTTTATCTCACATTAACTTATTTTTTACTCAAAACTTGGATTCCTTTTCTTCAAATCATGACTTTTTATTCTGTTATTGACTCATAATCTGACTTTCTGTACTATAACCATGACTTTTTCACATTCTCAACTTTTTGATCTTGTACTTGACCATTGCTCAACTGTTTGTCTTAATTCACTTTTCATCTCGTTAAGGTTTTTCTCATAACGTTTGACCTCATGATTTTAACTTCCCATCTCATGAATTTGATCCTAAATTCATTTCTCTTAAATGACTTTTTTACTCTCTCAAAGTAAAGTCACCTCTTTTTCAACTCAGAAAATTTCCTCTAAAAATAAGTGAATGAAGTTGTAGTTAAACGTGAACGGTCTTCATTTTTTAGACAAAAAGTCAAATAAACATGACCAAAAAAAAAGTTACTGTTTCTTTAAGAAGTACGACAGAGGGCCACATTAAGACAAAAAATATAAAGAATTCAAGATTAAAGTCATTAACTAACGAGAAAATGGTCGTAATAAAGTAACTACGAGAACAAATTTATTTTAATAAAAATATGATATATATTTATTTTATATCTATATTTTTATATAAAAAAATTAATTTATGAATTCATTACGACTTTATTCTCGTAATAAATTCATTACTTATGAGAATAAAGTCATAACAAATTAATTACTTTGAAGAATATATTCGTAATACAATAACTTATGAGAGTAAAGTCATAATAACTTTCTTCTATTTTAACCTGCTGTTTACGATGACAGTTGTTGAAATTAGAGCCATGGAGCATTTCGTAAAAATTAACTTCAATATATTTTTCTCAAACAAGGAGATAGTCTAATCTTTTGGTACATCAGCACCACTTTATCGTAATTATAGCAGTAGTAGTAGTTTACAACTTTATTCTCATAAATAATGATTTTACTACAATATTTTTCTTGTAAGTAATTTATTAGGACTTTATCCTCATAAGAAATGATTTTATTACGACTTCATTTGCGTCAGTAATGACTTTAATCTCGAACTCTTACTTTTCTCAGTCTTCATTATTTTTCTTAATGTGTCCCTAAAACTCCGTCGTAAAGAAGTGACTTTCTTCCTTTAAAATCTTTAGTTATTCGTCGTCGTTGTCTTGGGTCTGAATTCTCCAGCTCACACGGTGAACTCGTACATTCAGAAGATGGTCCACACAGACAGAAGAACAGATGATTTTCTTCTTCGTTTACGACGGACAAACAGAAACATCGGTCAGAGACGACAAAATACAAAAACAAGTGAAGGAAGTGATTTTATTGTTGGGGTTGAAAATCCATCACACATGCAAACAGCGATGTCGAAGCCGTGTATCATCGATATTTTATTAGCAAACCAGAGAGAAGTTAACAAAAAAAAAACAAGCCCAAGGAACTGAACAATCTGTGTTTCTGTAGTTTCTGTACAGGTCCAAATATACTACAATATATACTATTATACAACTGGATTACAATTCATTAGTACAGCAGTCACAAAGAAAAAAACTTCAAGTCTGTTACAGCAGGTTCTTCCTTCTCACGCCACCACTCCAACGCCAGCATGCTGCGCTAACGTTCCCGCTTTTTCTCAAAGTGCCGAGTCCCGACGACAAACTAAACCTCAGAGAGCCGAAAAAAAAAACGCAAGAGTCACATTCTGAGCTGATTTACCACCGAAACCAAAAGAAACAAGAACGTCAAACTAAGATGTCTTTACAGGTCAGAAATCGGATTTTAAGAAAAGTTTGAGGTAAAAACAACAACAACAAAAAAAACGATTAATTTGAGTAAAAAATGGGATTTTAAGGCCTGACCATGAGTTCCTCCAGCAGCACCGTGAGAGAAAAACTGTCTGTTGGCAACTAAAGTGTAAACTGGATTTTATCATTTTAAAGGAGCAGTTCACCTTTTTACGATATACGCCTGTGTCGTTATTATGGCGCTACCGCTAACTGCTAACTAGCTTAGCTCAGCGTAGCACAAAGTCAGCAGCGAAACGTGAAATCATGAAAGTAAAGGTTGTTTTTCGCTCTTTTTTGTTAAAACAGAGAGGATAGCTGGCTGACCCGATGCTAAGCTAAGCTAACGCTAGCAGGATAAACAGGTGTTTTTGCCGCTAACACACCCGACGTCTGAGCATGAGGTGGAAAGTCACAGTGGAAAAAGCTGCAGACGTCTTAATTAGCATCAAATCACAACTTCACAGAAACAGGATGAAGCTGCAGCGAATTATTCAGCTAATTTTGAGAAAAACGCATTTCCTTCAGACGGCGGGAATAAGACGAGGAATCAGACGATGAAGTCGGATTTAAAGTGGAAATCTAAATGTTAAAAATCAGTTCAAACGTCAGCGATACGTCCAAAATTTACCGACTAAATCAAGAAGAAAACGGACGTGAAATCAGAGACAATGTCCTGCTGCAGCTTTAGAAACATCTCAGGAGGTTCAGTCAAACCCAACAACATCAGTCAGACTCAAACTGAAGCTCTCTGAAAAAGACTTCATCATTTAGACTTAAATTTAAAGAGCCGTGTTCTCAGTCCGTTAAACAAACTTAAGTATCCTGGCTCGTCCACATTCAGAATAAAAAAACTCTGCAGTGAGGTCTGAGGAAACTTTGGGAAAGTCTAAATCAAACGGATGTTTTCTGAAGACCTGAGACGGAGAGAAGTTGCTTTTAAAGACGTCTGCAGCTTCCTGTCAGAGAAAAACCCGCCAAAGAGAAGACGATGGAGTCCCACACCTCTGCTCTGACCCTCCGTCAGCCGGGTCGCCTGTTTTTTTTGGAAGTTCTGCGACATGTTTTCTTTTTCTTTTTTTTTTTGCATAGGAGAGGAAACCAAATCTGAGAGTCCGAAACCAAAACCGGGTTTTTCTTTGGCTACGTTCGAGGACTCAGACATGACGAGTCGGCAGTAAAAGTTTGGTCTTCGCTCACACCTCAGACCTGTCAATCAAACTGTGTGGTTACCGTGGTTACTGCGGCTCCGAGTTTGTCTTTAAAGGGTAATTCCGACATTTTAATATGAGGAGGCTTTAAAGAAAATAACTTCAGATTGTTGTTCTGAGAGTCTGAGAGGATTCCTGCAGAGACAGAGCTCAAAGTCACAGGAGAGGAGGAGGTTAGGAGATCTAAATCTGCTGCTCCACCTCTGCACCGACACTTTAGTTTATTCTGTTTTTGGCTGTTTTGTTTTTAATCTTCAGTTAATTTCTAATGAGGGGGAATCCTCAGATCTGTTAAATCACCACAGACCTCTAAAGAAAGATTCATTTGATCTCCAAGAAGACGGGAGCTGCTGATCTACCTTCACTTCAGTCTGTCAGTCTGTGTGTGACACAACCTTTTAAAGGGATATTCTGGCGTAAAATTAATTTAGGGTCAAACACACCGTAACACCGAGTTAGACCCCCCCTCCAGAGATGAATGTTGCCGACCGCTTGCTTCTCTAGTTATACCAACTTTAGTAACGACCGCAGGATAGAAATACAGAGAGCCACGCCCCCAACCAAAACGCCACTCTATAGCCACAAATAATGCTCAGAACAGCACCTAACTACATCAACAGAACATATAGGGTCACAGACATAGAACTAGACACCAAACATCTTTTTAACTTTGACTAAGAGACTAAACACAACTCACCTACTCTCTTCCAGCAGACGCTTGTTTGTAGGGAGACCTCAGGCCAGTCCATTAATGTTCTTCCTTGAGCTGTGAAACTCCACTTAGAGACTGGTCAAGGTGAGTTGTGTTTAGTCTCTTTGCTAAAGAAATGAGTCAAAGTTAAAAAGATGTTTGGTGTCTAGTACTATGGCTGGGACCCTATACCTGAGTAGAACATGGTGTGATTCTCTTTAGTAACAGAACCTCATTGTAAAATTAGCTGATTTAACTTTACTGTGCTCTTGTTCAAATATATTAACTCGACAGCACATAAATCCATACCTGTTAACAAAATCATGATTTTATTGATAATTCGGCTCAATAAAAAAACACCTTTACCTTTTCATTTTACTACAGTAGAAGTTTATTGGCCCAGCTTATAGACTACAGAAGTGGAGAAACGCCCCCGCTTTAGTTTATGTTTTCTTAGGAGTTAGAACAACTCTGAATATAGTACTATGTCTGTGACCCTATATGTCCTGTTGATGAAGTTAGGTGCTGTTCTGAGCATTATCTGTGGCTATAGAGTGGCGTTTTGGTTGAGGGCGTGGCTCTCTGTATTTCTATCCTGCGGTCGTTACTAAAGTTGGTATAACTAGAGAAGAAAGCGGTCGGCAACATTCATCTCTGGAGGGGGGGTCTAACTCGGGGTTACAGTGAGTTTGACCCTAAATTAATTTTACGCCTGAATATCCCTTTAACAAAAGAAAGTCAAATAACCCACTTAGAGGTTTTATTTCTCAATAACCATCAAATTTAATGTTTCAGATTTACTTTAAACACACCTGCTGATAAAAAGTGGAACTAAAGCTGAACACGATGGCAGTTTAACACAGAAACCCCTAAAACAGGCGAACAGGCCGGTCTGACTTCACTCCCTGATCTGATTTGATCGAATTTTGAAAAACAGAAACTAAAACAAACGGCGTCATGAGGGCGGAGTTAGACCTGCAGCTCCTGTCTCCAGAGGAGTTATTTAGAACATATCTCTGCTGGGATCTTTAGTGTCGAACACTTTAAACAACAACCTGAGCCTTTAAGGAGACCAACCACAGCTGCAGGGTGGAGAAACCTCCTGGAGGTTCGTCTCTTCACTGCAGGAGAGAAGATTTCACCTCTGCTGAAACACCGGGGTCGATCTGAGTGTCGCTTTAAGAGGTCTGAAAAAACAAAAACCTCAAACTTCAAATGAAAACTCAAACTCTCTGTACCTGCAGGGGGGGGAAACACGTCCGCTGCTGTTCCTCTCCTCGCCTGCAGGGGGCGCAGGTGAGCCTGGAGCTGAACTCAGCCGCTCACAGTGAGTTTTTTGGAAAGACAAAGTCAGTAAACGTCAACTTGAAAGAACAGCCGTGCAGGTTTGGAAACTAAACTTCAGATCCGGTCAGTCGGGCGGGCGGGTGGGCGGGTCCAGAGTTCTCTCGGCGCTCCTCAGACGGACAGATCGAAGGTGGGGAAGCAGATTTCTCAGCGATGAAGGCGACGATGCGTACAGAGGCCAGTGCACTTTCACAGCGTGCACTTTTAGAAGGAAGCATGTTTGCGGGAGGAGACGCCGCCGGCGGCGAGCAGCAGCGGTCCTCCCGTTGGCAGATTAAGACTCAGAGGATTCTTCTTCTTCTTCTTCTTCTTCTTTATCTACAGGAATGCGTCTCACGCACGAGTCGGAGCGATGTCTCTGCGTCTTTACAGCCGAGGATGTTCAGGTGGGGATGACGGGGTTAAACAGACAGTCCCGCCACAGCGCGGCGGTTTAGACACACGGCTGTTTGTGATACATCATCAGGCGACACACACACACACACACACATACACACATACACACATAAACACGCACGCACATTAGCCTGATGATGTATCATAGTGGGCGTGTCTTAATAAACCCGCCGTCGCCGCAGCCCGCCGCCGCCCCGCTCTGAGGCTCGCTCTGACGTCATGCATGAAGACAACGAAGCACGATGAAGACCGAAGCTTGAGGATCCCACCTGAGGCGCCGCGGCCCCGAGGCGCCGGCGAGGTGGAGAGCTGGGGGTCCGGAGCGGTCAGGAGAGATCAGGAGTGATCCATCGGCTCGGTGGCGTTGCTCTGCTCGGCGTCCTGACTCTCCATCTCCTCCGGTTCCTCCACCTTCCCCTCCGCCTTCCCTCCTCCCGTCGCACCTGCTGCAGCTGGAGGTTCGCCGGCGGTTGTCGATGCTGATTGGCTCCCGCCTGTCTTAGTCCCGCCTGTCCTCTCCTGGCTGGCGGTGGCGGCGGTGGCGCTCTGCTGCTCTCTGAGGTGGCGCTCCATGGAGGCCTGGATGGAGGACACCATCTCCTGCAGCTTCCTCCTCTGCTGCTCCATCAGGCTGGGGTCCAGACCGCGCCCGTCCTTCATGGTGACAAAGCCCGGCGCCATGCGGACCAGCTCCCTGGTGGTGTCCTCGGGGATGTCCGACAGGTCTGGGGGGCCTCGGGACACGCTGGCGCTCAGATCCACGCCGCTGCTGTGCTGGCGTGTGATAGGCCGGTGCTCTGGGGGGGAGGAGCCGCCGGCGCTGCCCAGAGAGTGACCTTTACCCTGGAAGGCGGTGACGTTCTGCAGCTGCTCCTTCTTCCTGACCACGCCCCCGCTGCCCAGACGCAGCACGCCGTGGGAGGGGCTTCCCTCTCTGCTGCCTCTGGAGGCGGCCTCTGAGCGCAGCTGCACCACCGCCTCCTTCACCAGATCCTCCACGTCAGGACCCACGGGGAAGTGACCGGCGGCGTCCACGCAGAGCTCCAGACGCTCCTCTGCGGCGTTATACACGAAGGTTTTCCCCGTCAGGTGAGGCAGCGTGCAATGTTTCCCGTCCATCAGACCTGAGCGGGAAAAAAATTAGATTAATGAAAATCAATTAAAACAGTTTTAATTTAGTCAATCTTAACGAGAGGACGACAAAGGGTTAAAATTAAACTCCATAACAGGAAGTAGTAACCACACGCCCAACACCGCGCCCTTCAAATGTTTCTCATTCTTCTGTTTTCATTCTCTGTCAGCTGATGATTTATTAACAGTCACTCTGACCATGTGGTCTGTGGGCGGAGCCTCACTCTGGGTCAGCTGACGTAAACAAACGTACCCATGTCCTTCTTGACGATGTTGTAGAAGACCCCGCCCTGCTGGAATAAGTGCGGCAGCTTCTTGGCGTACGACCAGACGTCCTCACCTGGAGGAGACAAAGAAGGAGGAGGAGAGTCAGCGTCGACCTGAGAGTCTGAGACGGACGGACGGACAGACGGACGGACAGACGTGTGGAAACTGAAGAGTGAATGTTTGAGAAGGGTCGCCTCCACCTGAGGTTCAGAGGTTCAGGAGGACTCTAAAGGTTCAGAGGTTCAGGAGGACTCTAAAGGTTCAGGAGGACTCTAAAGGTTCAGAGGTTCAGGAGGACTCTAAAGGTTCAGGAGGTTCAGGAGGACTCTAAAGGTTCAGGAGGACTCTAAAGGTTCAGGACTCTAAAGGTTCAGGAGGACTCTAAAGGTCAGTGATCTAGTCTGCAGTCTTTCAGCTGATCAATAAAATCTCAAATCTGTTCCTGAAACAACAAAAGAGACGAAGACAGGAGGACAGAGTCTTCAGGGAAATATGACCAAAAAGAAGATTTTAGATTTTTAATAAAAACTTAAATTTTTTAAAATTATTGATGAAAACTTTGATTTTAGATTTTTAATGAATTCCTTAAATTTTTTAGATCATAAATAAAAACCTAAATTTTTTACATTTTCAATGAAAACTTTGAATTTTAGGTTTTTAATGAATCCTTCATTTTTTTTTATTTTCATTAAAAACCTGAATTTTTTTAGATTATTGATGAAAACCTAAATTTTTTACATTTTCAATACAAACTTTGATTTTTCGATTTTTAATAAAAACTGTAATTTTTTTTAGATTTTCAATGAAAACTTTGAATTTTAGGTTTTTAATGAATACTTCAATTTTTTTGATTTTCAATTAAAAACTTAAATTTCTTTAGATTTTTAATGAAAACTTTGATATTTTTGATTTTCATTAAAAACCTGAATTTTTTTTTATTATTGATGCCTAAATTTTTTACATTTTCAATAAAAACTGTAATTTTTTTAGATTTTTAATGAAAACTTTAATTTTTTAAATCTTCTTTATAAATGTCACAGCAGAGGTAACGGGCTGTTAGCAACTTAGCCTCCATCCTGCAGATGTGCAGACAGTCAGAGCTGCTTGTGCAGACGGTTAGAGCTGTGTGTTGTGCAAGTGGTCAGAGCTTCATGTGCAGGCGGTCAGAGCTGTGTGCAGATGGTCAGAGCTGCTTGTGCAGATGGTCAGAGCTGCATGTGCAGACGGTCAGAGCTGTGTGTTGTGCAGACGGTCAGAGCTGCATGCAGGCGGTCAGCTCTGTGTACAGCGCGGATGTTTTGCAGGCTGATTGAATTGCAGCTCCGGCTGACAGTAATCGCAGCGTCAGGCCTGCAGAGCCGTCAGAGAGAAACCTTCCTGAACATCCGCACTCTGACGCTAACTGTTGGCCGTTTATCTGCGCGACCTTTGACCCTGTTGGCAGGTGAGACGGGGAGGGTCGAGATGCCTGAGTCAGCACACTGAGAGCACACACACACACACACACACACACACACACACACACACACACACACACACACACACAGATACACACTCTCTGATAGTGTTGGACTGTGACACGGAGCTCTATCTGACGCTCGGCTGGTTCCTGTGGGACATGATTCACCTGAGGATTCTGACCAATCAGAGGTCGGCGTGTGTCTGCTGTGACCCTGTATGAGAGCGTGTGAGCGGAGTGAAGCAGCAGCAGATGTTTTCGACCTGATCGTGTCAGAGAGGACCGGTTCTTTAGAGGTTTAGAGGAACGTGATTAAAAAGTTCTGTTTGAAGATCGACGGCGGTTAAAGAGAGCGTTTCCCTTTTACAACATGACCTCTTTAATCGTTTGTGAATGTTAAACTTTTGTTGTTTTTGCTCATTTTTGATGATCCTTCTCTGTTCAAAGATCTAAAATAACTTTATTAAACTAAATTAATTCACATCGCCTCGACCTTTCATACAGAGCTGAGCAGCTTCACTTAGACGTCCCCTTTGTTCTTCGGGGTTATTAGTCGGTTGATCTAGTGGTTAATATTTGGACAATGTTTAATCTGAATCATTCCTTATAAAGCAGTGGTTCTCAACTGGTGGGTCCCACCCCAAAAGTGGGTCGCGGACACGTTCTGGATGGGTCGCAAACAGCTGGACAAAAAAGTAAATATTTAATGCACATCTGATGTTTGACATGTCTTTTATTTTGAAAGGCACACGTTATGTCGTGGTCCTCCTCAGTTTCCTATTAATGTGGCCTGAATGCAGTAAAATTACATGTTTGTTTTATGGTCTTTATTTTGTTTAATTTGATATTTATTCACTCTTGTCCTCCTCAGGTTCTTCTGAATCTGCTCTGGATACAGAGATCCAAGAAAGTCCATTTTTTCATTTTGCTGGTCTCCATTTTGTGCGTTTCGATATTTTCTGTACACGAAACTTCGGTAGTTGTCGTCCTCAGTTCATGTTTTCTGAAATACACTTCGCTCAATAAAGTGGTTGTGTTCATGTCAAAGATTTGAGTCTTTAAAGGTTTTTTTTCTAGAAGAAATAAATCTGCTTGTTTTGAATTTTATTAAAGTGGGTCACGACTGAAGGACCGTGGGAAAATGTGGATCCCAGAGTGAGACCAGTTGAGAACTTTTGTTATTATCTGACATCTTTGTTTATCAGGCTGCAGAGAGACTTTAACATCTGAAATCAAACCTTCATGTTTGTTTTTGAGATTTACATCAACATGAACCTTCGTGATTTCAGCCGGAGTCCGCTCTCATATATAAAAGATGACGGTGACATCGTCATGGTAACAAACTAACCAGACTTCCTGTTCTAACTTATATTATAGAACCATCAGCTGTTGATTGAACTTCAGATCGTGGAGTTTGACGGACAGACGATGATTTAATTCAATGATCCACATTAAAATGACCTTCAGCTGAAGCATCCTGGTCACATGACCTGCTGGAAGTTATTCCTCCAGAGGATTTTAGTTTGATTTAAGGTCTTAAATTTCTTTTACTGCAAATGTTCATTTGAATCGAAGTTTTTCATGTTTCTTTTATGAAATCTTGTTAATTTTCTCTGTTCTTAGTCTTTTTCTTTATTCCAGCCTTAGAGGTTTTTACTTCTTTCACCCCATTTTTGGTAAAGAGCTCTTACTTATTTGTTCATTTTACTTTTTTTTAGTCTTTTTACCATTTTTCATCTTTTATCTCCAGTGTTTCCCAAAGGTCGCTCTTTCCTCACGTAATGTCTCAGTGTCAGGTCATGTCTCTTTATCGATCTTAAATTCTCACTCTGTGTGTGTGTGTGTGTGTGTGTGTGTGTGTGTGTGTGTGTGTGTGTGTGTGTGTGTGGGTCCATGGGTGGGAGGGTTCAGGTTTTATTGTTGTTTAGTTGTTGATTTTAGCGTCTGTGAGGAACTTTAAACTTCATCTTTTTGTCTGAAAAGTTCCATAAACTCGAAGTTGAATCTGAGTTTAAACCTGGTTCTGGTTCTCGCAGGTCGACGGCGTTTCTTTTTTTTTTTTAGGTAGGTGAGGGTGTCGGACTCTTTTCTTACCCATCAAGGTGGCGAGGAGACAGAGGGAGGACATCTCCAGGTCGATGCTGTCCTGGAGCTCCCGGCTGCTCGTCCTGCCGGCGTCCTCGCTCTTCACCGAGTGCAGGGCCGAGTGCGAGCTGGAGGCCCGTGGGATGGAGGAGGCGGGGCTCTTTTGGTCGTCGGGGCCCCTCAGTATCTCCACCGTCACCCTGTCGCCGTGCTGCAGCGCCACGGGCTCGTTCTCCTCGCTGTCCTTCGGGGGGGACAGCTCTTTAGGGGGGAAGCCGTAGCGGATGCACTGCTGGGCCGGCGGCACGCCGAACTGGTTGGCGATGCTCCTCTGCAGCTCGGAGAAGGTGGTGTGGGCCTGCAGGGTCAGCATGGCCTGCCTGCCGTCACTGGTGGTCACGCGGATCTTCTTCTCCTTACTGGACGAGGCGGGGGAGGAGGATTTGGTGGGCGTGGCGGGAGCAGAAGAGGAGGAGGTTTCCGGAGAGCCGCTGGGGGAGGAGGTGCGAGCGTGCGGTTTCTGCTCCTGCTTCAGTTTGTCGGTCCGTCTCTTCTGCGAGACGAAGGCCTGCTCGCTGATGCTCTGCTGGATGCTGCGCTCCGCCCGGCTCATGGTCAGCTCCTCCTTGTGGAGCGTCTTCGCTTTCTGACCCGTCAGGATGATCTTGGTTGGCGGCTGGGGGTCCACCGCCTGAGGGGTCTCCGCCACGTCAGTCAGACGCTGGGCGTGGGCGCCGTCGATGGACACGGGGTTGTACTCGTCCGGGTTCTTCTTGGCGGTGTGGTGCAGGATGGTGTTGACCACTTTCTGCACCAGGATCTCGCTGCCGAACTCTCCCGGGAAGTGTTTGGTGACCAGCTTCATGGCCACGTCGTACACGTTGCTGTTCAGAGCCGGGTCGGTCTCGTACTGGAACCAGTACACCGTCTCCCTCACCACCCGGCCCCCCCACTCCAGCGTGATGGGGAAGGCTTCGGGGAGGTTGTCGTACTCCTTCCCCTCCCAGTAGTGCTTAAAGCCACACCCACACTTCCCGCCCTGGGAGCGGGTGTTGGTTCTGTCCCCGTCCAGGTAAACCACGGACCCGTTTCCACGGATATGGCGGACCGAGGTGCCGTGACACCAGTTGCAGGTGTTGAGGGAGCTGAGTTTGTAGTCCGGGATGAGGACGTCCCTCTGGGGGTCGTAGGAGCAGACCACGTTGTTGAGCGGGAAGCTGTAGTTCTTGTCGGGCCTCAGCTGGCCGTGGGTGGATTTGGCGAGGTTGTAGAGTTTCCCGCCTGGAGCCAGCCACTCGGCGGGGACGTGGAGCTCGGAGAGGGCGCCGCAGATGAGGCAGCGGTGGAGCCGGTTCTCCATCACGGACTTCTTCGCCGCCTCTGTCACCTCCTCAGGCTGGATACCGATCACGCCGGTCCGCCTGTAAACGTACTGATGCACGTCCGCCACCAGCGACGGGTGGATGCTGTGCTTCTCCATGAACACCTCCTCCATGGCGTTGACCAGCCGCATCAGATATTTGTCCTGCAAGCTGCGGTCGCCGCCGATCACGCAGCTCCCGTCCGTCTCCAGCTTGATGTACTTCCTGATGAGCTCCTGAGGGATCCCCCACGCCTTGGGCAGGAGGCGGGCCGGCAGTTTGGGCAGCACGCTGTTCTTGATCCCCACCAGAGGGATGTAGTGGTTCCTGCTGGAGCTACTCCAGGCGATGCAGATGGGCTTATTCAGCTTCCCGTCTTTCCCCCGGCACTGCTCCTCGGCGACCAGCCCGGGCAGGAAGGTGGCGGAGTAATCCCCGGAGCTCCTCATGCCGCTCAGAGAGTCCAGCAGGATGATGGGCCGGTGGAGGACGTTGGCGAGACCGAAAATGTGGATGTTGCGCAGCCCGAGCGGGACGCCTTCGGGCGGGATGAAGAGGGGGTCGCACTCGTTGATGATGTCCTCCCACTCGGCCGCGTCGATAAAGTCCTGGAAGAGCGCCTTGTAGCGGTCCAGGTTCTGCTTGAAGTTCTGTTTGAGGTTCTCTCTCAGGGCGTGCCAGAACAGTTCTCTGCCCACCAGCGCTCTGGACACGGCGTGGACCAGGCAGTGACCGTCCCCGTCCACATGGACCGGGATGAGACATTCCCTGTTGCTGTTGGCCTTCTTCACCTCCTCCAGGGTGTCGTGGAGGTAGATGAGACTACCTGAGCGGTCCTTCCCGTAGCCCATGGTGGAGACATGGTCCGGTTCGATGAGGAAGGCTCTGTCCCCCAGCAGAGAGCAGTCAAAGATCTCCCCCTGGTTCATGTCCCTCAGCAGCTTAGCTTTCCCCGTCTGTTTGTCCATCCCGTAGCGGGTCAGAACCGGGGACAGCAGCTTGCAGTGGTAGTTGGACAGCCCCATGACTTTGACCAGCTCCGTGCCTTTCTTCGGGGCCCCGGTGACTCCGAGCAGGGCGTTTCTCAGCAGGTTATGGAGGACCACATCAGGGTCGGTGACCTCCTCCACCTTTAGGAGGTTCCTCTGCTCGTGCCGCTGGCCGCACTCGGTGCACTCGATGCTGATGGAGCCGTGAGCCGGGAAGAACAGCCGCGCCTGACATTTCGGGTCTGGGCAGGTACCGGACAAAATACGCTTGTCTTTCTTCTTGGAGCTCTGGAGCAGCGACATTTCGGGCGCAGAAAGCTGAGAGGGTGAGTCAGCTTCACAGGATCATGATCAAGTCCTCCCGCTGAGGCTGTCAGACGAGCTCCGGCTCCGAGAACCACAGATATTTACCAGAATAACACCAGAACAACACGGAAGCGGCTGTTTTTTTTTTCCTTTAGCAACTGACCGCTGCCAAACGGAGCGACGTCATGACGTAAGGACATGGTATTTGTAGTCCTGAGGCGTCACTTGTTGTTCACCTTTACGAACACGAACGACAAAATCAACATTTTCTCGGATAATTACTTTTTAAAAGCGCAGAAACCAACTAAAATTTATCCATTTAAATATAAAAACGTTCCTAAATGACAAAACAACAACATTGATCTAACTTGTATGACTACATTGACCAGAATGCAACACGGCGCCATGATGGGCAGCTCGGCTCTTTACCATGATTTGAACTATTTTACTCAACTCAGCAAAGCGAGTCGAATCTTTCAGCACACTTCTGCTTTTTATGTAAACAACACTCGTTTTTTCTAAATCTAGCACTTTTATCGCTTATTTTTCCTATTTCACCTCACAAATCTCTAAAAACAAAACCGTTCATGAGATGCAAAATAATGATAAAACAAGATATATTGTACGACATACCAAAAAATTTAACAAAATTTAAAAATATGTAATTAACTGATTCATTTAAAAAAGAAATTTTGAAAAAAGCGCTGAGAGATGTTTTTGCATTTTGTATTATTATTTTTTTTAAATGTTAGTGTAGCTGATCTCAAGGGCCACCGTATTTACACTGTGTAATACATTTATAAAGTCTTACAATCTCTGTAGTGGGAATGTTTAGGTCACTGTGGGACATTTTCTGCAAGTTTGGCTTGTGTTTAAATGTTATATGAGAAAAATAACAACTATGAACATCTATGTAGATTAACTTTTGCTCTCATTTCATATATAAAAAACTTAGGACAAGATTAATCATTTACTTTAGTGCAAAACGTTCCTAAATGACAAAAAACAACAACATTGATCACACTTGTATGACTACATTAACCAGAATGCAACACGGCGCCATAATGGGCAGCTCGGTTCTTTACCATGATCTGAACTATTTTACTCAACTCAGCAAAACGAATCAAATCTTTCAGCACACCAGTGTTTTTTATGTAACAACCACTCCTTATTTCACAAATCTAGCACTTTTATCACTTATTTTTCATACTTGTGGACAAACACTGCTTAGATATGGTGGCCCTGACTGTCAGACATAAACATTTCACAAAATAATGAAAAAAATCACTTTACAAAACATAAAAAAACAATTCAAGAGATGCAAAATAATGGTAAAACAAGACATATATTGTGCAAAATACAATAATATTTCACAAAATACAAAAATATACCAATTCATGAAACAAAACACTTTTTTTTTTAAAATAAAAAAAGAGCTGAGAGATGTTTTTGCATTTTGTATTTTCATTTTTTTTAAATGTTAGTGCAGCTCATCTCAATTGTCACCGTATTTACACTGTGTAATACATTTATATCTAGTCTTACAATTTCTATAGTGGGAATGTTTAGGGCACTGTGGGACATTAGCTTGTGCTGTTTATGTTATATGAAACAAATAACAACAACAACTGTAAACATCTATGCAGATTAACTTTTATTTAATATATAAACACTTTAGAACAAGATTAACCATTGACTGTTGTGCAAAATGTTTGTTTAAAAAGAAACATCAACAATAATGACATACTACAATGACCATAATGCAACACTCCGGGGCTCTTTCTCGTGATCTGTGCTTTTTGGCTTAGCTGTCTTTAGCTCCTCAGTTTTGTTTTCTATTTAATAAAAAATGAAGTTTTAGTCTGACTGACTCAACATATTGTTCCGATTTAAGGACATGGCTTAAATAATTCGACAGAGTCTTGTAATTTTCAGAATACTTCATTGTTAATTCATGTTAAACAAAATGTGTTAAGTTTTAATCACATCTATCAAACTTGAACATGAATGGATCCTTAAATTTAGTCTAGCTATAAGTTAATTGAAATACGACTCAAATTGATGCTAAACAGTGAAATATTTCACCCACAGAAGGATAAAAATAATTGCACAATATAAGGTTTAAGAATTCCCTTGATTTATATTTTGTAAAACATGTCTTTGCTCTGTGTTTCACTTAGATAGATAGATAGATAGATAGAGAACTTTATTAATCCCCAAGGGGAAATTCGGTAAATTTTTTTATTTTTTCTTATTTTTGTGTGTCTTGCATGAATCATGGCAGATTATGCAGAAAAACATGTTATCATTGAGTTTTAGAGCTTGGTTAAATGTGGTTTCAGCTGCAGGTGGTGTTAAATGTTGTATTTCTAACAGAGTTTTTGTTTCTGATATCATATTATAGCGGTCGTTCATAATTCTTGTTTTATATGTTTAGCCTGTTTGTTTGTGAATGAAACACTTTGTGCTGATTATTCATATGAAAATCAGGGTTTTTTTTAAACATAAAACATTTATCTTTGTTATTGTGGTAACGTCATCATGATGACCAATGTCAGGGCCATCTTTGCATCCTTGCAGTTCTTTAAAATGACCACAAGGTGGCAGTCTCTACCTTTAGGTTGAAAAACTCCTCCAGCAGAGAGAAATCCACTCTGAGAAAACTGTGTTTTTAAAACAGCCATGACGGAGAAACATTTTAATACAACATCTAGTGGATAAAAAAACTCATACGATGTCAGATCTACAAAATATTTTAAATCTTTACAAATCTTTATTGTGAAAACAATCGAATTGTTCAAGCTACAAAAATACTCCATAACTGTCATGATCAGGGTCAAGTTATCTTGATTCGGTTCATTTGTTCTGAGGTCTCCTGTGTGTTTTGTTTGGAAGTCACTAACCCCTGTCTCTGTTTCAGGTGTGTTCCTGTTGGCCCGCCCCCGTCTTGTCACACCTGCCTCCTGATTGTTCCTCCACACCTGTCTCCCATCACCCTCATTACCTCTTGTTCTTAACCTCCTGTCTCTCACAGTCTCCTCGCCTAGTCCTAGTTCTTTTTGTCATGTTGCAGCACTTTTTCTTAGTTATCACAGCCTACCATATCGACCTTGTTAGTTTTTGACCCTAAAGTAGTAGTAGTAGTATTACTGTAATTATAATTGTTTTTATCATTATCAATAATATAATTATGATCATTTTATTTTTTAAATAATAATAATAATAATAATAATAATAATAATTACTATTATTATTATTATTATTAGCACCATTTTTATTATATTTATTATATCTATCACAATTATTTTTTAATTTATTTTTTATTATAATTATCCTTGTCAATGTTGTCTTCATTATTATTATTATTATTATTTTATCAATAAAATTGTTATGATGGTGATGATGATAATGATGATTATCATTATTGATTGTTAATTTTTTATCTGTTACTGTAATAATTATCATATTTAATTTTATCGTTGTTATAATTATAATAACAATTATTATTATGTAATTAAAATTATTAATATTATTTTCATTATCATTATAATCATCATCATTATCAACATCATCATATTATTATTTTATTGTTATTATTATTTTAATTTTTATAAATTAATTTTTACTATAATTATTATTATAATTTTTAAAATTATTATTATTTATGATGAGTGATACACGTTACCACTAACCTCCCATTGATGCTGAACATTACTCACAGGTCTGAAACTTTCTCTTTTTACTATTTGAATTAAATATATTCTCATAAATACTCTTCTGGGTTTGAAGCTACTGTTGTTTATTTTTCTGTTTTTTTGTGTGTGTTTTTGTTTTTGTTTTGTTTTTTTGACCTGATCAAAGTTTTTTCTTTCATTTCCTGACTCTTGCCCAACCTCATCCAAATCTTATTACTCTTTTTTTCAGAATAACGATCTTTCTCACGACTGCTCAGTCAATGTTTGTTTTATCACGACTTTAGTTCTCATGAAAATTCAACCGTACACGATTGTTTTTATCACCTCCTGTTTTTAACCACATCAACCAGTCAGAGCGTCTGCTGTTACAGAGGTTTCCTGTCATGCTGCGGTCTTATCAGTTCACTCCAGGGGCTGATGGGAGATCTGTCAGAGGACCTGTTAGAAAGCAGGTGTCCTCGTCTGATCTCAGAGCGTCACTTCTCCTCAGGATCACCAGAGGAAACACCGACACACAAAATGCTTCTCCTCCCAGCTGCTGCCCTGTACTGTCTGTGTTCAGGTGAGTGTTTCAATCAGCCAATCAGGAGCCAGCAAACTCGACCTTTACCAAACACCGTCTCACTCACCTGCTTCACCTGTGTGTGTGTGTGTGTGTGTGTGTGTGTGTGTGTGTGTGTGTGTGTGTGTGTGTGTCTGCAGCTCTGCTTTCAACAGCAGAAGATCTGATCCAGGAGGATTTAACTCTGACCAGGAGAGAAGGAGAACAAGTCTCCTTCAGCTGTGATCAAACTGACCGATGTGATAGTAGCTGGGTATACTGGTACCAGAAGAAAGACTCAGACACATTTAAAAGGATTCTTTATATAACCAGGGGTAGTGGTGCACTAGGCAAAGGCTACAATCATCCTCAGGAAGATGATTTCTCAGCTGTAAAAATTCAGAACAGCTGGGGTTTGCAGATCCAGACAGTTAAAGTCTCTCATTCAGCCACCTACTACTGCTCCTGTTGGAAAGTGAAGACCCACAGTGAGAAATGAAGAGAGCAGGCTGAACAAAAACCAAGAGATGAAGAGAAAACCACAGACAGAGTCACAGACACACTGAACTGAGAGACTCCTGGATTCACTGCTGTCAGGGTGTTATTATAGATCTTTGATTTCATTTAGTTATTATATATTTATTTTTAATCTAAACTGTATTTGCAGGTTTATTGTTGTTCCACAAAGTCAAGAAGCTGACAGTTACCTGTCTGAAAGAAAAGGACATGAAGCCTTCAGTGAAACTGTCAGTACGTTTCCATGACACTGGAGAAAACCGAATTGACATTGAGACGTTACACCATCTTTTCGTCCAATGTCCCAGGCTGGGACCTCTGTTCAGGCGGCTGCAGGGCTGGTTTCAGGGGTCAGGGGAGCACTTTTCTATGGGCCACGCTATTCTGTGCACAAGAAGGCAGCTCACACCCTCGTCAATTACATCTCAGGCTTAGAAAAACTGGTCACTTGGAAGACAAGGAAGAACAGGGTGAGGGGTCAGGGGTCACAAGACGTGGTGCAGATGTTCACAGGGACGCTGGCAGCTCGGCTCAGGGTGGATTTCAGTTTTTACAGGCTTAAGGTCCTTACACACTGGAGTGTTTTTGTCATGCCAGTATTTCGGACGTCAATATTTTTTTTCGAACCCGTATCCTGTCAATAAAAGCGTTTTCCCGTCCTGCGATATTCCGGCATTTATTATTTCAGGTCACTGATCGATTTTTCTAAAGTTTCGCATGCTGTGTGTCCACTTCTGACCAATCAGATTTCGTGTTGCTGCTTTTTACCGATTCACCAAACATTACAAAGATAACGACCTGAAGGACGACTTGTGGAGAGTCATAGCGTCGGATTTCTCATATGACGATGGTTTGTGAGCTTTAACAGTTTGAAAAACGTCTTTGTTTGAACTTTCATCTGTGCTAAGTAACTTTAGCTTGTAAGCTAACCAGTTCAGATACAACATACCACATGTATTTTCACTCTGTGTTGCTGTCACAGCACCATCAGGTCTCGGTTGTTCCCTTACGTTTATGGATTATAGTTTCATGTGTTTATCTGGTTCTGACCCGACTCAGTACAAGATATCATGACAGACAGACATCTCAACACTAGAGTCTGATCAGAACTGAGAAACTCTCAGTCTGCTGTTGGGTCAGTCTTCTTGCTTACACCGGGATGCGTCTTTTTCCCCCCATAAAGTCACAAAATCATATCACTCTTGATGTGTATAGTCAGGTGCGTCAAACTTCACCTCCGAATATTTCATAATTTAGTGTTGTATATTTGCGTCGGTCCCGGTGAGTAAAGACCTTTACAGACCAAACTGAGGTTTTTGTGGGGACCTGGGCTGTGAATGGGGTTTTGTGTACAGTCCAGGAGAATTCACTGGTCCTGGAGTTTTAAGCCTTATCCTTTGTCATCTTACCGGATTATATCCTGTTTTTCACTGTTGGAGTTTTGTGTTTGTTTTTGTGACATAGGATGGATGAGCAATAAAGGTCAAAAAGAAGAAGAAGAAGAAGAAGAACTTGATGGTCCACAGATGGACAGATCTGCTGGAGTCCAGAAAGAGGCTCAAGGAAGAGACAGTCATGTTGATGTGGACTTTAGAGAAAGTGATCCTGGATCTGAAACATGATCCTGGTTCATCATCTGACTCACTCAGCTGCTCTCAGGTTTTTGTACGACTGTTTCTCACTGTGGGACTACTACTACATCTTCGGCTCTGGGACTAAACTGTTTGTAACAGGTAAGAACAAAAACTTGATCTTTATTGTTTGAACTGATTTATAAAACCTCAAACTCTCTCCACAAATCTGAAGTTATTGATGAATTTCTGATAAATCTGAGTTTGATCTGAAATGTTGAGACAGTGTCACCTCTATATTTGGTCCTCTCTGTGAGTCAGAACCATCATTTCTTTATTTATAATGTTCAGACAGTCAAATTAACCTCATGTCAATTATATCAATATGAGGCACCAAAAACCTTTGTGTGGGAATATTTGTACAAGTAGACAGATACTCAATATTATCAACTAATATTTACAATAAATGTGATTTAATCTAGATCTATGGATAAACTATAGAAGCCTTTATATTTAAATATATAAGGAAATGTTATTATTGATTATTGTCTATAAATGAAGCTAAAAAATGAGAATACAGTCAAACACATGGAGGATGGTACAGAGGTATGAAGAGTCTGAGTGTTTGTACAAATTATTATATTCAAACAGGATTCATCATCTTACCCTCATTATATTATATTATATTACATTATATTATGTTATATCATATTGTAAATTATTATATAAAGTTATACTATATTGTATTGTATTGTTGTGTATTGTATTGCATTTGCATTGTATTACATTATATAATATTTTAGTATATTAAATAATCTAATATTATATTATATTATATTATTTGATATTATATTATATTATATTATATTATATTATATTATATTATATTATATTATATTATATTATATTTTATTATATTATATTGTATTATATTTATTGGTAGCCCTGATGTTTTTCTAATTTTTTATCAGTAATGTAGAATAATAAATAAATGACTGATATAATGATGAATCACTTCTCTAAAAAGAGCTGAATGCTCAGACCTACAACCTAAAAACGTAGAAGATAATGTAAGGACTAAAATCACCATTAAATCCTCTGAGAATAAAAATGTGTGTATATTATGGACAAAGTATTTTAAAGTTGATTGAAAACTGTAATAAAGTTGTGATTCAGCTTTGTTGTCATTAAATAGTATTTGTAGTTTTATAACTGTTTCAATGATTTTAATTTTTGTGAGTTATAGAAAGTCAGAAAATGTTGTTCAAGACTGAAGAGTGTGTGTGTGTGTGTGTGTGTGTGTGTGTGTGTGTGTGTGTGTGTGTGTGTGTGTGTGTGTGTGTGTGTCAGATAAGCCCGTGGTGAAGCCCGTGGTGAGTGTGTACCCGGCAGCATCCAGAGCCCAGCTGGAGGGGAAGAGCTCCCTGCTGTGTGTGGCCTCAGACATGTTTCCTCCTCTGGTCCAGATCTCCTGGAGAAGACGGGAGGAAGACGGTTCTCTGAAGGAGCTGTCCTCTGCTGACAGCGAGATGTCGAAGCTCAGAGAGTCTCACTGCACCGCTTCTATCTTAAAGATTCATAAAAGAGAGGACAACCTTGGTAAATACATCTGCTCCGTGAAACACGAGGGGGTACGAATGAAGTCAACAGCACCACATACTGGAGACGCTGTGTCTCCAACAGAAGCTCCTGCTGCTTTGACCTCTGGTCCTCCAGAGACAGAGCTCACAGACCTTCCAGCTCCTCCTCAGCAGTATAGCGGTAAGATCAACATGTTTTTACTTTTAAACAAACCTTCTTAGTCACCAAATGTTATCACTCTTCTCCAACTACTAATACTATCTGAGGTGTACCACAAGGATCAGTTCTAGAGCCTCTTTTTTACACACAGAGGCAGAACTGGATGGTTTGGGCCATCAGTGACTTTTTTAAAGTTTTTCAATTGATGTAAAATTTTTATTTTTGAATAGAGAAAAACTGCAGGAACACACCTGATAAAACATAAAGACGACTCGAGTATAAATAAAGTACCGAGAGGACTTTGTACAAAGAGCTGTGAATAACAGAGGTGTGTGTGTGTGTGTGTGTGTGTGTGTGTGTGTGTGTGTGTGTGTCAGTGTCCTCTGAGTGCAGGGTGAAGCTGCTGTCAGTCCTGTACTCTCTGCTGATCCTGAAGAGTCTGGTGTACTGCTGTGGACTCTCTCTGCTGACCATCTTCACTAACTAGCCACCGTCCATCAGCTGATGTGCTGACTGACTGTTTCCTGCTCGCCGTTTCTCACCGCCAAACCTCAGCAGCTCACATCTGTCTCAGACTCATTCAGCAGGTATAAATGTAGAGTCAAACATGCTGTGGTTTCGTTGTCATACATATTGATTTAAGTTCAATAAGAACATACAAACAGGTACGATATATTCAAATACCAAATTATACTGTATATATTTTACTGTTATTTACTTTGTTCCCATTAGACTAAAATGTCATGTGTGTAAAAAAAATAACCATAACATGTTTATGCTTCACTTAATGTTAAACATGTATTTCATGTGCAGAGCGCCACATTTATCTGTTTTTGTTGGTTTGTTTTTTCAATTTTTCTGTTTTGCAACTTTTTAAATAAACTTAAAAATCTTTTTAGAGTTTTTGTTTTATTGCCGTTGTTATTTATGTTGCTTTAATTTTTTATTCACAACAAATAAAATCAGAATCAGCTTTTTTTAATTTAATCTACAAGTTATTTGATTTTGGTGGTTTTTAAAGCTCTCAATATTCGCTGAGCAGAAACTAACAGAATAATTACTTGGATTGGATTATCTTCATGCTTTTGGCTTCAGTTTATTTTTATATTAAAAATTGAGTTTGATTTAATCAAAAGTTTATAGATTTTAAGTCGGTCTAAATTTGACTAAATCTATTTAATAGATTATTTTTTTACAGTTTGTGTTTCTATTAGGATTAACAGGATTGTTTTTACGAATTGTTATTTTTTGCCTTTACCTTGCATTTTATCTTTTATTCTTTATTTATTGCTTTTTTTTTACTTCAACTGATTTTTCACTCTGAACTGTATCTAAATGTTTTTTTATTTTTATTTTCCTTTTTCTGAAAACGTAAGTAAATTTCATGCTCAAAATCTACTTTTATTGTATTTACAATTCAAATAAAAATGCTTTTAAAAATGTAACGTTTAAATAAGTTGAGAAGAAGAAAAAAAGTTCAAATAAAGAAAAACATAATCTGTGTTTCTGTCTCAATATTTTATCATGAGGATGAATTGTCAGCAGAAAAAAAGTCCCAAATTTTTTACTTTATTCTATCATAAAATCCAAATTCTCACCCACATTTATTCAGATGTTGTTCTTCCATCACACTTTCCCTCCAACAGTTACTTTTCTTCGTTTTTATTCTCTTTTATTTTTATTTTATTCTGATTGAGTCCCTCAGAATAAGACCAGAGTCAGAGTGTTTAATTTTCTACTTTTTAAAAATTTACTGCTTTGTTCATGATTTTTACTCCAAGTCAGTTTCAGTAAATATTATTCTCATCCTACAGTGAACCTGGCTCTGATCTTTAGGATTGTGTTGCTTATTTTAGATTAGTGGTCTTTGAGATGAGTTGTGTAGGTAAGAAAAGACAAAGAGGCGTTTAAAGTCGGAGCAGTCAGTCAGTCAGCGTGTGCAGCAGCAGCAGCAGCAGCAGATATGCGTCCGTTGTAGGTGGTTATTAGCGCTGATAAAAACCTGTTTCTAGCAGATCAACACTTCCTTCCTGCAGCAGAGAGAGATGATCCGTGTGGCTTTCTGCTCTAACCGTTAGCTCAGCTTTTTCCCTTTAATAACACAATGACAGTTACAACCATCCACCCTGCTCACAGCTTCATTCAGGATATTCAGTTTGATTTCAGTGCTCAGAATTCAGTCTGACCTTTGACCTTTGTTTGGGATTCAAGGAGAGAAACATTTCCAACTTTGAACTCAGAGCTGAGGAGCTCAAACCAAGTTAGAAAACATGCACCAGCTCTGGTTATTTATAATTGTTTGATGTTTCTGTTCGTGTCGATAAAGATCAGTATCATCAGCGTAGAGCTTTACTTTCACACTCGCACTATTAGAAAAAGTGACATATATTTACTACAGCTCCCTGTTTTACAAAAATGCATTAGTAACCCTAAAAAGGTTTAATGTATATGTAAACACACCTTACAATAAATGTAATTCTTATTTTCAACACCTATGAACTTGCAGTAAAGAGGGTGTTCGTACATTTCATCAACACAACTCTCACTTTTCTGTTCTAGCTGTGCTTCTTAAAATAAAGGAGGTTGATAAATTAAACCATTAAATTAAGAGAATATATTTATTTGTTTTGATTTAATTTAAATTTTTCATTTAAGATATTTTAGTTTTATGATAATGAGTTGAAGATATTTAGCTTCATGGGTGACCTTTTAAAATACTGATGAAATCTATAAATGCGGAATCAAACAGAATTTGTAGGGGAACATATAGACAATAGATTTGAGCAAAGAAAGTCTAGAGCAGACTTATCAGCCTGTTTTTGCAACGTGTTGAAAAACAGGATGCGGGCCACAGCCTGAGAGGTCACGTCGACCTTGTCACACATGGCTCCGTCAAAATTCGACAGGAAATTTGGCAGAGCCGGCCAGCGAGCAAAACATGTTTACAGAAAAAGTCACGTAGTTGGCTATCAGACACCAATGTGAAGTACACTTACAGGAAGATAACAATTCAGATGACCACTTACAGGAATAGCAACAACTGACGTCATTGGACTGTATAAATTATTTGGGATTGTTTGGTTCTGGGGTCCATCGGCTGATTTGTCGTGAGATGTGGTTGATGCTGCAGACTGCAATAAAATTCCCATAAGAAGGCTGCGAACTTGACTCTGACTTTGGGTGGTTTATTTTTGCACCGTTGCATTTATGAAATCTACCATATAAGTGGCGAGCCAGCCAGGAGCCGAACCTAGAATCTTCTGAATAAATTCAAATACCATAAATTCAACATCAGCCCTGTTTTTTAATGATATAAATAGGGAACAGTATCATCAGCGTAGAGCTTTACTTTCACACTCAGACCGTTAGAAACAGCAGACAGCATTAAACCTGATGGTACAAACACACGGGGGCGTGTTAAGTTCAGCTTTAAGTTGATGTTTGCTCTTTTTTATCCGACTCAGACGTGGTTTGAAAATGTTTATTTATATTCATGTAAATTAAAGTTTTCATCACACATAGGTGAAGTAAACTGGGAGCTATTTTAAATCTAATGTGACTGAAAGATTTAAATTCAGCATACATATATTTTTATTGTATTTGGACTTTTTATGAACTTTCATCTGTTTTAGCAGTTTTATAATGTAGTATACTTGTTGAACCAAAAGAGCCTGTAAAAGTATTATTAAATAAAAACATCAAACTATCTTAAAAAAAACATTTTAAAATACAAGAAGATAAAGGACAGAGGACAGTCAGTTTGTTAGTGTGGTATTAAATTTTCATGGCTCTTAGAATATGAAATAAAAAAAATTAAAATGAAAATATTTAATATTTTTTAATTAATTTTGAAAACATAGTACTATTTTAAGTTTTTTGTATTTTTTTTCATATTTCAGGTTTAATAAAAATTCAGTTTTTGTTTTTTTAGTTTTTGTTCTCGGTCATAAACTTGTTGACAGTCAGAGTTTTATCACTTGTGTCTGAAAACAAACACAGTCAATAGAAACGATCATGTGTTTCTGTATTCTTTGCTTTAAATCCAAAACTACATTCACAAAAACAAAATAAAACTCTGGAATTTTGAGAGTTTATTTGAAAAATTTACACAGTAAAAATGTCGGACAAATCTGACCACGTTTTGAATAATTCAAGGAAAATAAAAACTGGAAAACAAAAGAAAAAATAACTTTAAGAAAGCGTACATTTTTCAGTCCTATCAAATTACAGTTAATCAAGTAGAAATAAAACTAAATCTATTTGACGACATATGATTTTTACTTTATTTTCTTTCTAAGATGACGTCTTTAAAACTGCAGGAACTTATATGAACATGTTCTAAGCTCTAGATTTGTAGCTTGTTAGCAGATCTTGAAGAAAGCGGCGAGCTGCTGAGGTTTGGCGGTGAGAAACGGCGAGCAGGAAACAGTCAGTCAGCACATCAGCTGATGGACGGTGGCTAGTTAGTGAAGATGGTCAGCAGAGAGAGTCCACAGCAGTACACCAGACTCTTCAGGATCAGCAGAGAGTACAGGACTGACAGCAGCTTCACCCTGCACTCAAAGGACACTGACACTGACACACACACACACACACACACACACACACACTGTTATAAGGTCCTAAAGAGGCAGCAGTATTAGTCTCAAACAGTTTCCTAACCAGTAAAAAACCCTCACAAGAGCTTTAAAGTGATAGTGTCATATTGTGGATTGAAATATCACGAACATTAACTTCATATTTTCAGATTATTTGTTTCTGTGTTTTGTAGAAACTTGTTGGATGTAAATATTTGTCATCTGTCTTTGACTGTGCGTTAAATCAAGAGTGCAAACTGTCTGCTCCTGTTTCCTTTCTCTCTATATATCTTGCGTTGTGAAATTGCTTTGCACGTAGAACTGATTTGATTTGAAATATTTCCTGTGTGTGTTTATATTCCCTGTTTTCCCCCTTATTCTCTCTCCTGTTTTAAAGCAGTGCCTGAACTTCCCTCTGATTCTTACAGTCGGTCTCTTGCAGGGCTGACGGCTCAGTCGGCTCTCTCTCTAGAGGACAGGAGGTTTCAGGAGCTGCAGGAACTTCTGTTAGAGACAAAGAGTAAAAGAAAGGTCAGTCCTCTGCTCCACCATCTCCAATCTAATCAAGCTGAATTAGACACCCAGATTTCTGGACCTTGTTCAGTGTGAGCGTCCACTCTGCCCCCCTGGTGCAGCACCGTGCAGAGGTATCTGTCCGTTCTGTTCTCCCTCTGAGGGATCATCAGGATGGAGACGGTGCGTCCAGACTCTCTGAGCTCCAGCTGCTCTCCTTCAGCAGAGGACAGCTCCTTCAGAGAACCGTCTTCCTCCCGTCTTCTCCAGGAGATCTGGACCAGAGGAGGAAACATGTCTGAGGCCACACACAGCAGGGAGCTCTTCCCCTCCAGCTGGGCTCTGGATGCTGCCGGGTACACAGTCACCACGGGCTTCACCACGGGCTTATCTGATACACACACACACACACACACACTCTTCAGTCTTGAACAACATTTTCTGACTTTCTATAACTCACAAAAATTAAAATCATTGAAACAGTTATAAAACTACAAATACTATTTAATGACAACAAAGCTGAATCACAACTTTATTACAGTTTTCAATCAACTTTAAAATACTTTGTCCATAATATACACACATTTTTATTCTCAGAGGATTTAATGGTGATTTTAGTCCTTACATTATCTTCTACATTTTTAGGTTGTAGGTCTGAGCATTCAGCTCTTTTTAGAGAAGTGATTCATCATTATATCAGTCAGTTATTTATTATTCTACATTACTGATACAAAATAAAAATAAAAAACATCAGGGCTGCTTGTAAATATAAGATAATATTATTTAACTTAAATTATATTATTTAATGTAATTTAATATGGTATAAGATAATATATAGTATAATATAATACAATATAAAATAATATAATTAAATGTAATTAAAAATAATACAATATTATATCATATGTTATAGAATATGATAAAATATGAAATAATATAATAAAATACAATATAACATAATATAATATAATATAATATAATGAGGGTAAGATGATGAATCCTGTTTGAATATAATAATTTGTACAAACACTCAGACTCTTCATACCTCTGTACCATCCTCCATGTGTTTGACTGTAATCTCATTTTTTAGCTTCATTTACAGACAATAATCAATAATAACATTTCCTTATATATTTAAATATAAAGGCTTCTATAGTTTATCCATAGATCTAGATTAAATCACATTTATTGTAAATATTAGTTGATAATATTGAGTATCTGTCTACTTGTACAAATATTCCCACACAAAGGTTTTTGGTGCCTCATATTGATATAATTGACATGAGGTTAATTTGACTGTCTGAACATTATAAATAAAGAAATGATGGTTCTGACTCACAGAGAGGACCAAATATAGAGGTGACACTGTCTCAACATTTCAGATCAAACTCAGATTTATCAGAAATTCATCAATAACTTCAGATTTGTGGAGAGAGTTTGAGGTTTTATAAATCAGTTCAAACAATAAAGAGAAAGTTTTTGTTCTTACCTGTTACAAACAGTTTAGTCCCAGAGCCGAAAATGAGGAGACACAGTGAGAAACAGTCGTACAAAAACCTGAGAGCAGCTGAGTGAGTCAGATGATGAACCAGGATCATGTTTCAGATCCAGGATCACTTTCTCTAAAGTCCACATCAACATGACTGTCTCTTCTTTGAGCCTCTTTCTGGACTCCAGCAGATCTGTCCATCTGTGGACCATCAAGTTCTTCTTCTTCTTCTTCTTCTTTTTGACCTTTATTGCTCATCCATCCTATGTCACAAAAACAAACACAAAACTCCAACAGAGAAAAACAGGGTATAATCCGGTAAGATGACAAAGGAAAAGGCTCAAAACTCCAGGACCAGTGAATTCTCCTGGACTGTACACAAAACCCCATTCACAGCCCAGGTCCCCACAAAAACCTCAGTTTGGTCTGTAAAGGTCTTTACTCACCGGGACTGACGCAAATATACGACATGAAATTACAAATATTCAGAGGCGAATTTTGACCCGCCTGACTATACACATCAAGCGTGATGCGATTTTGTAACTTTCCGGGGGGAAAAAAGACGTGTCCCGGGTGGAAGCGAGAAGACTGCCCCAACAGCAGACTGAGTGTTTTTCAGTTCTGATCAGACTCTAGTGTTGAGATGTCTGTCTGTCATGATAGCATGTACTGAGTCGGGGCCAGTACCAGTTGTGCCAGATACCTGTTTGTAGCTATGGCCCCATGTACAACCCTCCACTGGAGGTCGCCTGTCCGTTTATCAATGGGGGGTTTGTACAGGGACCGCCAACAATCTCCTGGGGAAGAGCCCCTGCCAAAAAACTCAGTCCACCTTGACACCTTCAACTCAGCCAGGGAGCGCAGGCCTGTCACCTTCACACCAATGTAATACCCCCCCAAAACACATTCATGCTGCTCATCCCATTGGTCCAAAACAGTCCGGTCCTTGACAAAACTTCTACAGACCTCTGGCAGGGACCCACAGACCTCTACCACCAGCCTGGACAGCAGTCTGTGTGACCTGATGCTGAGTCGCTCTTCCAAGTGAGGGATGGATGTCCTCAAGAAATGACTCAATTTCAAACAGCCAGCCTCCCTCAGTCTGATCCTGAGGCTATCAAAGGACAGGACCCCAAAGGAGATAAACCTGTTCCAAAACAGAGGTTCCTCAAACAGCCACATCCCTGGTGTTACTGCAGCCATCCGCTGAAAAATAAAGACCTGCGCTGCCTCAACCATTGACTGATAAAAAGGTGTCGGACCAGATAAGTCCACTGAGCTAAGCTCAAGCAAGAACAGATGTTTGTCGTACCCAAGATAACTGGCCTTCCACAGCAGCAAACAGGCTGTGTCCATCCATGGCAGACCAAAACTGTACAAAAGTCTCTGGGCTGACTGCAGCCTAAAAGCTGCGACCCATTCCCAAGAATCACCCCCAGCACCTTCATACCCTGCCTTCCCCAGCTTAGTTTTCCTGGTAAAACCGGTGCCCCTGTTTCCCCCCACGGACCCAACTGAAAAGCCTCACTTTTCCCCCAATAAACCCTTGCTGAGGCTGCCTTTCTGAAAAGATCCATGTCATATGTGAGAGAAGACACACCTCCCTGGTTCTTAATAAAGAGATTGAAATCGTCAGCGTAGGCCGAAACCACCAGTGGGGGGCGGTAAAGCAACCCTGGCAACATGATCCCAGGCAGCCTAGATCTCAACTTAGATCGAAGTGGCTCAATGGCCAGTGAGCACAGCTGGCCAGAGAATGGACATCCCTGCCTAATAACCCTCTGAACCTGCACTGGACAGCTCAGCCTCCCGCCCACCTTCTTCTTCTTCTCTGAGAAAGGAGACAGACGTTGAGTTACAGCTGTAACCTTGTCATTCTGGGTCCCTGCTCAGAGTCCAAAAGTACAGGAACCCTGTCAGACACAAAGACCTGCATGGCCTCGTTATCCCGATGAGACCTCATCTCCATTGGACTGTGTAAAGTATTCTCACCTCTCTTTTGGGGCAGCAGAGGACGGCAGACCTTGGCAGGGCAAAGGTCAGTAAGAAGGTGTCTGTCGTGTGGTGATGGCTCCGCCTCACTCCCTGAAGAAACCTCTGGTAGATACATTCTGCTGATAGACCCAGATCAACATCCACATGATCAAGTAGGTGGCGCCCCATCAGAAGACCTACCAGGTTACCCCTGATAGGTGCAGCAGTCCTGGGTCAGCCTTGGTTAGCACTAACTCAGCCTAGAGACTCAACCATGACCGTCATTCTTCAGAAACTTCTGCAGACTCAGGAGAGTCTTTTAGGTTAGGCATCTCTGGTTCACACTCTGGGACCTTCAGTTCAGGAGGAACATGATCCCAGAGAACCAAAGGAGGTCTGGAGTCAGAAGGCCGGGAAAGAAGAGGACCAGGGACTTCTGGATTTGTCAGGTCCAGCCTTGCCCACTCCCCTGCCATACTGCTTCCAAAGAGGTCCTCAGCTGTGGTCGTGCAGACCGAGCTGTAGCTACCCCTTCATTTTTACTGTCCCACAGTGATACAACAGATTGAGCCGCACATCATTTTAACCCCTTCAGTGCCGCTGAGCACGCAAGTCTTCATTCATGGACTGAGAGTGTTTGTAGCACCAATTCATCCACTGAACATCATCAGAATTTAACAAAACTTTACAGACACTAGATATGGCGCTGTTTCCAGATATTTTCAAAGACGTCTCCGTTCCTCATTTTGCGACCGTCCATAAACTTTAAAATGTCCATTTCTGTCAGGACGGGAAGAATAACGGCGCTCTCCTCGTCGTTCTAAAAGCGGACGTTCTTTCGTTTCCTCTGAGTTGAAACTTCTTAAAATGAGAGCGCCACTTCTTCTCTGGTATTTTTGTCCCAGGGTTAAGGGGCGTGGTGCACGTGCACATGCATTGTCCGATCATACTCCGACTACGCTGGTTACATGGTAGAGAAAATCAAATTCCAATCACATTATCTGAGTGTCTTAGTCCGACTATAATCAGAGTTTGAGAATTCAGATTAAGGTGTTTGAGTCATTGATTGATTCGTGTCATTGATTGATTTAAGTCATTGATTGATTTGAGTCATTGATTGATTTGAGTCATTGATTAGACTCCTGTTGGTCCAGCGTCACTGGTCAGCTGTTGAAGTAAACTCAGAAATCATTTCTATTCAGTCAGTGTTTCACTGAAGGCTTCATGACCTTTTCTTTCAGACAGGTAACTGTCAGCTTCTTGACTTTGTGGAACAACAATAAACCTGCAAATACAGTTTTGATTAAAAATAAATATATAATAACTAAATGAAATCAAAGATCTATAATAACACCCTGACAGCAGTGAATCCAGGAGTCTCTCAGTTCAGTGTGTCTGTGACTCTGTCTGTGGTTTTCTCTTCATCTCTTGGTTTTTGTTCAGCCTGCTCTCTTCATTTCTCACTGTGGGGTCTCCCCTTTTCAAACAGGAGCAGTAGTAGGTGGCTGAATGAGAGACTTTAACTGTCTGGATCTGCAACTCACAGCTGTTCTCAGTTTTTACAGCTGAGAAATCATCTTTCTGAGAATGATTGTAGCCTTTATATATTTCACCACTGCTCCTGTCTATATGCAGAATCCTTCTGAATGTGTCTGAGTCTTTCTTCTGGTACCAGTATACCCAGTCACTAGAACATCGGTTGGTTTGATCACAGCTGAAGGAGACTTGTTCTCCTTCTCTCCTGGTCAGAGTTAAATCCTCCTGGATCAGATCTTCTGCTGTTGAAAGCAGAGCTGCAGACACACACACACACACACACACACACAGGTGAAGCAGGTGAGTGAGACGGTGTTTGGTAAAGGTCGAGTTTGCTGGCTCCTGATTGGCTGATTGAAACACTCACCTGAACACAGACAGTACAGGGCAGCAGCTGGGAGGAGAAGCATTTTGTGTGTCGGTGTTTCCTCTGGTGATCCTGAGGAGAAGTGACGCTCTGAGATCAGACGAGGACACCTGCTTTCTAACAGGTCCTCTGACAGATCTCCCATCAGCCCCTGCAGTCAAATGATTGACAGCTGGGTGAAGTTGTGGTGTGGTTTCAGCTCAGTTTGAGGTTTTAAGGGAGAATGAGGAAGCAAAAGTAAAGCTCCACGCTGATGATACTGTTCTTTATCTATATGAACAAACAGCACAGAGAGCTGATTTACACACCTGTTAGAATAAAATGATCAGATTTAATCTGTCTGATTAAAATTAAACAATAATGAATAATCAGAGCTATTTTTCTAATTTGATTTGAGCTCCTCAGCTCTGAGGTCAAAGACTGAAATGTCTCTCTCTCTCTCTCTCTGAAATCAAACTGAACATCCTGAATGAAGCTGTGAGCAGGGTGGATGGTTGTAAATGTCATGGTGTTATTAAAAGGAAAAAGCTGAGCTAACGGTTGGAGCAGAAAGCCACACAGATCATCTCTCTCTGCTGCAGGAAGGAAGTGTTGATCTGCTAGAAACAGGTTTTTATCAGCGCTAATAACCACCTACAACGGACGCAGCAGACAAGCGCAACTACACTCTTTTTAAGGTTTGATTTTTAGGTCCAGAACTCTTACTTCTGCTTTTACATAACGTCTATCTGTTATTTTTACATGTTTCCAAGTTTTCTCTCATATGTAAAGAAATAACATGTAGAGCAGCAAAAACAGGCTCAAATAATCTGAATTTAAGTCTGTTGGTGCTGTCAGCAAAGTAAAAAAGAGTCCGTCAAAACAGGTCCTGATTCATACTTTAATTCTGGTGTTAAATAAATAAGATGTTTTTATTTGTACTAATAAATCATTCTTGTTATAATTATTCTTGTTTTCATTTCGTGTTTGTGACTTTTTAATTTATACGTTTTGAGATTGTTTTCATTATCAATTTATTTTTACATTACATTTAAATTTTTGTACATTTTTAATTATTTATTTTTTAAGTGAAGGACAAAACAAGCAAAGACTACTTCGCCATCAGGGGGCGCCAACATGACACAAAATGGAAAACTCTCACAGGAGCTTGAAAGACATGTTGGATGTTTTTAGGTCTATTATTATTAAATAGAGGCTTAAATAGTCACTTATTATTATGGATATTAGTCTCCTGTTTAATATAATATTACTGAAAATGAGTCAAAGGATTCCTGAATATTAATATTTTATTTTTAGAACTATTGTGCATCTGTGAAACCATCATTTTTATTGTGTTTTTATCATTAATATATTTTTGAATTGTGTTTAGTAAATTACAAATATTGATATGAACATATTAATAGAAAAGAACAGAAATAGGAATAAAATTAATATAAATAATGAATTAACACTCTTCATCTGGATTATAATCTGTATGTGTTGCACTTTGTGTCTATACTTAATATTGTAAAGTTTGGTTCACAGTTTTAAAAACACATCATACATTTCTGTACAAATCTTACTGATCATTTCACACTACAAAGATATATCCTGCAGATTTTTAAACATTATTTCTAAAAATGTATTTTTTTAATCTAATATTGTTTGAGTTTGTTGACAGATGTAGAGTCTTTAGATGCTGTTAGGAACTTTGGTTGAAGGTAGTTCAGATTAAAGATGGTGATATGATATTAGACAGATTATTAACCCTGTTGTCTCATTACCCATCAAAGCTTCTTTGAAAATATCTTAAACACTCATTAAAGCTACGTTATTTATTTTAATTTTGTTCTTTAGATTAACAGAAAGATGTGTTTTAACAGGTGTTTCTTTAAAGATGCTATCTGTACAAATCTTACTGATTATTTCACACTACAAAGATATATCCTGCAGATTTTTAAACATTATTTCTAAAAATGTATTTTTTTAATCTAATATTGTTTGAGTTTGTTGACAGATGTAGAGTCTTTAGATGACTTAAACCCATGTTAACAAACTAACTGAAAAACTTAGACATAAAAATAATGAATCAGCATGAGAACAAATGTGGTGAATTCGTCAAGAAGCTCAGTCTGCTGTTTGTTCATGTAAATAAAGAACAGAATCATCAGCATAGAGCTTTACTGTGACACTCATACCATGACAGGAAAGACACAGAGTGGCACATTAGCGACAGTTTTGTGTTAATTTGCTTATTTTAGTCTCTCTTTGCTCTCCTTTATAGCTGTGTAAACATACTTATATATACATGTATGTACAAGTAATTCAATAAAGTAAATGTTTAAATTAAACAAAGGCGGAAACAAATGCAGGTCATGGAGGATGAATTTTTATTATTTGCATTAAACTAAATTTAAAATCAAAATAAATAATGAAACACAGACTCTGGGTGTTTTTCAGTTTATTGTGAAAAGTTTAACTGAAACAAGCTTGAAAAGCTGCTGCAGTTTTCAAAGATAGAATAACAACATTATAAAAAAAGGTTCAAGCTAACAGACTGAAATTCAGAATCACTCTTGATACTAAAAAATTTCTTAATTTAAGCCTGAGTTAGATTCAACAGTGTACAGATTTTTTTTTCACTTGTTCATGTCAAGTTTTTTGGTATCGTAGAAAATATAGCTGTAGTTACCAAAAGGCACCAGCAGGGGGTGTTGAAGGCTGTGTAGTATTGGGCCTCCACAGTCAGCACAGAGACCATCAGAGGGAACTTTGTGGTCCTGATTATAAGTATAATATAAATATTTATGCGTTTAATTCTTAGATTAAATGTCAAACGTTACGTGAAATGGATGACTGTTTTAATCTTGAGCAAATCTTGAAGAAAGCGGCGAGCTGCTGAGGTTTGGCGGTGAGAAACGGCGAGCAGGAAACAGTCAGCACATCAGCTGATGGACGGTGGCTTGTTAGTGAAGATGGTCAGCAGAGAGAGTCCACAGCAGTACACCAGACTCTTCAGGATCAGCAGAGAGTACAGGACTGACAGCAGCTTCACCCTGGACTCAAACATGACCAGAGCCACAGCAGGAACCTCTGAAACACAGACATGTAAACCATCATCAGTCCTCTGCTCCTCTTTTCTGTGACGGTGTCTGCACCATCACTAATCTTCTCTTTACCTTGTTCACATGGAGCCTCCACTGTGCCCCCCTCGTGCAGAACTGTGCAGAGGTATTTGAACGTGTGGACAGGATCTTGGTCGACCACTCTGATGGAGACGGTGCGTCCAGATTCTCTGAGCTCCAGCTGCTCTCCTTCAGCAGAGGACAGCTCCTTCAGAGAACCGCCGACCACCCGTCTTCTCCAGGAGATCTGGACCAGAGGAGGAAACATGTCTGAGGCCACACACAGCAGGGAGCTCTTCCCCTCCAGCTGGGCTCTGGATGCTGCCGGGTACACACTCACCACGGGCTTCACCACGGGCTTATCTGTGGAGGGATCAAGACTCTGATCACTAAACTTCTCACTATTATAATAATTTCACCTCCTGGACAAACACATGACACCTCTGCCTGTTGACACTGTGGCAAAAACAGTGGTTTCCAATAACACACTAAGGTGGTGGGTGGACGGTTTGCTTCATCAGGGAAATGTATTCTTGCCAACTCTCCGATTCACGTAGGAGACTCATGATGTTTAACCCAATCTCCCGCGATTCTCCCGGTCAGTAATTTCTCCCTCTAATCTTCTGATTTTTACAGTGACTGTTGAGTTGACACTGCCGGATAATAATAATTATAATAAGAATTTACTTGGAATAAGAAGTCAGCATTCAGACAGAGATGGATAGAGAAAGAGTTCCTGTACATTATCTACGACTTACTTGCAGCCAAAACGCTATTTTAAAGTGTCTAATGTTTTATTACTCGTCTCGTTAGCAGCAGAACTTTATGGAATTTGAAATACGAGTTCAGTTTTCTTCATAACAGCAGCCACTTAAACCTTTAGATAATAATAATAATAATAATAATAATAATAATAACTTTATTTGTATGGCACTTTTAAAAACAGACATTTACAAAGTGCTTTGACATATCGTAATAGAGCACATGGAAAAAGACAAATAAAAACAAAAAGCTCAGTTAAAACAGAATTGAAGGAACCCGGACAATACAAGAACCATGCAACATAAAGTGAGACCATGAGGACCAAAATAAAAACATAAAATAGTGAAGAAAAAAGGAAAATGCAATTAAAAGGGAGGACGAAAGTGGAAACTGGATAGTGAATATAAAAGGCAAAATCAACAATGATAATAAAATAATAACAGGTAAAACTGATAATAATAGTAATGATAAAATAGAGCAACAGAAATGAGCAAGAGATAAAACAATAAAAGGCCTAAAAGGTTAATTAAGAAAAGAGTACAAGTTGAACAAAAGCTAAAAAGAGAGTAAAACTGAAATTAGATAAAAGAGATAAGAGATGACAGATAAAAGACGTTGACACACACTTTTTAATTTGATATGCAATAAACACTACACAATAAATACATGATACTGCAGCTGCCTTATTATTGACCTTATTATTAAAACTGCTCATTTTTTCATTTTCCTCAATGGTAAACAGAATTATTTATTGAATATCAAAGAAATTTTCAGAACAAGGTTCCTTCATCAGGTTTAAAATACAAGGAAAGAATTGATGACAATTAATGCGCACACCTGGAGCAGGAACCGTTTTCATCGGGCCAATAAACCAATGAAAAAAATCTTCCTATTTATCACGACCCAATGTTAGCAAGTATGTATACATGTATGAGATAATGTTATTATGACGTGAAATACAGTTCTCATATTACCAAAGGGAGAGCTTGTTCTATTGATAACTTCAATTATTATTATTGTTATTATTTTTCTTTTTATAATTAAACTGATTTCAAAATAAATTATTTTGATATGGAACAAAATGTAAAATTTCAAATTAAATAAAAGTAATAGAATTTGTACTGATAAATCAGACAAACACAGAAAAACAATTATGCCTCTTTAAATTTGTATTTACACTATTTAAATTTTATGTATTAAAAAAATAAATACTTTATGTTTGTCACATTCACACGGAATACAATCAAAATCTTTCTGAACTTTAATCAATCACAGATTTTAATTCCTGAGAATTTTTTTTTTTTTTTACCAATTTTAAATTTTAGATTGTTTTTACATTCAATTTTAGCTGGGTTAAAATTCAACAGGTGGGTAGGACTCTCTGTTAGTGAGAACTAAAGGGTAAAAAAGTGCATTTATCAATTTCAAATATCAACTCTGTTCTTTTAATAAATCAGATTCATTAAATTAAAAAGTCTGATCTTCAGATATGCAGACAGATTAATTCTTCTGGTTTGATTTATGAATATTTTTTATGTGACAAACAACAAGATCTAAATCTAAAAAACAACAAGAAGAAGATTTAAAACACAAGAAGCAGCAGAAAATAAAAAATGAGGAAATGAGTTTTTGTTCTTACCTGTTACAATCAGTTTAGTCCCAGAGCCGAAGATGTGGTAGTAGTCCCACAGTGAGAAACAGTCGTACAAAAACCTGAGAGCAGCTGAGTGAGTCAGATGATGAACCAGGATCATGTTTCAGATCCAGGATCACTTTCTCTAAAGTCCACATCAACATGACTGTCTCTTCTTTGAGCCTCTTTCTGGACTCCAGCAGATCTGTCCATCTATGGACCATGATATCCTTCAGATCATGACCTCAGTCCACATGGAATGGATCTGGACCAAAGGGTGAATAAACACCATGATCAGACCTTCTTAGTCCCCAGAGGATTGACCTCATGTCCTCTCCTATAAGAAGGATTCCTCCTGTAGCAGAGTTATCTCCATAATCCTGCTGATTTATGTCCTGATCTCCTCCTCTGACAGACGTCATTAATGCCTGAGTATCAGGTGGATCTCAACATGATCTTCATGGTCCTGTGGAAGACCATCCAGAGAGGAAGTGGAGCAGGTTGGACTCATACAGGTCCTTAAAGTCCACAACAGTAATAGTCCAACAACACAGATGCCATCTACAGGGAGGGGCAGACCAGCTGTTCCTGAGGAGACTCAGATGGTCCAGTGTCTGCAGCAGACTCTGAAGACCTTTTTCCCGTCTGAAGTTGAGGGTGGAACCTGGACTAACCGAGGGAGCTGGTCAGGAGGGCCGGCTCTGTGGTTGAGCCAGAATTGGACCACTTGGACTCAGGTTCTGAGGGGGGGCTGACAATATCTTTATACCCTGTTGTACGTCAGAAACATTAGCTTTGTTTAGCACACTTCGCTAATGTCAGCCTGAGTCACCAAAACAATGAAAAACATACGAACTGAGCGATAAACTAAAATCATTCTGATTAAAATAACCATGAAAACATCACGACCTCATCTCATCACACAGTTAGTTTGTTTGGATCTGTTGTGGATCACGCCATCGCTCTCACTGCAAATACAGTTTTGATTAAAAATAAATATATAATACCTAAATTAAAACTAAATAAATGAAATTAAACTAAATAAAACTGACAGCAGTGAATCCAGGAGTCTCTCAGTTCAGTGTGTCTGTGACTCTGTCCGTGGTTTTCTCTTCATCTCTTGGTTTTTGTTCAGCCTGCTCTCTTCATTTCTCACTGTGGGGACTCCATTTCACACAGGAGCAGTAGTAGGTGGCTGAATGAGAGACTTTAACTGTCTGGATCCTCAACTCACAGCTCTCAGTTTTTATCACAGCTGAGAAATCATCTTTCTGAGGATGATTGTAGCTTTTATCTAGTGCACCACCACTCCTGCTTATATCAAGAATCACTTTGAATGTGTCTGAGTCTTTCTTCTGGTACCAGTATACCCAGTCACCAGAACATCGGTCAGTTTCCTCACAGCTGAAGGAGACTTGTTCTCCTCCTCTCCTGGTCAGAGTTAAATCCTCCTGGATCAGATCTTCTGCTGTTGAAAGCAGAGCTGCAGACACACACACACACACACACACACACACACACACACACACACACACACACAGGTGAAGCAGGTGAGTGAGACGGTGTTTGGTAAAGGTCGAGTTTGCTGGCTCCTGATTGGCTGATTGAAACACTCACCTGAACACAGACAGTACAGGGCAGCAGCTGGGAGGAGAAGCATTTTGTGTGTCGGTGTTTCCTCTGGTGATCCTGAGGAGAAGTGACGCTCTGAGATCAGACGAGGACACCTGCTTTCTAACAGGTCCTCTGACAGATCTCCCATCAGCCCCTGCAGTCAAATGATTGACAGCTGGGTGAAGTTGTGGTGTGGTTTCAGCTCAGTTTGAGGTTTTAAGGGAGGAGATACCTTCAGACATGTCAGTGCTAATGATAGATTTGATAGTTTGTAATTAATTCATATTCAGAAAAGAGATTGTTGGTGGTAGAATATGAAAACGAGATTAAGAAATGTGGAAACATGTATCACTAAGAAAGAAAAATTATTTATGTAAACCGTTAAGTGTTTAAAGAGGTTGGAGTATATATCACAGTATAAAGGACGTGTTATTATCAGTGTTGTTTTTAACAGTCTATACCTTTCTGTTTGTCTTTGTAAGGAATTTTGAAACTACTAAAATTATTTGTTGGGATATCAGGAGTTAATTTATGAATGCTTATAAATATGTCTCTTTTTATATTTTATATATCTGTGTTCAAGTTAAAGTTGCATTATAAAAGAAAAAGATTTGCCCTAGGGTGCTTCATAGAAACAGACACAGGTTGTGCACATGCCAACATAAAAATAAACATTTTTTATCAGACAGTATTAAAATAGAAACATATATGTCTTCGTACTCAGCACAGTCTCAGGACATTAAATTCCATAAAGGTCATTTCTCATCGTGTTGTTCTCTACCATCCTGGAATCATACTCTGTTTATGACCGAGCTTCTCTCTTTTTGTTCTGCTCTAAGATTTAACCCTTAACACTGCTGCCCTCTAGTGGCTGAACCATTACACAGCATCATTAAGGTTTTACACAGCTCTTTCTGCCGTGCACTGTGAGGGACATGTTCACTCCTGCAAGGATCAGATAAGACAGCAAACAGAGAGTAAATGAAATGTATCGTGGAACAGTAGGCAAAGGTCTGAGAAACATGACAGGAAAAGGACACGGTCCCCGTTTGGTGTGTGTGTGTTTGTGTGTGTGTGTGTGTGTGCAAATGTCCCCATTTAGTGGGTGTTTCTATGGATAAATGTCCCCATTTGGTGGTTGTGTGTGTATGTGTGTGTGTGTGTGTGTCCAAATGTCCCCATTTGGTGGGTTTAGGGGCAAATGTCCCCATAAGCCTGGATAACCAACACTCTAAGGGGACAGTCAGAGAATCTCTCAACAAGACAGAGAGAAAGAGAGCAGCATTAGAGGGGGACAACACAAACTTATCCTTCCTGAGAAGTTTTGTGAATAGAGGATGGGAGAAGCAGAGCATGGTCCGAACACCAAAACCTAAAGTATCTGCTTCAAAAATCTGTTCTGCTGTGGACCAGACCCACCTGGAGGAGTTGAGACATATCTGGACCAGCTTAAAGCGTTACAACTGACTGGACCAAATTAAAAGACCTAAGGGACTAGACCTGAGCGAGGTGCAACAAGACTGGACTGAACCTGAGGGCCATGACTGTTGGCCGTATATAGAATGAACACCATCTACCTCCTCTCTGGGTGAAGCCATCCTCTGAACAGCACCCTCTGGTGACGGGCTGCAGTATAGGTCATAAATCCCACCTCTGCCAGCCATCCTTACAAAACAGATTTCTTGTGTATAAACTATACTTGGTGCGCACGCAACCATGGGGCAAAAGACTGCTTTGGAGTGACCTGATATCAATAAAGATGCCGGATTGTTTGCAAGTTCTCCCTGACACAATTGCAACAAAATGTCATTTCATTGAAAAATCGCTTTGTCTTTAATGACACAGAATATAAATGTTTCTCCCCCCTGGTTGTGATGTTGACATGTAGTTACTGTCGGACTGGTTTGTGCTCAAGTCCTCTTTCTTCTGTACAGCTCCATTTTTAAAAGTTATTAGGGGGTCATTTTTTCTATGATTGACACCTGATACAGCCGTAGTAGTGGTATATACAGTCTATGATCATGGCATGAACCTGACCCACTGAAAGGACCTTTTACATGAACTGGACACACCTGGTGGAATCAGTCACATGGATGATGAAACTTGGTTAATTGAGTCAAAGTGTGGCTCTCCCTGGTTTCAAATTTTATAAAATGTGAGTCAAAATTGATCAGGTATAACTTGAGTAATGCAGATTGAAGCAGTGAGGCACTGCAGCCAACAGGGGGCGGCATCGTCAATATAATGGCTGCTTGTACAAAGAGGTAAAGACTTGAAACTTCATCTGGAAGAGTGATGTGAAACTAATCAGACTAAAAGCACTTTAATGTGACACTATTTTGCCTTTTTCTGTTTCTGATGTAAACAACATTTTTCTCAAGGATTGTTTACACACACAACTCTCTGTTTTATTAAAGTCATATTGTGTATTGATCAACAACGATATCATTGGTGATAGAGTGAGTCAGAGAGTGTTTGCCTTAGTGTTATTTCAGAGATGAATTACCCTCACAATGGTGCTGAAATAAGTGCTGATTCTGTATGGACAAAATAAAAACTGTAAAAAAATTAGTAATAGTTCAAATTAATCCTTTCAGAAAAGAAAAATCAAGTCATCACCAAGTCATTTTCAAGCTTTTTTCTTCCAACAGTCCTCCTCTAAAAACAACCCCCATATGTTCGAATCCCTCCTAACAACAAAATCGGCTCTTAACCTGTGAACTGTTCTGTTATCGTCTTTTTATATTGGGTCTTTTTCAACCTTTTACACTACATTTGCACTAGTGTAAATACACCCAATATTGCACCACTGCATAATTTATCTGTCATATAATTATATTTACAGTCTGTTTATAGCCTTCACATTTATAACCACATGTATAATCTGTTCATAGCCTGTACACTACTAAAACCTGTACGTACTTATATTCCATGACATACTCATGAACATATTCTTTCATACCGTGTTCATTTGTAAATATACTTATACTTGCTAAGCACTTCTGGATGGATGCAAACTGCATTCTGTTGCTCTGTACTTGTGACATGTAATTTGACAATAAAGTTGAATTCTATTCTATTCTATTCTACATTGTTGGGTTTATTTTTCAAAATTTTCTGTGTTTTAAATTGTGGTTTTTTTTCCCCTTGTAAAGCGTCTTTGAGCACCTGTAAAAGCACCTGTAAAAGTGCGTGATGAATAAAAGTTTATTATTATTATTAATATTATTATTTATATAATCACTCATATATATTATTTTTTTTTACAATTTAAACCTTATTTTATCATATCTGCAAATGTTTTTGTTTATTACATTTAATTTTTTTCTACTTTTATTTTGTAGTTGCTTTTCCACATTTGTTTGTTTATTTATTTGTTTGTTTGTTGTTTTTTGTTTTTTTTTAGGTCATAATCACTGAATCAGAGCAGTCTTCCCGGAACTTACTACAGCAGCATCATTTACAGTCAGCGCGGACCACCTTCTTCCGCCTACATCCGCGAAACGAAATAGTTCCCTACTTTTACGCGTTATGTTGCTCTGTTTTCGCACAATTTGCTACCAAAAAGTTTTTCACGCTTTGATCATGAACTTGTGTTATTTTTCAGTTTGATTATCATTCGTTCAAGAGCTTCTTTAGTTTACAACGTAGCTCAGATTTGGCGCCAAAATTGACGTGCGCGGATGTGTAGAAAAAAGTCCAGGAGCAGAGTATTAAATGTCTCCGCAGCAGCTGGAGGAGCTGATTCAGTCTGAGGCGGCGGCGATACACATCATCACTAAGGAATCTGAACTATAGTTTTGTGTATCGTTAATCAGTATAGACTCAGAGTTTATTCACCCAAGAAGTCCGTTGGATAATCTGAAGGCTGCTTGTATTATTTGGATTTTAACCAGAGTTTCACTTCAAATTTAGTTGGGAAATCATAACGGTAAGTTGGAGATAGTTAACGGTTTCTGGACTTTTTCAGCTTTCTTAAGTTGTCATCGGAACACACTCGTCTACATCACTCTAAAATGTATGCCGAATTTTTCTCCTTGACGTATTTGTAACCTTTGCCAACATTTTATTGCGATAGCTTTTCCTTAAGGCTTTCGTTTCTTGGAATAGAAATATAATTGCATGTTTTTGAAGTGGACTTCGGTACGTGTACTGTATCTGCATAGCAACGACATCTCACCTGTCAGTGTTTGAGCGATTCGTGATTTGACCCACTCTGTACATCACTCTAAAATGTATGCCGAATTTTTTCCTTGACTTATTTTTAACCTTTGCCAACATTTTATCGCGATAGCTTTTCCTTTACGCTTTTGCTTTTTGGTATAAACTTAAAATTGTATGTTTTTAAAATGGAATTCCGTACGTGTACTGTATCTGCATAGCAACGACATCTCTCACCTGTCAGTGTTTGAGCAATTTGTGATTTGACCCACTCTCTACCAAAATAATTACAGCTTGTTTACATGAATAACCATCTTTTTGGGACATTTGTAGCTTGTATTTCGCGGAAGATCTTGATTAGTGTTATGTTCCAGGAGATGTTAACATACTTTACCTTGTTAGTTGTGTTTTACATGTAGAGTTATGCCGAATTGTTTGTTGTCTTTAACAAATGTTTTATACTCATACTTAAGTCTTGTTTTGTAATTTGGACCTTTACTCGACATTAATTGAGCTCGAATAGTGCTTTTCTTGCATGAAGTTCGGCGTGACTACTAACCTTCTAGTTGCACAGAACAACTTCTACCAGGAGAAACTGATCCGTATTCAAACTCATAAGAGCACCATCGTATAATTTTTCTTATTTTTTAGATAGCTGTTTAAAGTTTGAAACCACGCTTTGAGTAGATGATGTGCAGATTATCATTGACATCTTCTGGAAAGTGATGCGTTGTTTACATTAGAAGCTTGAAAATTCACTTTTTAAAGTCACTTTTTTTTGAATATGTAATTTTGATATTGTTTTCCCCACATTGAGTCTATAATGATAACTAAAGTTGTGATAATGGACCCTAATGGAGGTTTATCACAGTCCCGTTTCGAGTGAACCTGCAGAGTCTAACCTCGGTTTTGTCCCCTCACAGGCAGCCTGATGCCACCGGTGGTTACCATGCCCAGCATGAACTATGACTACGACTATGACACTATTCAGCCATACTTCCTGCTGGATGGAGATGAGGAGGACTTCTACCCGCCCCCTTGCAGCCAGCTCCTCCCAGGCCCTGGTGAGGACATCTGGAAGAAGTTCGAGCTGCTGCCGACGCCCCCTCTGTCGCCCAGCCGGAGATCCTCCCTCCGCGAAGTCCCGCTGTCTGCCGCCGAACACCTGGAGGCGGTGTCTGACCTACTGGACGACAACTGCAACCCCTCTGCGGCGTTCCTCCAGTCCTTCATCATCCAGGACTGTATGTGGAGCAGCAGCTTCTCCGCCGCCGCCAAGCTGGAGAGGGTGGTGTCCGAGAGGCTGGCCCTGCTGCGTGCACGCCAAGACTCCTCCACAGCTGACATCGCAGACGCCAGTCAGCAGGTGTGCAGCTCTGAGGTCAACCCGCAGGATTTCCAGGCGGCAGAGAAAGACTGTATCGACCCTTCTGCGGTGTTTCCGTGCAGCGCGATGAGCGAGGACAGCGAGGACGGGGCGGAGATGGAGGTGGCATCAGAGCTGTGTCTGGAGAGCCCGCCTCTCAGCAGCAGCGACAGCGAATCAGGTTAGAGGCAGGCTTTTATTGTGAAAAGACTCAATGATCACAACTAAGTCGTGGTCGTATTTCGACAATTTTATCAATCGTAGTGGGTTTTAATTTCAAGATTTAAAGGGACATACCACCATTTTAGCCTTGTTTCAGTGAGTCAAAATACACTTTTTTGTTTTTAAGTCTGAAAAAGTCAAATTATGTCTTTGATTTTCTCCAGAAGACGAGGAGGAACAGGAGGTGGAGGAGGATGAAGAGATCGACGTGGTGACGGTGGACAGGCGAAAGTCGTCAAAGCAGTCGGACTGCAGACTGGTCCTGAAACGCTCTCACATCGACATCCACCAGCACAACTACGCCGCCCAGCAGCCTGCGGGGAAGCGGTTCAAATCCCCGACGCAGAGGCAGAGCAACAGGCGCAGGTGTTACAGTCCCCGCTCGGACGGCGAGGACAGCGAGGACAAACGCAGGACTCACAACGTGCTGGAGAGGCAGCGCAGGAACGAGCTGAAGATGAGCTTCCTGGTTCTGAGGGACGAGATCCCGGCGCTGGCGAAGAACGAGCGAGCGTCGAAGGTGGTGATCCTGAAGAAGGCGACCGAGTTCATCGAGGAGGTGAGGGAGGACGAGGAGAGGCTGCTGAGGGTGAAGGAGGAGCTGAGGAAGAGGAGCAGAGAGCTGAGACACAGACTGAAGCAGCTGAAGACTTTATAAACACTTTATTTTGAAATCACTAAAGTCACCTTTAGGTGTTTGAAGAACCGGACTTTGAGAATCAGAGCTGCAGCTGACGTATTTAATGAAGAATCATGAAATATTTATTAAACTAAACATGAAAATAGTGACTGACCTGAACGCTGGAACTACAAGGACCATAATGCACTGCACTGTGTGTTTAAAACCTCCCAACTGTGTTTTTGTGTATATATTTATTTTATTGTAATATTTGCACTCAAGTTTTATATAAATGATCCAGATTGTTTTGGAGGAATAAACTAAAAACCATGCATGGATGTTTTTAATCCTACATTTTATACTTTTGTATTTGCCTCCTTCAGTTTTAGTGCATGAAAGCATTGCAAACCCTTCAAAATAAAAGCCCTGGAGGTCTTGCAATCTCACTGTGGTGTGACACTTGTTTGTATCCGCACATGAAAAGTGTAAAATCACTAATGCTGGGTTAATTTACATCGTTACAATGACGAGGAGGTCAAAGATCACAAAAACAAGACTAAGCGCTCAAGTGTAGGGTTGAAGTTAAATGTGGAGGTTCACAGGTGTGTCACATACCGCTGATGACATGTCTCCTCTTTAAAAAGCCTGGTCATTGTTCGACAGGTCTGCTCTGATGATAGAGGCTGAAGTTTAACGCATTAGAGTGAAAACTCAAAACGACACTTAAGGACTTATTTTTCATTTATCTGTGGAGAAATTTGTCTCATAAAAGTTCTTTGACAGTGTTTGCGAACATTACCCACATGATCCCTGCAGATACAGAGCTCTCTATCTCAGAGAAGGACGATTTTTTAAAACCAGAAACAGCTTTTTTATTACTCTCCTCAAAGCCACCAAACCCCATAGATAAAAACATGAATTTTAGCTGAAGGGCGCTGTTAATCCTTGGCGGTCTCTTTCTTGTCGTGTGTGTGTGTGTGTTTGTGTGTGTGTTTGTGTTACATAAAATTCAGCTCGACTAAAACAAGCACAAGATCATCTGATCCAGGCTGAGGTAGACCAAAAACTCTCAGCTCTGTTAAAATCGCTGTTTTTTTCAATGGAGTTTGGTGGTGTTGAAGAACAATAGAAAAGTTAAAATAAACTCTCCCTGAGCTTGTTTCACAGCTTCCACATTTCTCCCTCATCTGATTTAAAGGAAACAGGGAGAAAATCTGATGAGTCACAGTGATCCTCTGCTGAGTCATGCTGAGACCATCCAGATCAGCCATGTGAGTTAGATCAGAAGGATTTCCTGTTTCTGCTGTCACTGTTTCCAACACCAGGAGACTGAGATTAAAAAAGGGTTTAAAGGAAAGCAGGGTGACCAGACTGAGATTCAGGTGTTCATCCTCACAAAGAGCTGCTTTGGCTTTAAATCCTGTTTTTGTCACAAACACCAAAAATACAGATCGGAGCTCCTCTACTGGTTATTCACATCCGGGGTTGGCACACTGACAGAGGGGTCAAATAGTGACGTCACATGGCAGTTTGTTACACGAAAACAAGCGGGTTGTTTTGGAGAGAGATTTGATTCAGTTGATTTATTTTTCCTGAGGTCCTTAAGCCAACTAACAATATATCAATGCAAATATCTCACATATAATACATTGCATGTTAAAAAAAAAAAAAAGGATGATAATAATAATAATAATAATAATAGCAAGAATAAGAAAAAATATTATAATTAAAATAGTAATATTAATACAATAATAATAATAAGAATTATAATTATAATAATAATAATAATAAAATAAAAATAATAAAATAAAAATAGCTGTAAAAATGAAATAATAATAATGATAAAAAATAATCATAATACATAAAATAAACACAAACAAATAAACAAACAGAATGCATACAAATACACAATACAACAATACATAAACAAAAACAGATAGCTACTGAGTCAGCAGTAATGTAGAGTATTTACATATCATAAAATTACCACAGGTCTACATATATTATGTATATTGGGAACATGTTAAGCCCTACATTTCTTTCACTCTTTTATGCTATATATATATATGTATATACATATACACACACATATACATACACACACATACATATTACTCGCCAACTTGATATAAAATTTTAAAGATTATGATGATAAACTCGGCATTTACGTGTATCTATTTTGTTTGTTCACTGGGTGCAGTTGGTTTGGAGTACAAGAGGCTTTTTGGATCCAGTTTGCATCCTTGGTAGGCGAAGAGAGATAGGCAGCGTGAAAATAATTGGAGTGGCATGTTATTGTTTGTGATTGCGCGTGGTCTTGGTAATGTTGAGGGGGGGATTGTTATGAATGTTATCAGTGTGGTTGTTTTAATAGTGAAGTTGTGTTTAAAAATGCCGATATTTAAGTCCTGTTTTGTTGTGTGTTAAATGATTTTTTTTGCTTTGTTTTTAGTTTCACGGTACTCAAAGTGAGGGATAAAGAAATAAAGACTGTACCAGTTACCGAGGGCTGTAACATCTACAAGGCTTTTTCAAAATAAAAGCCTGGTTCATCTTTTATTTTGGAGGGAAGGATAGTGAATTAGTTTAATCATGTTGGCTGCAGGTAAAAAAATCTCCTCTCTCTTTGCAGCATCTCTGCGCTCCTCTCTCTACTCTAGTAAATAAAGACTCATTTCTCTGGTTTATCCTTTAAGCTTCTACTTTTCAAAATAAAAGCTAAAGAGAAGAAAAGAAGCTTCATTTAAAACAGGAGATGATGTTTATCAGTGAAGACCTGCAAACCTCCTGAGACACAGCTCCCTCAGACCTTTCTCAGTGACGTTCACATCTGTAGTCCCCCCACCCGTCCTGCTGAGCTCCCATGGGACACCATGACGGTCTCCCCCTTTGACACCACCCACCTGTGTGTCTGCCGCAGGGTTTCCCCTCACGTCGACTTCCTCCCACGCTGAGCGGAAAGAGAAACTCTCTCCTCTCTGCAGACCACCGGCAGAGAAAGCTGCAGACCACAGAGAAACACAGAGAAACACAGCGCTCACTTTCCAGACAAACAGCAGTTCACTTTACGCAGAACTGTGCACGAGGGGAAATATGTCGTGAAGTTTGTGACGAGGACTTTTGAGCTTTAAGTGCAGCTTTTAGAAACATCACTAATGAAAAACAAACAAAGGAGGGAAAAGAGAGCGAGACGCACGCTTCAAATCGAGGCCTAAATCTCTGTGAATGACGTGAAAAATGTGCAGACAACGAAGAAGAAGTGCGAAAAGAGATGAAGCGTGAAAAAGTGTGATCACAGAGTGAAAGAAAATGTCACAGATGGAGGATTTCTGTCCGTGGGAGGAAGTCTGAGGGGGAATTTCCCCGACGTTGAATAAAAAACACTGAAGCAGAAAAACGTGGTGTTAAATGTGGAAAGTTTAAAAGTGTCAGAAAAAGCAGAACGTGAGTAAACTGTGAGTCATCTGTGTCTCTGTCAGAACCCCCCCCCTGTACTCTGATAACTGACGCAGCCTCCACCTCTCCAGGCTGATCCTTCTGAGGACATCTCCCTGTAGACCAGCAGCTGAGGAGCTCCAGTATCTGCCCATGATCAAATAAAAACACTTAAACCTCATGAAAAGTTCAGGTCCACAACAAACAAACTCTCCGTTGTTACATGACGGGTTTTCCTCTCATGACGGCGAAACTCTGACATGAAAGGTCATCTGGTTCAAGAAGGTCAAACATCTGCAGTTTCTGAGCTTCAAACACGCCATCTTGTCTTTTCTGAGAAGAACTGCAGGACCTTCACAGGAGCTTCTTCTGCTCCAGGTTCTGACACAGAACTCACCGCTCCAACTGAACTCACCGTTCCCCCGCGGACACTCAGAGACTTTGAGGTGATAACCTTTGACCTGACTGATCCGCCACCATCTGCAAACCACCTCAATGCATGTTGAAGGTCCAAGTGCAGAGGAGCTAACAGAACAACGTCATCTGCAAAAAGGAACAACAACCTGAACCCAAATATCTACAAGAGCGCCGAATGTAGATTTAATACCGCTGAAAAAGTCCATGAACAGATTCAACATTTAAGAAAGTGGACTTAAAGAGAGGAGTGGGTTTTTTTACATCACACTTGAGAAAAACGAATTATCGCCTTATTCAGATTAAGACCGGACAACTGAAGGTCATGTAAACACCTTAGTCCGACTATAATCGGAGTTTGAGAACTCTGATTAAGACACCCAGATAATGGGATTGGAATTTGATTTTCTCCCCTAAATGAATCAGAAACAATAATCTGACCTCCATCCAACAAACAAACATATTCGAAGTTGACCTGACAAAACTGGACTTTAACTGAGAAGCTTTTGAGTTTTATTTCCAAATATGTAACTCCATTTTTTTTTTTAATATATCAGTGGGAATTAGTCGTTCGAACCTCACTCCAAAGTGTTTCCTCCAAGTGTTTTTGTCACAGTGGTTATAAAGTGAAAACATGTGTTTGGAGGACTGAGCTCAGAGGGGTTTGGTTGGACTGAACTCACAGAGAAGCGAGTTTTGAGCTCTAATCTAATCAGACAGCTGCTGTCTGTTTTACCTACAGATCTAAAAGTGAAACTCCAGCTGACAGCTCCAACTGCTGAGCTGATAAAGCCGCTAACTGCCCGCTGATAAGGCTTTAAACAGACGCTTTTTACCCGCGACGCCGAGCGGCTTTATCAATCAAACAGAGGAGAGGCTTCCTGCTTCCTGTTCCCTTTGATTGGGGAGGAAGGAAATACCTTATATGGGCAGCAGGTGTTTGTGCACCACAGTGATAGTGTACATTACAGCCGCAGTGAAAGGTGTGTTACAGGTGTGGATCCTAAAATAATTTGATCTGTTTTTATACAGAAAAAAAAACAACTAAACTCTAAAGAGAGTGAGTGAGGTCTGCGCAGAGTTTATCTCCTCTAATCTGTTTCTTCTCTATTAATCAGTTTTATACGCCGGCCTCTCTGTAGGTTCAGATTTATGACACCGAGTTTAATCAACCAATAAAGATGGTGAATCATTATAGATTAAAGAAGTCTTTGGTGTAGTAAAAAGTCGTTTATATTTTTACCACTTTCACCAGATCAAACAGAAAGACTTCAAAATTTTAACACTAATAAAAGCAGGAAATTCTACTTTTCTGCACAAACAGCAAATTTAATTTTTATTCTCTAGAATTTGATGTTAAAACATTAAAAATTAAATATTATGATCCTGTTGTAACAGAGTGTTTCTAAACGCAGACGTGAGTAAAAGAGGTGATCTGTTCTTCTACTGCGGAGAACAATAAAGAGATGAAGATAAGAGAAAAAGAGGTCATGTTAAATATTGAACAGTTTATAAAAATACATGAGAGCAGGTGTGTGTGTGTGTGTGTGTGTGTGTGTGTGTGTGTGTGTGTGTGTGTGTGTGTGTGTGACCTGAACAGACACAGGTGGAGGAAATCCTGTTTGGTGGTATTATATGACCTATTTAAACTTATTTTTGACTTGACTGTAGTGTTTTATAAATAAAGATACACTAAAATAATCAAATTATAGACTGACTGTTAAAATACACTTTTAAATAAATTGTTAGAGAAAATAAGTAAACTGAAAAAAAAACAATCTAATAATAATAAAAATAATAACAACAACAACAGTAATAATAATAATAATAATAACTGGAAAATTAAATAATAAATAAATTGGATAATAAATAAATTGGATAATAAAAAAAATGAAATAATAAGGAGAACATAAAAATAAATAATATTAGAATTAACAAATTAAAAAAAAATTAAAAAATATGAAATAACAAAATGAATTAAAATCGAAATAAAAAAGCTTAAGTAATAAAAATCAAATAAAAAATACATTATGAAAAAAGTAATATTGTAAATAAAGAGATCATTCTGATAAAGTTCTAAAATAAAACAAATCATACTTTAAAAAATAAAATCAAAAATAAAATAATTTAAAACAATTGTTAATTTAATTCAAAGAATAAAACACTTTAAGAACAATTTAAAAAAGAGATATAACATAATCAATATTTTAATCAATGTTAAAACTTAAATTAGCGGATCATCCCGTTAAGATGCTCTCATGTTATCATCTTCACTGACTTCAGTTTCACAGAAGCTCAGAATTAAGAAATTCTAAATGCTCCGACAGACTCTGCTCCTTCAGGACGTGGGCGGACTGTCGTTACTGCAGGTGTGATTATAAAAACTAGCCCCGCCCCCGGTCTCCTCTGATCTCAGGTGAGTCACACCTGGACCCTCAAACACTCACAGAGTTCCTGCTCGGTTTATGGCGGTGAGGACGTAACTTTTACTCACCTGTAAAGATAAGAAAGTATTTGAGATTTCACCGTCATGATAAGATAAGAAACTCATCTGTGTCTCTGTAGGTGGATCAGTTTTTATGTCAATTATAATCTTATAATCTAGACATGGAGGTACGTGCTAAATAAACTAAATTAATCCAGGATCAATAAAGTCGATCAAAGTCTGATAAAGAGGTTTAAAGAATAAAAATAAACTCTGTGACAGCTTCCTCTGTGTTCTCAGACGGAAAATGTGAAGTTAGACAAAAACACAATCTGACGCAGCTGCTGCTCACACACACACACACACACACACACACACACACACACACACACACACACAAACACACACACACACACACACACACACAAACACACAGTCCTCAGATTCTTTGGAAGTGAGTATTTCCAGGAAAACGTATCTGACAGAACCAACCAGGGTCCATTACTGGGTCAGTGTGTGTGTGTGTGTGTGTGTGTGTGTGTGTGTGTGTGTGTGTGTGAAAATGGAAAGTTGTACATGTGTTATCTCAGAGTGTTTGCTATCTTAGTGAGGACAGAGCCCGTCACTTCAGCCCCACCCTCACCGCTCTGATTGTTTCTATTTGGGTTGGCGTCTGTTTCATCGGGTTCCTTTAAAGGGATAGTTCTGTTAACGTGTCAATTTACACCGACTTCTTTCCGTTCCTCTGCAGATCGTCGGACTCCTCAGCTGATCACAAGAGTTCTAGTTTTTCTGGACGCTGGAGCATGGCGGATAAATTCAGCACAGATTAACCCGTGCTGGAAAGGAAGTCGGGCACAGACACAAACAACCATGCAAACAGGCTGGGACGAACAACGAATACAGTGAGATGATTGGGCGGAGAGGCGGAGCAGGGGATTGACCAATAGGAGCTGTCCGGGACGGATGGCTCCCATTGGTCAATGTTTTTGCAGCCCTGCACCTGATAGGGTGAACAGATTTTTTCCGTTCTTTTTTCTCTTCACTTTGTGGAGATCGCACTATAGGACCATGATCGCCATAGAAACGAGGTCCATAATAATTACCGATCTCTCTAATCGTTAACCATGACTTTAAAGGGGCAGAGCTGACGTACCCAGAACCCCACCTCAGAGAGGTTAAAAATCCCCGATCGATCAGCTTCCCCTTCTCTATAATAACCTTCTTCAGTGGTTTTGGAAAAGTCATCGTCACCATCAGCTCTTCCTCATGTCGGTATTTCAAACCCTTTATTTACACTCGCTGTTTCACTTCTGCTTTCTAACGGGACACATTGTTCTCTGACGAAGTGATTGTTTTTACTCCGTCTGGTGTTTCTGCTGACTCTGTGTTTTTATTTATAAACCTGTCAGTCGAGTGTCAGAGTGTTTTTGGGTCTGAGATGTGAAGCCGTGGTTCAGCCTCACAGCAAACATCCGACGTTTCCCTGATCAGGGCTGCCAGGTACAATACGGTAAAATCATGATTTTGATTATTTCACAGCTGTTTGAGAGGCAGCCTCCGTCTCACTAATGAGGATCTTGTTTTCTTTGGGGGTAAGAGTAATCCCCCTGTATCTGCTCGCCGTCAGATCGGGGTTGTAGTACCAGCGTCCAGAAAAAATAGAACTCTTGCGATCAGCTGAGGAGTCCGGCCATCCGTGATTTATGAACTAAATTCAATAATAAATAAAAATGAAATAATAGAAAAAATAACAATGGAATAAAATAAACAAAAAATAAATGACCCTAACATTTTAAAAAATATTTTACAAATTAAATAATAATATGATCAATAAATAAAATCACAAGAAAAACATAAAAATAAAAATATATTTAGAATTAACAAATTAAATAAAAACAAAGAATTATGAAATAAAATAATTTAAAATTAAAATAAAACCCTTAATTAATAAAAATCAAATAAAAAATACATAATGAAAAAAATAATATTGTAAATAAAGAGATAATCAAGATAAAAAAAAAATAAAACAAATCATCATCCTTTTAAAAATAAAAATAAAAGATAAAATAATTTCAAACTATTTTAAATTAAACTCAAAGAATTAAACACATTTAAAAAAAGAGATTTAACATAATCAATATGTTAATCAATGGTAAAACTTAAATTGGCGGATCACCCCTTTAAGATGCTCCCGTGTTAGTAGTTTCCTATTAAAGGGGCGGAGCTTACCTACATCCACTGAGGCTAACCCACTCACTACAGACGAGTCACTCGCACAACCTCACGGCAAAAATACTCAAACGACTCCAGACTCAAAAAAAAACAGAGATGGTGATTTTTCTTAAAAATGTAAAAACTTTATTTGGCCGACACATCGTTAAAAAAAAACACTTAAAGCAGAAAAATCCCTGACTGCAGCTTTAACAAACGAGGCAAAATCTAAAGCTTTGGATCCAGTCAGCAGTCTGATCGGATCGGGTCACACATCAGTCTGAGTACCGCATCTTCTCGTCACAGTGCTTCTTCTTCTTCTTCTTCTCTCGGCTAACCCCAAACGTCTTACAGTGTTCGCCACGACACATCAAAAAAAACAACAAACTGAGAATTCAGACCAAGACCCAGTCTGAGGGGATCAACATTTGGACCCTAAATCTCGACCAATCAAACTCATATTAAAGCTTTAACTCTTTATGGGCGTGGTTTTATACAATACGTCTTTTTTAATCAGGTTCTTCTAAAAGGTTAATCCGGCTCAGAATCCAGTTTTTTAAATCCAGGATCAGGTAATCCCGCTCGCTCTTCCTCTGGTTTATCCAATAAAAACTTGATTAGACACAATTTTTTAAAAACTCTGGATGGGACTGTGTGCACACACTTTGTCCACAGGGGGCGCCAAACACAAACCAAGCCATAGACCCAAACTTCTGAAAACACCATCCCTTCAGTAAAACTCAGAGGCCACACCCCCCGCCCGCTCGCTGTTGGACAACACCTGTATGCACAAAAACCACGAGTTTCCTGGTTACATGAATTTAGAGTAATTAGTAAAGTAATTTCAATCCAATCTTTATCAATCAGCTGATCAATTTAATCTGGTTACTTTAAAATCCACCAATCACAGACAGAGTTCTGTAACTGAGGTATCTGAGGTAGGACCTGCCGCCGAAGACTCGAACCACAACGAGGTTTTTTTATCGTTAAAGGGTCTCTACTTTAGATCTTAATGCTAATACAGTTCTGATTATTGATTATTGATCATTTAATTACGCCCCCTCCTGGCTCAAACACTGAAACAAGTGTTAGCTAACAGATCAGTGCGACTAAAAACGTCCAAACTGCTTCACGTCACGTCAGAGGAACAGGAAGTCAGAGAAGAAAAACATGATCAGAGAGTTCTACGGTGGGTTCTGGTTCTGGTTAGGTTCAGTTGGTTCCCGGTGTCAGCTGTCTCACTACACAGAGAAATAATGAGCTGAGGGATGTTCGGCTCTGAATCGGTAAAATATGTCACAGAAACTGGAAGGAAGTCTGATTTTATTTGGGATTTTTTTTGGACAGTCTACTCTTGTTATCATCCATGCTTTTATTTTGAAATGATGCTCAGACTCAAGACGAACGCTCTCCTTCCTGTAAATCTGAGGTGACGTGAACGCAGCTCCAACACAACCATCTTTTCTTGGATCAACCAACTCAAAGTTTCCTCTCTTTTTCTTCTTTTTTCCTCATCTTCAAACAACAACAACAACAAAAAAACACCTTCTCCACGATCAGAAAACAAAAAACATCTGAGGTTGAACAAAAATACGATCATAGCTCCGAGTTTGTTCAGTAGTTCTTTTGAAATTTGGACCCCGACCCTTTTCCCGACTCCCTGTATCGCTCCAGCTCCAGTCTGAAGAAGCTCTGGGTTAGTTCTGCTGCAGCATGTTCTTGATCTGCTTGGAGGTAGCCTCATCGTTCAGATGTTTGGTGGTGTACCTGCAGAGACAGAGAGGACAGTTGGAGGATAAACATCCATGAAAACATCAGGTTTATGAAAGGATCCTGATCAGAAGTCCACCATAAGAAGGAGAAGAAGGAGGAGGTGGTCAGACCTGAGAGCGTTGAGTAATCCCTCCACACTGCTGGGCGGCTGCTCCTTCAGCACTCGGATACAGCCTTTCATCTGAAAACAACCAACAACACCTGAGTTTAGGAGGAGGACCCTGAAGTGTTCATGAAACCAGATTTTCATGGTCTGGAAATCCTTCGAAGACTTGAAATAGAGACAAAAATGAACTTTTCTCTTTTGGAAATCATGGAGTTTACAGTCCTGACTTAGAGCATCATGATACAGAAACAGGACCGAGGAGACCCTGAGACACAACATACCAACTCTTTTAAGGGGTCAAACCCACCGTAACACCGAGTTAGACCCCCCCTCCAGAGATGAATGTTGCCGACCGCTTGCTTCTCTAGTTATACCAACAGGATAGAAATACAGAGAGCCACGCCCCCAACCAAAACGCCACTCTATAGCCACAAATAATGCTCAGAACAGCACCTAACTTCATCAACAGGACATATAGGGTCACAGACATAGTACTATATTCAGAGTTGTTCTAACTCCTAAGAAAACATAAACTTAAGCGGGGGCGTTTCTCCACCTCTGTAGTCTATAAACTGGGCCAATAAACTTCTACTGTAGTAAAATGAAAAGGTAAAGGTGTTTTTATTGAGCCGAATTATCAATAAAATCATGATTTTGTTAACAGGTATGGATTTATGTGCTGTCGAGTTAATATATTTGAACAAGAGCACAGTAAAGTTAAATCAGCTAATTTTCCAATGAGGTTCTGTTACTGAACGGAACTACACCATGTTCTACTGAGGTTAGTACATATAGGGTCACAGACATAGTACTAGACACCAAACATCTTTTAACTTTGTCTCATTTCTTTAACAAAGAGACTAAACACAACTCACCTACTCTCTTCCAGCAGACGCTTGTTTGTAGTGAGACCTCAGGCCAGTCCATTACGGACTACAGCGGGGTGACGCAGATCAAGGAAGAACATTTATGATCATTTCTTCATGAAAGCGTCTTATCGTTTCAGTCTGATTGTATTTCCATGAAGAAATGATCATAAATGTTCTTCCTTGAGCTGCAGCACCCCACTGCAGTCCGTAATGGACTGGCCTCACTACAAACAAGTGGCTGCTGGAAGAGAGTAGGTGTGTGTGTGTGTGTGTGTGTGTGTGTGTGTGTGTGTGTGTGTGTGTGTGTGTGTGTGTGTGTGTGCGAACCTACGTCTATATTGGAGGTCTTGACGAAGGCCCCCGCTGGATGAACGTGGTCGTACAGGATGATGACGCCGACCATCACTCGAAGGCAAAACAACACTGTCTCCTCACTGGTGAAACGACTGCGGTACTCCCTGCGCATGCAGACACACACACAAACACACACACACACACACACACACACACACACATATATGAATATTAGTGTCTGGGTCAGGTGACTGTAACGGTGCGTTCAGGAACAGGTCCGGACTCACGGTGTTTCAAGCATCACTTTACACACGCTGGCCATCGTGCTCAGACAGTCCGTTGTGTTTTCAGTCGGGACGTCTGGATTCTGTAAAAACAACCGAACAATAAAGTTTTATTCAAACTCCAACTTTAACTTTATTTAAACTTTAGAGACAAAAACAATCACCTTTTTTTATTTTATATGTGAAGAATCTGAACTTTTTCTAGTTATACTTTAATTTTATTTAAAACACTTTAACTTTTAGTGCAAAAAACATTGAAAATAGAAAGTTTATTGTTGCATTGTGTAGATGTAACGTCTTATTGGAACTTTAATGTGATGGCTGTTAGGAGAGATGTCATCCTTCATTCTATAAAGGGAGTTTAGCAGTACAAAAAAACAGAAGTATAATTATTAATTTTGGGGGTTTTAACACAAAATGAGTTTAAAAACTTTTAATGTAAATAAAAAAGATTATTTTCTGATACATATAAAACAGAAAATTACAAAAAATTAACAATGACTTCACATTTTTCAAACTGTGGGAGCTTCTCTGTGTCTAGGAAACTAAAGCGAGAGCGCCCTCTGCTGGTGGTTCATGATAAATAATAAGAAAAAAAGTATATTGTGCTGCTGCTGACCCCTGGTGGCTGAAGTGTTCACATCAGTTAAATTTCGGTGTCAGACCAGGTGACCACTCACCAGGTGTGGACCCTCTCCTCAAACAGTGACAGCAATAAGGAGAGAGGAGGCGGTAAGGAGAGAGGAGGCGGAGAAGAGGAGGAGGAGGAGAGAGGAGGCGGGTGTGTGTATGAAAAGCAGAGGGACAGCCTAAAGCCTGTAGATCAGTGGTTCTCAACTGGTGGGTCCCTACCCTAAGGTGGGTCACGGACACGTTCTGGATGGGTCGTTAACAGCTGGTCAAAAAAGTAAATATTTAATGCACATCTGATGTTTGACATGTCTTTTATTTTGAAAGGCGTTATGTTGTGGTCGTCCTCAGTTTCTTATTAATGTGACCTAAATGCAGTAAAATTATATGGTTTTTTTATGCTCTTTATTTTGTTTAATTTGATATTTATTGACTTTTGTCCTCCTCAGGTTCTTCTGAATTTGATCTGGATGCAGAAATCCAAATAAGTCAATTTTTTTATTTTGTTTAATTTGATATTTTCTGTAACTTTAGTCGTTGTCGTCCTCAGTTCATGCGCTCTGAAATGAACTTTACTCAATAAAACAGGCGAGTTTATGTCAAAGACTTGAGTCCTCAAAGTTTTTTTTATAAAAATAAATTTTCTTTTTTATAAATTTTATAAAATTGGGTCACGACTGAAGGATCATGGGAAAATGTGGATCCCAGAGTGAGACCAGTTGAGAACCATTACTGTAGACCATAAGAACTAACGACTATCAAGCAAAAACCTGAGAGACTCGATCTTGATCTTGATAAATTTAAAGCCGAAATCTTCAGGTTATAGAGAAAAATATGTAAAAGCTTTAAAAGACTAAATGATTTTGATCGACCTGTTATCGGTAAAAAAGTTCAAATCCTTTAATTTTTATGACTCAGTGTGAAAAAACTTGAATATCGTCACCCTGTTAAAATAACGGCCTCAGTCTTTTTTCATTGGGTGACTAAATCTTTCTTGAGATGATTTAGTCATCCAATTAAAAATGAGTTTGGTCGTTATTTTAATAAGGTGACGATATTAGAGAGAAATCGGACATTAAATCGGTGAGTTTTATCACCGACACCAGACAGTGATATCGACTCACATCTGAGACGAACTTCGACGTGGCGTCACTTAGCGTCTTCAGCATCGGTGTGGCACTGGCATAAAACAGGGACATCCGATTGGCTAGCTCGTTGTTGACCTCATTTCCTGCCTCAGCCTGGGACAACAAAGTAGAGACAGGTTTCAGTGACGCGCAGGAAGACCTCAGAGAATCAAACGTCTTCTCTGTCTCGGCGTCTTACAGACAGGTTGTTGATCCGCATCCGGCTGATGGTTCTTCTGTAGTAACTGAAGTCGTTCTGGATCGCCGGGTTTGTCATCTGGAACACAGAGGAGGAGAACATGAAGAGGAGGGACAGGGAGGAGCAGAAGGAGGAGCAGAAGGAGGAGGAGTAACGTGAGCAGACCTTCAGCTCGTCGAAGCGCAGCGTGAAGTGCATGATGTGGGCGAACTGACGAGCCAGAGCCTGTTTCTGCTCCAGGTGCTGAGTGGGACTGGAGGCGGAGCTGGTGAGGACGACCAGGAGACGACCCAGACTGGTTTCTATGAGGGGGGACAGAAAGGGGGACAGAAAGGGGGACAAAAGGGGGTGAGTTATTCCCCAACTAAAGTACAATCTCAGTCCCACCACTGTGTAAACCAGCAGACCAGGTTCTGGAGTCTGACATACTGGTGACAATACTGAAGAAATGTCCATCTCCCTCTAGAGGCTGCAGCAGGTACTACAACCACAATCTGTCAGCGAGCAGAAACAGGAGGATTACTCTAACCCCTGACCTCCACCTTCATCCTGATCGTCTCCTAAAAGGTCGTATCCTCCGATCGTAGCTGATCGTAACCATTCAAGTTAACGTGTCAATTTACACCGACTTCTTTCCGTTCCTCTGCGGATCGCCGGACTCCTCAGCTGATCGTAAGAGTTCGACATTCCACATTTCAACTGCTGTCAGAATGTGGTTTGGGATCATATGAAGGCAAAAGTCTTGTCTGGATGGACGCAGATGTTGCTCCTAAACCTTGAGATATTGTCTAAAACTGGGGGTGCAGCATCTATGATTTCCAGTTCTTCGTTGAAAGGACAGTTGGGGGTGAAAATCTCGGGTTACAAGAAGCGCGGACTTACCGAGTTTCTGAGAGAACTCGTAGAAGGTTTTGAGTTTGGCCACAAGAGGAAGGACAGCAGACCAGGCCTTCTCCTGAACCCCCTCCACACCTGGACTCTGGATGGCCTGGACACACACACACACACACACACACACACACACACACACACACATACACACACATCTGTGACGGTGCTAACCTGCTTGAGGACTTGAGTAGGTGGGACTCTGGACGAGGACTGTCCTGGTTTTTACCTGTCGTATCTCCTCTCCTGCTCCTGTATACGCCTGCAGGTCTTCCAGGACGACCTGAGCCTCCGTCAGTACCTGGTTCACCTCCTCCCACACCTCCATCTCTGAATGTGAGGGCTGAGCATCTGCAGCAGGGTCATACAGAGGTCAAAGGTCAAACACTTGGTCTCTTTCTCAAGGTATGTCTCCTCTAAGTGGTCTGTTTACATTTCTACAGCAGACTCCTGACCTCCACCACAGCTCCATATGAACAGGTGAAGAACATTTTCTATTATAGCTTTGTTTTATTACAACGACCAGAAATAGGTGTGTGTGTGTGTGAGTGTGTGTGTGTGTGTGTGTGTGTGTGTGTTTCTTACTCTCAAAGTCCAGGAAGAAGTTTCCACCGTTGTTGTCGATGTCTCGGGTCAACACCTTGATCAGGTTCCCCATCCTGGAGACAGAGTTCAGACTCTTTTAGTTCAGGAGACACATAAAAACCACCAGACCAGGTTTTCTCCAACCGGACTGAAGAAACGGACTTACAGCTGAGACTCAGAATAGGCTTTAGGTCAACTATATGAAGCTCTTAGGGCTGGGCATCATGGGAAAAAGTTTATCACGATATTTTTTTCTCATATGAGTCGATATCGATCAATATCAGGATATAAAAATCTAACAGTGTTTATTGGTCTCATGTCTTTTCCAACACAATAATCTCCTGCATCTGTGAGGTCTTTGTGTCTCTTTGACGTTTTGTCGTAAAGTATTCGGTATTCCCCGACTTTGTGAGAACATGTACTCGACATAATTTACAGTCCACATTACTCTGCTTCATGTCCGACCTCCAAAAACCAAAATACCTCCACACCACCGACGTTTTCCTAACGCCAGTGTTGTGGTTGACATTGATGTGGTCATCTGTTGAGCCTTCATGGTCATTTCTGTCGGGGGTAGCACTCATTTTCTTTGTTTCTCACCAACAGTGCTGTCGGCTTCACCTGTTAAAGTGCTATGGTTGGGTGGAGCTGCTGTCTGCTACGACGCTGCAGTTGGTTGATACTTGGTTCTAATTCAGAACATGATTGGTTCAGACCCGGAGAAACTCCCCTTCTCATTGGCTGTTCGTATAGTCGACCAAAACATGGCAGAATGACGACTATTGAAAAGGTTATTGATCATGTTTTATATTGATAAAACAATAATTTTCGATATATATTGTTATTGTTTTATCGCCCAGCCCTAGAAGATCTGTGTGTGGGAAAAGTCCCGCCAAAGAGACGTCTACCAAACCGAAGAAAACTAACCTGCAGAGACGACAAACTCAGTCCATCAATAACTCTGTTTCTTCTCTGCTCTCTAATCAGGAGGATCATAAAGTGTGGATGTCTCTGGGCTGAATTAAGACCCTCCTGCTCCCTCTGTCAGACCTTCAGCCCACATAAACACCCCCTCCTCACTCTGCATGACATCCTTGTTGACGTGACACCAAATCGTACAACGAGCACAACCACAGACACACCCAGGATGCACGCTAACACGGCTGTAAACGAGGCTGTGACTTCTTTTAACGCTCCGGACTTTGCTCAGGTGGTTACAAAACAAACCTCAGATCCTCAGTAAGGTGACCTTTGACCCTGTTTACACCTGCTGTTATCTCTCTCATTGTTTGGGGTCAACTGTGGAAGAACAACCAATCGTGGTGCAGTTCAAAACTCCTGAAAATTTAACGACCTTACAGACACCAGCGTACACACACACACACACACACACAGAGCAGAGCGGAGCGGAGCGGCTTTCTCGCGTTTGTACGCTGCAAACTGAACCGTCAGCAGCGTCTTGTAGCGACAAACAGAGAAAAATAAAGAGGAAGTGAATTCTCTGAAAGTTTGGTCTAATTTTAAAACAGAGGAAGTAAAGCAGACTGAGCTCAGATCAGGTGAAACCCAACGAGACAAACCGTGTCAAAAACACGACGCACAGTTGGTGAGAGTTTCAACTGACGAGTCTATTCTGAGCTTCGTCTCTTTGTGATCACACGTTCAGCGGGTTAACTCTGAGCACAGAGAACCCGTGACCTCCTGAACCGTCATCAAACTCACTCTTCTACTGTAGAAGTTAAAGAGCGAGTTTGGAGTCGGGCTGAAAAACAACTTCACCGTCACTCTGAATCAAAGTGTGAAAGCTCTCGTTCCCGTCTCTGACAGACTCAGGCTGTTCGTGTCAACACAGACGTACAGAGACAGACTTTTCCAGCACCAACCCCATTAACAAAAACTGTCATTTAACTCACAGAGTACAGGAGTTGCTGCTCTACCTCTGCCTTATCTTATTTGGTTTTGGTGTGCTAGTAAGTGTTGTTTGCATATTTTGTAAAATCCAACAGACCGGTTAAAGCACCAATGTCCCACCTCCAATAAACAATGAGGGCTGTGGTAGACAAGCAACTCCTGTGTCCTGCAAGGATAAATCACTGTTTTTTTCAATGGAATTTGGTGTCCGTGACATAAGGCTGTTTAATTAGGTTAAAAACATGTTACTATTTAACAAAAAAGGACCACCAAAGTCACACAAAAGTACAAACAAACCAACCGACTGAGGCATGGGTAGACTATTAACTCCTGTTTTCACCTATGGGTTTTTTGTGGCTGTAAACAAAACAGTGTAACAGGTGGATTCAGTAATAATAAAAACATTATTTTCTTTTTAATCCACCAGGTCTATCTCTGTACGGATCCTTACAGACACATAAAAAGCAGGAGTTGCTGATCTACCTTTACCTTCTGGCTTTTGGTGTGTATGTCACATGTATTTCATACTCTGTAGAATCCAACAGACTAATGTAAAAAACACAAAGTTGGACAACAAAACAAACTGATTAATCATGGAACAGGCAGACCAGCAACTCCTGTTGATGCCTGTAAGGTCTGATAACTGTGAAAAAGACAATACAACCACTGAGTTTAGGATTCAAACTCATCTTTCTTCAGTTGAAGGTCTACTGGGATCCTCTCTGTATTGTTGACAGCATTATGAAAAAACAGAGTTGCTGATCTACCTTTGCCATTTTCCCCTTCAGTGTACCTCTGAACAGTAAGTTACAAACGCACAATAAACTAAACTGAACCCAACAAACAAAAGTTAGTCATCAACAAAAAACAACCAAAGGATTAAAGCAGGGGTAGACCAGCAACTTCTCTTCAAGTCTGAGGGGTCTAGTGGCTTTGGACAAAACAATAAATAACAAATATCAACAAATATCATCTTCCTTTTAATAAATAAGAAGGTCTGTCTCTGCACGGATCCTCTCTGTAATGTTGTCAGACACTAAAGATAGAAAAGGAGGAGTTGCTGGTCTACTCCTGCCTTCAACCTTTGGCTTCAGAGGTCTATTTCTCACATATAGTATGTTGGACTTCATAAACCACTTTGGGTATCAAGGTCACACAACTTCACTTGAAAAGGGGCGGACCAGCAGCTCCTGTTTTCTGTGAAAGCTGCTTCAGTCTCTTATCCTGCCATCATCAGGTGGAGTTGCTGGTCTACCTCTGTCTTCATCCTTTGCTTTTAGGGGTGTTCGTGTACATCGCACATGTTTTATGTTAAATTCACTGAACTAGGACTTAACTGGAGTTTTTTTTCAGACACTTGTGTTAAAAACAGGAGTTGCTGGTTTACCTCTACCTCTACCTCCACCTCCTTCATCTGGCCTCTGTAGTTGTCACTCACACATTTTGCTGAGATAGTCTATTTAGAGCACAAAAGTCACACTGCAAACAAACTAACCAACGGCTGCAGAGGTAGACCAACAATCGATTTAGTGAGAAATACTGGATAAAGTTTTGTATTCCTACAGATCTGAGGAGGAAAACGGCTCAAACTCTGCAGCAGAGAAGGTCAGTTAACTCTGGAGATTAAAGGATTCAGACGACAGAGGAGTCAGACGGAGCTGCGTCGGTTTCACACGTTAAAAACAGACTGAAGACTTCCTCTTCTTCAGCTGCTCATATGTGTTATTTCACCCAAACTTAACGTGAAGTTTGTCTGCACTCTTGTTTATTTCTAAAGGAGAATAAGATCATTTACTGGAGCATTTCGTGTTAAAGCTCCTCGTTTTAAAGCCGCTCTAAACTGCAGAGACCCTGGCATGAGAAAAGACGAATCAGGAGGAAAGTGGAAGAAATATTTTTTGCCTTCCGAGAAGAAAGTCGAAGATTTGGAGAAGTTGAACTTCTGGTCTAAGTCGACTGAATAAAGGTCAAATGTGGATTCGCTCAGAGACAGTTTGGAGATTAAATCAGGGATCCTTGATTGTTGTCCTGCTGCTGCTGCTGTGATAAAAGAAATAATAATAATAACACCAACGCTCTTCTGAACAATAACGGCTCAGCTGACAAATCAAAAGTAACCTGCACAAACAGAATTTAGATATCAGAGAAGAAGTCTGAGTTTAATCTACACGATATTTAGGAGGGTCACCACAGACCTGCAGAGGGAACCAGGCTGACAGGAGGTCAGTTCAGGGTGAGACTGTTGAGATATCTCTGAGTGCTGCAGGGAGGATCTCGATGATCTCAGGATCAGACACGCCACACTGACTCAGATTAGATCATTCCTGCAGACACTCCTGTATATTTATTTATGTGAAACAGTTTCACTTTTGTAAAAATAGACGTCAGAATAAACTCTTTACCGCCTCCTTCCTCTAAGTCCTGGTTTTAAATCTTTACATTTTAGATCTGTTAGTTTATAAAGTATATATTTCAATCACACATTAAGAAAGGATAACTGCTGTACGGGGTGAACATGGACTTAAAAAGTGTTTTAAAGGCAAATAATGATCATTTAAACTTGATCTTAAAAATACAATCAACTGTGATGAACTATTGAACCTCAGCAGATATCTCCGACATCAGTCACGCTTTCTCTCTGTGTAACTGTGTCGTCCCGACCCAAAAGTAGGTTACGGACACGTTCTGGATGGGTCGCAAACAGCCGGTCAAAAAAAGTAAACATTTAATGCCATATTTATTCGATGTTTGATATTTTCTGTACGTGCGACTTCAGTAGCTGTCTCCTTCATGTGCTCTGAAATGCACTTTACTCAAAAAACGAATGGATTTATGTTAAAGATTTAAGTCTTTAAAGGTTTTTTATATATATATGTAAAAAATAAATTTGCTCGGTTTGAATTCTATAAAAGTGGGTCCCGGCTTTAAAATATCAAAATTAACTCTTAACTTTGACAAAAACAAAAACTCTGAGACCTGTCACAGTTTCAGACCACACTGATGTAGCAGGACCGCGTTTATATGAATAATTAATGTTATTGTGAACATACAGATGGAAAATTGCATGAAATATTTTAACATAAACCACTTTAAAGCTGTTTAAACTTGGTGTATTATGATCATAAATTTTATTAACCCAGTTCTTCAGTGATAATCAGACATTTCTGGAGTTTTACACGATCATAACTCTAATTTTAAAGCTGAAAACTGACTCTGACGTGTTTCTTTTAAACCTCTAACTTGATAATTATCCTGTTATTATTAGAAAACGAGCTTTAAAACTAACTTGTCATCACATTAACACATTAAGCAGGACATGTGTGGATAAATGGTCACCCGGGGCCTCCGTACAGCTGCAGTTCTGGGTGTTTTAAAAAATCAGAGTATTTCTGTGAAGATTTTTTTCCACATTATCTGTAAAAGTTTCTCCTGCAGCTCAGAGAGACTGAAGAAGGTTTGCAGAGAAGTTTTTACAGCTGCAGGCGACTTATTTCACACACACACACACACACACACACACACACACACACACACTCCGGGTGTTTGTCGGTGTTTTCTCCCACCTGATGTTGATGTTGGTGTTTCATTAAGTTCTGATAGAACCCCCGAACTTCCCCCCTGATCACATGACCTCTATCCGCCTCTAACCGGGTCGAACCCGGGTCCAAAACCTGATTCTGGAGTTTTTTGTTCCTGGTGAGTCTGCAGCAGAGCTCTGCAGGACCTGACATGTCTGATCTGAGACCAGGATCCACCCAGAGAGGACTCGTACCCCTCTCTGCTGAGACACAAACCCCCCTCTAAGACTCCTCTCCCCCGCCCGGAACACGAACCCTCTCCCGGTTCTTTACCTTCGCTGATCGATGGTTGATCGATGGCTGTGATCGATCGGTGGCGTGGTCCGGGCTCCGGCGTATCGGCGGTGGTCCAGGTGTCCCGGCGGTCCGCCTCCTCTACATGCTGAGTGAGTGTGAACCCGGAAAACAGCCGCTCGGCGCTCCGTTAACTATAAAAGGAGTTATTTCCTCAGGAGGAACTGAGCCCACAGCCAATCAGAGAGCAGAGGAGACGGCGACGACGACTGCAACCTGACCGGCAACCGATGGAGGCAACCTCAACATCGACCGACTCAGGCAACCTGGACTGAGGTGAGACTGCAGGAGAGAGAGAAAACAGACGTTAATGAGGAAAAGTACGGAGGATCAGAGCTGCCAAAGAGAGAAAAAACTGATTTAAATAAATAACATTTTAAATTAAAGAAGAGAATCAGCTTTTTTATGTTTGATGAAGTTACAGATAAAGTACGGTCATTTAAAGTAATTTATTATTTTCATATTTTTTCTGAAATGGTTCTTTAAATTTGTTCTTATTCATTTAAAAGTGAAGCCAGTGCAGAAGGAATGAAAACTGCAGTTCCCTGAGTGTCCAGCAGAGGGTTTGTTCCAAAAGACATGTTGACATGTAGTCAAGTCCTCTTTTTTCTGTACAGCTCCATTTTTAAAAGTTATTAGGGGGTGCATGTTTCCTATGATTGACACCTGATAGAGCCAATGGGAGTACAGAGATTGAGTAGATCACCCGGGGGATACGCTGTTTGAGCCGACCGTCGTCACAGCAACTCTCAGGCTGAACGCGTACAACGCTGCTGTGCAATGTTGGTTTCAGGAAGTGGAGAAAAATCGCAGAATTGCCGAGAACTTTTTGGCTTCAAATTTGAACATTGGAGGAAGGAGGAACCAAGTTGTCCAGAGTAAATACAGTCTGTGGTAAATTCCCATAAAACCTCCTGTTAAAAACTTTACAGCAAATATTTTTAAAAAAGTTTGAGTAATGATTCTCGTAAGTAATAATTTTACTATGACTTTATTCTCAGAAGTAACAATTAAATTACGACTTTATTCTCTTAAGAAATTACTTTACTACAACTATATTGTCGTAAGTAATCATTTTACAACGACTCTATTCTGGTAAGTAATTAATTTATTTCGACTTTTTATTCTCATAAGTAACGACTTTATTACAAGTTTATTGTCGTAAGACTAAGTAATGATTTTATCATGGCATTATTCTCATAAATAATGATTTTACTACGACTTTATTTTCGTAAGTTATTACTTTATTACGACTTTATATCATCGTAAGTTATTACTTTATTACAACTCTATTTTTGAAAGTAATGACTTTATTACGACTTTTTATTCTGGTAAGAAATTATTTTAGTGTGACTCTATTCTTGTTAGTAATCACTTATTCTCGTAAATTAACGACTTTTATCTCAAAGTTTTAGTTTTTTTTTTTCCTTAATGTGGCCCTAATACTCTGTCATAATTATCTTGTTGGAACCGTTTCTATATTGAGCACATAATATAGTTATAACTAGTTTAAGTTTTTGTTTACTGCAAACACATATAAATACAAATATCTGTTTATGTTCTAAATCATCCAGGTCATAGTAATTTAATTTACCTGAAGAAGCTTTTGGAGGAGAGGCCAAACGTCTCTTAATCCAGCTGCCCTTTTAACAAAAAAATTGGATATATGCGAATATAGATCTCCTATTTTATCTTGTGCACACTTGCTGTTATCTTGAGTGCATTAAGGAACTTGTTGCAGCAAAATAATTGAGATTATTTAAAATAAAATAAAATAAAATAAAATATATATATATAGAATGAAATATTATTCTTACAATCTAATCTAATACAAAAATATATTTTTCAAGAAAAAGTCACAAAAATTGAAGAAAACAAATCACTCTTGTCTGTTTCAGTAATATCCTACATTTCCCATGTCACCCCTCGACACGGAAGTGCGTCATCACGCGTGACCTTGGTTTTCTTCTTCACTTGGTTTTCCTGCAGACGGAGAGGACAAGCATGGCGAATAAAGAGCCCGGTGTAAGTGTATTTTCCCTTTTTGACCGCTTTAAAACGCATTTAGGTGACACTTTTGGACTTAGTTTGATTAAAGCCCGCTACCGTTTCCCGCTCTTTGCTCTAGAGTTTGTGACATCGGCGTTTTTAAACCTGATATCCACGTGAGTCAGGCTGATTCTGATGTAAGCTAACGTTAGCTGACAGGTAAAGATAAGACGAGCTGAAATGTCCTCTAAAGCTTCAACATGGAGATGAACAGAGGAGCTGAATGGAGGGCTGGTTCAAGAGAGTAATGTCGGGAAGCTAAATATAACCAAACTATCTTTGCATGTGAGTTGAATAAGCTTGGAGCAGGGAGACCAGGGTCCGTCTGGAAATCTATCAAATGATAATTTCCTTACTAATCTGCGTTATAATAATGTAATTGTATGGTTGTTTTGAAGCTAAAAGACATTCCTAGAATCTTTTCTATAATCCGGCCTATATTTAATGTGACCATAGTGGGTTTAACTTCCCAGAGATCATAAAGTACTTGGACAGTCGCGCCTGAATCGCGTATGTGAGGACGAGCGAGTGACATCCGGTCCTGCCTATGCAAACATAAAATAAAGGTGGATATCTTTTAAATTGCTTCAGCTCTGTGAATTATTTATGAGCCGAATTTAAGATAAGATCTCAATGTTTAGAAATAGATGATTAACTTTGTCTTCTTGTGCGATTAATTCCCATTTTTACTGACAAATATTTAAGCTGCGAAATTATGAATGGGATTTGGTTACTTGTGAACACATATGCTGTGCTTTTGAGACAAGATGTGATGTTCCTTTATTAGTCCCACAGGGGGAAATTCCAAAATCACAACAGCATTATTAAAATTAGGAGTTAAAATGTTTACATCTATACAGAATTTACATTATAAAATAATATTAGTGCTGTACACAGTCCTCCATAAATCATTACAAAGAACTAATCATGCACCCATCATGCCATGTCTATGAAGTGACCCTAAAATCCGATCATTAAGTATCCCTCAGGAGCTTCATATCTGAGACTGTTGTTTCTCGTCTTTCAGAGTTTTTTGCAGCAGCTGCGTCAGATCGCAGGCAGGATGTCCTCAGGACCTCGGGGAGCAGGTGTGGGTGTCAAGCTGCTGATCGGGGCTGGAGCTCTGGTGTACGGCGTGAAGGAGGCCACATATACAGGTAGTTTACCGCACCTTCACCTCACGCTCACAAACCCTGTCCAGATCTGACATCACCTGAGCCCTGCAGGATTAGAGGGTGTTATGGGGATTTATGGGTTAATTCGTGGTTTTCAGCGGACGTTACCTGCTAATGAGAGAGATTAGTGTGTATAATACCATCACTGACGGACCAATCGGGTCTAACGATCCTGGAGAGGGTCGGTGAGAGTACGCAGAGTAAAAACTGAAACTGTCTCATGCACAGGTGCGTCTCTGTCTTCCTCCTCTGCGTGGACATAAACGTAGTGAGTTTGTCTTTATGAGAGGAGAGCAAAGAGGACATACAAATATGAAAGAACAGAAGTGAGCGTTGGGTCCAAACTGCGGTCCACTTCTTTGTTTTAGTCCTGACCTGTGCGATACAGACATGCTGAAGATTTAAAGAGCGTGCAAACTTTAAAAACGGATTCTGGTTGTTGACGTTAGACCGGTCAGCTGATTAATCATCATACAGTCGAGATGGTCGACACTGTCACCTTATGTCCTCTCCTCACGATGCGTCCTTCCACCCTTCCTTGTCGCCTTATATTGCAAACAGAACAAAGTTTATGTGTGTTTTAAAGAGCTCTCGCGTCGTGGTGTCTGTGATCGACTCTCTCTTTGGCTAAATCATCGTCAGTATTTCAGGATTTATCCGAGTGACTGAAAACGTTTGTTTCCTGCAGTTGAAGGAGGACAGAGAGCGATCATCTTCAACAGGATCGGGGGGATGCAGATGGACACGGTCCTCGCTGAGGGACTCCACTTCAGGTAGGAGGACGCTGAGGATTGAAGTGTGTGATGGAGAGATATAGAAGGTCATTCCCTCCTGCAGCTGTCAGACCTCAGTGTGCAGTAAATCAGATTTATATGTCTATAGTAAATCACACTCATGTATAAATCTTTTTTAACTCTAAGTTTCTTATCCTTTAATTTCTCTTTTTGTTTTTCTGCTTCTGTAATTTAGAGTTTCCCTCTGTGAGACGAGTAAAAGAATATTTATCTTACCTTAACGTCTCCTCCTGTTGGTCAAAAGTGAAGCCAAGAAACTTTCCTCACAGCCTCCAAAACTCACGTTTACCTCTGACACACTCACAGCGATGGAAAGTTCAGTGACTCTTGCTCTTTAATGTTTCCTCTCTCTGTCTCTCCTCATTGGTCGACGCAGCTGTCAATCATCAAAGACAGAAGAAAGAGTCTGTATTTAAGACTAAAAGTGTAACTTTCTTGAGCGTTTTAACTCTTTGCTCAGAAAACACATTTCAAAAAGAAAAGAAGAAACCCGATGGAAATGTCAGAGAAATAAAATCTGAATGAATTAATTTTAAGTTTATTTATTTATCTGTTTTTTCAGCTGATTTTGACTTTTTACTGCAGCTCGTAGGTCACCTTTGTGGTCATGTTTCACACATTTTTACCTTCACTAAACAAATCAAGTCATTTTCTGCCTTTTTTTCTGTTGCATTCATGAACTAAAATGCTTCTCTTCTCTGTATTTGTTTGTTGTCATCGTCGTCTGCAGGATACCCTGGTTCCAGTATCCCATCATCTACGACATCCGAGCCAGACCCAGAAAGATCTCCTCCCTCACCGGAAGCAAAGGTGAGAAATCTGACAAACTTTAAAGTCTCTCTGTGTGTGTCGATGTTAAAAGAGATGAAGTTTTTAATCCAACTGTCATTTTCTTCTGTGAAACCTTTTGGCCTAAAACGAGAGAAAACATCAAACAAACTCTTTATTTAAAATGACACCAGGTGAATCCTGAACTCTCAGGAGCTCCAGAAGCAGCTTTTCTAACCGTGACTTTGAAACTTAAAAGTGAATTAAAACCTCTTAATTTGCACCGTTTCATCATTTAACCCCCAAAAACAAACAAACAAACAAACAAACATGTGCATCTCTGCAGAAGTTCTGGTCCCGTCCCGTTTTCTCAGTTTTTTCTTTTTTACCAACAAACAGATTCAGTCGTTTCTCAAATAACATCAACATTTACTGAGTTCTGTTTGAATTTAGCTGACAGGTTTGTGTGTAATAAATTATTATTATAAACTATTATTATACATTATAATTATTATTTTATATCATTACTATTTATTACATTATTATTATTATTATTTTATATCGTTATTATATAAAACAATATTATTATGCAACTTCTACTACTACAATTATCACTATTATTAGTATTATCATTATTATACCTATATAATTATAAAAATAACAATTATGATCATTATAATTATTATTATTATTATGTATTGTGTGTCTGTGAATTTCCACAGATTTTTAATCTCTCTCCTTGTTTTTATTAAACTGAGACTCCAGTCAGTTCAGAATCACAATCATGTCATAATAAAGTGATAAAAATGTTTTTTTTCTTCACAAACCCTCAACTGTGTTTGAGGTTGTAAAGAAGCAGTTTGTCCACCAGAGAGCGCCGTTGACCTGGTTTCTGGACTCTCAAACGTCCCAAACTCAGTTTTTAGATAAATTCATGTTTAATATAAAAACATTTGCTGTGATTTAAACCAGGTAAATGTCTTCAGATCAGCTGTTAACCCCCTCGCTCCTCTGGTTCCTCTCAGACCTCCAGATGGTGAACATCGCTCTGAGGGTTCTGTCCCGCCCGCTGGCGTCCAACCTGCCCACCCTCTACCAGCAGCTGGGTCAGGACTACGACGAGCGCGTGCTGCCGTCCATCGTCAACGAGGTGCTGAAGAGCGTGGTGGCGAAGTTTAACGCCTCACAGCTCATCACGCAGAGAGCTCAGGTAAGAAAGACTCACCTGGTCACAGAATCCTACAGGTATCTACCGTAAAACTTCTAATACAGGGGCCCCTTTGTTTCCATGTCTAACATCAGCTCGCCTGTATTTATCAAGTTACAGCATCAGCAGAGTGACATTAAAATATGAATATTTGATCTAATTATCTTAAAAAAGACTCGCTGATAAACAAAAGCCTTTTATTTAAAGTGACAGTACGTGACGAACACAAAAACACTGAATTATTAATATCTGTGAGTGTGGAGGCGCTCAAAAAAAACCCAAACACTTTAATCTCAGCACACAAAAAAAACTTTTTACACTTCTCTGATAAAGTTATAGTTTATCATAAGTCATAATATCATAATTTTACTGTTTTTTAACTGTTTTTTTTGTCCTCCAGGTGTCCCTGCTGATCCGCAGAGAGCTGTTTGAGCGAGCAAAAGACTTCAACATCATCCTGGACGACGTGGCCATCACCGAGCTGAGCTTCAGCCGAGAATACACCGCCGCCGTCGAGGCCAAGCAAGTCGGTGAGTGACGAGAGGAAGGGCTTTATTCCAACCCTCGAAACCAAAGAGACGTTTCATTTTAACAGATTTTTGTTAAAAGACAGAAAAAAGGTTTCCACGAAAGAAGTGAAGGATGGATAAATAACAGAGGAAGAAGGAGGAATGTAATTAATGAAACGGACAGAAAGGAGAGAGAGAGAGAGAGGATTGAGAGAGGTAAATTTAAAAAGAGGAGAAACAAAAACTGGAAGAAGGGAAAAGGATGCGAAAAAAGGAGAGAGGGTGAAAATAGGAGAGTGAAGGAAGGAGAGAGGAAGTAAGTACAGCAGAAAAGGAAAAGAGGAAAAAGTGAGGTGTTTAGGGACTAGTGAAGGAGATAAGGCAGAAAAGAAGGAAGAAAAGGAGACATGGTAGGGAAAAAAGGAATTAAGTAGACAAAGTAGGGAAGAGAGGAAGAAAAGGAGGCTTGGAAGGGAAAAGGGAATTAAGGAGACAAAGTAGGGAAGAGGAGAGGAAAAGGAGGCATGGAAGGGAAAAGGAATCAAGGAGACAAGGTAGAAAAGAGTGGAAGAAAGAAGTAAAGGAGACGAAAGGGAAAAAGGAATTAAGGAGACAAGGTAAGAAACAGGGGAAGAAGGAAGAAAAGGAGACAAGGAAGGGAAAAAGAAAATAAGGAGACAAAGTAGGTTAGAGGAGAAGGAGGAAGAAAAGGAGGCATGGTAGGGAAGAGTGGAACAAGCAAGAAGGAGACATGAGGGGATAAAGGAATAAAGGAGACAAAGTAGGGAAGAGGGGAAGAATGAAGAAAAGAAGGAAGAAAAGGAGACAAGGAAGGGAAAAAGGGATTAAGGAGACAAGGTAGGGAAAGGGGAAGAAGGAAGAAAAGGAGACAAGGAAGGAAGTAAGGAGACAAGGTAGGGAAGAGGGGAAGAGAGAAGAAAAGGAGACAAAAAGGAATTAAGGACAAAAAGTAGGGGAGAGAGGAAGAAAAAGGAGACATGGTAGGGAAAAGGAAATAAGGAGACAAGGTAGGGAAGAGGGTAAGAAGGAAGAAAAGGTTAAAATAGTTTTAGAGACAGATTTTAGTGTCTTGATGTTTCTCAGCGGGTGTTAAACTCTGTTACTCTTCAGGAGTATTAGAAACAGGTTTTATCTGCATCATCTCTTTAAAAGCTTTTATCGTTAATTTTAACATTTCCTTCATCAGTGATTCCTAACTCAGTCTGAAGCTCTTTATTTCCTCTCTCTAAGTTTATTTTCATGAGCCTAAATAAAAATGAGTTCGTCCCGCTCATAAGAGGAGAAAATGTGACAGCTCTGTGTTTATTTCCTGTTCCTCTGCAGCCCAGCAGGAGGCGCAGCGAGCTCAGTTTTACGTGGAGAAGGCCAAACAGGACCAGAGACAGAAGATCATCCAGGCGGAGGGAGAAGCTGAGGCTGCAAAGATGGTGAGCTGAGTCTGTGAAAACCCTCCTGATCATGTCGACGAGTCAGAGAGTGAATGTTTGAGGAAAAAACGAGCAGGCGAAGCTTCGGGGCTTTAAAAATACTTAAAAACCTTTTAAACGTTCATGTTGAAGTCGGCGCAGACAGCAGCCGTGTCTCCAGAAGGTCACAGCCGACATGTTGTTACTGTTGTTTTCTGAAACCTGTTGTCGTGTCCTGGAGGCATTTCTGTCTGAGCAGAAGGTTTACACGTCTGTGATCATCCAGGCGGCGCTGACTTCTCCTCTCAACAAACGCCTGTTTTTAAATTAAACCAGAAAGATTTAACTTTAGACACGATATAGAGACCTGAAAGATACGACAGGTGAAATATTAAAAACATGTTCCAGATCACAGCCGCAGATTTAATCTGTAAAAACAGATTTCAGATTATTTTTGAGGCAGAGATTCCAGGGAAACTACGCCCTGCAGCTCATTCCTGACTCACAGGGCGTGAGAAGAGCGAGCGTCGAAGCTGCTGGAGTGAAGCTCAGATGTGTTTACGATGACGATCATTCACACCGTCCTCATAACGACAGCGGGTTTGGTTTGGTTAGGACGTGATTTCACCGAGGAACTTTAAACGCTGAGTTCAAAGAATAAAACAGTCACTTAAGTCTAAAAAATAAAACACAGACAGTGATCTAATAACTGAAAATGAGAGCGTTCATGGTCCTCCAGATTTGAGAATAAGAATTTATACATTTAGATTTATCTGAACTTCTGGATTTTAGGGTCTAAAAGTCGCCCATGAGACTTTAAAAGTGTTTGTTGGTCTCAGTTTTTTAACTTCAGATCTAAAAAGTGTTTCATCGATTTTAACTGTTCTTGATTTTTTACTGACAGACTTCATAAAAAAAAGGAGAATTTTTTAAGTAATTTTCAATAGTGTGAATTATTTTGATATAATCTTGATTTTATTGAATTTAATTTTTGGATTTTTTTATTCTTCACTTTAAAAAAAATTCTATATTTTTAGTTCGTTTTTTTTTTTTTAAGTATAAAAGTGAAATTTATTTCAATATAATCTTGATTTGATTAATTTAATTTTCCAATTTTTTTATTCTTTAATTTTTAAAAATTTCTTTATTTTTAGTTTTTTTTCTTTCATTTTTTCAAGTATTAAAATGTGATGTGTGATTTATTTTAATATAATCTTGATTTGATTAATTGATTTTTTCTATTTTTTTAATCTTCAATTTTTATAAATTTCTATATTTCTAGTTTGAATTTTTTTTTCCAAGTATGACCAAATTGATTTTTTTATTCAATATATCTTAATATTTCTATATATCTCTTAAAAAATATTTATATATTTTAATTTAAAATCATTTTGCACTTTTTATTTGTTATTCATAATTAGAAAATAATGTTTTCTTTAACCCTGACTCAGGACCCTCCCCCCCTCCATTGTTTTTGTTGTTGTTAAGACGGTCCAACTTGAAAGATAAATTAATTAATATTAAATAAACAACAGGAGTTCAGGCTGCAGTGAAAATGTTGAAACTTTTCTCTGAATGTTTTTGAATATTTTTGGTGATCATATCTCTGATTAAATCTCTTTAAAAGCTCAAACATCTTTTCTAAATTCCTGTAAAATAACCCTGAAAGCAGAAATCTTAAGAAGTATTCTAGTCTGATAACTCAGAGGTGTTTGGATCATTGGACCTGCAGTGGGGGTCTGCAGTCCTGACTCTGGTATTTGTCCCGGGGTCTCTGCGGTCTCTTCTCTAAAGTCTCTAAATCACCTGGAAGGTTATGTAACGCACGTATGTAACACACGATCGACCGCGGTTATTCTGGTTGTTATTTAACATTAATTTAAACAGGATTATGCAAACATGAACTTCTGCAGCCTCCGGCCATCTGCACATGCCCTCTGTGTTTAAACTGCAGCTTACATAAACTAAAGAGAAGAAGAAGAAGAAGAGGAGCAGCGAGAGGGTGAGAGGGACGGGAGCTCTGGCGACTCTTAGATAAACGTCTGAACATCGACGTCCAGCAGCCGCAGGTTCATGCAGCTTGTGTAAAGGTTTATGAGTGTTGTTTGATTTGACGATGTCGTATCTGCAGACTCGGTTATTTTTAAGGTCGTTACTCTGATTTATAAGGTTATAATGAACACGATAAAACCTCCTCCAGATCTGCGCTGTGATAACGCCGTGTCCTGAGGTGAACTGGCGCCGCCTCGCCTCCTTTCTCAAACACTTAAACAAACACTCCATCCAAATATGCGCCAATTATTCCGCCGCCTGTCAACATGCGTGAGAATATTAAAGCCACGCGGCGACACGCCTGCAGCTTTGATGGCGGGGACCGGCTCGTCCTGCTGCCGCTCCGCCTCGGGTTCGCCGCTCACTCTTCCTTTTGTTAGTGGAGTTACAGTAATCTCCTGTGGTTACACTAACACTCTGAATATGTGTGTGTGTTTGTGTTTGTGTGTGTCAGCTGGGCGAGGCCGTGACGAAGAACCCCGGTTACCTGAAACTCAGGAAGATCAGGGCGGCGCAGAACATCGCCAAGACGGTAAGAGACTTTGATCTGGAACTTTCTTCTCTGCTCAGTCTCTTCTTCTCTTCTCTTCTTCTTCTTCTTTTTCTTCTTCTTCTTCAGATTTACACGTTTGAAAACACAGAAACAGACACACAGTATTAATGAATTAAACTTAAACTTTTATTTTTTAACCCTGGAGGTGAAAAACGATCTGCAGCTGGAACATTTAAGACTCTGAAAATAAAACATAAAAGTTTAAAAATCAGCTCATCTACAGCAGAAAAAAAACGCCTGTTTCTCTTTTTTAGTTTAGATTTATACGGAAAAAAGGAGTGAAGGATGAATAAATAATAGAGGAAGAAGGAGGAATATAATTAGTGAAAAGGACAGAAAGAAAAGAGGGATGAAATGAAATTTAGAAAGAGGAGAAACAAAAACTGGAAGAAAGAAAAAGGGAGACCAAAACAAAAAAGAGAGAGAGGATGAAAAAGGAAGAGTCTGAAGGAAGGAGAGAGGAAGTAAAAACAGCAGAAAAGGAAAAAAAGGGAGGTGTTTTGGGACTAGTGAAGGAGATAAGGAAGAAAAGAAGGAATAAGGAGACATGGTAGGGAAAAAAGGAATTAAGGAGACAAGGTAGGAACAAGGGGAAGAAAAGGAGACATGGAGGGGAAAAGGAATTGAGAAGACAAGGTAGGGAAGAGGAGAAGAAGGAAGAAAAGGAGACATGGTAGAGGAAAAAAAGGAATTAAGGAGACAAAATAGGGAAGAGGGGAAGAAGGAAGAAAAAAGGAAGGAATGGAGACGAGGGAGAAAAGATGGAAGCAAGGTAGGAGATGAGACAAAATAAGAGGAATGAGGAGGAAAGAAAGAAAAAAGAAAGTAAAATGTATGGAGGTAAGAGGGGGAGGAAAGGAACAAAGGAATCACTGAAAAATAGAGAAGAAAAAGGTTAGAGGGATCAAGGAATCAGAGAAGGAAAGGAATGGAGAAATAAAGGAGGAAAGAAAGTCAGAGAATTTATCATTAAAAAAACATTTTTGTAATTCATTAATTCTGTCGTTAATTTTATACAAACTTGACGATCTGCTGTGACGATGTCCTGAAACCACCAGGCGACCCTCTGAGGGGTCGGGAGCCACAGCTTTGTAACAGCAGCTGTAGTTCACTGTGAAGCCACTAGGTGTCAGCAGCTGAACATTGATTTGACAGAGAAACTCCATCAGCTGATCCTCAGACATGGAGGTGATCAGATCTTCACTCTGTAACATGAAATCATTATAATTGATTAATCTTTATTGATTAATGAATTTAGAGGAGCAGGAAGACGACGCTCACATTAAATAAAAACACTTTTACACACGTCTGAAACTCCGGGTCAGACTTTTGGTTAAATGTAGACATGTCTGAGGTGTCAGAGGCAGAGCAGCAACTCCTGAGTCTGTTTTCTGTCAGTTTTCTGCCTCCGAGTCACGAGAGTCTGAAGAGAGAGAAAAACGACAACAAAGGTCCGATGTTCAGAAACGAGATTTTAACGTGTTTTTAAAGGACGATAATGAGCCGACTGTTAAAGCATCCATAATTCATGTGTTCACAGTGACGCTCTTCATCCCACAGATGAATGAAAACACACATGAATAAATCCTCAGTTATAACATGAAACATTCAGATTCATTCATTCATACAGTCAGAGCGGTCGGCTGAGGGGTCGAGAGAGTTTTAATGTTTCATTTAAATTACAGATAAATGAAATATTAGGAAACATTCGTCACTGTTGGACTGAACTTTTCATATTTGATGTTTTCTGTCTTTGGCTTTAAATAAGAAAAATACAAAATACGAGAAAGTTATGAGGAAAAGTAAAATATATATCAAAATAGAATTAATAAAAAACAATAATAGTAATGATGTTGACTGTAATAATTCTACTAATGAGTGCATGATGATAGTAATCAAATAATATTTATAAAAATAAAGATAATATTTTTATATATTAATAACATAATTTTAACCCAATATTAACTCTTTAGAAAATTTACAGTAATACAAAAATTCTATCTAAATAAAATATGAAAGATAAAATAAAGAAAATCAGACTAATAATTAAAATGAGTTTTTTTTAGATATGATAAATAAGTGCATGATGATGGTTATTAAATAATATTTTTAAAAATAAAGATCATATTTTTATATATTATTAAGATCATTTTAATCTGTGATTAATATTTTAGAAAATTTACAATAATACAAAAGTTTTTAAATAAATAAAACAGAAGATAAATTGAAGAAATCAGACTAAAAAAAAATTTTTAATGAGATTAATAAGTGCATGATAGTAATCAAATAATATTTATTAAATAATATTAATAATTTTATATATTAATAAGATTATTCTAATGAACGTTTATTTTAAAAAAATTGACAATAGTACAAAAATGTTAAATCAAATAAAATAAAGAAAATCAGACTAATAAAAAATTTTTTTTTTTTAATTTGAGATTATTTTACTGTGTCAGTTTAACTCTCACTGTCGTTCCTTATTTCGTATAAAAACTCTGTTAAACTTCCTGATATTAAAGGTTTGGTTGTGATTTTTCCTCTGTATTTCAGAGTTTCTTCACTGGAGTCTTTTCAGGTTCTTGGTTCACAGGTTTGACCTCGCAGCGTGACCTCGCAGCAGAGTGTAACACGCTCTGTCTTTAGCTCACAGTCACGTCATCTGACGTGTACGCACGGCGAGCGAGTGAGCGGGCCTCAGCGCTCGGTGAATCAGCTCAGTGTTGAGGCTCTGACAATGTCCCCATTGTGCTGGTCTGCAGACCGGCCTGCTCTCTGAGAAACTTCCCACCTGTGTGTTCTCCCTCTAACACTCCAACTCTGTGTCTGTGTGTGTTTGACCTGCAGGTGGCGCAGTCCCAAAACAAAGTGTACCTGAGCGCCGACAGCCTGGTGCTCAACCTGCAAGACAAAGAGAGCTTCAAGTGAGTGAAACAAAGAAAGTTTAAAGTCCTGGACGAGTTCAGGCAGGAGCGGAGCGCCAGATTAACCCCCGAGAGACGGGCAGGAATCTGAGCTGCAGAGAGGAGACCGCAGCGACGGGTTTAACCTTTTAGTTTCACCGACAAATGTGAGACGTTTTTAACCGTTTAAGAGCGCCGTACCATCGCTGTCAGACATACAGAGCTGAGGAGACGTTTAAACGTTTAAATGTTTTATTTTGTTAGAGTTCGGATCTAAAATTACGTTTGGCAGGAAAATGACGTCAGTTTTCGTCGTTGTTTCAGTCTTTAACTTTTACTGTTTGATCAGGAGACTCTGCTAAAATGATCCAGTTTGATCTCCACTAAAAATCCTGATTTCCCACATATTTGTTATATTTATGATATTTATTATATTTATAATTAACCTGAGAACGAGCAGACACCGAGTCGTCATCACCCTGAGTTACACAGATGTGGTTCTGACTGGATTATTACCAATTTGGACCTCTGTGTGTCCTCGAACATGAACTTTACAGACATCCTCCACAGTAATCCAGGTCCTCAGAGGTCCACGGGTTGTTCTGGTTCTGGTTCTGGTCTGCTGTATAAAGGGCCTCACACAGTAACTGAAAGACTGTTCGACTAACTCTCTGACTTACAAACTAACTCGCGTACGTCCTTACGGCTAAAACATGCGAGATCTTGTGAGAAATATCGGTAATCTTGCGAGCACTTCACCTCCGATGGCGGGGGCAAATCGGATCTGGCGGGCACTTGACGCTTGCATATTTGATCTGCCTGCCGGTCAGGATCAGAGCGGAGCCGCTCCGGATCCAGTGAAATCCCCGGGTTACTAACTTCCTAACTCAGTTCTGAGTTTTTACTTTTTTATGAACATATTTACTTCAGTATTAGTTTATTTACTTGGTCATTATTTACTCTCACTGTTACTTATTAAGGTGTAACTCTGTCCCTAATGTTTTGACTCTGTAGGTTTGTAACTCACTAACCTCCTTAACTCGTTTCTCGTCGACTCGTTTGAGGATTGACTTACAAACTTACTCCCGTACTCTCTCTCTCTCTCTCTCTCTCTCTCTCTCTCTCTCTCTCTCTCTCTCTCTCTCTCTCTCTCTCTCTCTCTCTCTCTCTCTCTCTCTCTCTCTCTCTCTCTCTCTCTCTCTCTCTCTACCTCTCTCTCTCCCTCTCTCTCTCTCTCTCCCTCTCTCTCTCTCTCTACCTCTCTCTCTCGTTGACTCGTTGTTTGAGGATTGACTTACAGACTTACTCTCGTGTTGTTTAGAGTCTAACTCGTTTACGACTCTAACTCGTTCTCTCACATCTGGATTGAACTCGCTCGGTCCGCCGCCTGTTTCCTAATGTACTTACATTCCAGCCCATTGACTTCCTTACTAAACATGTTATCTCCTTTAACGGCTTACTGAGGATCTTACTGACTGATTAATTCACTCACTTACTTTTGAGATAACTTACTTCCTAACCTATAAACCTGAACACCTCCTCGTCTGTCTGCCTGATGATGATGATTTCCTACCTGCTCACCTTCGTACACGACAAACTAACTCAGCGTTACTAAAATTAAAGTTCTAAAGTTCTACCTTTATAGCTCTATATCAGACCTACTTCAGAACTCAGTCAAGAACAGAGGCATCTATATATCTACATCTATCTTTATCTATATATCTACATCTTGTTAGATTTGTAGTTTAGTAACTTATGATCGACCAGGAGAGGAAATTTCAAAATAAAAGCAGAATTTCCCCCAATTTCCACTTTCATCCTGATCGTCTATTAAAGGTCGTATCCTCCGATCGTAATCCGCCACGATACTTGCCTCACAAACAGATTTTGTAGGAATTGGCGGACTGGGCGTGCAGACTATGATTTCCAACTCTTTCCAAAAGAGTGTTACCCCCAACTTCCACTTTCATCCTGATCATCTACTAAAGGTCGTATCCTCCGATCGTAATCCGCCACGATACTCGCCTCACAAACAGATTTGGTGGAAACTGAGTGTTAGACATTTCAGGAAGTGAAGCGGCTGGTTTTAAATTTCTGAAATGTTTGTTGTTCGTTTTTGAGTTACACTAGTTTTCATCTTTAAACGCAGCGGTAAACCGTTCATGTTCTGTGTCGTCAGGAGTGAGTTTGGATCTAAAAACATCAGACTGAACTTTTCCTCGTCGTGTTCTTGTTTTAATCTGAACTCTTTGTTTTCTTTCAGCATGATTCTGAAGTAAGAGGACGTCTCTGTCGGTCGGTCTGTCGTCATTCCCTCCCTGCTCCATTTTCTCTACAGAAGAAAAGAAAACTCGTGGTCGGCTCCCTCTCACCTCTCACCTTCAGTCAGGTTTTCTCTCAGACCACAAAAACAGACTCAGACCTGCAGATTTCTCATCCAGCAGCTGTTCGACGGGACGCTCACACAGCTGAGGAGTGGCGGGCGGTAAATCCCGGCTGTCCGCTCTCATGTTTAACAAACTCTCCAAGCCTCTAAACACTATTTCTCCACCTGACGGCTTCCTGCTGCTCCATCAGTCCACGTCCACGCTGCATAAACCGCTAAGCTAGCTCCGTCAAATTGAGAGATTTCAGACTCTAAATGAAGATTTTCAGAAATAAAGCTCCAGTTTCATGAATCGAATGTGAAATTATCAGATTTTAACCAAAGCTGGAGGAATATTTTAGATCTCAGTCCACAGAAAAGATGAAATATTAACATTTCTGAGTGAATCAGAACTTTGAGGAACATGAAGCAGCAGTATTTTCCAGAGAAGAGTGATGATGTGAAAATCGTGACCAGAGTTGCTCTTCTTTAACATAATCATTACGACTTTATTCTGAAAACAGACGACTTTGTTTTAGTTCAAATCTCACGTGTTTGACCTGAACCTGCAGACGGACCAGGGTTCAGGGTTCGGGTCTCTGCTGCAGTAGAAGTGACGCTGTAGAGCTGCAAGTGTGATTATTTCACCACAGATTAAATCTGCCTGTTATTTTCTTGATCATTTGTTTATTGTTTGTTCTAATAAATAAAAAGTTAAAGCAGAAAAACCTTAAAGATTCCTGATCCTGCGGCTTTCCTCTCAGACAACACAAGAAAATAACTGTTTTAGTTTAACCCATTAATGCCCATAGTTAAATTTTATAATTTAACTGAGCTAAGTACAAATCCAAGTTTAAAATCGGTCGAAGTACGTGGTTACAGCACCAGTTTTTCTTATCATACTATATTTAGTATCTGGGCACAAACACTCTCCGGTTTTATCACTTATCACATAAACACATGAAAACACGGGTTCCCTTGATCACATGTTCAAAATCTTTTAAGCACCAGACAGGCTAATGTAAGGGTCAGTTATAAAAAATGTTCTCTGATTTTCTTTTAGAGAGAAATAATCAAAAATGTTTCACCTCGACCATCGTGTTTACGCCGCCGTTCCTCTCCGATGTCCGTCATACACAGTCAAGAATGTTAAAAACTGTTGATCAATGTCAATAGTCAACAAGTGAAATACAATAACATGTTCATCAATCTCAATTCTCAACCGCAATCAAATAATAAATGAATAAAAGGTATCTTTCCATCTCAAATACCCTAAATTTCAAAAGTCAACATTTATAAACTGGTTAATAGTCGAGTTCCTGAATGAGACCCTTTAATGCTTCAGTGCAAACATGTAAATAAATGAAATAATGGACTTTGTTTAAAAAATATAAGATCAGACTTTGTGTCTCATAAATGATCTGATATTGAAGATCAGAGCTTTTGTTCCAGACTGTCAACACGTTTATTTCTACTATGAAGTTTAACATGGGGCTCTATGGGGCCTGACTCAGCTTTGGATCAGGCCTCTAGTGGACACTGGAGGAACTGCAGTTTTGGGGACTTTGGTTTGATTTGATTTTCTTCTTGGTACATGAGTCTTAAATTCTGTTGATTCAGTCATTTTTAACGAGCTTGACGGAAACATTCGAGCGCAGATCCTCCTTTCAGTCATTTTCAGGTTTTATAAAAATGAACTCCAACTATTTCTGCTCAAACTCCAGGATCATTTTACTCTCACATCTTTAAAACACCTCCTCAATAATCTCAGCCTCTCTCTGACTGCAGTGACAGATCTGAATAATCCCGACCGCCGTTCCATTTTCACTCCGATCAGGTGAGAAATCCTGCGGCTCAGAAAAACATCTGTGAGCCGTGAAACGTCGTCAGCAGGTGACTCAGTTCTGCTGTTTTATAACACTTCAGTAAGCGTTTCATGGAGTAAAGCCTCCGACTAAATCTGAACACTGTGGAGTCGTGATCGTTAATACCTGCCAGTATTTATGAAGAAACACACACTCACACACACAGAGTTCCCTTTGTTCCTGTTACAGCAGAGTGTAAATTAAGAACTCTCGTACCAACACCTTTAGGAGCAGACTGATCATTTTCATTCACAAGTCTGTATCTGTTTACAGGTACTTCTACTATTTTATCTGATCTTTATTTACAACTTTAATCTCAGAGTTTAACATTAAGAGCTTTTATTTTGAAACTCAGAACATTTAAACACTTCAAAAAAAAGATGAAGGTCTCCCCTTAAATCATCTTAAAATGTTTTTTTTTCTGTCAAAATAATTAATTATTGTTGAATGATTTAATCTCAAACAGTCGCTCAGCCTTTAGAATTCAGTTTAATCCCAAATTGGAGTTGGATTTTCCTCTGTGTGACAATTAAAGGAACATATCTCAAATTTAAACTTAAGTCCGAAATATTTTAGATGTCTGAATTTAACCTTTAATGTTTTTGTTTTGTAAATCAGGAGATTAGGGGGAAAAAAGATTTAAAAAAAACATAATACATAATGTAAACGTTACATAATGACAAAAAAAAAAGTCATTTTTTATTGTTAAGTTGTAAATTTCGAGAAAATAAGAAAACCTGTCAAATGTTAACAAGGTTAAAATTTTAAAAGGAGAAAGATTTATGAATTTAGAAGAAGTCCCAGTTTTAATATAAAAACAGCTTCATTATCGGGACAGAAGCTGGAAATTTACAGGAATTAATTAACAACTTTGAGAGATTTAAGTTCAGTTAAAGGTGACTTAAGTTAGTTAAAAAGCGTTTTGTTGAATATAGTAAAAAAAAGAAGTTGATATTTTAAGAATATGATCAAAATACATCTGAAGATAAACAGGAATAAAGTTGAAACTTGAATAATGAAGTTAAATCTCAGTTTTGCAGATAAACTTTAAACACCAGGAACAGTTTAGTTCGATCTCCAACGTTGGAAATTTAGAGACGCCTTTTTTAAAAATGTCACTTTAAGTTCGTGTTTTTACTCAGAGTTACTTCAGGTACTCAAATATGACCGCCGTTTTCACGTCCGGTCTGGTTTGTGATTTTTTTTTTTGTAGGATGGATCATCTCTAGACCTCTGTTTGGTTAGAAGTGCTGGGCTCTGATTGGTTATTCCTTATGGCTGTGAAACGTCATCGTCTGTCGGGTTAGGAGATTCAGAATTGCGATAATGTTCTGTTCGATGTACAGAGCCGACAGCCTACATTTGGCTTGAGCGTGTGAAGACGTTTCACAGCCAATCAGAGCCGAAGGAGGCGGGGCCTTTCCTTACAATCTTACAAAAAAAAATTGCGTCCAGTTTCAGTCAGACTGAAGAAACACGTAAACGTCCTGACGTCGCTAATCCAGATTAATCTGTGCAGGTCAAACCGAACTTTAGATCGAAGAGAAACCGTCCTGAGGTTTTTGACGGTCGTGTTAAATCGTTCTATCGCTGTTTTTTTATAGATTAATTTTGATATTTTAAAGTTCACTAACGAGCTGAACAGATTTTTAAAACATCATCAGAGATTTTAGGGTCAAAGTTAAACGTATGGAGGATGAACTCGACGGTTTCTCTGCGGTTTTGTCTCGCCTCATCCTGAAACTGTTTCGGGGTCGAAACCGTTCCTCCCTCAGCGGAAAACTTTCACTTTTTTTTTCTCTCTCGATATTTTTGACTTTATTCTCACACCTCAAACGTTCAACAGAAATCCTCCCACACTCGCGGTTCTTCTCCAGTCCTGAATCTAAAACTCTAAAACTCTAAAACTCTTTCAGTCGTTCTCAGAGATTTTTAACATCCTGAAGATTTTTCTAAAAACTCACAAAAACCTTCGTCACATGTTCATTAATCCACTCCTCTCTCTAACAGCTCGCTCCACAAGATTTCAGGCCTCAGATTAATTTGTCGGTCATGTGACCCTCATCATAGCCCCCCCCCCCCCCCCCGTTCACATTTACAACAATAAAAAAAAGAAAAGATAAGATGGCTGCCGAGTTATTTATAGCCGAGCTGAGAGGCTGCAGTTCAGAGCGAAGAGGAGCTGCTGCTGCTGCTGCTGCTGCAACCCAAAATCTGCAGAGGGAGGGGGGAGGAGGGGGAGGAGGGGTGAGAGAGAGGGGGGGGGGGGGGTCCATTGTGTTTGCGACACAAAGCAGGCAGCCGTGCTTCCATGTTGCGAGAGGCTGCTGTTCTTCTTCTACATAAGAAAGAGGAAGGAGGAGGCGGGGGGGTGGAGGAGGGCGGGAGCAGATTTAAATCTTTGGGGGGGGGGGGGGGATATTCATGCAGGAGCTTTAAAAAAAGAAAAGACAGAAAGTAGGGGGCTGGGAGAGGGAGGGAGGCACCCGATTGGCCGGATCTACACGCCCCCTCACACCAATCAGCCAATCAGGAGCTTCTGCAGCGTTTGAAAGATGACAGAGAGAAAAAGAAGAAGAAGAAGAAAAGGAGGAGGAGGAGGAGGAGGAGAAAGAGGAGTCAGAGATGATGAATGTGCCGCTGCTGTCGACCTGCAGCCGCTGCACTTTGTGGAAACAGAATCACCTCTCTCTGAAATCACGCCTCTAAAGCTGCAGCGCGCCGCTTCTTCACCGCGCCGTGGGCTTTTGGCTCGTCCACGGAGCATATGGTCGCCTTTCTCTCTGCACACGTGACACCCACACTGAACAGGGTTTTGTTTCTGCACAAAGGGTGAGGTTCTGCGGGGAAAAATCACCAAAAAGTGTCGCCTTTTTTTCAACCTGTGGAGAATTCAACCCACAGGGGGCGCAGTAACGGGGTGGGCTTGATTTATTCACCCTCTCAGCTGTGCATGCATCATGTCGCCCCCCCACCTCCCCTCCTCTTTGGACATCAATCTTCTCATCAATTAAAGATATCAGTGAAACATGAGCCTTCCCCTAGTGGCGGTTTTTGAGAACTGCACCCTCCCTAGAAAAAAAATCATTTTATTTTTATTTTATTTGACAAAAGCTGTGAAAATCTTTTTGATGATTAATAAGATGAAGAAAAATCAGAAGTTTATTTGATTTTTATGGATGTGAGAGTAAAAATAAATGTGGATCAGGTCACAGAAACTCAGAGCAGACGAGAGAACGACGGAGAAGTTTGAGGGTCTCAGAAAAAGGCGCCTGTGGTCGAGAACTGAGCGACCTTCTGCGGCTCTCGGCGCGTCTATCTGTCAGCTCCGTGTCCTTTCCTGTCCTTCCTGTCGTGTCCTGTGTCTCGTCTCTGCAGCAGCTCGTCCTCAGCTTCCTGCAGGAGCTGATTACGCAGCAGCAGCGAAATGCCGCCCATCTGCGGTGACCTGTTTTTTTTTTTTTTTTTGCTCCAGATCATCAGCCGCCTTTTTAATCTTGCGCCGGTTCCTGCCTGATCTGCAGTGCATGATTGCAAATTCGCTATTAAGAGCAAGGAGAGGAAGGAGGAGGGGGGAGGGGTGAGGAGGGGTGAGGCTGCAGCTTTATTGAGAGGGATCACACACACATGCTAACACATGCTCGCACTCCCCTCCTCTCTCTCTCTCTCTCTCTCTCTCTTTTTGCTCCACCCGCCCGTCCCGTTTCCACGGTGCAAAAACAAGGGCGGATTACCGTTCATCTGCTCCATCGCCATGGAAACACTGACCTCACACTGTGGTGACCGGCAATCTGGGCCGGTCGCCATGGCGATCTGCTGCCGGTGCCGTGCCGTGCCGGGTGGGAGGAGGGATGGAGGGAGGGAGGAGGGATCTGGTGGATTGTAACGGAGCGGGCCTGCGGCTCTCCGCAGTGTCGTCAGAAACCAGGACGGGGTTCTGCTCAAACATGACCAGCTGAGGGCGCTCCAGACGAAACCAGAGCCGAAGAGATCGGAGTTAACGAGAGAATCGGATTAAAGGATTGATTAGAGAGAGTTTGATTTGTTTGATTCAGTCTGACTTCTTACAGAATCAGATCCACTAAATCAAACATCCTCCACGTCCAGGTCCAACTCAGACACCGACACAGTGACGGTCCTCCACCCTCTCAGGGGCGTCATCTCAGGGTTAGTCAGGGGTGGTGTGGCCCCCTTGAATCTGATTGGCCACCCCAGACAACATCCCAAACTGTTGCCTTTTCTTCATGAAAAAATATTGTTTCCACTCGTCCGACAAACTCCTGAAATGTTCAGGTTGATCCTCATGAACACAAACAGTCACGTTTGTTTGTCCTGGTTTTGTCCGGACCTTTTCCTGAAGACGTCAGGATGAGCTGCCGTGTGAGCGCGACAGGTTAGAGGTCAAAAAACATCGAGTGAAGACGCTTCTTAGTCTTTTCATGAAGCGACGAGTTTGTCTGAACGCTCACATCGGTATGACGACAAAAACTCTGATCATGTCGTCAGACTTCGTCATTTTATCTGGACGACCTCGTTAAAGTCGTGGTCGACGATCTGAGAAGCAGTTAAAAAAAAAACTGAGCTGTTGAGGCAGATTTGAAAAAAGCGTCCCACCCTCCACACACCATAACTCCGCCCCCTGAACCTGTATCCCCCTCCCCACGACACACCCCCTCTGACAGAAGATCCTACTCTAGCTTCAAACAGGATCCACCATGTCGGATTGTTAGTGACTAGCATCAGTAAACGCCAGCTCTGCTAGCGAGCGCCGTCTGCAGCTGCCTGGACAGCTACCGTGTTGACATGTCAGAGACTAATCAGAGTTATTTATGTAACATGAGATAAAAGGAGATAAAAATGACCTGTTCAACTAAAACTCGGCTGTCTCAGCGTCTGTTTTCAGGATGACCCGATGTTTATTCACGTTAGATTCCTCGCTTGGTAGCTAAGCTGCTACGCTACTTTTATCCGCTCAGAGCTCCGAGGAGGGCCGGGAGAGTGGGAGGGGACGAGTCGAGAGGGGTGTGTCGAATACAGCGAGGTGATTGGAGATTGACCAATAGGAGCTGTCCGGGATGGATGGCTCCCATTGGTCAATGTTTTTGCAGCCCTGCAGCTGATAGGATGAACAGATTTTTTCCATCTTTTTTCTCTTCACTTTGTGGAGATCGCACTTTAGGACCATGATCGCCATAGAAACGAGGTTCATAATAATTACCAATCTCTACAATCGTCAGCCATGCCTCTAAAACCAGACTCCTGAAAATGTCTCCAGGCCTTTCCCCTGATCCTCTCTGTGAGCTCTGTTCATGTCGAGGAGGTGATGACGGTGGGAGATTGTTCACAGAAGCTTCATTTTCAGGACCGACCGACCCCACTGAGAGGAATCTCTCCCCTTTATACCCTCTCCAATCAGGTGTGAACATAGACAGGGGTGCGAAAAACTCTAAACTTTATTTTTACTGATTTAAAATCCAAAATTTTAAAATATAAACGTCAACAACCCAAAACTACACTACCATCTGTGACTACGACTTTACTTAATCACATCCTCTCAGTTATTTATCCTAATAATTAAAACACATGGCCTTGTTCACCCCCCCCGTACCAATCTGTCAGGTGGAACCTTCCCGCCATGATAAAAAGGCTGTTTGTTTCCCTGGGGACTCTTTTACCAGCGCACCCTGAGAGAGGAGACAGGAAGGCACAGGTGAGTGTTTGTTTGGCATCGAGTTAAACTTCAGATTTCAGCTCCTTCACTGTTTTATGAAGCGCACAGATTTACTCAAACTTTTCCAACCTCCACTCTGTCATCTGTTCTTTGTTGACGTCGTTAAAAGTCTTTTATATTCATGGAAAAACTTAAAAACAAATAAAAATGAATGTTTCTGCGTCTTCCTCCATGAACCAAATCTGAATAAAAGTATTTTTACACAAACAGCTCAGACTCCTTTATTAACGTGTCGTGTTTGTTTTTAATCTCTACCATTTTAAAATATAAATAAACATCCACCAACATGTTTTTATTTTATTCTTTTATTTTTTATTCTTTATATTTTTATGCCCCCGTCTGTGGAACAGTTTACCTGAAGAACTGAGGACTGAAACTGATCTGAATGATTTTAAAACCAAACTGAAAATTTACCTTTTTACTTTTAACTAAATTTAATGTCATTTAAGTCTTTCAGCATTTATCTCTGTCTAGTTTTAATCACAGGATCGTCTTTTATTGAGTTTTTTTGTTGCTCTTATTTTAGTTTCTTTTACTGTTTTTATTTAATTTTATTTCTTATTTCTTAAATTTCATTTTATGTTTCTTTGTTTTCAGATTTTAAACCTCCAGTGTTTCTTTATCTTGAGTTTTAAAACGTCGTTTCCTCAGTCGCACATTAAAACCCTTTTTAAGTTTATGTTTTTAATTCTGTTTCTGTTCAGATCTTGGGAATAAGAGGTTGGGGTAGATTTGGGTTTTCTTTGTTTCTTTTATTCCTTTTTCTGTGTAAAACACTTTGTTCTACATTAGTTTTGTATGAAAATTCCTTTATAAATAAAGACTGATCAATCGATTGATCTCTATGTTCAGGTGTGATCTTTATGCGTTGATTTAAAGACTTAATTATCCGACTTTTTAACTAAATCTACCCGCTGAAATCAGGAGTTGGACAGATGCACTAAAACTCTGTTCAGTTTTTGAATTTTCCCGCCTGCCCTCTTACATGATCTTTAAATCTTCTGCAGGTCTTCACTCTTTTACTGACACAAAGAAGAAGAAGCAGAGACACCCCCAACCTGGCTCCACCTTCAGGAAGTCCACATGATGGCGGGGGATGGGCGCGGCGTTCATCTACAACCGTCTGATCAGAGGTGAGTCCTGCAGAGGTGACGTCAGGCAGAGCTGGAAAAGTTCAGTTTCTACCTGAACTAGTTTAAAGTTCAGGTCATCGTTCAGAATTCCACATAAAAATGAATTAATTTAGTTCTTTTTCTTCACTTTGCTGTAACCACAGATCCAGATAGAACCACAGACAGAAACTATTTTAACACTGAAACTCGTCAGATTAATCTTCATCTCCATTTTTGAATCCTGTTCAAACCAGATTTACAGCAGAGAGGTCAGTCCTTTAGATTAACGGTGTTTACCTGATGTTCAGTTCAGTCCTCACAAACGTTCATCTCTAGAGTTTATTTTCATAAACCTGCTGCTTGATGGTTTTTAGACTCTTTATTATAATTACAACAACAACACGACTGAAGGCCTTCAGTTTGTTTTTTTTTCATTTTTATACTTTTCCAAACCGACTGACTAAAAAGAAACCAAAACAAATACTGGAAATAACCAGCAACTAGTGCGCTGCTAAAATGACCTTTAGCACGCCGCTAAACGAGCGCGAGTCGTCGTTCTTTTATGTCACGGAAAAGTGGAGAAATTAAAAATAAAGATGTCAGCTGTAGCGAGGATTCAGATCCTTTTAAAGAGATCAAATATCGTATTTCTTTAAATCGTCTGAAATTAAATCTTCTCACAGGAAAGTTTAAACGCGTGTTTTCATGTAAAGGCGCCATAATGACCTGTTTTATCTCAGTCAACCAACCGCTGCTCAGCAGGAAGTGAACCACGATACACCCCTCCCTCCTCCGCCTGAATAAAGTCGTTCAGAAGTCGTTCATTTTGTTCTCCATGTCGTTCACTCACTGATTCATGTCGTTCATTTGCTGTGAGCGAATCACGAGACTTTGCCCGCCCACTCGCTTACTGGCTGTGTGTCGTTCGCCAAAGAGTCAAAGGCGGCAGTTCCACTCCTGACCGACACGCCAGGTTCACAGCTGAGCTCAACTGAACTGAAAAAGGAACGAATCAGGTCTGAGAGTGATTCATGTCGTTCACTCAGCAGTTCTGTTCTTTTGAACGAATCGTTCATGAACGACACAAACACTACGGCGTGTTTTAGCCGCGGTTTCACCTGGAAGATTCTGGACATCAGACACACTTGTGAACGGAGTTTAAAACGCCGCTCACAGACGCCAGAATGAGCGCGTTCAACACCAACGCGTTCAGACGCAAATAAAGAACGATACGCCCGAAATATGAACACGTTCACGTACGCAACACGGACGTCAGGTACAAACTTTTGGAGGTTTTGCTTTTATAGGAGGAGATGAATCAAATTCAGGTTTACCTGTGGTGATGGGGTGAAAAAGGAGTTTAATGAGGAGGAGGAGGAGGGTGGAGGAGGTGGAGGCCGAGTCACGGGGGGATGGTGTTGGAAGAGTCCCATTGTCTTTCAGATTAACAGTAAACTCTTTCAGTTTGTCTGTGAGCTGAAAGTCGTTCATGAAGAGAGAGAGGATTCAGTCTGTGAGAGCTTAAACTGGAGTTTAAACCGGTTTAAACTGGAGTTTAAACCAGTTTAAACTGGAGAGGAGAGGAAACCAGACGAGAGCGCCATGATCGGCAAAGCCAGGAGGAAAGTCGGAGAATTATCCGTCCATTTAATCTGGTAAACAAAAAAATGGGGAAATGGGGACGTCAAAAACCCGAAAACGAAAATTAGATTTATTATTTTGTTTTCGTTTCCTTCTCTAATATATTTTCTGTTTTGAACTGAAAATATGAAAACAAACAAAATTTTTTTTTTTGGTTATACAGAAAAATAAATAAACAAAATATTGACTCTTTTTTCGTTTTTTCATTTACTAGATTGAATGGACAGATGACACACGGACTGAGGAAAGTTAGTCTGTTACGCTCAAACATAAAAACCTGAAAAATCCTGAAAATATTCATGAATCTTGTTTCTTTAAACTTTATTCTTTGGTTTTTATGCAGGTTTGTTTTTCTAAATCCAAGAGAAAAAACTGAATGTAGAAAATCAAGTTAACCCTTAAATGTCTTTTGTATCATATTTGATATCAAATCAATATGATCAACAGATTACTAAAAATCACCTGAATACAGTCTGATCAATGATGAAAATGTCCTCTTTTAGTTTATCAGTTTCCAAAAACATCTAAAGTATCAAACCAGATCAATAAATATATTTGTTAAATTTTAAGGACATTTAGATTTTTTTGGTTTGAACATTTCAGCTCCAATAAAATTGAATTTTCTGGCCATAATTTGTGGTTTCAGACATTAAGGAGAAACCAAAAGTTCTGACTCGAGTCTCGGCGCGGCGCCCCCGCGGAGAAAAACGTCTTTTTCTGTGACAGGAGTCCGACGCAGCAGCAGCAGAAGAAGAAGAAGAAGCGGAGTGAGCCGCAGGAGTGTGTCGATGATGAGTGTGTTTGTGGAGCGTGAAGGAGAGTCGCTTTCCCAGAGGCCTCAGCTGTCTGCGTTAACTGGTCTCTGCTTTTACCCAGAATGCCTCAGTCATCCTCCCTGTGCTGAAAATAACACGTGTGTGATTCTGAGACGAGTTCGCTCAGAGGCGTTGAGATGATTTGGTCAGAAAAGCTGATAAAACATCAAAATTAAAGGGCTATTCTGAAAATCATCTGAAATCTCCAGGCCTGTAAACCTCAAATTAACTCGACTGTAAAATCTGTGAAATCAAATTAACGCCATAAAATCTTAAAATGACAGAAACAGAACGATTAGAGCGGTCCGGTGGAGTTTTAGTTTTTACCCTCAGAGTCAGATAAATGTCGTAGATTATGGTGAAACTCCTCCCTCTCTTCCCTCTCTTCCCTCTCTTCCCTCTCCTCAGTCGGGTTTCTGACTCGGTCGTTCCCTGATTGCGGCTGAAAGTAAGAGGCCTCGGGGTCAAAGGTCACGGCGCCCTCATAATATCATTAACCCCCCAAAGAGCCTCCCGCTGAGACCTCATCATCGTCACCATCAGGACCTGTCTCTCCCTCCTCTCTGCGTTCAGATCTTCCTGTTGAATCTCAGATCCGATCCGCTTAATTAACCCGCTTCTTGTTTTTTTTTCTCTTCAGCTCCCGTCGCCGTGGAGATCCTCGGGGACCATCAGAAGTCGGTGTCCCACTTCAGAGACACCAGCCGCCGTCACGCCTGCCCGCTCCGTCTTTGTTCAGCGGCTCCTGAATTATGTGAGTTTGACGCGTAAACGAGCGCCGTGATCGCTTTGTACTCAAACGGCGTCCTCCCCGTCACGTTCAGGACGGCGTGTAAATCAGACGCAGGTTTTCTCTGAGCGCCGCTCCTCTTTGTGCTTCAGTCAGGACTCGGTCTGATAGGGAGCAGGTTTTAGAGTCTGTGTCTAATAGTCTAATAACCGTTAAACGTGAGGCAGCTTCCTCTACATCAGTGAAGGTCGCTGATTGATGAGACTGACCCGCAATTTTCACCACATCCGGAACGGCGGAAATTTCCGCTGTACGCCAATTCCTACTGGATCCGTTTGTGAGGCGAATTTTGAGGCGGATTAAAGACGGCGGTAATCACAAGAACTCGCAGATTCACGTTCAATCGTGCGATAACGAGTTGTCTCTCTAAAGACAGACACATAGACATATAAGCAGTAGATTGTGTCCTTCCAGAGGAGGAAATCTACTTCTAGACTTCTAGGGCTCTATTTTCGTGCCCGCCGGCAGCGAACCCCGCCAGTGGTATTTTCGTCTGGCGGAGCCCGGTGCACAGACAATTCTGGTATTTTTGCGTGGTGGCGCGGCAGGGGGAGGTGTCGACAGAATCAGCTGGTGCAGCAACATTTTCGTGGTCGCCACCGGCGTGGAAAGTGCGCTGAAAGCTCGCCGATTCAAACCTTTCAGCTTTCAGCGCAGCTGGTCTGGTGGTATTTTGGTAAACCGGCGGCGTAGTGCGAATACGTCACCGATGCCTCACCAGCAGGTTTCCACAGAGTCAGGAACATTTCAGTGAAATAAATAACAACAACGATCAATAATCTGAGTCAGCACATTTAGATCTATAGATATATTCTGATCGATGTCTGATCTGATGAGCGCGTTTGGACACTCAACCTGACCGAATCAACACAGCTGAAACTGTGAGGCACACAAAGGTGCAGGCAGGGGGCAGAAAGAGGGACATTTCTTATTTGTTTACCAGCGGAATCAACGGAGAAAGAAATCGACAAAGAAAAAAAAAGACTGAACGAATCGACAAAACAAACAATCGGCAAACATTCGGACCTGGATCCTGATATCAGAAACATCTAAAACAACGTCACAACCTGGAAAACTGAGTGAAGTTCATGAACATTTCAGGAAGTGGTTTTCAAGACGAGGCGATTTTTCAATGAAATGATATTTTATTACAACTGTTTCAGGGAGAACTTCCAAACAATTCGACGTCTTCATTGGTATCAGTTCACTCTGAAGCAGACTTTTGCCCCCTGGTTTCATGCGCATCTATTACAGGAACTAAAGAGGCCCTGATGTAAACCCTTCAGATGTCTCTATAAGTAAGAACCTGAAAATAAACCTTCAAATTCATCGACAGTCCGGTTTGGTGGAGCAGAGTGATGGACGGATGAACATGAGATCCTGGAAACACCAAAAAGACGAGCTCTCTGGTTTCATGTCGCGTTCACTGACCGCTGGTTTTCACAGAGGTGCAGCTGTGGGAATCATGGCCTCCAGGTTCACTCTCACCTGAGAAACCTGAAGCTTCTCTCTTCTTTGTTGGTGTGAGGAGTCGAGACTTCATTCTTTGTTCGGTCTCAGACGGACGGTTGACGGGTGATAATGTCGGGGGGGAGGATCGCAGCTACAGGTGCTTCAGAAACCAGCAGGAACATCACGACCAGGTTAATATCAGAGTCAGAAAAGTCTGAATAAACATGGAAACAAACACAAACTGAAGCTCCGAACAAAGAGAACACACGACTGTAATCTCTGCTGTCTGTCACGTCTAAAAACGGCGAACAAAGCTCATTAACAAAGAGGCTGAAAGAGACGCCAGACGACGGAGAGACGGAAATAAAACAAAGACACAAACATAGAACACAAATAAACAGACAGATGGAAAGATGTTGGAACCATAAAAAATAATAGAAATCCAAATGAATGTTGAATAAGTAAAACACTACAACAGTTAGACCTTTACCTAAAATTAAATATGAGAAATTTACTTAAAAAAAATAGAAATAAAACACAAAATAAACATTTACTGAAGTGAAAAAAGTTCTTTATATTAACAGTAGATTTTAAATTAAATATGAGAAATTTACTTAAAAAAATAGAAATAAAACACAGAATAAATAATCACTAAAGCGGAAAAGTTCTTTAATTTTCAGATTCTTTTTCTGAGTTTAATATATACATTTTTATGTAAAATATAAATACACAAGGGCATTAAAATATGTTATCATTCTAACTATATTCTTATTATAATTATGTTTTAGTAAGATAATTATGGAATAGAAATGATAATATATCAATATTTTATACCATGAATTATTACATCTATATATGTAAAAGACCAGATAAAATGTTTTGAAAATAAATATGACCGATATTAATTTTTCGTTACGTAAAAACAAAAAAAAATATTTTTATTCTCTAGAATATTTATATATAGTTTAACAGATTGATCAAAAATATAAATCCAGATTTTTGTAATTTGGTTTTAAAATTTTAATAATTATAATGAAATAAAAACTCAGATTCACCAAGAATGATAAAATATTCTAAATTCAACATTCAATACAATATTTAAAAAAAAGCATACAATACAGCATAAAGTATTTTTTTTTAAAAACATTAAATACAATAAAAATCTAAATACACAGAGATAAAATAATAGATGAAATAGATAAGAGGTACAGGCCAAGTTTAAAGTTTTAATCTCTTATTTATACCTGAGGAGTAGAAATCTGAGACATTGGTATAAAAAAGTGACTAAAATGTGAAAACAGAGAATTGCAGGAAGAGCTACACAGCTGCATAAAAACGAAACGTTGCTGAATGTAAATTAAAGTTTTTAAAGTATGAACTTTTGTTGGATGTTTTGTTTTTGATTTTACTCAAAATATCCTCGATTAAATATTTAAACACAAAGACAGTAAAACATCCAACAGAAACACCACGACGTCGAACTTACTTTGACTTTGGAATTTCCCACCGTGGGACTTACAAAGGAATATGTTTTCTCTTATCTTAACCTTAATCTTAACCTTAACCGTGGGTTAAGGTTAAGGACTTGTTTTTCCTCATATTAATACCTGTTTATATTAAAGATGATGAGGCCTTTTTAACCCCAGTTTAAAACCTTTTTCAAATGCATCATCATTAAACTCTGAAATATCAGCCACTGCAGATAATAAAGGAGAGGGAGAGAAAAAGAGAGAGGGGGAGAGAGAGAGAGAGAGAGAGGTGAGGCCTGAAGGTGAAAGGTTTAGTGTTTTCCTCTGGAGGACGTTAGGACCCAGAGGAAACAATCAGCTCTTCACTCCGCTGCTTTATGAAACTTGTGAGGAAATGCATCTCAAATTACCTCCTCCCCCACGGACTCCCCCTCCCTCTCTGAAGAGTGTGTGTGTGTGTGTGTGTGTGTGTGTGTGTGTGTGTGTCAGACAGACGTGGAGGAGGGAGGGAGGCGGAGGTATCGATTGATAAGCTGAGTGAGGTCGAGCTGCAGCAGCAGCAGTTTGTTCCCGGTGTGCTCATCATGTTAAAGCGGCTCTGCTGCACCAAATTAAATCTGTGTTTTTAAGGATCCTGACGACCTTTTCACCCTTATTTGATCTGATTATTATTATTAAAACCTCAGATATGTACCAAGGATCCGGTTACTTAATGCTCTGTACAGTACTGAATATAAATGAATCTCCTCCCTGGGCTCAAACTGCACCGCCATGATTTTCTCGCATTATCCAAAATCATGTCTTTATTTCATTTATTCAAAAAAAAAATCAGATTTTTTTTTTTACTCTTTACTTCCAAAGCCCACAAATTTTACACACTCTGTACTTTTGAACATGAACAAGTTTAAATATGTAAAGTAGGATTCACACAAAAGCCTAGAGACTCAGTAATATCACGCTAATGAAGCTTCAGTCTCATAATATCACAACAAATACAAATATCATGATGATGCTTCCGTCAAGATGCATCATGATTACAAAACTGAGGTAACGCCATAGAATTTTCATCATCAGGGTGCAATGTCAGAATACAACACAAAAAACACTATCACGATAAAACACATCACGATAAAACATTATCACAATAAAACACTATCACGATAAAACACTATCACGATAAAACACTATCACGATAAAACACTATTACGATAAAACACTATCACGATAAAACTATCACAATAAAACACTATCACAATAAAACACTATCGCGATAAAACACTATCGCGATAAAACACTATCACGATAAAACACTATCACGATAAAACTATCACAATAAAACACTATCACGATAAAACACATCACGATAAAACACGATTACGATAAAACACGATTATGATAAAACACTATCACAATAAAACACGATTACGATCAAACACTATCACGATAAAACTATCACAATAAAACACTATCACGATAAAACACTATCACAAATAACACTGTTACAATAAAAACACTATCATGATTAAACGCTATCACAATAAAACAATATCATGATACCATATCATATGTCACTGTAGGCTCAAGTCATGATATAAAAGTCACAATATGACATCATTATCATACTGTAGTTTTATGCCTAATTCATGATGTAACATTTCATTAGAGTATTTATTTCACAATACATGTAATACTGTCACAATATGACATCATCATGTTTCTTAAGTCTTAGGCCCAAAATGTAATCATGATACTTAAATCCTGTTTTAGGTGTTGTTATAGTACTTAAGTATATCACAATACTGAAGTTTCAGTGTAGAAGTAACAATATGACTATAAGTCACGATAAAATATAAATACTGTGATGTTTTATCATAAGAAACTTTAGTGGTGTCTCAGATTCATCGTTAAACAGTAATCAGAGTCTGATCTCATCGACGTTTAGATAAAATAAAACTTTAGACCAGATTTAATCATGACAACTCAGCAATAATACAGAATTACTGAGATACTTATGATCATGCACATCTACACACCACAACATTATCACAATAATTTAGTCACAAAACAATACTGTCACAGTTTCACAACATCAAGTTATTTTAACAGGATAAATAAAGTCTAAGTTACTTTATTGACTTTATCATTATAACCCAACGTGATGATAAATATACAGTTTGTATATATTTAAATTGTTCATTTTTTTTCTTCTATCACATGTAGTTTCCGTAAACCAGCATAAACCAGGTCTCTGCTGGGATCAGGTTTTTCCTGAGTTCCTGGATCAAGGTGAACCTGATCCTCTCAAACGTTCAGAAAAACACCAGCTGGAGATTTCATCCTGATAAAAACCAGGTTCAGGTGTTTCATTCAAATGTTCCCGCTAACACACGGGCCTGCAGTGAACACTGTGGCCTGTAGGGGGCTCTGGCAGGGTTTAGGCTGCTAAACTGGAGAAGATGTTTCTGGAAAGCAGCTCAAGTCTTTGTGCTGCTGGTGTGTTTATGAGCTGAATCAGACCCTCGGAGGGACTTTCACCGCTCTGACTCAGCCTCAGGAGGGTTTGATTTCCACGCCGACTGTGGAGCTGCACAGAGAGAAAAACAGGAAGTGTGCAGAGTGAGCTGGGCCGGCCGACATGCTTTAGAGCCTGCAGGTCGTCTCCTGCAGCTCGTCTCGCTCCACGCAAACACACACACACAGCACTTCCTCATTCTTCACATTTCCGCCTGAAGCCAACCCACGACAAACATTTGTTTTTGAGCTGAACAGGCGGACGCTGAACGCAGCCTGAGAGGGGATGCTGCTGGAGCCGGAGTCTGCTCCAGAGAGAGCTCCATGAGGGGAACCGGGTCCTTCTCACAGAGGGACCTGAGGATGGCGGTCTCTAGTCTGGTCATTAAAGCCTCTATGACCCCATCAGACCAGCTCCAGATCTGCTGGATTCTGTTGGTCTGACCTCAGAGTCTCCAGCTGCTCGTCTGTTTCCAAAAACATTTTAAACTTTTGTTTTAGGTTTAACATTTCGACTGACACAGAGTTCAACATTCAATTTTAGACTTTTTTAAAGGCCCCAAAGACCTGAAAGTCAAACATTAAGATTAAAATATAGATACAAGAGGCAGTTCAGCATTTTCTTTAAGCCTGAATCCAGTTTTTCGACATTTTTCAGGGTCAAAGTTTTGAAAGAACTTCAGAAGTTTTCTTCAGCCTGCAGCAGTGAGACGGGCTGTTATGGTGTCTGAGTGGTTCTGATGGATCAGAGTTCATGTTTTTGTCTCTAAAAGACTTGATTATTATTTTAACAGTTTGAATTTATCAGAAAAAGGATCCTAAAGAGAAAGAAAGAAAGAGAGAGCTGGTTTTTTTAAAGAGGAAGGGGATTTTTTCAGCCACAAAGGACGGTTACATAACTGTTACATAAAAAAGACCAAAATACGAACAGATCAATAAAAATACTCAAATGAATAAAAAACATAAAATAAGACAAAAATAAGCAAATATAGTATATATATGTATATATACACATATATGTATAATCATACGTATAAAAATATAAATATGTGAATAAATAACTTAAACGATTAAACAGCAACCAAAATTTAAGAAAATAACTTTGTAAAAAAAATATTAAAAAAGATCAAACAATACATTTTTAAAGATGGAAAAAGAAAAATATACCTTATAAAATTATTTAAAAAATAATTAAGAACTAAATAATTAAGAAAATGAATGAATAAATAAAGAGTAAAATAAAAACTAAAAGTATTATTTACAAATAGAATAAAAATAAATATTTATTAAAAAACAAATAATTGAATAAATCGAATAAATCGAAAAATTTCTGTAACACAAATAAATTCAGTCATTAAGATAATCAATGAAAAACAATTTTTTTTAAAATCTAAAGAGTTTATCAATTGTAGATAAATACAATCGAATAAATAAATTAAAAATAAATATCGATTTTTTTTCCCCAGTGTAATAAGCTGCTCTCTCAGAAACATCATCGATGGTCTAAGTCTGTCCATTAAAAACTCAAATATGTGTTCCTGAATTTTTTTGTAACTCATCAGTTTTCTATGTTTTATATACTTCGGAGTGTGACTAATATGACAGATAGGGGGCGCTGTAGCTGTTAAAGCCCATCATAACTCTGCCTCTTTGCCTGCTGTTAGGTCAACCAAAGTTAGGTTGAGTTTACGTTTCCATTCTAAATAAGATACGATCGGCAATTCGTACTACTTTGTCCTCAAGGGGGCGCCAACAGCCATAAAGTTAAAGAACCTCATGATATTAAATAAAAACATTTAACTCCAAGTATCCGTGCAGTTACACAAAGTTCCACTAGGCTCCCTATACATGTAGCTAAGCTCTGATTTTTGGTTAGTGCCTTTACAATAATCCTGCAAAACCACATAGAACACTTTAAAGCGTTAAAGAAATCACAGTTTTGTCAAACTAGCACAGCTACGAGCTTAAGTTTCAGATAAGGTATCTGACTGGGTTAGCAGGTCTGCTAAAACGAAGGGAAACTGAACTTAAACTTAGCGGTTTATGTGAGAAGAAACAACTTCTCTGTGTAGATGTGTTTGGAGGTAGATCAGAGGTGTTGGATGAAGTCAGGATATTTGACTCATGACTCTCAGTTCATCCTGAATATGTTGACATGTATTAGTAGTTGTTTTTATAGTTAACAGTAAGTAAACAAACAAATGAGTGAATAAAACCTCAAAAACGATGTGTTTTGTTTGGTTTGTTTTTTTAACCAGCAACTGTGGAGGGTAGAGCTTTAGTTTGGGACTATATTTAGAGGCGGATGGATCCACTTTCGTAGTTTTTTTTAATGAATTTTTCAACTTTTTTGAACACAGTGGATCTATCTGGATTTGATCGTATTCTGTGTGAAACACGAACATAGTTTTTGTCAGAACACTGAGTGGTTTCTGTTTTTGTTCCGGACTGTAAACGCTGATCCGACTCACTTTTGGGCCAGCCTCTAGTGGACGCTGGTGGAACTTCATTTTTTGCGACATCTGCTTCGCTGCTTTGTTTCAGGGCTTAATGATTGAAGGTGGATTTGTTGTCGAGACGTTAGTTTAGTCGGGGTTTTAAGGTGTAATTTTGTTTTCTCTGTCTATTCACATTGAAGGGCTGAACAAAACTGCTTTTATACATCTTTATATATCTTCTGAATTTAAAAAAAACTCACTAAAAAAGTCAAAATATCTCACTCGATGTAAAATAAAGAGAACAAACCGAGAAACAATGCCCACACATGAACTGACGTCTTCAGAAATCCAACATGTCTCCATTTGTTTTGGGAGAATGCGTTTGGTACGGAGTCAGCACAGTTCATGTTTGTGTATTTCTCAGGACTCGGCCCTCTCACCCTTCATCATCATCCCCTCCTCCTCCTCCTCCTCCTCCTCCTCCTCCTGCAGTCAGGACTCCATGTATGGTCTGAGGGGAAACGTCTCAAACCTCCAGCCACCAAAAAGCCTCCAGCAGGGAGTGACTCTGCTCTCCCCCGAGTCTCAGAGGGCGAGTCCTTTATTTTTAGACAGCCAGACTTACTGACTATTATGAGGGAGGGCCTGTGTGTGTGTGTGTGTGTGTGTGTGTGTGTGTGTGTGTGTGTGTGTGTGTGTGTGTGTGTGTGTGTGTTTGCCTCTCTGGGAGGAACTGTGATGGATGGATCATCATGTCTGTTCTTGTTGGTTGGGGCCTCCGTTCTCGGCTGAATCAGCTGCTCAGACCTTCAGTCAGAGTTGGACTTTTAACACTTTTACTGAAGTGCTCTGATAATAGAGTCTCTGCTTCTGAAGGAGACTCTCCATCTTTCCTCCACCGTCATGTTTGAAGCAGAAACACGGCTTTATTTCCTTCAGTGTTTGCGCGACCTCGAACTTTGAAGGGGAGATTCAGGCCGAACTGAAAAACTCGACTTTTTTATCCCCTAAAGACTTTGGCGTCCTTTAAAGTTATCTGAATCCAACACAGTGTTTTAAAACAATTAAAGTGATTAAGGTAAAGGTAGACCAACAACTCCAGTGTTCACTGAGGTAGAAATTCTGTTTCTGTAAAGTTTACTTTAAAAGAAATTTGACAGCCTTCTCAAATTGAAGAAAAGAAAAAACTAAAGCTTCTTTCTGTGGAGATCCACCAGACCTCCTGGACAAAAACTGCGTTTTTATCAGAGAACACAGGAGTTGGTGTTCTACCCGTATCTGCTCCTCTAAGTTTCTTTGAGTGTCTGTGAAACTTGGTGTTTTTAAGAGTTATCTCATAACTGACTATATCTGTGTTGGTCTAATCATCCCAAACACACTGACTGATACAGGAATGAGTAGATCATCAACTCCTGTGTCCGACTGCTTTGAAATGACTGTTTGTGTGGATGAAGAAACTAGACCCCACTGTGTTTAAAAATACTGCTCTGGATTTAAAAACACTTAAGTCACACAATTAAAGAAACTGTGTGACTGAGTCAGGGGTAGACCGTCAACTCCTACAGTCTGGAGAATTAGCAGGTCTGTTCACGGTTATTACAGGTGTTGCTGCTCTAACCAGGAAGTTTCTTTGAGATGTGAATATCCTGTAAAAACACCAAAGTCACCTGATACCACAATAAAACACCTGATGAAGGCAGAGGTAGACCAGCAGCTCAGCAGTTTATTTCGTTATTTATCAAATTTATTCAGTTATTTTTTCACTTATTTTAAGCTTTTCAAATTGAATTTATTAATTAATTTTAAATATATTTATTTTTTATGTAATTATTCCAATTTTTTAATCAAACTTTCTTTTTCTACTTTTGTCTTTTACCTCTTTAAAAACAATTTCATAGCTCTTATATTGAGAATCATTTTTGACTTTGTTAATGTGTTTTTATGATCTCTTTATTTTTATTTTTTTTGTCACTTATTTACAGATCTTTTTATTTATTTAAAACTGTTTTGTAATGTATTTTTCAATTTGTTATAATAGTTGATTTTTCTATATTATTTCTTTGTATTTTTTTATTGTTACATTTTTTTATTTATTTCATATCTTTTTTTAACAATTTAATGTAATTTTCAATGATGTATTTTTATCATTCCATTTGTAGCTTTTATTCATTGAATTCACATTTATATTTTTATAAATATATTTATCAATAACTGTTTTTGTAATGTAATAGTTTAATCATAGTATTAAATTTTTTGTATTTATTGATTTTGGAGGTTTGTTTATTTATTCAATTGTTTGTTTTTTTCTTATTTAAACCTTTAGTAATGTCATTTGCTAAACTTTTGTAATTTTTTTTTTTTTTTAAGATATTGATTCTGACCTTAAAATTAAAATAAATTCATAATTTAAGTGAATTTAAACCATAAATTTTGGTTTAAAGCGACACTTGAGATTCTAAAACAGAAGAGCAAGTCTGAGCTCATTTATACTCCTCTGTTTGAGGAAAGAAAAACAGGAACTATAAAAAAAAGACTTTAAACTTTAACAACAGAAAACATCCTACAGTGTTATCGCATGTTAAAATGGTCCAAACTGTAAATGAAACGACCTTGAAGTGAACCTGTTTTTAAAGATGTGAAACTTGGTCACATGGAGGTGGAGTTAGACTTGAATATTTTCTATAAATAGGCCTTAAAATGTTGTTGTTCCAGGTTGATTGAAAGAAGCTTCACTTCCTCAAACCTCAAACCTCTAACCTCGGCTGTCCACCTGTTTCTGTCGGCGGAAAAATACAGATATGAGGGTTTTAATTCACTGAACACTTTTACAGGCCAGGTACATCCATGTATCATCTGCATATAAAGTGATAAGAAGCTCTTTAAAAATCCAACCCAGGAAGAGAAAGAAGAGCGCAAACAGTAGGGGGGTGTGAATAGAGCCTTGGGGTACACCAAACAGCAGGGGGGCCAAACAATAGAGTCGACAAAGCTTCTTCCTAACAAATCAGAAACCACGAGAGAAGATAGTTCTGGGTAAGAAATAAGAGATTTAAAATAAAAGCTCTTTAAAATCCCTCAAACATTTACACTTCTGTTTTTCCTCAGCGATGGTATCATCATTTTAAGATGAAGACTTTCTGTTCAGCTACCTTTGAATTCAACGTTGATTTTTAACTTTTTAATGATCGTTTTTAAAGCTCTTAACTGACTCGCCTCCATGCTTTTAACCGTTCAGGAGCCGGGTAGAGCTCCGAGGTCGTCAAACTAACCTCTGCTGGAGGTGTCCAGGTCAAAACACGAACACTGGGGTGACCGAGACTTTTCAGTCGCTGGTTCCAGGCTCTGGAATAACTGCAGGTTATGATGCACGGATCCGATTTTTTTGTGCGGTCGTTCACATTACATTAACGAATGCGGCGTATAATATCACGGAATTGCCGGGAAGTGACCCCCATTGATGATGTAAAGGTCAGATGAACCCAACCTGAGCGCCCACACTGCAGTCACATCAGATACATATCTGATTTATATCCACATACAGAAGAGGACTGGGTCGGATTAGAACCAATCAGAACTGACCTGTTCACACTAAGATGAAAACATCAGATATGAGTCACAGATGGTTAAAACATCAGGATTGACCTGCAGTCTGAACACAGGCTAAGACTTATTTCCGACCTGGGCCTTTTTAAATCTCGATTGAAAACATATTTATTTATGCAGGCTTTTAATACCCAGTAGCGTGGTGACACTTTATTTTATTGCATTGTATTTTATTCTTTTTTTATTGTTTTTTATTTCCTGTTGTGAAGCACTTTGGTTCCCTGAACAGGTTGTTATAAAGTGCAGTATAAATAAACAACATTTACATTCACATTTACATCAGTCAAATGCGTGTTAAACTGGATATCTGCGCCCCTGGGTTGAATTTCAAAGCTTCAAACCTGAAACCAGATCTGACTCCAGATCCAGCCTGATCCCCGGCTCCGCTCCGGGCTTTCCCTCCCTCCCTCCCTTCCTCCTCTCTGCCCCGTTTCTCTGCAGCCGCCATTTCAGGAGCTGCAGTCAGAGGCCTTCCCTCTCTGTCATGGAAGAACAAAAGCAGCTCTGTCTTTGTCTGCAGGTTCTCCACGTTCACATGCAGCGTTTACATTTAACAGACACGCAAACCGCTTTCACACCCGATCTCCGAGCGCTCTCACACAGACACACTCGAACACTCTGAATTAATAATAACGCTTTAACATGTTCCTGGAAATTCATGAGTGGAAAGGTCACCTGGAAACACACACTCATCCTGTCCACTGTCCATCTGCAGACCTTTTTTTTCTCCTTTTTTAAAAGACTTTTATTCTGAAATGTGAAAATAAAAGCCCTCCACCTTTTAAAACACTTTAATCATCTTCATGTTTGTTAGTTTAACACTCAAATCTTCCACACAGGTGTCTCAGTTTCTCCATAAAAACCACATTTTTCTCTCTTTCTGTCATCTAATCTTCTCAGAGGATCATTAACCATCAACATATTTACTCTCTCAGCTGAATAAACTCTTAATATTCCAGTTTAAACCCTTTTTTACTGCTCTTTGGGGGTATTTGTTTGCCTTTTAAACAGCGCTGTAGTTTATTCCCCATGTGGAGTTTGTTTGGTGTGTCATAATAATCTGTAATCTAGTCCTGCAGGCTTTTCTAACCTGAGTCCACCTCAGATTTTACAGCAGAATAAATTATGAGGGAAAAAAAAGGATCTTTACTACTATGGTATGGAAACGCCTTCAAACCCCCCCATCTCACACACACACACACACACACACACACACACACACATATAAAGGCCATGGCGTATCAAAGGAGTGTTTGATGTCGGTCGGTGTGGGCCGGCTGGTTGAGGGAGGGGTGGGGTTTGGGAGGGGACAGACAGCAGATGAAGTGGGGGTCGGGTTTGGGTGTTGGTGTTGGTGTTGGGGGGGTTTGATGGTAAACAGCAGGAATACCAAACCTCCTCTGTTACATTACACAGAATAGGAACACTGTACTTTAACCCACTCATGCACTCCAACTCTGCCTCCTGTGACAAAAGAGGAACTATCTGCTCTGCTGGCGCCCTCTGGAGGCTGCTGCGCTCATTACACTGAAGACTGTTCACGTCCATTTACAAGATGTTGGTCCATCACAGGGCTTGACCACAGACTGTATCTAGAATAGACGCCATCAAGTGAAGTCACTCTGAGAACAGCGCCCTCTGGTGACAGGCTGCAGTATAGGTCCTAAACCCCGCCTCCTTATGGAGCTGTGGACAAACTTTCTAAATGAATGACACAGAATATAAATGTTTCTCCCCCCTGGTTGTGATGTTGACATGTAGTTACTGTCAGACTGGTTTGTGCTCAAGTCCTCTTTTTTTCTGTACAGCTCCATTTTTAAAAGTTATTAGGGGGTTCATGTTTTCTATGATTGACACCTGATACAGCCTATGGGAGGACAGAGATTGAGTAGATCACCGGGGGATACGCTGTTTGAGCCGAGCGTCATCACAGCGACTCTCGACGACTCTTCCGCTGAATGTGTACAACGTTACTGCACAATGGTTGGTTTCAGGAAGTGGAGAAAAATCACGGAATTACTGCGAACTTTTCGGCTTTAAATCCGTGTACCGGCGGAAAGCGGAACCAAGTTGTCCGAAGTACCATATTTTTTGCACCGTAAGGCGCATTAAAATCCTTTTGGCTGGTCGGAGCGCTGCAGCTACCGTAGCCTCGCTGAGTTATTGAATGAGTTAAATAAAGTTTGACTACCTGACTGTTTTGTTTGGCTTAATGCGCTTTATAATCTGGTGCATCTTATATATGAAAATAGATGTGAATAGACGCGTTCATTGATGGTTGCCTTATAGCGCAAAAAATACGGTATATACAGTCTACGGCCATGATTCTCCTAAGTTGAAAACGTAAGGAGCACACAAAGAAATTTAGAGGCGCAATAAATATCTTCGGACCTTAGTACTTATCGTCTTATCATCCGACCTTAATTTTAAGTCTTTTGGTCACATGACAGTGAAGCTATTGAAGGAAAACAGCCTTTTCTGAGAACATCAACCGGTAATTTATTGACGGTCCCTTATTCAACACCGACGTTGACAGTGAGGGTGTCGAGTAGATTTAACCGTGCTGCTGTTGTTATTCCCGGTTATGGAGAGAGAGAAGACACCGGTAGATCCTCAGAGAATGTCCGTCAGATATCCAACCTGAAACTAACTTCACCGCTGTATTTACAGGAAAATATATCCAACCTAAAACTAACTTCACCGCCGTATTTACAGGAAAATATATCCAACCTAGAAACTAACTTCACCGCCGTATTTACAGGAAAATATATCCAACCTAAAACTAACTTCACCGCCGTATTTACAGGGAAATATATCCAACCTGAAACTAACTTCACCACCGTATTTACAGGAAAAACATTTGTTGATTTTTTTAATGTGCCCCTGAATACATTTTACAATTCGCACACATCTATTTTAGTCACAAATGCGAGTGAAATGGTCGCACTGTCGAACCCTGCGTCTGACATGGTCTTGAAAGTTCTAACATCACCTCAACAAAATGTTTCACCAAGAGTCACTGAGAGTAAAAGAGAAGAACGTCAGAGGAAATAAAAACACTCTCCTAAGTCCTTATCTCCTCAGACGGGTTCTCCTGAGGATCCTCTATCTTTGAGGAGAACTTTCCAAAGTCCCTGAATTTCTGTGTGCTCATTCAAAAGTCCTCATCTCTTCAGGAAGGTCTTTCCATACTTCTAATCTCTTAAAAAGTTCTTATCTCCTCATGAGGGTTAATGTTCTCGTACCATGTGGGTGTTGTTCTACAGACCTTACTATCTCATGGAAGTCCTTATCTTCTCATGTAGGGTGTGCAAACTTTGTCTTCTCCTCACTAAAGTTGTTTTGAAGTTCTTCTGTCCTCAGGCAGGTTGCCCTTAATCCATGGCAGATGTTTCAAAGACCCTATCTAATTTTTTTGATGGTAAAGTCCTGATCTCCTCAAGATACTTTTGTCTTAAAGTCTCATAGGATGGTTTTCAAAAGTCCTCATCTCCTCAGGAAGGTCTTTCCATACTTCTAATCTCTTCAAAAGTTCTTATCTCCTCACGAGGGTAAATGTTCTCGTACTATGTGGGTGTTTACCACAGACCTTACTATCTCATGGAAGTCCTTATCTTCTCATGAAGGGTGTGCCAGCTTTGTCCTTTCCTCAGATAGTTGTTTTGAAGTTCCTCTGTCCTCAGGTAGGTTGCCCTAAATTCATGGCAGATGTTTCAAAGCCCCTATCTACATAATAAGGTCATTCCAAAGTCCCAGCTTGGCTGCAAAATACTTATTTTTAGGAGAGTAAAGTCCTGATCTCCTCAAGATAGTTTTAGTCTCAAAGTCTTAGGATGGTTTTCAAAAGTCCTCATCTCCTCAGGAAGGACATCTCTAAGTCTGTGTCTCTTCAGGGAGGTTATTCCAGAGTCCTGATCTTGAGCAGATAGTTTTTCAAAATCCTTACCTCTCAGGATGTGGTTCCAACTTCTTTATAAGTCCAGGGAAGGACTCTAAAGTTCTCGTCTTCTCACGTAGGTCATTCCAGAGTCCTCATCTTCTCACATAGTGTGTGCAAACTTTGTCTTCTCAGGATCGTTGTTCTGAAGTTCCTCTGTTCTCAGGCAGGTCGCCCTTAATTCATGGCAGATGATTCAAAGTCTCTATCTTCAACATAAGGTCATTCCAAAGTCTTAGCTTGGCTGCAAAATACTTATTTTTAGGAAGCTTAAGTCCTGATCTCCTCAAGATAGTTTTTGTCTCAAAGTCTCATAGTATGGTTTTCAAAAGTCCTCATCTCCTCAGGAAGGACATCTCTAAGTCTGTGTCTCTTCAGGGAGGTTGTTCCAAAGTCCTGATCTTGAGCAGATAGTTTTCCAATAGTTTTTTTTGGGATTGCTGATCCAAAGTTCTTATCTTCTCATGTAGGTTGTTCCAGAGTCCCAGTCTCCCCGAGGAAGTTGTTCCAAAGTCCTTTTCTTCACATACTGGTCCGTCCAAAGTCCTCTTCTCCTTTGGATAGCTGATCCAAAGTCCTCGTCTTCTCAGGTAGGTCGTTCCAACCTCATCTTCTCCTCAAGGTCGTTGTTTCAAAGTCATGAGATCTTCAGTGAGATGTTTTAAATTACTCCTTTTAAAGTTCTTTTCTCCACATTCAGGTTGTTTTAAAGTCCGTTAATGAATGTCAGAGTTCGTAAATGGAGAACAAAAGTGGACCTTAATATGAACCTTGCAGAACACCACATGTAAGTTCCCTTTTATACGCAGGCCCAGCAGGTTGGACCTCTGCTGGATAACATTCTGAACTCCAAAATACTGAATGAATTCTCTTTAAAATGTACAGAAGAAACACGTTGTTGATCCTCAAAGACCTGTACCGATCTCAAAACTCTCGATTTATAACTTTTTAAATTTCACAACCGGTGAAGTCGCCCCCTGCTGACCATAGGGAGAAATGCATGTTAAAGACTCTTCTGGTCTGGCCTTATCTTTGAGACTCTCCATATTTGTCTTTTTATCATCAGCTGTCTCGAACAGAGTCGTACTGAGTCCTTACCCTGTCCCCGACAAAAACCATCAGACCAGTAAAGCTGCGGCTCTCATGGCCCAGTGTTCCCACAGACAGAGACAGAGCAGCTCCAGTTAGAGGAGGGGCCGTACTCAGAGTTTGGACAGGAGTCGTCTCATGATCCAGCAGATCCTCCCGTTACATCAGGGGTGGAGTGAGGCGAGCCTCTGATCGATCACAGATGTTCCGTTTCACTCAGACAAATAAATAAAAACAAACCGGATCTTATGAAAGTCCCTCCAGGCGTTCCCAAGATGTCACACTCAAAATTCCAGGACAGGAGGAATGTCCAGAGCGGGTTATTTTAGGACGCCGTGACGGACAAGTCACATTAATGTTGAAGTGAGAAAAAAACTGAACAACCGTCAACGATTGACCACCAGGTGTCCCTGAAATAACGTCATCATGTTGATGATGTTCAGCAGATTTTACACAAGAACACAAGTATTTATGTGAGAAATGAGACACCGACTAATAATCAAAAAGAAACGTTTATTTTATAATTATGAGTCATTTTACTACGATAATTGTTACTCAACACAATAAGATATTACACAAATACATCTATATGAAAAAAAATTATAGATTATATGATATTACACAAAACCATCCATTATGATACTGACCCCAGAAACACTAAAGTTTCCATTTGGTTCCACTGAACACGAGACCGACTCTCTTTTCACATAATTTGGAATAATTCAATAAAATATAGTTTCTTATAAAAGTACAAAAGTATAACACAGTTTGACACAATATGAACAAAAAGATTGTGTACAGTGATACAGTATGGTACAGTGTGAGACAATAGATTGCAACATGATATATTAGTATAAGGTTCAATATGATATAAAGGAGAAAAGACATGGTTGGATACCAGGATTACACTATATATAAGAATAACTTTATTTTTTATAAGAACAAAATATATAAAAAATAAAAAAAATCTATAAGAATTATTTATTGAATAAAAAATAAATTTGAAGAATAATGATTTATATAAATAAAATATGATACAGTACAGAATTAAATTATACAGTACGGGATGATACGATAAGAATACCAGAAGATGCAACGCAAAGTGATGGGATACAATACATTATTCTATAATATGATATTATATGATATAACATGACGCAATACCAGAGATTATGATACAATTTTATAGTATTTGATATAATTCTAAAGGATACAAAGGAATATAATCAGTCACAGTTTGATACAAAATCAACAAAATGATAATCAGATACAGTATAACTTAGTAAATTAATATTACATTAGATACAATATGATCAAATATGATTATTCAACATGATACAGTCTTAAATGATACTTGATATCATTTCTACAGTGAAACAGATATTTTGACATGTTTTTTCTTTTCCAGATGTGACCCTTTTTGTCCTCCTAACACTTCAGCAGATGGACAGGTGAGTTCAGGTAGAAATGATGGGACCCTTAAACAGAGCCGTGTGTATGTGTGTGTGTGTGTGTGTGTGTGTGTGTGCGTGCGTGTGTGTGTGTGCTGCAGCTGTGGGTCATTACTGCCTCACATCAGACATGATAATTAAAGCAGGAATGTTTTCAGGCGGGTGAAAATTGGTGTGAGTTGGGTTCAGGTTCAGACTTGATGTTGGAGACTCGGAGGGTCGTCACTGAGACTCAGCTGGTCAGGAGAACGACAGAAACCACCTGAGGGGTTCAGGATTTCATTCAGGGACTTTTTAGAAATTCTAGCTGAAGTTTGTGATTAGACTGAGGTTTTATTTTCTGTGATACGACTTCGATCATTTTTAGATATTAAACACTTAATGACCCACTCCGATGAAAATCATGTTTTTCTTGTTGTCTACATGTTCACATGTTCATTTTTCTGATGCTACAGGAGAAAACTGAGAGCAAAACTGAATTTCTGAGGATTTCTGGATTTCTACATTTAGTCTTCAGTTTGATGTCTTTTAATTATTTTGTCTCACTTTTAATCCAAAACATACACAAAACTTTAATTATTGTCTTAAGGATGTTGTTCTCCAGTTAAATTTTAGTTTTGAAGCTTAAAACCAAAAATATTCAACTTTTGAGAACTTCTGCATAGACTAGATAACAAGATATTACAGATCATAATAATGTCAATAAAAAGAAGATAACACGTCGCCAAACATGACGACAATCCATCATTTAATTCATTTCAAACACGGTGTCATTTTACAAAATATGTTCATTTTTTAAAAAAATTAAACATTTAAAAAAATAACAGAAACGTTTTACACAAAATAAAGAAAATTTCCAAAGAATAGAAACATTGTGTTGAAAAATTTAAACATTATTTAAAACAGGCAAATTAATTCTAAACATGTTGTCATTTTCCAGATTGTGTATATATGTGTGTATATATATATATATATCAGGTCACCGGGTCATGGTCATCGTTGAACGGGTCGCGGGGGAGATGTTTGGTTGAAGTTAGTCCAGTTGACCTCGAAATGAAGAATCAGATTTCAAAAATACTGCTGACTGAGACTTTTATCTTCAAAGACAGCGCCACCAAGTGGTCAGACAACAGCAGAGGCGACAGAAGGAAGTTCATGTTTCTGTTTCTGACATAAAACTGAATTCACTGGTTATTAGAAACGTTCAAACTCCTGATCCTGGTCCAGGAGTTCTGGTTTTGGTCTCTTTAATACCGGGTTATTTATTCCAAAACATGAGGTGAGATTTGGAACGATTAATGAATAATTGAATGGAACATTTTTGCATTTATTAACATCCATATCTATTGATAACTACCTTTTTAATTCATATCCAGAAGTTTCTGTTTCTGGGAGAAGCAGGATGTTTGCAGACGCTCGGGAAATTGATGTTGATGACATGATAAAATTCAACTATGTCATAAACCTGCAGGATATTTTGGAAGAACGTCTCTTTGTTTAGTCGGCATTAAGAAACAAATATATTTAAAACTAAAGTTAGGAGGTTTCCAGGGTTGACAAAGTTACCGTAATAACTGTAAAAAACTGTCACTCTGCAGAGTTTCAGAGCGAGGTCAGACTGAACATCCACCAATCATCAACGAGAAGAAACACGCCTGAGGAGAGGAAACGTGGTCCACAGAGAGAAAACAATCCAGAGAGAGAGGGTCGTATCTTCACATCAGGTCAGTTTGATTTCCAATTCTTTGTTAAAAGGACAACTGGAATTTCCATATGTTGATTTCTGTCCTGTCTGTTTTTAAAGCCCTGAAGATCAGAACCATCCAGTCCTGGTTCTGGTCCTTGTCCCCCTTTAGTACAGAGATTTCTCCAGATCCTCTGAATCTCTGAATGATCTGATGTTCTGTAGACGATGAAATCCACTCAAACTGTTGAACTGTTCGCTCACGCGGTCTCTCACAGAGTCCTGAACCTCTTCCATTCTTCCTCCTCACAGACTCGGCCTCTCTGAAATAAAACATTCATAGGTTGTAAAAAATCTCTGCGTTGGTCACCTGTGGATTTTAAGGTTCTTTTATTAGTTTTTAAAGCTCTTCGTGGTCTTAATAGCCCTTCTGATTTTTCTAATTTATTGTATGAACCTGGTAGAGCCCTCATGTCTGCGACACCTACTGTTCATACTTTTAAAAGTAAACTAAAGACCTTTTTAGGTGAACTTCTATCTATTTTGTGTTTTATTACCTCTTTTTTGATTTATTTTCTGTTATTTATCATTTCATTAACTTTTAACGCTTTATCACCTTTATTATATTATATATTGAATGAGGGTTTGGATGGGTGGGTTTTTGTATTTGTCTTTATTTTATTCATTGTTTTTAATATCCTGCGTGAATGTACAACTGTTTGTGCGACATTATATGTATGAAAAGTGCTTTAAAATTAAAGTTGATAAAGTTTATATATATGTTTCTAAAACTGCTGTTTGCACCAAGTCTGACCACTGGAGGGCAGCATAGGTCCAAAATATCAGATCTGGATTAGCTGCAGGATCTTGTGAAAGAACAGTCATCACCTCTCTGTTCTGTGTTCATACATGTTATTAAAATAATCTGAGATTATGAGACGGTAAAACCTGAAAAGAGACATGAAGCTGGTGAAATAAATGAAGTTTATTTCTTACAATATCTGAACAAAGATGGTAAAACAGCAGCAGAAAAACACTGAATAATAAAATGATCCATGCAGAGGAGAAAACAGAAATAAAGTCAGATTAGAAACAGATAAATTCACGTGTTTTTATTGGTGGTTAGAGAGAATAATGCGGCTGGTTTTTGTGGTAAAAGGAAACTTTGGTATTTTTCATAGATTATTTTATTCATGAAAAGAAAATCAGTCAGAGGCTTTAACTCCATGAAGAGAGAGAGAGCTGCCAGCAGAGGGCGCCAGAGACCTAAAGATCACTGAAAACTGAAGCTCTTCACTGTTACTGTCATAATAAACTCTTTTAGTTTTCACCCTCTCATAATAAACTGTTAAAGTCACCACATCATTTAAAAGTTCTGATGTTACAGTAAAAATTAATAATAAAAATATTGATGAGGTGATTAAAATAAACAGACAGGGGAGTATCTACACTAATGAGGACATAAAAATATAATATTTTCAGAAAAAATGACGTCCGCTCAGACATGACCTCAGAGTCCAGAATAAAACACATAATTTTAATTTTTAATATTATTTTATATTCAGCTGCTTCAGACTTGAATGACTCTAAAATCTATGAAATGTTTAATATTTTAAATAAAATATAAATAATATTGAATATTTGTGCTTTTCCCACAGAATTCATCATAAAATGACCAAGTTGGAAAAAAAAAAACAAGATTAAAAAATTAAAATAACATTGTGTAATTTGTAGTTTGTTGACAGGCGTAGATACAACTCTTCTTCTTCTTCTGTGGTTGTTTTAGTGAAATCAGAAACTCTGTGCATGTCTGAATGTTTTTAATCTGAATCTAATCTGGATTATTCGATTCTGCGCTCATAAAAACTGTGAATTTAGATTTTTTTAATCCCTCAAAGTTTCAATCAGATCAAGAAATTTTACAGACGTAAACATGATAATGATCCATAAATCAGCATTTTATCATAGCACGTAGATACACTGCTGATTAGTGTGTGTGTGTTTGTGTGTGTGTGTGTGTGTGTGTGTGTGTGTGTGTGTGTGTGTGTGTGTGTGTGTGTGTGTTTGTGTGTGTGTGTGTGTGTGTGTCCATCTGCCTGCTGCAGAACTCTGTTTAGATCAATAATTAAACACACTTAATGGGCTACGAGCTGCAGCTGAGGACATCTGTCTGACAGTCTGTGTGCGTGTGTGTGTGTGTGTGTGCGTGTGTGTGTGCATGCATGTGTGTGTGTGTGTCCGTGAAGCAGCCAGACTGAGCATGCTCAGTTCAGCCCCATCATAAAGAGGTCAGAGCCTCAGTTTGACCCACTGACCTCCAGAGACACGAGCGTTCACTGAGAACCGGTTTAAATATTCATGTTGACACGTCTGTTTGTGTTCGGACACCGACACGAGTGGACTCGGGTTTTTTTTATTTTTACTTACGCTGAGCGAGGCTAACCACATCCTGAGTTCATCATTTCCCAATCTTCACCTCTGACCCGCAGGAAAGTTATAAAACGGAGAACTTTGGCTCTGAATCCACAACAACAACATACTGACATGGTAGAGACGTGTCAGTTTTGACATGTGAAAAAGTAGATCTGCAGGATTTCCAACATGTAAAGAACGAAACTGAACAGGAGTAACTTTTGCACATTTATGTGTAACAGAAGGTTGTAAGTGTTTTTAGTGTTTACTGAAAGAGGAAACAACTTTCATGTGTAATAAAACATGTAAAACTTGTACATGGAAAAACCCGAGATTTTCCACCAGCGGTTTTCGCTGTACGACAATTCCTTCCCAGACCCGTTTGTGAGGCAAATTTCATGGCGGATTAAGGACAGCAGTAACCGCGAGAACTCACAAGAACCCGCAGATTCACGTACAATCGTACGATAACGAGTTGTCTCTACAAAGACAGACACATAGATATATAAGCAGTAGATTGTGTCCTTCCAGAGGAGGAAATCTACTTCTAGACTTCTAGAATCAGCATCTCCTCATCCATGGTGTCATCGGGGTGAAATGGTGTCTAAAAACCTTTCACTTGTTCGTCTCCGCCCGTTTGCATGGTGTGAAATACGATCCTCCTGAAACACGGAGTGTTTTATTTTGAAAAGAAGCCGGATGTTTTATTTTGTGTCTGTGCCCGACTTCCTTTCCAGCACGGGTTAATCTGTGCTGAATTTATCCGCCATGCTCCGGCGTCCAGAAAAAATAGAACTCTTGTGATCAGCTGAGGAGTCCGGCGATCCGCAGAGGAACGGAAAGAAGTCGGTGTAAATCGACACGTTAACTTGAATGGTTACGATCAGCTACGATCGGAGGATACGACCTTTTAGGAGACGATCAGGATGAAGGTGGAGATTGGGGGTTACACTCATAGCAGGTTATTTATCTGGAGATGTTGTTTAAAACTGAGGATGCAGCATCTATGATTTCCAATTCTTCGTTGAAAGGACAGCAGTTGTCCTTTCTAATAGAGTGTTTTGACCCGTTTGTTTTGCTACGATCGGCGAATACAACCTTTTCATTAACGTTCTGGATGAAGGTGGAGTTTGGGTTTTTGTTGATGTAATCCCTCGTGTAGATTTTCTTACAAAGTGAATTTAAAATAATAAAATCGGATAATTGAGTTAATTATAACTGAAGAGTAGTCCTGTAGAAATTTCAAATTTATTTTATAAATAATTTAATGTAAATTTTTTAAAAATTTCAGGCGCAAAAATGAGAAACTCCTTTTTTTGACAGTTTATAAAACTGACTGTTAAAGCTGTTTCTAAAATGTGGTTTAACAGATAAAACGAGATTCCTTTGAGCCCCCTCCTCTCTCTCTGTCTCTCTGTCTCTCTCTCTCTCTCTCTCTCTCTCTGTCTCTCTCTCTCTCTCAGTTTTTAGTGTGACCCATTTCCACCTCTGTTAAAGCGTTACCTGCCTTTGTGCTCTTATGCGTTGGTGTGAAAAGAGGATCTCTGTGAGGACTTTCAGACCCGTCACAATGAGAGGGGTTTGGTCCAGGCCCTCGCTGGGGGGCAGCATCTCGTGTGAAGACAGAGGGGGGGGGGGGGGGGGTTATTGTACTCAGATGACTCCTCCAGGTGAAGTAGTTGCCCGGTGAGTTCAGCGGTTATTCGATATGATTCATAACTCTGTTTTCTTAGAAGTAAAGCTTTAATGCTCCGTGTTCGCAGACTCACTGAGGACATCTAGTGGCAGCTGGAGGACACTACAAATACAAAATGAACGTCAACCTTCCATTAAATTTGATATAAACCAACAAAATGATTCAACACAACAGAGAGGATATAAAGTGTCCTAATATGAGGATCGAGTTCTACGTTGTAAAATCGTTTAATTATTAGATCTGTGGAAGAAACGGCTAATATAGAATATGTAAAATATAAAAATGAGATGCTAAACTACAACAACCACGTTTTGTTTTCAACACGAACGACTCACATCTAAAAAAAATAAAGTTGAACAGAAAAAGAGGAACTCAAGTATTTTAAATATATGCCTGCAGTTCCTCCAAACACCACAGGATGGCGCTGGTGGAAGTCAAACCTTCAGATCTTAAACCAATGCAAAAGTGACAAAAACTGCAGTTCCGCTCCTGGCCACTAGATGCTGTTTTCTATAGTGAGTCAGACTCCACCATAGACTGTATCTAGAATAGACGCCGTCTGCCTCCTCCACTCCGAGAACAGCGCCCTCTGGTGACGGGCTGCAGTATAGGTCCTAAACCCCGCCTCCTTATGGAGCTGTGGACAAACTTTATAAATGAATGACACAGAATATAAATGTTTCTCCCCCCTGGTTGTGATGTTGACATGTAGTTACTGTCAGACTGGTTTGTGCTCAAGTCCTCTTTTTCCTGTACAGCTCCATTTTTAAAAGTTATTAGGGGGTTCATGTTTTCTGTGATTGACACCTGATACAGCCAATGGGAGGACA